TGAGGACCTATCTATAGGATACATTCTGCTTATATATATGAGTACGCTTGGCGGATTCGTTGGGTTCGTGGGACGAATCCACGAATCCGTCACGTGTCCAAGTCACGTGTCCAAGTTATGATCTGCCTCGTCGGCATAGAGCCTGTCCGCGTACTCCTGTTCCCAGAGGTCCTCCTCGTAGGATTCCCTGTCGCCCTCCGGCCACTCAGAATCGTCACTGTTCGGTTCATCCGTAACAAATAGCCTCTTAGCTAGATATAAGATAACTCTATTAGCCTTACTTCTGTTAAAGAAACAGCTCTTGGCCGGACATAAGACAACTCTACCAGCCGGACATGCCGGACATGAGACAACTCTATCAGCCGGACATGCCGGACATGACTCAACTTTACCAGCCTTGGTTCCGACAATGTTCCAAGGTTTGGAAAGACGGGAGCGGCGCTGAGAGCCATGTTGTTCCCATCGTTCCCATGGTTTCCATGCCGACCTATCGTATAGAAGGGCACTCTTCAGTAGTCAATTGCAATATTAGAGTACACATACGATCTCTCACCTAGATTGAACTACTCTCATAGGTGACTGCATCTAAACCGACAAAGTCTGCCTAACATGAACCTGCTTATACATCCTGCCCTAGATACGATTTGTAACCTCGAACATTCGCTCATTAGAAGCCTTGGCAATTGGCCTAACACTTCAGAGTTAAGACAGATCCAGCCAAAATAGTACGTTGTTGCTCGCCATTTCACCGGTAGCTTTACCAGAGCCGCAGCCTGGCCTCAACTCCTCCTTAATCAACGTATAGAGGAGTACAGAGAAGAGGGTAGAGATAACGATAGTACAGAAGAGACTGGATGAAGCAAGTTTGTCAGCTGAAATAGCTGTTGCCGAATGATACCGAGTAAATTGATTCATTGGGTCCTTTTAAGGAATGCATCACTCCAGTAACGCTGAACTGTCAGATCTCATCTCCTTGCATCACTCTGCATTATTCTACATTACTCTGCACTTTACAGGCACCTGTCGGGACCTCAACATCAATACACCTTCATATATACTCAATGTCGGACACTGCTGCTCTCGTGGATTACGTCACCGTCACTCGGGACATCAACGCCCCAATTGGCGAGGTGTGGGGGATCATCGGAGGATTTGGAGCTGAGAAGGCGTGGTACCCTGGCTGCAAGAAGCTCATCCTTGAAGGCTTCGGACTCGGCAGTATCCGAACCTTCCACTACGAGTACCCTAGCGGCCCCAAAGCGGGCGAGACCTACATCTTCTCTGAGGAGATGACAGCAATCGACATCCCCAACTACTCCATGTCTTTCCGTGTACGTCGGCCAGACTATCCGGATATGGTCGCGTACGGAACAACCGCACTCGAGTCGCTTGGTTCGGATAAGACTCGCTTCATTTGGTCTGGCAAGGGCAGCGCTTTGCCCGACGAATACATGAAGGTTCTGCAAACTGATCTCAATGCCCGCTTCGCTGAGCTGATCGAGGCCATCGCTGCCGTCTTCGAGTAAATGTCTCACGCCGTCATCGTCGTCCCCGAGTGGCTATCATCAACGCTGTGGGTCGGTTCATGACCTGGTAGAATAGGAGGTGTGGCATAAAAGTCTCGTAGTAAAATCAAACGCTTCAAGCAATTCCTCACCTTCTCAATTGTTCAGATATGTATGTTCGTGCTATGTGAAAAACATAAAAGGGCAGGAGTGAAAAGACTCTTGACTTCTGAGCATACTCCAAAATCGGTAGGGGAGGGAATGGGCTGGCTGGTGGTATGGAGGTCGAACGTCCTTTGCTCATGTGATGGTGTCGTTGGCTGTAAGGGCTTGTTGCGTATGCCGAAAAAAATCTGCATTGTCAACGGATATGAACCAATGTTATATCAGCCTCATTTCTTGCAGCTTCTACCGTTCCTTCTTGCTTACAGACCTATGCAGATTTTGGTGATGCGAATCTAACTAATTGGATAGGTGAGCGAGATGCATGTTGACAGGGTGGGATTACTCATGGTTACTACAGAGTGAGTGAAGCTATTAACAAGGCTTTTCAACGCCAGTACGAACAAGAAAATTCCCGATGATGGCGTGGAGTTAAAACTACTCTACCATGGGGTTAAGACGGAATTACTCGAATTTCAACTTCACATTAGGCGTTGTGCCTCACCCCATGCGTTAGTACTCCGACTCTTCTGGTTACTTCGAGGTTGTGTATGCATGCTTTGAAATCAAGTTGGCGCTTTCATACCCCTCGATCATTGTCAATTCATTCACTCATACACGTGTGAAGACTAACTCTTAAAGAGGATAAGTAAGATGGCGTTTCAACATAAAGGGTTGTGTTTGGGAAGCAGTATCACCATGCTTCCGATTGCGGTCTGACAAGTACTGTACGTGCTCACTGCAATGCTATAAATGTTTTTGTATTCTGACAGGTTCAAACATGAGCTATTAACAAAAAGCAATTTGAATCTTAGCATAGTTCACCATGATTGATCTTCCTACCCGTAAGATCATTTAGGTGAGCTTAATTCACAAATGAGCCATCCTCAGGCACCAAGTCAATTGTAAGGAAGGAACTAGAGCGCACCCGAGTTCGGCATTGAAGAGAGTGTCCTTCTCAAATCCATTTAGCGCTTGGTTGAGAAGAGCAGCTGCGACAGTCGTCACTGTGATCTCTGTTTTCATGCCCGCCAAATTTGTCGTCATATTGTCATCAACACTGTGACCACCAGCGCCGCCAATTAAACCTGGTCAGGCAATGCAGGCCTCAACCTGACCTGGTCGGTTACGTGCAAACTCCAAGACTCTGTTTTCGGTTTCGCCCTTGATGGAGGCATTAGTATATGGGTTTGTCCCGTCGAAAAAAAAGGTCAACATTAGATCATGTAGCACATGCCCGCATTAAGAAGTACTCTGGCATGAACTTTGGCACTTTGGTCTGGTCCCTCTCCGAATCAGCGCCACTCATGTACAGGAAGCGGAAAGGCTTCATTGGATTGGAGTCGACCATCACATTGAGGCTACCTATAGTGTCGTCGAGACAAATTTTCCGTACCTCTTCGAAGGCCATATTCGGAGACTTCATAGGGATGACTCCAACGGTCCTGGCAAATGAAAATGTTAGAATTATGCAACAAGCTTTGAAGAAGACGAGTGCGGTGGAAAGAACAGCGGCGGACATTTACCAAATACATGCAGCTGCATCCGTGAATTCCTTTCTATCCCCCGTAGTGTAGGTGCCATAGTCTTTAACGACGACACTCTTAAGCTTGAATTGATTCGCCCCGTCTGGAGCAGACACCGGCCCTCGTGAAATCGCAATGATGGAGCTGACCTGGGGATTGCAGAGGCCTTGGCTAAGGAGCTCCTTACCTACAAATCCGGTGGCACCAGCGATGATAAGCTTCATTGTGAGTCTTGAAGATAATGGGAGAGAGGGAGAGCAAGCTAATGTGGACGGTTTACTTGGTAATAACTAAAGGGTTGTAGGTCTCGCCCGACAAAAGTGTATTATATCAAACTATCTAAGAGGAGCTTTGGCCTATCCATTTGATACTTTGCCACTACTGAATAATACCTGGACGAGCTAGTGCCTAGCCATTGGCCGTCTACGTCACATCATTAATTACGCCGATTTGTCAGGGATAGACGACGATACCTCCGTATCTCCAACATCGACCTGTCCGCCAACCAATCTAAAGTCTGAAGACCTGACACCCATCATCGGTCGGCCCTCCTCAAATGCCGATAAAGACAATTGCTCTTTACCTAGTGGATCAACAGTCAATCCCTTTACTTGTACTGTCTGCTAGCTCAGCAAAGCCTCCGTCGTGCCAGATGAAGAACCACCGTACAAAATGTTCCTGGAGATTCAAGCAAGTCAACACGCTCAGCTTGTCGTCAAGCCCTCAGGGCCACACTCACACGTGTTGCGGAAATCAGTTCAGCGTTGGTTTGTGCCGTTCTCGTGCTCTCTTCACTGTCAACGCGGTGGTTGCAAGTCATCGCAGACCCTCTCTCGTTCATCCGCTTTCCAAATCTGCTCCCACACCACGAGCAGGATTGTCCACTGCCAAACTTCTGCTGTCTCGGGATACTACAATATTGGACGCCAAGGCGCAAAAGAAAAAAGGAATGGCTACAGCATACAACATTAGATTCTCGACTCGCGACTCGGGTATCTTCAGTGCAGGGGTCACATACGCTTCTGCCCAGAAGATGACCAAAGTGTTGCAAGATAATTTCCCGAGGCATCACATCATCTACAACTCTGTGTGATTCCATAGTAAGTGATTTATCTCTCCATCTTGCTCTTGACTTCTCTGCTGCATCAAGGTGATCGTTGCCGAAGAGGAGAAGCCTTCGTCTAAATCGAACCTAGCCGTTTGTTGGCTGGTGAGACGCTATTCAGATCATATCGTTCACCACATTCTGACCATCTACGCTCTTGGAGCATCTTCTGAAACAACTCAAGACGCCTACAACCGCGACAGATCGTACCAGAAGCCAGCTCTGCCATTAGATGACAGTATCGTTGATAAGCTGCGGGCTGAGAAGGTATTTTTAGGGAATCTGCACCAAGAACGGCAATATCCGAATTTTTAATCCTACCTCCAGCGCGAAATCGAAAAAGGAGTTCCGCAAGTGATGAGTGAATATCTCTTTACCGAGAATTAGCGAGCTGAATCCTTGCTAACCAGAATGGGAAGTAATGAATGGGAAGTAATGAATGCTATTAGTAGGTTCTCCCCCAAACTGTTCTACGTTCATAAGGTGCACACCCTAAAACTGGGCAATATGAACAGCTATAGACAGACTGGATCAAGTTTTCTGCACTGCTGCCGCACGAAAAGCCTACAAGTTTGACTTCATATATTTACATACTGTAAACTCTACAATATTCTTCTCCTCACTGAATTGTTGAGCATGCGGTCTAAGCTACGGCTCTTAGAATGGAAAGGTAGAATGGAAATTCTGGTTTATGCCTCGCAGGGACATCTAATTCTGCAGTCATAAGACATCACTGAGCATCCCATCCGAAAAGATTGGCCGACTCTCGTTGCTCAAAGGTGCACAATAGAGACGACGGCCAGGTGTCAAAGCTCGTCCGTACAGTTGCTCACGCAGAGGTGGTTTGTCATGCCTATGTGACTAGGGTAGGAAATTGGCAACACGAGTAAGTCGATCTTTTCATTTCCCGGGCAACTTATAGTAGCCGCTGCAATACCATTGGTATCAACTATGTTTCCTTATAAAAGGACATGGCAATATGCACATCATCTCCAGCTTCAAGGCACATATAAGCGTGGCATTTACCCGTCTAGCCATCCGAGGACATAAACCTGATGAGAATTTATCGGAAGCCTTTAACGAAAATGGATGTATAATAAGGCGATAGCATGAAATGCCATCGTAGGCGTATTCATTTCGCATCATATGAACCATCTTAACCGTTCTCCTCTCATTGACGGAACATGACTGAGTTTAAAGTACAGGACCGTACAGTGTCTCCTTCCAAGCTTAATATTCCGAGTAGTGAAGCAACAAACCCACAATTTTAATACATGCGAACATAGTCCACTGCTTGTAAAAGCTCGCAACCAAAACTCTCCCACTGGGCTTGCAAACCTTTCTTTCCAAAGCCTTCTCTATGTAGAACAAGACTATTAGGAGGTGTTGATGGCCCAGAATCAGCCGGTGTTGACGTAGTGGTAGAATGATCTTCTGATAGGCGAACTTGGCCAGGTTCCACACCATCATCGGTATCAGAACTAGAGACGTGGATGATCGATGTTGGCTGCAAGGCAATGTAATTTTCATATCGCCATAGGCTGCTACCAAGCTGATCTGCCAATTGCCCAAAGTTGTGGTCGTCTCTGTCTGCCCCATTTGCAGTTGCTAGTGTATTCTTGGCTGACCTGACATTTTCTAGAATGCGCGCATTGGTGTTATGGGTAAGCAGAGGTAGTCTATAAAAACACAAAGTCTCTAGCATACGGGAAAGGGCTATCACCGTCTGCTCAATTGTATGTTGTATGAGATCTTTTGCGACTTCTATGCCAGGCGTTTGATATTGGTGAGATTTTGGTGCCATGGAATGCTTTTCGGACCAGAGTAGCAAGAGAATTAAGCACTGGTGCAGGATAATGAACTCTGCCGTATGAACATGAAAATTGAGACTCAGACCCTGATCGCGTTCTTCCACTATAGGCGTGATCCCACAAATCCCTTCTCTGGTGAGTTCTTGAAGCTTGGCATCGATGTTCATGGCCATCCAGAAAAGCTTCGAGACAGGAAAGTCACCACCGGAGAATGACTGGCCAAGGTCTTTATGAGAGGTTACAGTTCCTACTGGGGCGGCTGTATTGAAAAGATGGGTGATCTGCATACATGTCTCTGCCTTTCTACAGAAAAACGATGCTGATTGCAAATATCGATGAAGTGCTTGGTGCAAACCAGTCGATGCATACCAGTCCTGAGCGCGCGGAGATGAAAACCAAGATATTTCGAAATCATTCATTTGTGGAGGTCTGATACCAGCAGGATGTTCGAGTCCTGTTGTGCTTTGAAGAGCTTCCAGGCCAAACCCAATCTGGAGAATGTAACATGACCACCAAAGCCTGATATGCAGACTCGTTTGACTGGAAGGCCTTGAATAATGACTGGCAATAAGTCCAGGCTCGATCTGCTTTGTGTGTTCCAAAGCCCAGCGATGGACAGATCGATAAAGACTCCTATTTGATTTTTCCTGGCTCAGGCGCCAATACAGAAGGAGAATTACCTGCAGCTGCGTAGTCGGGCACTCGTCGTAGTCTATATCCAAAAGGACCTGTTTTGATATTAGTGGCTAGAGTGATCGCAGCGATGGGAGAACTACTACCTTTGTCCTGTGAACGAAAGTATCCAGTGCCGTATGAGCACAAACTAGACCAGCTCTCCCAAGCTCGTCGTCGGTAAGAAATGGTATCACCGCAGAAGTCAAAGCCTGCCAGAGAAGAACACTGATTCTATTTCCCCTTGCTTGTTGCGGCTCGAGCGCTTGAAGAAGGTCTTTAATGTCAATGACCGGAAGTTGTGGGTGAACTTGCTCAATGTATCTTCGACAAACGACGGAGATTAACTCGTCTGGAAGACAAAGGAAGGCTTTCTCAACAGTTGCCTTGAGGAGAGCTGAATGCAACAGCGTGGGTCGGGAAGGCGAACAAAATTCTCTGGGGATTGCATCGTTCATCCTGGAGTTGTGAAGGTATTGCGGAAATTCGCAAGATATCACAGCATCATTGAGATAAAGCTACCTCGTAGGTTATGGCGCAAACAGTTGTGGGCACGTAGCATCACATCGCGAATGAGCGGGACTGCCAAGAGATATTTAGAGCATGTTCGCTGCATTCAGAGACTACAGACAGGTTTGTAAGTTATGGTTGTCATAGGCCACGTGATGCGCTGACTCGACTACCTGACACAGTTTAGTTTACCCTTAGCAGTAGGGCGCACCTTCCCGGTCTCGCCTTTACCTAGGAATATTGAGCAGTGCGGGGCAGTTAACTTAGCCCTTATTAAAGCTCCTAGGCTGAGGGAACGTTGATAAAGATGTTGAAAGTCAATTGGGAGCATAGAAGCGGCTAGCCACGAGCATCGAGATGATTGACACCAACGCCACACGCAAATATGGATCGTATCCTCTCTATGACCGAACACAAAGGGCGATACATGTTGTGATAGCAGGCGCTGGTCCTTCCGGAATCGCTCTTGCTATCGAACTGAAAAAGATCGCAAATGTAACATTCCAAATATATGAGAAGAATCAAGATGTCGGAGGTACTTGGTTCGAAAATAGGTATCCTGGAGCAGCATGTGACGTAGCGTCTCACGCATATCAGTATACTTTCGAATGCAAAAAAGACTGGACCAGACAGTATGTCACCTGATGTCCATCGGAACTCAGAAGCTAAAGGAATTTCCATCCAGCTTTGCGCCTGCCGAAGAGATCGGCGATTACTTCATTTCAGTGGCCAGAAAATATGGCCTGTACGAGCATATTCGCTTTGACTCTCAGATTACTGGGGCGGTATGGAATGAGGATGAAGCTATCTGGTCAATTGAGGTCTTGCAGAAAACCCCAGTCGAACCAACCCAGGTCCAAGCTGACGTTTTTGTCAATGCCGGCGGGATACTGAATGATTGGAAATGGCCAGATATCATGGGCTTGTCCAAGTTTGCAGGAAAATTGCTACATACAGCATCGTGGGTATGATTTCAAGTTTTCGTTTGTTCATTTGGACGCAGAAATAGCTGAAATGATGTTTAGGACCACAGCTTCGACTGGGCGGACAAAAACATAGCAGTGATCGGATCAGGAGCGACAAGTATACAGGTTGTACCACAGATGCAACCGAAGGCTAGGAAATTGGAAGTCTTTGTCAGGTCACCTACCTACATCATCCCACGCGTTGGGTTTGGTGTCGAATCATCTACATTCAACGCACCTTGTAAGAACATACTGAACAGTATTATTTTGTCACTTACTAATTGACTATCTGTAGACCTCCAAGATGAAGTTTCGAGATTCCAAAATGATCCCAAGTACTACAAAGTATTCAGAAAAAAGGTCGAGCAGCAGATGAACGAAAATTTCATGGGAAGTGTGAAAAACTCTCAAGCACAGAGAGATGGACGCAAGGTAAATTGTAAGTGACGATGCAAAAGAGTGCCACTGACCCTCATTAGTGGGCCGAAGGTTTGATGAGAGACTCTCTGCAATCAAAAGAGTTACAAGATAAGCTGATCCCTGAGTACGCGAATCTTCAAAAATTTCGTTTCCTACGCTGATTGGTCTCACTAGTTGGGAGCTGGGATGTCGGAGACTCACTCCTGGCCAGCCATACCTACATGCAGTCCAGCAACCAAATGTGCATGTCGAGCGCACTCCAATCACTCGAGTCACTCCGGAAGGCATTGAAACTACTGACGGGGTGCTGCATAATTTCGATGCGATCGTGTGCGCGACCGGTTTCAGCGCGTCGTTTTCTGCTCGCTTTGACATCGTTGGGTCCGGCAATCAAAATCTAAGACAATTGTGGACGAAAGGCGCACCAGAAGCATACTTGGGCCTCGCTATATCTGGTTTCCCAAATTACTTCGGTTAGTTCCAGCATGACCGTTTCATGTTCCCCACGACTAAACGAGAATGTAGTTATGCTTGGCCCCAATTGTCCCATCGCAAACGGGTCCCTGGTTCCCTGCATTGAGTACGGGTATGTGTCAGTAATCAATTCAACCTGAGCCTCGCCATTAATCTGGTAGCAGTGCAAAATACATTGCTCAAGTCTTGAAGAAAATGCAGACCGACCAGATCAGGAAATTGGATGTCAAGAAGAAAATGCAGGATGCATTCAACGACTATACGCAAAATGTGCACCAAGACCTGGTATGGTCTGGCTCATGCCATAGCTGGTGTAAGCTTGGAGTCCCAGAATGAATATGCGACACTAATGTTATAAAAGACAAAGACAGTCAGAGTGGTAGAGTGACTGCAGTATGGCCTGGGTCATCCATTCACTACATGGAAATGATTGACACGCCTCGATGGGAAGACTTCGATATCGACTATGTCAATGTAAGCAAGTTTCTCATAGTTTTCGCACATCTAATGATCTCAGGAAAACCCATTCGCCTTCATGGGTAACGGTGTCTCTAAAAGAGAGGCTTTGGGGAAAGACTTGACATTTTGTAAGCCAATCACTTGTCACTATGGGTGAGACTAAACGCTGACCTCCCTATTCAGACTTAGACTCTATGCCAGAAGACTAACTGCTCGGTGGAGCAAGCCCGTAGTGCGGTCAATCGCTTGCAGAAACGATAGTCTTGGATAGAAGATGAAGGACTGAGACATCCTGTCTAATGAAATAAATCATAGCATAACTATAAACGAAGAAAAGAATTCATTGCAAATATGGCTTCATGGGTCCTGTTTGCGGACGACGGCTTTGCTACATGAGATCAGTGCATAGACAGTGTACCGCTTTGATTAACAACCGGATAAAACTATACCAATTAGATGGCTCGATTGTGCAGGACCTGTACAAGAGGGTTACGCAACGCATTGGAACCTGGCTGTTAAACTCCAAGAGTTTCAATCATTCGAGGTCATACCTCTCTTCAATTCATCCTATATTCCTATACCGACTATTGAGATATGATGATCATAGATAGATCTGAATCACCAGAAATTTCCTTCTTGCCTTCAGGTGAGGTAGAAAGAGGAATATAAGTCGCATTTCCAATATATGTATTTCAGTGATCATGAGAGTATATTCAAGGTGTAGATACGGTCGAATTTCCAAAGAACGAGACGCAGAACCATACCATGCTATATCCACAGGCGAACCAGATTTGGCACGTGCCAAAACGGTATAATGAGAACTTGAATAATTCAGCCTAGGTAGGAGTTTGGTGTCTATCAGACCAGGATCATCGCGAGGACCAACTGATGCGTCTGTTTTACATCAGTACAGGTAACTTTAGCACACAGACAAAAGATCTACTCACGTTGCTGATATGAAAAGTATGACCAAGGTACTGAAGACAAAGGTAGCTAGAATACCAAGATCGCGCCATCTGTGAGCCCAAAGCAAGTCAAACTGGGCAGCGAAATCCTCCACTCGGGAAAAAGGGCAGTAAGAGCAAGCAAAAGTGGCGTTGGGGTTGGATAAATACCCTTTGCTCTCCTTAAGCCAATAGGATGCATACTCCCAGCATGTTTGACCGCTAGGTGGTTCAAAGATGCTCAACTCGCTCTGGGCACAACGGACTGGACGGTCGTGTAGCTCGGTCTCGATCATGCCCCCAACCAGATAGGTCAAAGGATTGAGATGATAGAGCCACTTCCAGAATGGTGGTATGTTTGGAGGAGGAATCGTCACTCCACAGAAAAGTGAGAAGACGATGAGTAAGAAGGGTGTCATCAATGAAGCGGTGTATGAAGATGGTGTGAGTGCTGCAATGGCCTGGCCAAGCACAACAGAGAATTGTTCCGTAAGGTAAATGATGAGAAACTGATACCCGGCGGCCGATGGATTGCGACTGAAATTCACCGGAAAGTACAGTACGACGAAAAACTGTGGGCTAGGATTAGCTTGAAGTAACTTAGGATTAAATGGACCTTACTAATGAGGCACATATGATGCTAATAGGGATCTCTGACAGTACCATGGAGGTAACGAATACCGCCTTGGAGTACATGCGAGCAGAATCCTCTTTAAAAAACAAAACTCTCGCAGCTTCGAAACGCGGCTCCACCTGTGCAAGAATCAAGGCAGGTAAGACGGTGATCTGAAAGATGACGAAGATTCGATACTGAATATCTGCATATGAGTCTCCGATATTGAGATAGGCGAGTCCTGTCAGCAGTGCAATCATAATATGATTGAAGAGTCTCGTCCCATTGTAGCCTGGCTGCCGGAAGGAAGATAAAAAAGTTCTCCGAGTAACGATACGTAGCTGAAATAGAAATGAAATCTGATATCTTGAACTACTAGGTTGTTTGACTGGATCCTGAAACAGAATGTTAGTGCTCTTGTCAACGAACAGTCGGCAAGAAAAACATACTTGGCTTTCTATGTTCATATTACTGAGTCCAGTATGCGGGTGGTTCTGTTTAACCGTCGAATAGCCCTTCCAGAGCTTCTGCCACTCTTCAGGAGTTTGCGCCCGTTCCCCATCGCTGGTGAGCGTCTGCATCATGAATTCTGCGATATTGGCGTCGCTCGGAGGGGGAAAACCAGCCCACGCAAAATAATCTGCTGCATCAGGAGCAGGCCCTCTAAAGACTGTACGGCCATGATGCAAGAGCAGTAAATCATCAAATTGCTGGTAAAGTGCCGAACTTGGTTGATGAATCGTGCAAATTATTGCTTGACCAGTATCCGCCAGCGTCCGCAGGAAGTGTAAAATGTTCATAGCGGACTGTGAATCAAGTCCACTCGTAGGTTCATCCAGAAACAACAGATCAGGCTTCGCGACCAGCTCTATTCCAATGGAGAGCCGCTTTCGCATTTCTACCGATAGCCCGCTCGGTGCAAGTCCAATCAGGAAATCAGCAACGTCTTGCAGCCCCAAGAGTTCCATGATATTCTCTATATGTGAGGATTCTCCATCCTCAGACGTATGTGAAGAACTTCGAAGCATAGCCGAGAACGTGAGTGCTTCCCGAACAGTTTGATATGGGTCAAGGATATCAAGTTGCTCACAATAGCCGATCTTTGCTTGCATCTGTGATTCGATCGGAATGCCACTGATCTTGATTTGGCCTTGAATGACGCCTTTATTTTTCCTTTGCGCTAAAACATCGAGTAGGGTGGACTTTCCTGCTCCGGATGGTCCCATAAGTGCCAGTAGCTTTCCTGGCCTACAATGACCTGATATGTCATGGAGAATCTGCTTCGAAGTGCCTTTCTTCAGTGCAACAGTGTAGTTGATTCTCTCCCATGTTATCGACTCCTCTGACTTTGGCTTTGCGACAGCGTGGACCGCACCGACAGCGCTCTCTCGATCCTCTGTTTTGACCTTCCTTTTCCCTTTGGACATTCTGTCGTGACCTTTCGATGTTTCAAAAGAGATAAATTCGTTGATGATAAAATTGGCCAGCAAAGACCCGAGAACGAATATGATCAGAATGCAGACGCTGATCCACAGGTCTCCTCGGCGGAAGCCAAATGTCAGCTTTAGGTATGCCATCCCAGGAATCTCGGCTGTCCCGGGAATAGATCCCGCAAGAGTGCAAGCTTTGTTTTCTAACAACGTATAGCCTGGGCCATTTGGTATTATTTGAGAGCCCTGGCAGACCATGGTCATAACCTTGAACTCATTAATCATCATTCCACTGAACGCATAGCGTATTGGGTTGAGCCAGTAGAACCAGCTTAGCCAAGGACGTTGATCTTTATATGGTACCATGTAGCCAGAAGACAAAATCATGAGCATGATGATGATACCAGCCAGGCGTAGCGCAATGTCAAGGCTACGGGATAGCGAGCCCAATGTTCGGAAAAAGACCGTCATGCAAGTTTGGCCAAGGACAATGAAAAGATAGAATGTGAAGAAAGCCTCAACCGATCGCTCAAGGCCAGCCATGAAGTAAACTACGACGGTAAAAAGCAAGTTCTACCCTGTTAGCAGGAGTGAGGTATATCAACATCCATAACGTACCTCAGCTGCTGCCATCGGAACATCAACCAGCAATTGCCCAAGTGGAAGCGCACTAGCTCTGTAGAACTGCAGAGATCTCTGCTTGTACAATACAGAACGGCCCAGGATGGTGACAGGAAGCTCTACGAAAGCTGTGAAGGATGTGAAAAGCAAGGAGGTGAAAACCACGCCGCCTCGGGTGAATGCACCACTCGATGTCTGGGGCAATTGCCAATATGTAGAACCGAGCAATAAAGCAACTACCAAGGCGGTGAAGTTCTTGAATGCTACATTGAAGCGCTGCTGGGCCTTCAAAAGCCAATGTCTTTTCGCCAATGCCGTGACCTGGATCCAGAACGATGCCTTCTGAGTAAATCTGGGCTTCCAAACCGATGTGGGCCCATTTCGTGTAAATCGCTCGAGCTGCTGACGTTCGGTGGATAGATTGATTGGTTGCAGTGCTGCGTTTAGTCTCTCTTGAAGAGAAATGTTATGTTGAGAAGCGAGGAAGGAATGCCTTAATCGAGCCGTGTGTTCGGACTCGGAAACATGCCTGTGTCTAGGATCAATACATGCTGTGAGAAAATCTGCCTTGGACTGGCCAGGTACTCTTTGAAACCCCTGAACCTCGAAGAAAGATGTCGCATCTTGAGCTGACCCGAAATACAGCTGGTGGCCAGCTTCCATCAGTAGCACCTTGTCGAAGCAATCATACAGGATGTCAGATGCTTGGTATAGGGATACAAAAGCTGATGATTCGTACGTCCGCGTCGTGATCCGCAAAGCCCGGATGAATCTTGCGGCAGAGCCAGCATCTAAGCCTAAGGTCGGGTTATCCAAGCATATGACCATGGCGCGAGCTATCAAGGACTCTGCAAGTGAAACCCGCCTTCTCTCGCCTCCGGAGAGCCCGCGCACATTAGCATCTCCAACCAGGGTGTCTTGGGCGTGACCGAGCTTGAAAATATCAAGCAAAGAAGAAATAATTTCCTTCTTCATGTTGTTGCTACTGTGCGGATTGATTAGATCCATTGCGAATCGAAGCGTTTGTTGGACCGTCAGAGATGGAATATGGAGATCTCCCGCAGCACAAAATGATGTCTCTCCTGGAAAAGCTTTTGCGAAAGAAGATCCTGCGAACCCACTGTAGTGCCTCGCCCCTGTGATCTGGAGAGGAGCAAGCTTTTCGTTCGCAATTGTACGTAAGAATGTCGTGCATCCACTCCCAGGCCTTCCTAAGACTAGAACCATCTCGCCAGGAAGGACTATGCCGTCAAAGCCTTTGATTAAGTAGCGCCCTTCCTCGCTGGATGGGGATGAGTTCGCTAATAATTTTGGGGCAATAGTCTCTTTGATTCGTGCTACTATTTGAGTGAAGAACCACGTCGATACTGGGGCATCCACTTGAAGATTACGAAAGTAGACCGCTGAGCTGCTATCAGAATTACATCCATATATTGAGAATGAGACCTACTCACGAATGGTCTTTCCGCTGAAGTTCTTCAACGTTCCCCTCGACTTGTCCGACTCAAGAGTATCCCTTAGTCCCTCCATATCATCCCGCTCAAGGGATTCACACTGAGCGTCTGCCTCAATTTTCTGGAGGTGTGGGAACATTTGCATCTTCTCCGAACTTGCAATGGCACGGTTATCGTTGCTGCAGTTGTATTCAATGCGATCGGTCGACTTTCTCGAGTTGATCGACCTAGATTTGGCTTCGACTAACGGTATACAAGGCGTGAAACTCAAACATAGGAATGTATCCAGTGGACGCACGTTAGAACATTCTGAAATACGACAGGGAAGGTACCATGGCCAAATCGAGATGCAAGGCTATGACTAGCATTACCACTACACATGTGATGATTCTACATTATGAAAGTTGAACAAATGTGCAATTGCATGACCACTGGCTATTGACGAGGCGTAGTGGAGTGCTTGCTTCTGTGTGGCGCACGGCTGGGGAAATAGAAGCTGCGTCAGCGAAACGAGTCAGCGTAGATCGTGCCTGGAAAGGTTTGGGTCCTCGCCAACTTACCATCGGAATTGAGAATTCAACACATCAAAGCAGTTCGGAAATATTAGCATATGGATTATTCATGAGAACATTACCTTCGCAGACGTCGCTCTCCGGTCGTGGAGGATCTGCATTATGCCTTACACTGGACCGCCGTTGGAACTTCCAGGTACAGTCATGCATTTGATGCCAGCGTCTGAATTCCAAATGCTAATATTGTCACATTTACAGTTCCCAAAAAGTCAACAATCTGGGAGTGGTTATTCGAGCCACCATCTTCGTTCTTAAGGTCTGTGCGGAAGGAGAGCTCGGGAGGCTTTTCCGATGCGCAAACTGGGCGAAGAATATCTTTCGATGTGCTCAAACAGTACGCGACAGCACTCTCGACTAGATTGTCGCAAGAATTTACTCTGCTACCTGGGGAAAATGTAGCCGTCATATGCGAAAACTCAATCTGGTATCCCGTTGCTGTGTTTGCGGCACTGCGGTTAGGTGCCACCGTCACGGCGTTGAGTCCCGAATATGGACCTGAAGAGCTAGTTTACGCGTTAAAAATAGCAAGGTCAAAAATCGTGTTTATAGATGGAGTGTCGTTTGAAGCTGCTCATTCTGCGACAAAACAGCTGGGCATACCAACTAGCAGTGTTGTTCGCTTGGACTGGGTGGCAGAGCACAGCAACATAGAATCTTTGGTTGATGAAGGCCTCAAGTTTGCTCCAGTGCCTGCTTTTTCCTTGCCAATTGGTGGAAATAGCGAGACAACCTGCGCCTTTTTGAGTTTCACATCTGGAACGACAGGACTGCCGAAAGCTGTAAGTACTCACTGATGGTGAGATTGGGATAGTCCATTGATGGAAACACTTAGATCATCATCTCCCATAGGAATGTCATCGCCCAAGCTTATCAAGTCCTATCAGTAACACGACCCGGACCGGCGCAGAAGTTGTTAGGAGTTTTACCATTATTCCATAGTGAGTACCTTGTGTTTTTCGAAGACAAACATATGTGGATGAGCAAGACTGATTAGTTGCACTTCTAGTCACGGGTATTGTGCATATTTTGCAACTTCCTGTGCTTTTGGGCCAAGAGGTGATCCTGATGTCGAAGTTCACAATGCAGAGCATGCTTGATGCGGTAGCGAAGTACAGATGTGAGGAACTGTGGTTGGTTCCTCGTGAGTCTTCAACTCTTGGTTCTTGTTGTTTGAGGTTAAGTTCTGACAGTGCATAGCTCTACTCATTCGACTGGTAAACGATGCCACTGTGGGTGGATACGACCTATCCAGCGTTAAACAGTTCAACACAGGCGCTGCCCCTCTCGCACCAGAGATTATCGCAAAACTGGGGGAAGCCTACCCTCAGGTAGCCATTAGACAAGCATGGGGAATGACGGAGAGTTGTAGCTGCCTGACCGTGACACCGCCCGAGCACCAAACGTACGCTAATGCACACACCGTGGGAAAGGTTGTTGCCGGCACGACTTTGAAAGTGATAGACGTGGAGGACGGACAGGAAATGGGCGTGGGAGAAGTAGGCGAGGTAAGCTAACAGACAATTTGGTGGTAATGGAGCGGATATTGACATCGCTAGATACTTGCTAGAGGTCCACAGGTCACGATAGGGTACCTGCAGAGCGGTAAAGGCATTGTAGCTATTGCTGACGATGATGGCTACCTCCACACTGGCGACTTGGGGAGTATAGATGAGCATGGGTTCATCACCATCCACGACCGTATCAAGGAATTGATCAAGGTAATGAAGAAAAGCCTGCTACACATTATGTTGCCAATAAGTACTGATTGATCAACGTACCCATAGGTCAAAGGAATTGGAGTGGCACCCGCCGAGTTGGAAGACGTGTTGCTGAGCCACGAGGCAGTACAAGATGCCGCAGTTGTCGGGATGCCAGACGATTATTCAGGAGAGGTTCCCAAGGGTTTTGTCGTGCTGAAGCCAGGCGCGAAAGCCAGCGCCAGGCAGTTGCAGGATCTAGTAAGGGAGCGAAAAGCAAGAGCGAAATGGCTGACGGGGGGAGTGGAGTTTTTGGATGTAATCCCGAAGAGCGCGTCGGGCAAGATCTTGCGAAGGAAACTTAGAGATAAGGTGCGCCGGGATGTACATGTACGACAGTCCAGATTGTAGATATGAATACATGCATATATTGTAGTCACCTAGCAGATCATGCTCGTAGGTACATATCTCGGTACCCAGGCGCGTTAGGGTACGTTACATTCACGAACGATCAATTCCCAACCTAACTACCCAAGTACCCCATACATATAAAAACCTACCAGTTAGGTAGTTTTCAGCCTAGTCGTACGTGGTGTTAGTACTTGTATGAGCCCAAGAGCATTTCCATGTGTTTACTGAGGTCACGTGCACAATTGCCGCGCGGAGAACGTTGTCCGTTGTGAATTGTAATAGCGACACAATTGATCAACTACGAGTATAATTATTGGAATTGTTATTGGAAACTGATCGGATAGAAACTGGGGACGGAAACTGCGGGGTAATAGATAATCTAGACTCTACCTAGCGTAGCCTATCTACTAGTTACCTGTAAGAGGCAGTGCTGTGGGAGGTAGAAGGTGAGCATTCACATCAACACCGTCAAACTCATACTTTACCATCATCCCCGATTCCCTGTCATCCAACGTACGCACACTGATTTGTTGATTCATCCACTTATCCATTTACTTATCGATTTATTCACTGACGGGATCGTGGCTGGTTATGCCCATTGTCACGACAACATGAGTAGCAGAGTCGCGGGCAAAAGCTCGTGTGCGCCTGACGAGGCTCTGATCAAGCTGAGGCGAGAACGCAAGCGCACAACAGATCGCGCTGCCCAGCGAGAACACCGCCGCCGTCAAAAGCTCTACGTCGAGGAGCTTGAGATGCAGCTGGCTCGCGTGCGAGAGGGAAGCGTCAATGACCAGGTTGCTCAGCTGATGAGGGAAAATGAAAGATTACAAAAAGAGGTATGTCTTGCTTGATGACGCCTGTCTACGAATTTGGTTGACCCTTTCTAGCTCAACAAGTACCGGTCCTTCTTCAATTCGGTGGAGGATCTCGTCATGGATGAATGGCAGCAAGAGAACAGGAAGAAGCATGGCATGACAGCCAGCCGTGTAGTCGACAGCGCAAGCGGCAATGAACACGGCAACGGCAATAGCAATGTTAGTGACGATAACAATTGCATTGGCCATGACAATCAAAGCATTGGGCGCAATTTTCATCGCGCAGCATCTCCATCACAGAACCCGGCTGAACACAACCACGCCACACCGAATCCTTCCGCTCCCCAGGATGCTGCACTCAACGTAGTGCTCAACGGTACCCAACTACCCACCCAACCTCACTCGAACTTTCTCAACTCTGGATCTCAGTCATCCCCTACGATCGAGCGTGTAGAGCCGACACTTGTCAATGGGACCTCTGAGCAAGCTGATGGGCCCAGCTCCTGGACTTATATGTCGCCACAAGGTGCCTTCGATTGGTCTCGTCCCAGCTTCGAAAACGTTTCACTGCAGCATTGTCAGCCTCAGGTGAATACGCAAGCACCTAATGTAATGTGGAATGATAATGCATCGTCTTTCGACGGATCAAAGCAGCCTGACTTGCTCCAAATTGCTCAGGGTGACTTTGTAGCTGATTGTACTCAAGGATCCAGCCCTCAACAGATCGCGTCGCTTCCTCTTCCGTGTCCAAGCTTCTTCTCCCTTGATCTTAATGAGCTCGATCCAGCCTTGATCTTTGCTCCGCCTAACCACGCCGGGCCCCTGATCCATCAGTTGCTACCCCGAATTCTCGAACCACAAAATGCGGAAGATCATCACATCCAGTCTATCGTTGAACGTGCACGAATCCATGATACTCGGCTTACTTCGCCAACATTGGCAGACTTCCTTTGCGATAACCCAGACAATGAACTATCTACAGCTATAAAGCATTATCTGGAACCAGTGAGAAGAACAAGGCGGACCATAGAATTTCTTGCCACTTATTGGGTACTTTATCTCCTGCTAAGAGTAAGCACGCCTAGAATTTGATTCTAATCAAACAACAATAACCCTTGGTGTAGTGGCAAATCAACCGAGATGAAGAGTCGTTTCACAATGTTCCAATTTGGCTTCGACCATCTGTCACGCAGACTAGGGTGTACCATCCGATAGGGACAGACTTGCTCGCATGGTATGCCGACTTCCTACTGTCGCGTTAACTTAGCTGATCATACTGCACAGGCCCTTGCTTCGCGACGAAGTAATCATGAGGAGTCTGAAAGATTCTGAGCAAGCCACGGACATTATGACTGATATTGGACTGAATTTAGAAGTCAATATCCCACTACATAAGTTCTCCCTGAGTCATGATGTCGACTTCCTCCACGCAGCGATATCAGACTTGAACAATTGGAGACTGAATGAGGCATTCTTCGGAAAGTACCCTTCTCTGCGATCACTCTACGATTCATCCTTTGATGTCCCTAATTAATGGTCACACTGAGAGGTTGGGAATCATTGATCATAATGTATATTTATCATTTAAAAGCCCGCTAGAGACAATGCTTCAGCGTACGAATACGAATACTCAATTAGTGAAAAGTGGTCTTGTGATGAAGTCTGGTTCAAGATACCACGCGAGATCGCCGTGATCAACTTCGACCTTGGTGAAGCCATTTCCCATGAACTCAAACCTGTTTCGGCTTCGGTAGGTTATTTCATAGTCCTCGAAGCGCGGAGTTTCCAGAATCTTCCACCAATGTACCAGTGAACCAGGATATTGTGCTGTCAGTCTGCCGTCAGGTCTTGACTGATTGTACCACGATCTGCAGCCCGCACTCCAGACACTGCTCAAGTTAGAAACTTTCTACATTCCTTATTTTCAATGGTATTGGTAGCTGCTTACGTTCGCTTCAGCCATTCATGGACGTGTTCATTGTATTCAGCCACGGCAGTAGGCTTCACGTCAAGCGATTTGATATTTTCAGTCTGAATCTTCCGGATGAGCTTGCAAATGTAATTCTGCGCAGCCTCCAATACAGTCACAAAGGAACCATGTCCAGCGGGACAATTAGGTCCAAGTGAGCCAACTAGAATAACGCGTCAGTGACCGAAGTGCTACAAAAAGAGGTATTGGGACCGCCGTCTTACGCATAAAGTTCGGAAATCCACTCGCACCCATAGCAAGGTATGCACTCGGTTCATCTTTCCACTCATCTGCAAGAGTCTTTCCGTTGATGCCGATGACGGGGAAGTAGGGTTTGAAGCTGACATCAAATCCTGTAGCACAAATAATAACGTCTGCTTCGTATTCTTGTCCTGTTGATGTCTTAAGACCTTTCTCTGTGAAAGAGACTATATCGCCCTCAGCGATTGTGACGTTTGGTTGAAGGAAACATTGTAAGAAACCCTCCGCGGGACCAAGGCGCCTGCATCCCAGGGGAAAATCGGGAATGAATTTCTTCATAAGCGTTGGATCATCCCCTAGAGCCGCTGCCATCTTCTTCTCTATGTTCTACACATGTTCATTAGCTCAATATGGAAAACACCTCGCGTATTCCATACGCACCTCACGTGCCACTTTCTGGTAGAGATGGTCTCGAATATTGGTCGGAAAAGCAGAATTGATCTTTTGCTCGATTGCTTTACGATACTGCAGATGATGAGCAGGATCATCTCGGAATCGTGCCTTATCCTCCTCGGTATCTGGTTGCATTCGGTCAGCTGCATGACTCAGATGCAAGCTATGGGAGAAACTCACAATCAAAATTACCACCCTCCGCATCCGTAACCCCGTCAATGGCCAGGCCAGGAGAAATCCATTGGGGTGTGCGGTAGAAAGTGATAACTTCCTCTGCGATCTTCTGGATTGCTGGTATGATTTGAATCGACGAAGCTCCTGATCCTATAACTGCAACCCGCTTACCCGCAAGCTCGATTGAAGTATCATAGTCTGCGGAGTGCGTCATCTTGCCCTTGAAAGCCTCGCGATTTGGTATGTTTGGCCATTTCCAAGTGTTCAGAACACCAATATTACCAACCAAAAAGTCTACACGATCTTCGAATGTTTCACTCCCCTCATCGGTAGTTTTTGTGATGGTCAAAATCCACTGGCCCGTCGTTTCATCCCATTGCGCCTTGGTCACCTCATGCCTCAAGTGAATGTATTTGCCAATATAATTATGCTTTTCGGCAAAGTCCGCATAGTACTGTTGGATCTCGTGTGCCGGGGAGTAATAGCGAGACCAGTCCGCCTTCGGTGCAAAGGAAAATTGGTACCCAGCTGATGGCACGTCGCAGCGGCAGCCTGGGTAACGATTTGCATGCCACACACCTCCAACAGCGGAATAGCCTGCAGAATATCAGCCTGGCCTTGCCACAGGAAGTGGTCTTGCCACTTACGTTCATACACAACTAAATCAATGTCGTCCCCAAAGTGTTGCTCCTTCTTGTAGCACATCATAATGCCTGACGCACCTGCGCCAATAGAGGCTACGCGGAGCTTTCGGGGCGCCCAGAGTATGTGTTCAGATACCTTGTAAGGATCTTTGCTATCGGTACTGATGGTGGTTCCCCCAACCCGGTTGTCGAAGGTGAAAGAATAATCATCTGTAGCGTGAGGCGCCATTTCTACAGTAACAGAAAGCAGTATGGGCTGGTATCGATGAGCTACCAATGTTTCCTAACTGCAAATTCAAATGTAAGAAAGAAACTATATAACTTGATGGCCGTGGGGTAGGATTTGGTCAAATCTCACGAACTTCTAATTAGCTGAGACGATTCCCCAGACGGACCCCGGCACATGGAGGGCATGAATGGAAAGCGTTGGCAATCTGTCGTCAGGAAACTACTGGGGCAGCTCCACACTGACTCGCGGAATTGCTTTGTCGCTCGACCGAGTCAGCTAGCTTTCACGTTAGCGCGAGTAGTTCCCCATACCGGCCCAGAGCTTCTCCACACTGTCCGCAAAGATTCCCCAGGCAAGCTGAGGTTGACAGACTGCAGGGGCTGACTTCCCCGGATTTTGTGGCTCCTGCAGTTGCTTATAGCGTACTTTTGATGATAACAAGCGTTTGGGATTATATTGACCTTGCATGGCTCGATATCTCCAAATATTTCACCACCGCAATTCTTTTGACACCATTCTTAAATTACACCATGGGAGATGACAAGAACAGTTCAAGCAAGATGGAAGTGGAGAGGATCGAGGTTATGGCAACAGACACCACGACATCTGACCGTCCTGCGCTCGCCGCTGAGCATACGCAGTTCGAAAAGTCTCTAAGTATTCTAGAGACTTTGCGGTTGTTCTGGAGGAGCAGCTTATGGATTGCATATGGCCAGGCCGTGGTATTTGGCTACGGTATTGACGGGATCATCGCAAGTTACCTCCTTGCCGTCCCTCAATTCCGGTTTGTGTCTCACAATCATTATCCTACACAGGCTGCTGACACTGTGATAAAGCCAGGACTACGGTCACGCTTTTGGCGAAGGTGCTAGCGTAACCTACATCATTCCAGCAACATGGCAAAGCCTTTATGGCGGTGTGGCACAGCTGGCCGCCGTAATTGGTGCCTATTGCACTGGGTGGCTCGCCGACAAGATTGGACGCAAATACACGAACCTGATATCTTGTTCTATCAGTGTTGTAGGAGTCGGCATTCAATACGCGTCTATCTCACGACATTCCCTCGGCATCCTGACCGCTGGGAAAGCTATAAATGGCATTTCCATCGGGATGTGGCTAGTCATCGGACCTTTGTACGCATCTGAGGTTGCACCTCTGAAGCTTCGCGGTTGGCTGACCGCCATCACCAACATTACCCAGTTCAGCGGCGTGCTCTTATTCACTGGCATAATGTACCAACTTGGACCGGTTGCGTCGAAGATCGCCTACGAAATACCGATTGCTTGCCAGTGGATCATTCCATCACTCGTAATCCTGACCATCATCTTCTGGCCTGAGTCTCCTGTATGGCTCGTCCGTAAAGGAAAGACAGAGCAGGCTATGCGCTCTCTACGGACTCTGCATGGTGCAGGTGGAAAGATCAAGCTCGATAGGATGCTTGCCCAAATCGAAGAGACCGTGGCAGCCGAAGCAGAGAACAATCAGGAACCCTCTTACAAAGAGTGTTTCGCAAAGAAAGACCGCCATCGGACCTTGATCAGCATGTTTGTTTACGGCTGCCAATATCTTTCTGGTCTCGTTTTCGTGCTGGGCTACCAATCCTACTTCTACCAACTCATGGGGTTCAGTCCCAAGAAGTCATTTTTGCTTGGAATGCTCAATAATATCAGCATGTTCATCGCTAATATCATCTCTTGGTGGCTGCTCAGTATCATCGGCAGACGCCCACCGATCGTTTGGGGCCAGCTCATGTGCGCGATCACTCTTTTCATCATTGGAGGCACGTCGTTGATCGGTACTTTCAAGGGCTATGTAGCCACCATTGCCTTCATGTTTCTCTGGGTAAGTAAATGAAAAGAAGCTATTGGGGTAAAGGTTCGTGCTCGCTGACTCCTGTACAGGGCTTCATCTACCAGATCACTCTCGGAACTGTTGCTTGGACAGTCGTTGGGGAAATATCTTCGTATCGCCTCCGTTCGCGTACTCAAGGCCTTGCCAACATTGTTCTCAATGTAGTGCAGTGGGTAGTAGGATTTTTGTTTCCATATATGTTTAATCCTGATGCCGGCAACCTCGGGGGCAAAGTCGGCTTCATCTTCGGAGCAACCACCTTTATAGGCTTCATTGGCTGCTGGCTTTGGCTGCCAGAAACGATGAACCGAACCGCTGCAGAGCTTGACGAGTTGTTCGAGCGGGGCGTCAATGTTCGCAACTTTGACAAGGCAGAGACCAATGTCGAGAAGACAGCTTGAAGAAGGATACGTGATGGTCTTGGTTCGATAACCTCATTTGTTTACTTACATGTGTACGTAGTTTTGCACCGTGAGTAGGAATGATAACAAGTGTCTACGATCTTTTGTTATTTCGTGCTTCATTCACTGTACAAGTTTTGTTGTTTCTCAAACACGACTAACTTGATATGCCGACGAAAAAGATGTGCATCACGCTAGCTACTATCGTATTGTTATTTCTATTTTTTGAGGTTAAATTATCAGCCTCAGATGTACAGTACACACTATTTGATAGGTGCATTGTGAACATGAGGCTTCATTCAGGTATTGAAGAAAATGCTGTCTATAATCCGAAGTATCATGGCAGATTGTGAATACCACAAAGAATCTATCAAGATTCTCAAACAGCTGCGTAGTCCCACGACTTATGCATTGAGCTCTTTTGCGATCCAATCAACCTGCATCAGCAATCCAGATAGCCCTTCGAGATGCTCCTTTGAGTCGTCACTTGTGGCAACAGCAAGCTGCCTCGCACCGCATTTGAAGCCATAGTCGACCGCCGCCCAAGCATGCCCTTTACTCGGTGTCACCAAAAGCTCCATAGCGTCTTCGCGATCCTGCTGCCAAATCAGATGCTGGATTGGAAAGAAAGACAGGCTACTTGCCACAGATACTTTTCTCGCAAAGTCCATAATGTCAGATAGGAATAGTTCCATTCCCCCAGCCAAAATCATGGAATGTTTTGGCATTATCGTTCCCCAGTGTTTCTCGCGCTCAATGGGATTGCTGTAACAGTCAAGCACATTGCGGGGTCCCATATAGTGCCTGGCCCATTCATCGAGGACGGTCTTGTCTAAACAATCGAAAGACTTGTACTGGTAGACTGAAGGACCATCAGTGCGCAAATTCACCCATGGACTGAGTAAACACATCGCTGTGATTCTCCCACCGCCAGGCTTCTCGATAGGAGTCTCTAGCAGCGGATTAGGCAAGGCTAAGTGCTGGAGCAGCCCGAGACACAAGTTCCCGCCCGCCGAATCCCCCATGAGTACGATGTCCTTCCCCTGAGCGGCTCCATATCTGTAGGCGCAAATGACCTGGCGAAGTGCGGTGGGGTAGACTGCACCCGGAGAAAGGTCATAATCAACACTGATAATATCACACACTATTCCCCTCTGCTCCAACTCTAGAAACATCTGCAAAAGGTACTTCGCTGAACCTAGCGAGGAGCCCGACACGAAGCCGCCACCGTGGACATAGAAAATTAAATAGGTGGAGGTCGGAACCTGGATAACTGATGTAGCCCGGAATCCAAGTCCTACAATCTAAGTGAAAGTCAACGTGAGAAGACTTTTGTCGAAGGAAGAGCAGTGCTGAAATTCCTGCTAGTTAATGCCCAGCTACATACCTCTTTCGAAGCCGCCCCCAGCTCTTGGAACTTCAAGCACGTCTCCATATGTTCACTGATACTTGGGCCACCACCGGTGATACTATGGAATTGTTCTGGAGACAGCGCAGAGCTCAGCCTAATCTATGATTACTATCCGAAGGTGTGAATGACGACGGCGAAGGACGAACATACCATTTGATTGTTGCATTCGCGAGCAAGTGCGAGAGAGCTGGCTGCTCCATACTCAGACAGGCGCGGAACCATGATAGAACACGTGCCCTAGGCCAAACATAAACTGCACCTGAGTTAGCCTAATAGTGATTCCAAAGGACTGCGGCCGATAGTATTGGGGACGCGGAACCAGTATCGGTTGTCGGGGGCTCTTACACGGAAGAGCAATCTGGCAGAGGGTTAACCTCAGTTTAGCAAAGCGTTCAGCACAAATTTCAAACATTATGGCTTTCTGTCCAGCCTTCTGAAGGCAAGAGGCTAGAGGGTGGTATTAGACCAGTGACCATGTTGGTCAAGGTCCAATCCGATCTATCTGTGCTGACATGGCTGGGCGAGTCAACGGTGCCTTGTTACTTTGGTTGCACGATTTGCGACTTTACTGATGATAATCAGAATCTCACGGCTCATTGAACTGGTATTACAATCCCAGTTGTTCTTGCAGTTGAAGAATGGGATCAAGCTATGCCGTAGACTGTTGGACATTGCAAGTTGAGAAAGGCACAAGTTTTTGGTGCGTCAAGTATGCTTTTTCTTGAGCGCTTTTTTTTTATCACAAGTCTAGGCTAACTATGATTATTCTAATGGAATCTCTCCTACATCTTCTCCTGTCGCATGTTTGATCGCGTATGAAACTTGATCGAGGCACCCTGAGGGTACATAGGCGTCTTTGACATTTCCCATGACCTTATCAAAATTTGCCAAATAACCTTCTGGCGCAGTCTCATTCGAGTGCCCTGGAAACGTCGCCAATGTGGTCCTAGCCGCTCGTCCTCCCCCAACGCTGAATAGCTCCCCAGAAACAGGGCACTCTTCGCTTGCTAGGGCAGCAACGAAGGCGGCCACCTTCGATGTCTCGAAATATGTCCGCGTGATCCTCTTGATAATGGGTGACAGATCAGACATGCGGGATGCAGCAGAAGGAAGCACACCGTTTATCTTGATCCCATGCTTCTCGCTGAAACGACCAAGGTCTTTGGTAGTGGCGAAGACTGCACCTTTCGATGATGCGTACCCCGTGTCACCACCTCCACCATAGCCGTAGATAGAGTCTGAAGAAGTGTTTATTATGCGTCCATAGTTTTGCTTCTCCATGATTGGATATACAGTAGAAATTGTCAGGATGGTTCCCAAGGCCGCAATCTCCCAGGTCCTTCGGAAAGAATCGATATTGACATTGTCGTGCGCACTGAATTGGCCAGCCGTGCCTGCGTTGTTGACCAATATGTGCACAGTTCCGTAGGCTTTTATTGCGCCGTCGACCATGGCCTGAACCTCTTCCTTTGACGAAACATCGTGGCCATCGGATACTGCTTTGCCCCCAGCCGCTACAATCTCGTCGACAACGCCTTGAGCTCTTGAGATTGTTCCTTTCTTGCCGTCAAGGGAACCACCATAGTCATTCACGATGACTTTGGCGCCGTAAGAGGCGAGGATAAGAGCATACTCTCGACCCAGACCGCCACCAGCTCCAGTAACAATCGCGACTTTGTCCTGCAAAGATGTGAGGCGAGATGAAGTCATAGCGATGTGGAATCAAGTAGAAAAACTGGGCAAGTGATTCGAGATGAGTTTGGATAATTTTGCATAAAGCATGCGGTCTACGCGATGATGATTAGGTTTGCGCTGTTATACCTTACGAACACATTGAACTGCGAAGCTCTCCTCCTCCAGGGTCTTGTTCTGAGTAGGTGCCTGAATTGGAGGTGCACGTACCGCTTCGTCAGTAGATCGAGTCAGTACAAGTAGTTGATCATTTTGACTATGCACTAGCCTTGGCGACGAATGGTGCATCATTACTACATTTGTAAAACATTGAGTAGGCTCGCCTTGCCTCGGAATCAGGATCCGAGCAAAAAATCACGGCGTTTCGTAGTTACCTAGAATCAATTAAACAGGACTGGTGGCAGTCGCATACCCACGCCATACAGTATGTTATCTCGCATCGGAGGAATGGTCGACATCAAATACTTCAAGCTTGCCACGGCAACGCATCTATCAGGTCTGTACAGTCCTGAAACTACAGGGTCTTCTCAGATATCTCCATGATGAATCTGACATGGAAACCTGAAGGTCTCAAGGCCTTTTCAATATATTCTAGTGCTGAGAGATGGGCACATACATTATGATATATTCTTTGAATTAACCTGTAAGCTAGAAACCGCATAATATGCTGAGAGCTTCATAGTGTACTGCGTTGTGAGTGCAGTAAAGTCTGAAAAGCTTTTGAAGCGATGTGAAATGATGCATTCACGATAGATGCTAGGCGCGGGACAGTGGAAAACAGCACTTTTCTCATTCAGTACGAGATTTCTCTTTTATTTTGCTATTATCCACGGGGTATTACAATCATCCACGGGGTACCCCGCCAAAGCGGTTAAGAATTTATCCCCAGGCTCTGTGTCGATCTAAACACCATAGAAAGGGTTTAGACCGCTAAAAGTACCGGTTTACTGTGTCAATCCCGATCCACAGGAATTGCGTATAAGAAGCTTGGTGGAAGTCAATAAATCATTGAAACACGTACTGTAAATGTGCAGTACCTCATTCTTCACTTTAATTTACGGATTTCTAGAAAACTGGCAGATTGAGAGCTACGAGAGTGTGCCGGTTTCTCTACCTCAAAGTGCATAATTACACAATGGTTTCGAAGTCCCTCATAAGTTATTGTGCAGTCATTGGAACAGTTGCAGCCGCTACTGCGTCCCAGCGCTCAACAATTCTCTTGCGTCGCTCCTTAGCAGAGGTTTCGTACAAGAACTGGCCATCATATGCAGAGCTACCACTCGACCCCTCTTATCCTACGAAAGCTGCCTGGGGCGTTTGGGTCAGTCTTTCAATACGAATTTCCGATTCGATGAGCGCTGACGGTTGCAGGGCGACAATGACACTGGAGGAGCCTTAAATCATATCACCAAAGAAACGATCAAAGGCGCTGCAAAAGAGATTAAGTCAGGACAAGCTTTCAATTTGAACCTGGAGCTTTCATTCATTCCATCGCCAATCAATCCATCAAGAAAACCACTTGTCCATTTATTTCAGCCCGGAGATACTTACACGGATGATGTCGTCACACTAAACACTCAAATGAGCACTCAATACGATAGTTTGAGACATTTTGCCTACAACGAAGGTACTGACAGAAGCACCTGGAGATGGTATAATGACCACATCAAGAACTATGAGGAAGAGGTCATTGGTTTCAACCATACCGATGTTCTAGGTATTCAGCAAGCAGCAGAGAAAGGCATCGCTGCTCGTGGAGTCCTTCTAGACTACAAAGGATGGATGGACAGCAAGAACGAAACTTTCAACGCGATCGCAGTAGGTTGATCTTCTGAAGGGTTTAGTGAGGATTGAGACTGATTGAAATAGACTCACCCAGTCTCTGTATCCGACCTGAAACAAGTAGCCGAGTGGCAAGGCCTTAGTGGGAACTGGTCCAAGCCTGGCGACGTGCTTCTCATCCGATTCGGTTGGATTGAAGCTTTCAGCAAGCTAAACAACACAGAGAAACAAGCTTATGTTCTCGAATCAGCAGGATCTGCGGGCCTAAAGCCCACAGATGAAGCTGCTGAATGGCTCTGGGATCAGAAGTTTTCTCTTGTTGGAGCCGATAACCCAGCATTCGAGCTAGATCCATTTAACGGAACGATACAAAGCACTACGAGGAGCTTTCACGAAATTCTGATTTCAGGTAAGTGAGGCTGGACTTAATATTAGAAACGCCTATTGATTCAACTAGGCTGGGGAACGAGCATCATGGAGTTCGTGGATACGGAAGAACTCTCCAAGGCACTCCGAGCTGCCAACAGATCTACTTTCTTTTTGACTGTTCAAACACTGAACGTCAGAGGCGGGATAGCATCTCCCCCAAACGCACAAGCTATCATTTAAACTCAATGCTAATCAGATTTTAATGCAAACTTGCAACATAGTTCTTCTAGCTAGGCAATAGCTCCACACATACTAGATCTATATGATCCGAATCATAACCAAATGTGTTTGAGTCACCAAGTTGAGAGCTGCAGTTGTACATTGTAATCGTGATCATTCTAAAATGCTTCGAAGAAGGCATTGTGCATACATTGTAATTCTCTGCAAAAGAAATTAATCTTACAAAAGAAAGTGTCAACTCACTGTCAAAGGCCTTAATGCATTATTTGACTAGATTCAGGAACATCAGCAAGCAGCCTCGCATCTCGGTGTTCGGGGGGCGCACTTGCCTCCTATACTATGAGAGACACCAGTAATAGGATGCTCCTATGCTTTCATCCAATGTAGGTTCACGCAGGTGCAGAAAGATGCGAGCAATAGAGGAGATCGAACGGTGAAAGGTATTGGCAAAGGGTCCATAATTTGAAGTGCATGTTTGAGTTTGAGATATGTGAGACTAGCATTGAGAAACAACTTAGAACGCTAAATTATACAACACATATAGCAGACTATGACTTCAATAGCACAATCGCAACTTATGATAGTGACGCATCCAAACCATGGCGCCGAGATAACATACTATCAAAGAGCCATGTCAACCCCAACTTCTCAGCCCACCATAACGCTGTGACCCCGGTACCAGACCAGACTTCCTTTGGCGGACTCGACTTCGCCACTCTTTCAACAACATATCGAGCGTATTCTTCTGTAGACTGCGGCACATCTCCAGACGTTCGCTCCCATTGAGCAGCAATCTTGTCCGCGATTGGCTTATATAGCGAATCATCAGCGATCGTCATACGTTGTGAGTACATAGGCGTCGCAATCTCGCCGGTCATCACGTATACGACATGACATCCGAAGGGCTGCAGCTCAATTCGCAACGTTTTGGCGTACATCTCCACAGCCGCTTTAGTTGCATTATAGGTCGCATTGGTAGGTATCTGTACGCGGCCAGCGCCACTGCCGGTGATAGCGATCGTTCCTTTCGCTGCAACGATGAGTTTCGAAAAGGCGCGTGTGAGGGCCATGACGGCAATGACGTTCGATTGGAACATCCAGACGTCGCTACTGCGAATGTATGGCTGCTCTTCGCCTGCGGTCGTGGCCTTCTTTTCGTCCGGATCGTAGTCGATTGCCATGTCGATGGATCGCACGCCAGCATTGTGGTACAGGCAATCCAGCTTGCCTCCTTGCTCAACGGAGATCTGTTCCCGGGCGGCAAAAACACTCTTCGCATTCAAGACATCAAGCGCGAGAAGTTTGATGTTGGGGTTTCCTTTTAAATTGGCCATTTTCGCGGTGTTCCGAGCCGTTGCATAGACTGTCCATCCTCGTTCGGCGAATTCGAGGGCAAGTGCATTGCCAATCGTGGTCTCCGAACAACCGGTTATCAGTACTGACTTCCCCATAGCTTGTATTGCAGCCTCAATTGGTAGATGGTGAATAGGACTTGAAGGCGGGTTCAGATCAGGTTGTGGTCGTAATTTTCCATTGGTGTCTCGTTACTTGGGAGCAAGTGCCTTTATCTAGTTAACATTGCCGTTCACCTTACTCTGTACACATGAACAGAATGTCAAAACTTTCTCAAACATGTACAAGGGACATGAGGAAGCAAGATGAGCGGACGGTTTGCGGTCGGAATCTCATCCAATAAAACTGAGCAAAGCCAAACTCACAAATTGTACTAGGCCTCCTTTTGGAAGTTATCTTGGAATATTTGGCGCTTGGCCGGTGGATCAATCGGGCACGGATGAATACAACAGCCCGAAGGAATGATGAGATGAGGAACCAATACCCAGGTACTTTACCAGCCAGAACTGGGGAATAATTCTCAATCTACCGGGGCATGCTCTTCTTCTATATAGTTTACTGCTTATTATGTGGACCCGAAGATAGAATATTATACCAAAAATTTCCTAGGAGTATGTAGGTGACTGCGAGCTGAAACGAGAGAGTCAGCTTAAACGGTATTCTTCCTCTTTCGGAACTAGATCGTCCCGACTAAATGTACCTTGTAGGATCAACAGGTACATCTAGAGCCATCGATTATTTCCTACTCCCCAATAGTTACTTCTCCGGTGTCATAGTAACAAGGGAGTCGATCAGATATAATACAAGAAAGCTGATGTCCCATAATTGATCGTTTTGGGATCGTTGCGCAACTTAGGTTAGCTAAGACTATCAAAGCAATTCTGGCCTTAGTATAAACATTTGAGTCCGATTATTGAGATTAAAGGATTTGATTATTAAAGTGAATACAGACAAGAAAGGCAAATTCCAATGGACCAATTTGTTGATTCGGTGCCAATACAAGAACCAGCATTGAATATATATGCTTTTTTATGTCTTTTCTTTTTTTCCATTTCTCCAGCAAGTCTTGGAAAGCCTTTTACTGACTTGAAACGCCTTGCTGAAGTGCTTCCTTCAACCCTTGATCGACCCGGCCGAGATAATCTACAAGTTGGTCAGCACCAATATTTGGACCTAGGGAAGACATGCAAAGATTGCTAACTTACCGATAACTCGCTTCTGAAGTGTTGACGGTAAGTCTTTGATCGTTGGAATTATACTGTGCAAGAACTGCTTCTTGCCATTTGGTTCATTGCAGATGATCTCCCACAATTCTCGAGCTTGAACAAAGTCCTTGTCTGTTACAGACGTTGAAAAGGCTGTCGTATGTCCAGACAATTTCCCTGGCATTGGAGTCTGGCTGCGGTTGCTGAGTCTGACGGGACGCAGCTCGGACCGGATGTAGTCAGGGTCTCCTCCATAATTGCCATTCATTGTGGAAGGGCCGTCGCGGACGTAGGGGGCATATACAGCATTGTGAGGCCGGTTTGGGGGAAGTTGGAAGTAGTTGGGACCAACCCGATATCGTTGTGCGTCAGGGTAGCTGAACATTCTCGCTTGAAGGACTGTGCTGCATTAACTCTGGTGACACTGAATCATAGATCATGCGAGACATACCTGGATCGGCAGATGGTCCTATACCAGGCACCATATTTGAAGGGGAGAAGCATGCTTGCTCGATGTCTTGGAAGTAATTATCGGGCTGAACAGTATCAGTATCAGTAACATTATCCTCAGTATAATTTAAGACGCTTACATTTTTGTTTAGGGTAATGCGACCAACTAAACGCAAGGGATACTTATCGAAAGGCCACGTGTAGGTATCGTCGAAGATGTCGACCGGTGCATTCTCAACTTCCTCAGGCTTGATTACCTGGATGTAAACTGACCATGTCGGGAAATCTCCCTTTTCAATAGCGTTGAAGAGATCTTTGGTAAGATAGTCTGGATCCGTCCCAGCTAATCGGAGAGCCGTATCTCCGTCCATGGTCTTGATACCCTCGTCCGGCCTATAATGCCATTTTACGTAGACATAACTTCCATCCTAAGTTGTGTCAATGAAGCTCCAAATACAGGTATAAAGTAGATGGTCTGGCTTACAGCTCGGTTCAGACTGTAGGTATGCACACTAAAGCCATTGATGTTTCTCAAGGAGGCTGGAATACCACGCTGACCGAAGAGGTGCATCAGAGCATGGATACCTTCTGGATTGTTGACATGGTAATCCCAAAACATGGCAGCATCAGCTGTGTTCGTGCGAGGATTCTTCTTGTGACTTCTGTTCATCGAGGGGAATTTGATTGGGTCACGAATGAAGAACACTGGCAAGTCATTGAAGACGAAGTCATGCACGCCTTCCGCGGTGTAAAACTTGGTAGCCCAGCCACGAACATCTCGAACCGTATCGCTCGAACCTTTCTCGCCGCCGACAGTCGAGATTCGAGTTAAGAGCTTGGTCTTTTTCCCGACACCGGTCAGGAAATCCGCATCAGTCAAGTCGGAGATATCTGCAAGCACTTCGAATTCTCCAAAAGCGCCGGCTGCTTTGGCATGCACAGTCCTGTAGAGGGATTAGCCTGGTCATCATGGTTGCCGTCTATGAGCTTGGATATTCACGATGCGTACCGTTCGGGAATGCGTTCGCGTGCAAAATGTGCTAAGACTTCTACAAGTTGCACGTCGCTCAAAGCGACCAGCCCTCCATTGGTATTGCCGTAACGAAGTTCCTGAGCGGAACCTGGGTCTCCGCTTGGCTGACCTTAATGGGCAAGAAGAGTTAATACCTTATCCTATAACAGTACTTGCGAGTTCTATGTGACTGACCGTTTGCGAGGGTAGATAAAGGATTCATTGTGGTAGCCTTGAGCATAAACATGTAAGTTGGCTGTGCATATGGGCAAGGTCATCGTAGCAACTTACCATGGTGAATTGGTGGTGTTTCGGACTTCTTGAAATACAAAAGGAAGTATTCTTGTGTAGCCGAATTCCTTTATGCAATCCGCTGGTGGTAATGATATATGTACCTTGTAGTTCTCTTGAAGACGATAAAGTTGGAATTGGTGACGATGATAATAGAAGATTGTAGTTATTCTTTGTGGCACTTAAACATTTTATATCATAGCCTTCTCAAACCTCAAGTCGAGCACAGGTTTACTTGTGCAATGATGATTGCGTACTCGTAACAAGATCTCAATGCCAGAGCATTTATCTACGGAGCGGAGCAAACTCGGTGCCAGGCGAGGTTCGAGGGTTCTCCGCCCGGGGATAAATGGGAGAAAGAAGTGGCCTGTGCAGAAGTCTACGACCCTGGTACGGGATATGATAAACATACGAGTATGAGGTAGGTGGATAATTGATCCTATGAGATCCCTCGTAGGATAGCTACCCGTAGTCACTCTATAAGCACCTACGTCACGCCTGCATCCGTATAAGGCCTTGCGAGGTATCTGGAACAGCTCCGAGCTTCATGCGGATCGATGGGTGCATGCCGTAAAGTAATGCACTCGTCCTGATTCGGACATTTCATGATACACACAATTAAGCGCACGAATCTGCTGCCAATGATTTGCTTCGGAGGTAATGTTGGGATCTAGATCAATTACCGTAAAGGGTTTGAACGCGCTGCAATCTATTTTCGCATGTGCTAAGCTAAGCATCCGCAGCGTTCCCAACGGGTGCACAACATGTCATAGCAAGACGCCCACGGATGCGCTCGGAAAGTATACGAAGGCGGGGTACAAGTGCTCTAGTTCATAAAAACGCCGCTGGTACAGAGATCTATCATTTTTGAGCACCCCACTGAAGTATCACTGCTTTTTTCAATTGGGTGAAAGTGACAATTCATTCAACAATCATGGCGGCACCAAAGATCACCAACCGCCCTGGGGAGTGGAAGATTGAGCAAGGCATGTCCGGTGCTGAGCTTCCAGTGCTAGACATGACGGGCTCTCAGATCAGAACTCTTGCCCCTCAGACCTTTCCAGCGCCCGCTAAAGACGAGGAAGCCCTTAAGTCTATCGGTGATCGTGATGCACTGTTTAAGATGGAACGGAAGGGATGGAAAGGGTATGTTCTGCCAGCGAGCCCCACAGGTGTCCTATCTATTTGGTTGTGGTATCGTGCTGATTCACCGTAGGTTCGTAGAGTGGGAGAACTACCCAGACAAGAAGGCCATAGCCCGGAAGATCCTGACTTCTTACACTTGGCCGCCAAATCCAGAATTCCAACTTGGTCCTATCCCAGCTACTAACCCAGTGCTTCCTGGGATACGCTGGAAGATGTGGCACCATGCCATCGGAGGGGAACTACAGACCGTACCCGATGACTCGTGGGACCTTGTTCAGAAGGAAAAGCACCCTGAAATGCTCCATCTTCTTCAATTCCCCTATAACGGCGAGCCCCCCAAGCGTCTCGTCACTGACAAAGCAATCACTCCTAATTCATTGCACTTTGTCAGAAATCATGGCGGCATTCCCATCATCGACTCAGAGGATTTTAGCTTTGACATGGACGGCCTTGTAGCCAATCCAAGGTCATTCACTTTGGACGAGCTCATGGACGAATCAAAGTTCCCTCGAGTTGAGACAACTGTCACTATTCAATGCTCTGGCACTCGGCGTATCGAGCAAATCCTCAAGTACCCAGGTCAAGGTGATGAAGTTCCTCAAGCACCATGGGCCGAAGGTGCTATCGGCACTGCTCGCTACGCTGGCATCAGCTTGAAAAAGGTGATCAAGGCTTGCGGAGGTTTGATTGATGGTGCTAAACATCTGGAATTCTATGGAGCCGATACCTACTTCAAGGACGACAAAGTCATGAACTATCTTGTCAGCGTGCCGTGGTCGAAGGTGAAGGCAAACGAAGTGCTGCTGACCTGGGAAATGAACGGGGAGCCTCTACCCAGGATTCACGGATATCCTCTCCGTCTTGTGGTTCTGGGCTATATTGGCGCCAGAAGTGTCAAGTGGCTCTACCGTATCAAAGCAATCAAGAACCCAAGTCTGGCACCAGTGCAGAGTCAAGAGTACCTCTACTTCCCCCAGCAAACTGGAAAGCACAACTTGAAGTTCACTGATGGCATCCAAATCCAGGAAATGCCAGTCAGCTCTGCGATCATGTCGCCTTGGACAAAGCAGGTCGTCATCCATAACGGTAAAATACAATGCAATGGATGGGCTTACTCTGGCGGGGGGCGCTGGCCAGAGCGTGTAGAGCTGTCCATGGATGGAGGATTCAATTGGTACACAGTACCTCTGGAGAATCTTTCTGAAAAGCGCAAATGGACCTGGCGTACTTGGAAGTTCGAACTTCCTTGCGATGTCGAAGGATGGGTTGAGATTGTGTGTCGCTGTTGGGACAACGCACTAAACACGCAGCCCTCGAACGTACGCACTTCCTGGAATTGGGGATTGCACGTCACAAGTTCTTGCCACAGGATTAGCGTGTACAGTATCAACAAATCACGACCAAGGACAAAGGCCCGGCTGGAGGAGTTCGAGAAAGCAGGCGTTCCAATTGCGCCTATAACAGTCCCCTATGCTTTCTCTCCTCAGAGTTGGGAAGAGTATAATCAGTTCTGGGACAAACATGATCCGCGTGACGTAGATGAGTAGACCAGCTGGAGTATACACACGAAGTAGTAGGATTGTACCTATCTATTTACGTTCTTCTTTGCTCATTATCGTTACGCCCTCTGAGATGTCTCCACAGATACTTTTAAACGATGAAACTACCTCAACCTTTTGTATTGAGTAGACGTTAACGAATTCACTTCATGTTCTTTGAATATCAGCTCAATCCCCCCATTCTGCTTCATCCCCGTTTCTACCGCTACGGCAACATGAAGGGCACACGAGACAGGTTATACAATATCCCTTCCACATCATCTATGATATTTATTTTGATCTCCCGGTATAATATCTAGCATCTACAGTATGCAGTCAGATCTGAGGGGAGAGGAGATTTAGTTCTGAGGTAAGTACGTTTCAGTGGCATTGTCTAACGTTCGAACCTGTAGGGGATTGTATTTTGCGAGAACATGAACTGGAATCTGGACAACACTCTTCCAGGCCATACGCGATCTGTCATTCACAATACGAATAGTTGATCTCTGAAATAAAAACATCGGGCTTCTCAGCATGCTAACATTGGCTGATAACTGGGTAATGGAAGGAATCTACCAGGGTGAACTGAAAATAACTTCGGCTTTCAGATTGGACTTGAATGCAATGTTAAGGAACACTGCACTTCGACTGCTACGACATTATTGGACACTGCATTCTTCAATACTAAGTACCCATTTACAAGTCATACCGAGAAGGTGGCAACCTGGAATTTCTAATGTATGTATGGAGTGGCTGATCTAAACCATGGACTGTATGTGGCAGACATGTGGACGAGCTTCTATGCTTCTAGCCCCTCGTTACCCCACATCCCGACCTCTGGTGTTTTGATGACGGGTTCTAAGAACTCTTAACTCCACCTACCCAGTCAACGGAAAGTCTGATTCGCTAGAATCTTATTGTCTGCATTCCAATCTGACTTGAATATCGTTGATCACGCATGATAACACCACGAATAGCACTACGATCCGAGTGGGTCTCGGTAGCATCTGCGCCGAGCAGTTCTATTAATCTAATCCGAATTCACCTGTCGAGGCTACTACTTCCCTTTTCAGTTGACTGTCAAATCCCCACCAGATAAATCAAAAGTGGAGGGATCATTACGGCTACAGAATAATCCACCGATTTTATAGTCCACATAATCGAAACGCTCATCCCTTCCCCTCTACCTCTCCTCGGAGTTCGTGTCCCGGACCTTAACCTATCCACCATGTCTTTGGCCGTCACTCGTTGTGGCATACACGCGTTTCACGAACATCTCGGCATCGACGTTGACAAGATTCGTCTCTTTTGGGTTCTGCATTCTGAGCGCGAGCATGCGAAGCAGGTAGCATATCGTGTGGAGGTGTCCAATTCTCCGGAGTTCGTCACCCCGCTCTGGGACTCGTCAAAAGTCGAAGGATCACAACAACGTAACATCTTGTGCCAGCCGGATGGAGGATTTGCATCTGCAAGTTTTCACTACTGGCGCGTGACCATATGGGACGATGAAGGAAAACAGAGCAAATCTGGTGTTAATGAATTCTTTACAGCGTATCCTCGGTGTAATGGGCTTCTTCCACCTTACAGCATGAACCAGACCTATGTAAATACGACGTAAACTGATCATACGAAATAGATGGTAAAGTTGACGAGCCCATAGATGCCACATACCAGCCTCATATTCCGAACGTGGTTTGAAGATGAGCCGAATAGATGGAAAAGCGTGTGGATTGGCGACAACGGCGACAAACCGTTCTATGTCCGTAAAGCAATTGACCTGCCACGAAAACCATCACGAGCCATTGCGTTCGCCTCTGGACTTGGACATTTCAACTTTGTGTGCAATGGAGACCCCGCTGCTGCCAATGAGCATGTGCTAGATCCAGGTTGGACGAACTATCACAGGACAGTGCAATTTGTCGCCTACGACATTTCCAACAACCTTCGAGAAGGGGAGAACGTGCTCGGAGCACATGTCGGCAACGGCTTCTATGCTGGTGACCAGGGAGAAGATCGTTTCTTTTGGCCTTGCTACGAAGACAACACGTATGTCAGATATGGCAACGAACTCTGCGTCTTCCTAGAGCTACACCTATTCTTCGAGGATGGAAGCCGAGAAACTATAATCACAGGCCCGGACTGGAAGATCAGGACGAGTGCTACGACTCTTGCAAATATTTATTCATCCGAGACCAAGGACTTCCGACAGTATCCGGTTGGCTGGGAGCATCCTGGTTTCATTGAAGATGAGGAGTGGAAGAATGCAACGCCTGTTACTGGGCCAAGAGGAAAGTTGAAATACCAATCTCAGCCACCCGTGATCCTTCATGAGACTTTCGAGCCAGTTGATACGAAAACTCTTGAGCCAGGCATTGTCAGCTACGACATGGGTCAAAACATGACTACAATGGTCAAAATTCAAGTCAGTGGAAAGGCTGGCTCGGAAGTCATTGTCCGCTTCTCGGAAACGATTGATGATAGCGGCAGGGTTTTGATGCCGGACCCGCTGTTCAAACAATTCGAAACTGGCGTGTTCTGCAAATTCACACTGGCGGGCACAGGCGTGGAGACTTGGGAGCCAGATTTCTGCTTTACATGCGCCCGTTACATCCAAGTCGAAGGCGTGTCTATCGAGGAAGGTCAAGATTTTCCTGTCATCCATTCTTTGGTTTCCCGTCATGTCTCATCTGCAGCGCCGAAGCTCGGGTCGGTCGAAACGGACAAAGAAGATGTCAACGCCCTGATCAAAATGTGCTACTGGTCCTTCGTCAGTAACATGTTCAGCTACCATACCGACTGTCCTCAGATGGAAAAGTTTGCTTGGCTGGAGGTGACACATCTGCTTGCTCCCGCATCACAGTATATCCGCGACATGGAATCTTTGTATTCGAAAATATTAGACGACATGGTTGATGCCCAAGAGCCGAACGGTCTTGTGCCCACCATGGCTCCAGAAATAAGATACATGTGTGGCCCGATGCACGACACTATTACCTGGGGCGGCGCAGCTGTATTGTTACCAGAGTTGCTTCGCTTCTATTACGACTCGACGCATGTATTTGAGAAGCTATTCGAGCCATGCGTACGCTACATGGAATATATCAAGACCAAGGAGCGTGAAGGAGGTCTCATAGAGCACGGACTGGGAGATTGGGGTCTCCGTGTAGCGTTTGGGAATAACCAGGCGAATATAGAGACAGCGATCTACTACTGCTGTCTACGCAACATTCAGCGTATGGCACGAGAACTCGGGCGGGACTCGTGCGAGAAGCGGTTCGCCGACTGGGCAGACCGAATCTACAAGGTATACAACGAGCACCTCCTTGTCACTGACAAAAAGCTCTACCCCTACGCCTTCTACACATCGCGCGACGAGCCGGGCAAGCAGGACCGGAACATGGTCGCACAAGCATTCGCACTGCAATTCGACCTCGTCCCCCACGAGCACGTTGCTGATGTGCAGAAAGCGTTCCTCGAGGGCTGCGCCGCGGCAAACAATCGGATCCAAGCCGGTGAGATTGGACTCAAGTTCCTGTGGAACACGCTTGCAGATCTCGATCGGCCAGACATCGTACTTGAGATGGCGCGACAAGAGGAACATCCCAGCTACATGCGCTTCATCAGGCGGGGAGAGACTACGCTCAACGAATTCTGGCAGGATGCTTGTCGTAGTAAGAGTCACGACATGTTAGGCACTATCTACGAATGGTTCTACGAGGCTGTCCTGGGTCTCAAACCCGAGAGCGAGGCGTACAGGACGTGGACTGTCAAGCCACCGTTTAGAAGCGAGTTTCGACACGTCAAAGGCTCGATGGAGTGCCCGTATGGGAAGATTTCCATTGAGTATAACAAGGAACAATCGGGAGATGAAGATGTTGTCACGATGAATATATCGGTACCGACGAGTACAACTTGTTTCTTACTACTCCCTCATGTATCCAGCTCAGTCAAATTGGAAAGAATAAGTAAGACGTTCATTGCGGTCAGTTCGAGATGGGGGCAGAGAATAGGTATCAAGCCAGGTCACTATAGACTACAGATAAGACCGTAGAGAACAACATCGTGGATTCGTTTGCGATGCAAGATATATTGTATTTAGTGACTTTGTCATGCCCTACTGGGGGCACAGCTTTATCTTTAGATACATAAGAAGCCCATTGCCACGCACCATGCCTGATGGGTACTTTTTTCATGGTTTCCGAGACTTTGGTGAACGAAAACTCGGCATAAATCAATCGAACTTCACTATCAGAGACAGGCCAGCGAAAGTCGAGGATGACCTTAAATTATACTGAAGCTCGAATTTGTTTTAGCATTCATCAGTCGTGCCATACAAGGCAGGCGTCATTATCTAATTTGGCTGTACCCAAATAGTCCCTGGGTGGTCTTCAAGTTTCTAAATCATAGAGCAAGCAACCCCCTGTCCGGAAATTATACACGAATGCTTTCCCGCCCTCTCCACTTCTCACATTGCCAGCCTCAGCTTCATCCTTCCAACGGGCAGCATAACGTCGCAGGAGGTCATGCAATTCCTGTAGGTACTTCCGCTCGGCCAGTGGAACACTTTGGATAGCTCTGCGCCATGTTTCCGGGTCTCCCAGCCTGGTCTCCCGGATCAGATTCATTATTTCGTCCTTCGCCTCAAATGCTGCAATAGGTGCGCCCTGGAAAGAAGAAAGGAGCTCGGTTGACCGTGCCTGGGCAGTCTCAACGATTGACCATTTACTACTCTTTTTAGAGCGATGGTGTGATATGAGAACATCGACGTTGGCTTTAGAGGCAACCGTTGCCGTAGGAGTAGTAGAGATAGCCTTTGTATTTCGTTGAGCGGCGGTACCTTCCCGTGCATCACGATCGCGTAGCTCGTTTCGAAGATAATTGAGCAAGTCTGCAGAGCGGAGATCGGTATCTTCCTTCTTTGCAATACTTTTGACTTTGAGATCTGGCTTGTCGGGAGCAATACCATGCTTGATGACGATAATCCAACTATGTCGGTCGTCACGGTAATGTCTTAGGACATCTTCGATAGAGTGAGCATCGATCGAGAGCTCCGCAGTGAAACCATGAGAGATCAAGCCAGCTGCCATCTTCACGCCCGTGGATCTCAGCACAGCTGAATCGAAGCTGGCGACTAGACAATCGCATCTACGAGGCATCCAAGACACTGCAGACGTATCCTCCTCGGTGTGTTTCTTGAGAAAGGTTGTCTTGTCTGGCTTCTTCAGATATCGCACCATGGCGTTGACGAGGCGATCCCAACCAAGATTCATGCCAACACCGTGGTATCTAGCAATCTGTTGACCTCGGCCCTGCGCTTTGGGTCGATATTCTTCGATAAGGCGATCGTAGCGGCCTCCCGCAGCCAGGACTTCGCGTTGCTTCCCATCGAACAGACATTGGAACAGAACCCCACCCTTGTAGAATTTCTCATTGAAGCTGCTGAGTACGTTGATGTATACCTTCCGTTTGATGTTCCAGTGTTTCATGTAATTGACGACGGAGCTCAGATGGGCAAATATTGCGTGGGTGCGGTCAAGATATCTCGTTCCAACGAAGATTCGACGCAGCTTGGCAAATGCTTTCTCGGGTGTATCTCTCCAGTCGAACCGAGCTAGATCGTCCAACGAAGTCGAGGAGACCCCAACATCCGGACCTCGGAGTTCGTTCTTGATCTTTTGCCAGTTGTACTTCTGTATGTTGAGTTTGCTCAAGATCTCCTTGACAGCTGGACGTTGCAGCGAATCGATCCTACAAAAGTCCATCACTATTTCTAGGAGTTCTGTGTGATTCAGATGGAAGCACATTTGTGTGGATGAAAGGGGTGGGAACTCATCAATCACTTCATCAATGACCTTGAGAACTTCGGCTTCTTTCAATGCAAGGTCGAGTGTGTCCTCCGATAGAATGTCAAAATCAGCCTCTCCGTTACTACGTGGGGCACCTCCAGTGTAGCTGTCACGGTAGACAGAGCTAATTGTGAATGTTTTCTCGATGTAAGGTGCTCCGCGTCCGATGCTTCTCGCAAATGGAAGAGTGAGGTCAAACGGCAATTGCACGAGTGTACCTGATGGATCGAACAGTTTCACGACATTCTTGTTGGTGTAATGTTCCGACCATGGTAAGAGCAAGGGTCGTTGCGACTCGACCGCGCCGTGCCCTCGGAATACCGCGGTTAATCTTTCCTTCACTAGAGATTGAAGGAGAATATCATTCGGCTTAATGTCTTGCGTGCCTGTACTAGTAGCAATATCCCAGGTGAAATCCTTCGCTTGTGTGTCCGGCTTCTGCGAAAACAAGGCTGCCAGCATTTTGGCATAATGTGGCGAGTTTCGATCGGACAGGGCCTTCAAGGCTTCTTTTACAGCGTTGTCTTCGATTTGTACTGGCACCTTTCCACTTCGCAGAAGTTCTTCGCACCCAGGTCGTTCGCTTGGTCGGTGGCTGATGAGGGATGTGATGAGGCTTCCTTGGGCAGCTTTCTCCGGAGAGTTGAGGTCCTCGGGTAGGTCGTGTTTCCTCTCTCGAAGCTGTCTGATAACGAAGTCGCGTTCCATGGCTGTTTTCAGCGGATGACACATCTCGAAGAAGATGATGCCGAGCGAATACATGTCCACTTTGTCAGTGTAGTTTCCAGCAACGCCTGATCGAAGCTCTGGAGCAACGTAGAGTGCAGTGCCAACACTGCGTGTCATATCTCCGCCGTCTGCTTGGCTTCCCGCGACTTTTCGATCAGTGCTTTGGTACTGCCCAATCGTGGCTAGTCCAAAATCTCCAATCTTTGGTGTCTTCGCAACGTCAATAAAGATATTGTCAGGCTTCAGGTCTCTGTGAATGATGCCGTGACCATGGATGTGGGCCAATCCTTCCAAAATCTGGCGGAACAGTCTCCATGCCTCATCTGGATCTTCGTATAGGTCTCGACGTATCACATCGCGCAAGGTCTGCTTCTCGCAGAATTCCATCTGGATGTAAAGTATTGTCTTTACAGGACGTGATGGGATAGAACTTGACGCTGTGCGTTTCTTGGCAATCAAAGATCGTGTAGATGTAGATTGTGCATCATCCTCTTTAGAAAGAGTTAGTAAAGCCAAAAAGAGAGCGCAATATTGCTTACCAGAATCAGAGCCGAATACAATTGCATCTTCGTCGCCATTGAAGGATTCTTCGTCGGACCCAAATTGAATCCGCGGATGGCTCGAGCTGATAAAGTCCAGCCCTCCCGTACTTCGGCTCCATGCCGGTTCGTCTCCTGAACCTCCATCCGAAGCTTCCGAACCTGAATTCGAGTCACCTTCTGTAAAAGTAGTCGAGGTATCGTCTTCAGCATCCAGTGTGCCTGGTCCTTCTTCATCCAGGAAGGCTCCGTAGTACCGAACAACGCACGGATGATTCAAACGAGATAGAAGCATGACCTCTGATAGAACCTCTGTTAGTGCTGAAGCCGATTTCTGTCGTATTTTCTTGATAGCATAGATGCTACCATCGAATCTATTACGAGCCTTGACAACCTCACCGTAGCCACCCTTTCCTAACCGGCCAATTTCAACCCACTCGCTCGCATATCGAGTGGAGGGCACCGCGCCATTGGAAGACTCACGCCGTAAACGATGATGCGGAGTCCACGATATGGAGGAATGTCGTGACCTGCCTGGCGTTGACGGATGTTCGTAGACAGAGACATCGTCTCGAAGAAACTCGCAAGGGATGAGCTCGAAGGGAGACGGACGTTTCTTGGGGTCCGGCTTGAAGAACTTCCGTAATATTTCCTGAAGCGCCTCCGAGCAGCCGAGTGCATCGGATAGATCCTTTGGCGAGTTGTATTTCTGAGGGACATCCAGTCCGAACAGCATTTGAAGAAATACAACGCCAAGATCCCACACATCAGTCTTCCTGGTTCGACGTGCATCTTGTGTTAGTTCCGCAGGCACCCAAAACGCGGTCCTAGATGTTGTGAAAGCTTGTTCGCCGCGGCCCAACGCGTTGAGGTTGTGAAGGCTCTGCTGAAATCCTGCATCCGCCAACTTTACGGTAATGTTGCCTGTGGGTGCTTTTTGAAGAAGGATATTGTGGGGGTGTATTCGTTTATGGATGACTCCATTCCGGTGGTAATAATCCAGGGCCTCGAGCAGCTCAATGGTCCATGATCTCACTTTGCCAACAGCAATGTCGCCATCGTCTTCCAACTTTTCCCCTAATGAGCCTTTGCCTGCATATTCTGTCAAGACATTGATTTCCCAGCCTCCACCGGCTATGTGCTCAATTTTGAAGTCATAAACGCTCATTATTGCCGACTGCCTGAGACGCTTGATATCTTCCATCTCCTTTTCGAATTCCACAATGGCTTTCTTCAATTGGATCTCCGCGGCAGGGTCAATGCTACTGGTACGCATGCGTTTCAAGACCATGGTAAGACATTGGTCGCTCCTAGCGGGCTTCACTAGAAGGGTTTCCGTAACCGACCCAGACCGGAAAGGTATGAGACCATCAACAGCTGTGAATTCCATCTCTTTGCCATCGTCCTGGAAATTGATGATCCTATCAAAAGAGACTTGGTTACAGGTGTTCCCTTGAGGAAAATACGAGGTCGGGGTGTGTCCGCTTGCACGGTGTTTCCGCTTGGCCATCTGTTCTTTACGCCGCATCTCATCGTGGACCATTTGCTGAAGCGCTCTCTCTTCCTCGGCCTTCTCTTCCTCTCGTTTCTTCTGAAGCTCCTCTTCATGCTTCTTGGCTAATTCGGCGGTGGCGGCTTCCTGGACTGCCCGTTCTGCCTCGAGATTCTCAAACGCGCCGTCATTTTCACGAATCGTAAGATCGTCTTCGAGAATCTCTTGAATAGTGCTGGCAATGTCGTAAATCATGACCTCTCCGACGATCTCCTTTGGCCTAGTGACTAAGAGTTTTTCTAATCTGTTCTTCGTCTTTTGCCGTAGTCGACCAAGACCCTCTAATGATAGTGTTGGTAACGACTTTGGATACGTAGCAGTCAGCTTAGCCGTCAGTATGACCCAAGTCTCGTCACTAGAGAGTGCCTTCAGTTTTAGACGTAGAGCTCGGTCTGTGGTTTTCTGTACAAATAAGTCAGTTGATGCAGCACGTGAGGACCTTTGATTAGGTCTAAATGATTTATATAATGTAGAGAGCCAGTCATGAGAGTTAGAAATATGAAACATACACTCCATGCCCCTCTGGATTCTACTTCTTCGAAATCCTCCATGTAGATGGACTTCAAGACTTCGATCTCCTCTTCCTGTGCCTGGGTATAGCCATCTGTAGGCTGGGAAGCTGACGGCGACTTGACCTGCTGGTTGAGTGCTGCATTTGGAGTCCCCATGGCAGGAGAACCATTTTTGAGTGGGGATACATTGGAGGTTTGTCTTCGAGGTGTCTTTGGCGGTGCCATATTGAGCTGTGTCGTTTTGGTGGTTACATGTCAACACGAGAAGTTGACTTTTGAAGGGGCGCACAGCCAGAGGCTGCTGCCTTTTCTCACGCTGCAGACATGACAGATCCAGGTGATTATAATAACAAGTGAAAAGTGAAAGTTGTTGACTGTGACAGCAATCACGTCTTTCACCGACCCTTCGTGGTTCGCCATGTCATTTTTGGTGGGGCAAAGATATGCATAGATGCGCCTTCCCCTTCTGGGATTAGGCCATTATTAGACCCCAGAACGCGATCGATGAACGAGTCCTGGGCAATATCATTACCTTTTCTTTGATTGACTTTGTGATTGCTATTCCGGAAATGTGCCTACTTCAATACTAAAAAGCGACGAATCTCGAGGAACTGCAGGATCTAACTTCGCTCACTCCATCCAACCGATCAAGGTGCCGATTTGAAGGCCTCAACTGTCGTTTCAACTGTAAACAAACAACCAAAACAACTTCCTCCAACTATCGCAAACGAACGAACACGGTCACTGCAACGCACAAAGAAGCGACTGTTTTCTCTCTTTCCGTCTGTGTATGATAGTGCACTTCATACGCCATGTTTTCATGGATAACAGGGCCTCGGATCACGAATGTGATCGAAGACCTCCCCCCTGGTGCGTGAATGCGCCCTCGGAGCGCATAATAGCTTCGATACTGACGTGATCAGATCCTGGAAACGAAACGACGTTCATTGATCCCCCCGACACGCCGGCGCACCAATTTGCGGTGAAAGCCTTCAAGCAAGCGATATTCGGCACGCCAGCACCGGACGACGCGATTCCGAGCAGGAGTTTAGGGAAGAAGTTATTGAGCGATACGGCCGGCACGACGAGACCCGAATTCCCTGCGCCAAAAGGAAATGCTGCGATGCCGTCGCCGTCGAAGCAACCCAATGGCATCTTGATGACACCGGGCACGGTGAATAAGGGCAGGAAAACGGTCTCCTTCGGTTCGCAGGTGATGGACAATGAGGGGAAGAAGGGGGATATCGGACGAAGCGGCATTCCAAACGACTGCCCGGGCAAGTTCCCAAGTCCATGGACACCGGGCACAGAACTAAAGGCAATGGGAGGAAGCGACAAGAAGCCGCGGACGAAGCTCACCGAAGCGCTGTACGACGCGCGATCCACGACGCAGACCAAATCGGGAGAAAAGCCAAAATCGAGAGACGACAGTGACATAACGCTCGACCTGGGTGTTCCGCGGTCAGACTCGGGCAAGTATTGGAAGGAACAGTATGAGACGTACGCCAAGAGGAGCGAGAAAGAGATGAAGCAGTTAGTTGCGAAGCACCAGGTGGCCAAGAACTATGCGAAGAAGAAGGACGAGGAGGCGACCGCCTTGACGAACCAGCGAGACGAGGAGCGGCGGCGATTCCGAAGCCGCGAACGACAGCTGGAGCAGCAGATCAAAGAGCTCCAGGAACATTTGCGGAAGGCGACCTCAGAGAAGAATGCCGCCGACATGACGAACGCGCTTCTCAAGAAGAAGATAGGAGGGCTAGAGAAATCACAGGCTACAGTCCAGACCGCCGACAAGATGCCATTCTCAATCTACGAAGACCCAAGCAAAGAACTCAGCCAGCTCCATCTCGGCCAGGCCGACGTTTCCTCCCTCGGGCGCACGCGCGGTGTCCCCGAGAACAAGGAGAACTCACCCCCCAAATCCTGGCGCACCCGCCGCCAGAGTCTGCCCAACACGTACTCGCGGCGGAAGACCATCACCGACGACGCAAACAACACCGCCGACCTCTTCGAAGCATCCGCGATCCTCAAATCCACCCTCTCCACAAGAGACACCCCCAGCCCGACGAAAGAAGCACCACACCACATACCCAAACCCCCGCTCAGCATCCGCAGCAAGCCCTCACCAAGCAGGGAAAACATACTCCTCCCATCCAGCCCGCTCCCCTTACCGTCCCCGGAGCCCGAAGCCCGTTCGTCGAAGACGAAGACGAGGACGAAGACGACTGACGACCCGTGGCTCTCCGCCATCGACGACAGCCCCCTCCCCCAGAAGAAAGACCTCCACGACCTCATGGCGGTCCCCATGTCCACAGCTCCCCCTCTCCTCGGGTCGTACTCGACGAGCAACAACAACACCACCCGCACACAAGCACGCCGCCAGGTTCGCCCCACGGCCACCACGCAAGCAGAGCCATCATCACAGCCATCAGTATCCCCGCCCCAAACCACGACAACGACAACGATGAAACCCAAAGACACAGGCACAGAAAGGCAGGATAAGGAGAAACCCACGCCCCTCCCCGTCGACCGCAAAGAGCAAGCGCGCCGGCGGTTGCAGGAGCGCAAGAACAGGAAGGGCGTTGGTATGGCTGCTGCCTCTACCTCATAATAAACAGCTGTGGTTTGTACCAAGAAGCACGGAGGGGGAAACGTGGGTTCGAAGTCAAAGGAATGGCGTTATTGGTGTAAATGGTAGGGGGTGGGGGGTGTCAGTTTTGCTGGTTTCTTGTTTTGCGCGGATATACCTCTGTCTCTATTGCTATCACTACCGATTCTCTATAGGGTTCGTGGTGCGAATAAACTCATTCTTGCTTGCCTTTTGACCAATTAATGCGTGAGTGGTAGTGCTTCATCTGTGAAGGGGCTTCTGAGAGAGTACCGGCAACAAAGATGATGCTGCTGTAAGCGGATAGATGTGTGTAGTCAATTGAAAACATATTAGTAGAATAGAGTGAGATCATAATCATATTACTTTGGCAGTTTTTTTTTTAGTTTTTTTTTATATTTTCTACGGTAATGACGTTAATAGTCCATTGAGCAGCTACCTGGGATGTGAGTTGGCGTATAGTGCCGGTTTCCGCCTCCCCTCGCACGGAATGTGGAGAAGGGAAGAAGCCAAGGCTGCCATCCCGGTTCTCCTTCTCTCTTGCCTTGGCCTTGCCCAGAGGACAGGGCCCCGCCAGAGAGTCGGAGACGGACAGCGCGTACAATGAGACCCATACCATAAATATGCCAATCATGCGCCACTAGTTGTACAGCGGAAATGAAAGGAGACGGAGGGGACAAAGTGAACGACAGGACCGCCTAAGCAGAGCGGCCTGAGAGAATCGGGTGTACGTCCGTGGATATCTTTCGGGTGAAGAGGAACAGGATGCGCATAGAAAGTGGTAATCGATGGGATGATGTGCGGGTGGGGGCGTCATGAGGTCGTTTTTTGGTTCGTGTACACGGATGCCGAGAGAAGGAACACTCAGCAGGAAGCTTCAAGCGAGCTTGCTCGCCTTTAGCGGTCCTCAGCCCACTCGTTCTCGCGTCGGATCTGGTCCTCCTCCTCGGGGGTGAAGTCGTTCTGGATGTTGAAGGTCTTGCGGATCTCGTCGGGGGACTTGCCCTTGATCATGTTGGCGACGGTTTTGCAGCCGACATCGAGCAGAGCCTTGATGTCGAGGTAGTTGGCAGCCTAGCGCAGTAATGTTAGTGAGTGGAAACCCGGAATTTGGGAAGAGGGCGTTACTTACGAGAATGATCTCAAAGAGCATCTCCTGGTCGACCTGCATGAACTTCTGATCCCACTCCTCGATATCGGTTGACTTCTTACGGGAGTCGGCATCGTCGTCCTGGGAAGCGGGGGGGTCCTTGCGGTGGTGCTCGCACCATTCGAGGACCTTCTTCATGACGGCTTCATTGACCTAAGGCGGCGCGGTTAGCAAGAGTCGAAAGGAAAGCGGACAAGATGCGAAGTTAGTACTTACGTTGGGAATGGGAATGGGCTCGTTGTTATCGCCGCCCAGATCCTCGAGCAAGTTCTTGATGAGGATGGAACGCTCAGCGACGTCGCGATCCACCTTAAGGTCGGCGTTGTCGCTGGTGGTGAGGATGATCCTGGTGTCCTTCTCGGTTGTTGTGGAAGAGGAAGCCATTTTGTCTGACGGTATCTGGATGCTGGTTAAGAGTGTGGATTTGGCGTTGTATCTTGGATGGAGAGGAAAGGCTGAGGAGGAGGTGGTAGGTGAGGTTGGCGAGTCGGAAGTTGATGTAGGCAGGAGGAAGTGAGAGAGTGAGAGAGAGAGGGAGAGAGCGGCGCGGCGGAGTAGGTGTGAGTGAGTGAGTAGGTGGGTGAGGCGGGGTGGCCGCTAAACTGCTTCTGTACTTACTTACTTGGTATGGTATTGTACTACAGTCTACCAGGTCTTGTTTTGTTTTTCTGGCTGGAAAGGTACGTGCGTTGAGAAAAAGAAAGGAAGAATTGGTGCTGATGTCCGAAGTAATGAGATGATGAATTGGATGAAGAGGAATGATGAGAAGGAGAACCACCGCCTTATTATATGTGGATGGAAGTAGTGGTTATGTGTGTTTGTGCTGGCCAACAATGAGTAATGTTGTAAAGCGGGTGGATAGCGCGCATTCAGGTACCAACGGGGAGTGTTGTGAACCTAGGATGGTTGAATGAATTGTGTGAATAGAATAGTAGAGTCTAAACCCAACTTGATCGTGAAGGAGGGGAATTAACATCTACCAAAGGAACCAAAGAGAGAATGTTGCCTTGAGGCTGAAGGCAACAATGGATGTTGTTAGAGACGATGGCACCACTACACACAGTACTAACTGTGCCACCATCCTCATACTAGGTACTCCCTACGGTTCAAAACACTTTATTACTTCCTCAGCCTGCGCCAATCTCGTACTATGCTATATTCGTATAGCTGAATACAAGCCTCTGGAAACCTTTGTTCGTCCTCTTCGGTTCCTGGGATGTGACCCAGTCCAGGCAGACAAACACAAGAAACACCGATTACCCCAATCAGGTATGATGCCTTGCCTTCTGACTGTACCCTCTCGCCTGGCAAGGCTGCAGTCCAGAATGATTATTTTCGTCTTCTTGGTACTCGGTAGTGGGTATTATGTGGTTTTCATGCTTCGTGTCATTCCATCCATTCCCGACACTAATGTCGTGATACGCCAGTTCTCCTATGCCTCATCCGAACTGTGTGGTCGTACATGTAGAAATGGATACATGCATGTATATGTACCTCGTTCGCCTCATCATTGAGAAGGTAAGCCAGGTTCCACTACCTCACAAATTCTCTACGTAAGTACGATATGTGGGTCTATACTATTGGGACACGTACAAGTAATGTAATACAGACAATGCAACTACGGAGTACCAAGTAGTTGAGGAATCATTACTCTTTTTACAGATATCTTTCCACGGACACCTCGCTGCATAAACCATGGTCTACTTTGTTTTCAATCTCTCTTTCCCCTTTCCCATCAACTCATCATCAACTAGCGACCAATTGCACGCCTATAGCCATTGTCAGTTGGTGTTGTTGGATCATGGTACGTCTTGAGTCCTGTCCAGAACGGAACCACGGTGCGGCGCAGTGTCTCATCTACGTTCCTTCAAGGGACGCCGGAGGAGGAGTGGACAGCCGTCTATTTCTATTCGTGTAGTTTCCAGACGTAGGATATGAAACAAGGGATGTCTGGTTCAACTCGATTATTTACCAGGTGAGCTTTGGTTTTGATAATACACATTGCCTGTTTTCACAGAACCTCTTAAGAGGGCGTGGGATGATCCGCATTTGTGCATCACGTGACCACGAAATGCGCTGCGAACATCGCATTCCATTCACCCATCTCACCCGTCCATGTAGATATCCATTCAATCATTTCATTCAATCGTGCAACATGTGTACACTCATGTATAGAATCATACATCCATGATCTTGCAATTTCCTGATTCATCCTTTCACTCACCCTTGATATAAGTCTCCCCCCTACAGGCATCGTTCGCGGCTATTCTCAGCATTTCTCATGGGGGTACGCACATCCTCAACTACTGCCAGATGGCCTCAACTGACTGCATCCATCCATCCACCCCCATCCTCATCCCTCATTCATTGACTGCTACTCTTACTAGAGACACCATTCTCCTATTATCGTAATATTATCAAACTTCAACGACGTCAAGTCAATTTTTGTTGTTCTCCGTGCGTGGGGCGACCCTCCTATTAACGTTTGCGCCCCTCCACTCAGAGTACCTAGACAGCTACACAGTATTATTACTAGTAGAGCCTCTCCCTCCCTCCCCTATTAACGACGAGGATTATCAATCCCGCGTGGTCGTTGCACCCGTCACCCAACTATCACCCACCCTACTCATCCGTGCCATCCAACTTTTTTTCTGGATTGGACTATCACTTCTGGCGATTGATCACGCCGCTTCGTTCGAAAACGGCCGGTCCAGTCCATTTGACCTCTTCTAGTATTGATCCTTTCTCCCTCCTGACCATTAGTACAACACCACCACCACCGCGACTATCACCCGCAACTACAATAACTATTACAACTACAACCACACTCCCTACTGCGCCATGCTCCTGCGCGACCCTTCCTGCGCATCCTCAACTCTGCAGGCAGCATGTGGCGGCGCTTTTACTTCCTCTTGATTCTGGTCCGCATCTACTTTGCGCTCTCCCCCAGCTACCTCCACCCGGATGAGAACTTCCAGGGGCCAGAGGTCATTGCAGGTAGGTCCTACTGTTCCAATCTTCTGACCTTTGTTCCTCCGTTGTGCCCTACTGACTTTGTTCTCTCCCCTCAGGCCGTGTCTTCTCCTACCCCGTCCACGAAACTTGGGAATTCACTTCCGAGAATCCCATCCGTAGCACGTTCCCGCTATGGCTCGCATACGGTTGGCCCATGTACCTCCTGCGCTGGCTCTGGGAGGGGTTCGGACACGATGAGGTTTCGCCCTCGGTGGTGTATTGGACACTGCGCGTGCTGATGCTCACTCTGAGCGTCGTCTTGGAGGATTGGGCAATCCAGGAGTTGCTGCCGTCACCGCGCGCCCGACGCATTGCCGTGCCGCTGATCGCATCCTCCTACGTGACCTGGACCTTCCAGACGCATACCTTTTCCAACAGCCTCGAGACGCTGTTGGTGTGTTGGAGTCTGGTCCTAATACGACGCATTGTCGAAGACAAGGTACGAATCGAAGTTCGGTCGCGATCTACTGCCATCGGAATGCAGCTCCGACCCTTGCACGACGGACACTAACGTACCCGCGCAGAAGCGTACCAGCATCCTAGCATCATCCGTGCTGGGCTTTTTAGTCGTCGTGGGCGTCTTCAATAGGATCACATTTCCAGCCTTTTTGCTTGTCCCTTCGATCATATTGCTGCCTCACTTCCAGCGCAAGTATGATTTTCCATTCTCGAACAATTCATGTGGTCACTGACCGTGTTGACCAGACCATTCTCTCTGTTCTTCATCGCCATCGCCGCTCTCCTCACCACCTTCATCGCCATCAGCATAGACACGGCGTTTTATACCCCAGGGGACTTTGCCTTCTCGAATGTGTTCAAGCATCCTGTCGTTACACCTTTGAACAATTTCCTCTATAATTCGGATTCCGCCAACCTCGCGCAACATGGCCTCCATCCCCGCTATCAACATGTCGTCGCCAACCTCCCCCAACTCCTTGGACCGGCGTTCCTACTACTATTCTCTCTCCGTCGCTCCGACCTAAGTACAGCCCTTGTCTCTGCTCTATCTGGCGTCGCTCTACTCAGCATATTCCCACATCAAGAGGCCCGCTTCCTCCTTCCCGCCGTGCCACTCATCCTGGCCTCGATCAAACTACCCCGCCGACCATTTCCTCGACGACTCTGGATGTTTACATGGGTTCTATTCAATCTTGCTCTGGGTGTATTGATGGGCATCTATCACCAGGGCGGAATCGTCCCGGTCCAGATGCACATCGCCAAGACGAACGAGACAGTCTCCCATGCGTTCTGGTGGAAGACATACAGTCCGCCGATCTGGCTGCTGAACGGAAAGAACGAAGAACTAACCACAGTCGATCTGATGGGCATGCCGGCAGAGACGATGTTAGATCAGTTGACCGCCGTGCTTCCAACATGCGACACCAACACCACAAACCTAGCTTCCATCTACCTCATCGCTCCACGCTCAGCATACGCCCTCAAACCCTACGCAGCCGCACACAGCAGCGAGGCCATCCACCTCGAAGAAACATGGAGCTACCGCCGGCACCTCAACCTTGACGACATGGACTTCGGCGACGACGGCGTGTGGCCGACGCTCAGCCGCGTGGTCGGCGATCGCGGTCTCGTGATCTGGCGAGTGACGAGGAACTGCTTGGCCGTGCCAGATGACCAACTCCCGATATCGGCGGACGACGACTCGTCAACGCCATAAACACCAAACAAACATTTCCTATGTCATACCCATTTCTTTCCATGGCGCATCATAGGTTGGGACTCGGGTGGATCTCTCACACATGCAAAGTCAAAAGAACCAACAAGACAGGAAACAGACTCGCCGTCTGAAAAGGAAAAAGGAAACAAAAAGCAACACAACCACATGTTAATCCATCTTCCCTAGGAAGACCAAGAAACATAAAAGGATGGGGGCTTTACACCGGTATTTCCTATGTCATATTTGGGACGGACGGGAGGGGGACTGGGCTGTTTTATCTTGGGGGATTCTTGTTCTCATATTGTGTACTTGTTTACCTTTTGTTTTCTCGGTTCCTCAGGGGACGGACGCTGCTTGGTGAATTTGATACCCTCTTTTTTGCTTGTTTTTTCTTTTGAGATAAGTACTGGTAGTGTAGGTTGAACTGCTGGGTGGCGATGTAATAACTAAACACATTTTTGAGCATTCATACCGTGCTATCGAACACCCATTCCATTTTCATTCCTATCATACAAACTCGCCCTCTCCCTTCATCTCTTCACACTCACCACCCCCTCTTCGCCAACCTCTCCCCCTCCGGCATCTTCTCCGTATTAATCCCCACCATCGCCTCCCCAAGATCCATCGACACCTCGACCAAAACCTTCGGATCCTTATAATGCGTAACCGCCTGCACAATCGCCCTCGCCCTCTTCGCCGCATCCCCGGACTTAAAAATCCCACTCCCCACAAACACCCCATCGCACCCAAGCTGCATCATCAACGCCGCATCCGCCGGCGTGGCAACACCCCCCGCCGCGAAATTCACCACGGGAAGCCGCCCGAGTTCCGCCGTTTGCTTAAGCAACTCATAGTCCACCTGCAGTTCCTTCGCGTACACACGCAACTCCATCTCGTCCATGCCCTTCGCGCGCGCGATCTCAGAGTTGACGGTACGCATGTGGCGGACGGCTTCGATGACGTCGCCGGTTCCGGCCTCGCCTTTCGTGCGGATCATGGCGGCGCCTTCGGAGATGCGGCGGAGCGCCTCGCCGAGGTTGCGGCACCCGCAGACGAAGGGGGCGCGGAAGGCGTGCTTCGAGACGTGGTGGACGGCGTCGGCTGGAGTCAGGACTTCGGATTCGTCGATGTAGTCTACGCCTAGGGCTTCGAGGATCTGTACCATTGCGATTGCGTTAGCGGTCAAGCCTACCCAGTGTAATCGAAAGTTGGAGGGAGGTCCGGGGGAGGAACTTTGAGGGGGGAGAGAGGGTATGGGAAAGGGGTATATCGTACCTGGCACTCGACGAAGTGCCCGATGCGCGCCTTCGCCATGACGGGGATGGTAACGGTATCCATGATCTCCTTTATCATTTTTGGGTCGGACATGCGTGCCACGCCGCCCTGGACGCGGATGTCGGCGGGGACGCGCTCGAGGGCCATGACGGCGGCGGCGCCGGCTTCTTCTGCTATGCGAGCCTTGGGTTACGTTAGCAATCTGGGGGTTCCGGTGTAGGTGGGAAGGGGGGAGGAGGATGGGGGGAGGTTACTTGTTCGGCGTTGACGACGTCCATGATGACGCCGCCCTTGAGCATCCTGGCGAGGCCGGCCTTGACGGCGAAGGTGTTGTCGCCGTCCTGGGCGGCGGTGCCGTTGCCGTTGGTGGTGGGGAGTTCGGTGGCCATTGTGTGTGGATGTGTAGGAGGGGATCTGTCACTGTTGACGGGGAAAGAGAAGGAGAGAGAGGAGGAGAGTCTGTCTCTTCTTATATGAGAGTCAGAGGTCGACGGGAGAGAAGAAGTCAATTGAGGTGGGGAAGAGTGTGAGTGAGTGATGAGTCAATTGGAAAAGATCGAAGCAGTAAAGAAGAGTGGAGGGGAAGGCTGAAAAAAAAGTTGGGGAAAAAGGATATATAATTCTGTCCCTCCCCTCCCTCCCTCCCTCCCTCCCTCCCAAGAGTCTAATGTTCTAGGTCTCGGTCACTTAGTTAGAGAGGTACATACGAATATGAACGGGAGAAAGTGACCAATCGAGGCAATTTAATGGCGCAAACCAAGAGAAAACGAGGGTCCGACGGGCAACGGAACAGTCATAGTCTGAGATCTAAACAGGACAGGGTATACTCGTAGACTAACTGTGGTGATCTTGATGATGATTAGAGTAAATGGTAATTGACTGAATGGATGAAGATGTTCTTTTCTCCGATCCTACTCGTTCTGATAATAACCGTTGTGACACTGACATTCACACATATCCGGATACTCAATGATACCAAAGGATATCCATCCACTCAAACAACCACCTTCTCGAACCCCAATTGAAGCCACTCTAATCTCACCTAAAATATTCATATCCATCCCTCCATTCCCCGTCCTCCTAACCAACGATTGTCAAGACAGTGACAGTCAATCATACTTTTTGTCGTTCAAACTCACCCCGCCCCGCGTCCAAACCACCCCGCCATACCACCGCACTAACCCCAAAAAGTAACTCCCAAGGCCGATGGCCGCGAATTGCCGCTCCACCCCACCACCACATCGTTCGTCCGATCAGCGGAGTAAGCGTATAGGGCGTGAAAAATATATACATGTCGATTGCAGCGCCTGGAAACATGCCTGGTAGGGGAGGTGTTGTTATGGATCGATCATGCAGTCATTGATTTTCTTTTGCAATTTTCTTGGAGGGGGAGTGGTTGTAGATTTGAATGGGAGTCATTGAAAAGTTGTGCTGCAGTACGTATGAGTACCTCTTAGAACTGTATTTGCGGCACTCTGTAACTACATCTACTCGTATGTAACACTTCAATGCAAAGAGGATGCTACAGCGCCAACCCATACAGGGTATCTTTTGAGTTCTTCGTTTCGTTGCTGTTCGTATCTGCTCGTATGAATGTATGCTACCTATCCTATGCTATGCTGTTATAACTAGTATATACAGGTAGTGTCCTTTCTGTGTGTGTGAATCGATATATCCGTTCCAAACCGACCGGAGTCGGAGCTTGTCGAACGTCCCGCTGTATCCACCCCTCACCCGCCCACTAAGAGCTGTTCAGAACGACACTGTAACTGTTCATTCCGACGACAAGGGCGCCGCTCTTTGCGCCGGTCCAATCACCAGTAGCAGGGACTTCACCCGTCGGAATCGAAGCCTCGGATTCCCCCCTGCTGTTCGTCCAACTAGGCATGTCGCCCGGAGCTCATCCCCCGTCCACTCCAGCTAGCCGTCTAGTACGGAGCCGTCTCCCGCTTCAGCCATTCTAGCGTCAGCTCGTCCTTCTCGAAGAACTTGCTCGTCTTGTCGAACACCTCCTTGTGGTAGTCGTTGATGAACTGCCTCTCCTCCTCGGTCAGCAGCTTCAGGTCGACGAGGTTCCGGCAGTGCGGCGTCAGCGTGACGTGCTCGAATCCGAGGTACGGCTTGTCGCCGAACTTGTGCGTCGTCTCGACCTCCTTCACGATCACCATGTTCTCGATGCGGATGCCAAACTTGCCGTCCTCGTAGTAGCCTGGTTCGTCTGAAATCACATTCCCAACGGAGAGCGACACCTCAGAGAACTGCACGCGCGTGCCGATGCCGATGGGCCCCTCGTGGACGTTCAGCGATGACCCAACGCCGTGGCCAGTGCCGTGTCGGTAGTCGAGACCTTCTGCCCAGAGGAACTGTCGAGCCAAGGAGTCAATGGCAAATCCAGTCGTGCCCTTGGGGAATCTAGCACGCTCCAACGCAATGTTGCCCTTCAGCACGAGCGTGTAGGCCTTTCGCTCCATCTCCGTTGGCTCGCCGAAGTGCAGAGTGCGCGTCGTGTCTGTGGTGCCGTCCAGGTATTGTGCTCCCGAATCGCATAGATAGATGGCCTTGGGGTCGATGGTCGAGCAAGCGCCCTTCTCTGGCTTGTAGTGGATGACGGCTGCGTTTGGTCCTGTCGAGGAGATGGTGTCGAAGGAGAGACCGATGAAGTGCTGGTGCTTGGAGCGTATCGCCTCGAGCTTGTCTGCGCCGTCCACTTCGTCCAGCGTGGCGCCCTTGTTGATCAATTGGTCTTCCAGCCAGGCGAAGTACTCCGTTAATGCAGCACCGTCGCGGATATGGCATTGCCTCATACCCTCCAGCTCGACCTCGTTCTTGATCGCCTTGGCGTCCGCGATGGGACTGCGCACCTCCTCGACGCGCTCCTCGCCGCCCAGTGCCTTGCTCAGCGCCCATGATGCTCGGGTGGATGTGAGGAATTTTGGCTTCGCGTCGGTTTCACTCGCGGCCTCAAGCGCCTTCGCACTGAGCGCGGTGACATCCTCAAAGATGGCCTCGTAGGGTCGAATCTTGACTTTGTCTCCTAGATGGTCCTTGACGTTCTGGGGCAGTTTGCTCTCATCAACGTACAATGTAGCCTCCTTGGGTGTGACGACGGCGTAGGAGAAGAAAACGGGATTGTAGGGGATACTGCGACGGTCAGTGTAAATAGTCTAGACATAATAGTCGGTGGATAGGAATCGAACATACTCGTTGCCGCGAAGGTTGTACAACCACGCAATCTCGTCGAGCATGGAGACTACGAACCCCACGCTCTTCCTCTTCTCCAACTCCTTTCTCAGCTCGTCCAGCTTGTCGTCGAAGCTCTTTCCAGAGTACTCGAGAGGCTGCACGCGGACCTTTTCAATGGGTCTCGCAGGTCTGTCCTGGCCCCAGACCTTGTCCACGAGGTTCTCGCTAATAGCCTTGAGCTCACCACCCTTCTTCTTGATCTTCTCCGTGATCTTGCGGGCATCACCACCGGTGACGACGGTCGGGTCGACGCCGACGACCTTGCCCCCCTCGACCTGGTCTGCCGTCCATTCCTGTATCGTGGGGACGTCCTGCAGCCCTTGCTTCAGCAGCTCCCAGTTGCCGTCGAGCTGCTTCTCGGCCTGGTTGAAGTATCGTCCGTCGGTCGCGAGCGCCGCCCGGTCGTGCGTGACGACCGCGTAGCCGGCGGAGCCCGAGAATCCGCTGATGAAAGCTGTCGCGAGAGTCAGTCAGTTTCGTTATCTCCGGCTCGGTTAGAGGTGGGATAGGCGGGTTGCTAACCTCGACGAGCGTCGCATGGAGCGATGTACTCGGACTGGTGGCTGTCTTCAGAGGGAATCACTGCGAATAATTATTAGTTGACTGTATTGTACTCGCGTGTACGTAGACTCAAATAATGCAGAGAGGAGGGGAACGTGGGGTTGCATTACTGTAAATGTCGATCTCGTTCTCCTTCATGAGCTTGCGGAGCTCGGCGAGCCGCTCGGTCGTGTGCACCTTCTCCATGTCTAAGGTTGGGGTAGAGCGGAGGATGCGAGAGGAGGAAAAGACTCTACGAAAGGGTGTAGAAGTCCTGGCGGCAGCATACAACAGGGACGAGGATCTGGAGAGGGCCGCGGCGAAGGGACCGTGGGTGTGCAGGTGTGCGTGTGCGTGGGAGCGCAAGATGAAGTGCTCTGCGGCAGGCATTGATTGAACAAAGTAGATGGGGATGGGATGCGGGAGGAGGGGCGGCGTATTACATACGCATGTGCATACCAATGGGTTAATGGTTGCCACTTGCTGGTTACCAGGAGATACTTTGCTTGCTTGCAGCTACACAGTTTTGCTATTAGCTAACTTTCTCGTATCGATATCTGCTAGTAATCTACGGAATATCGGTATTTGTACGCCGTCTCTACTATTACTTTTCATCTCTGCCGACCTCTCATACTACCCGTGTTTACAAGTAAGTATAAAGAAGTTGAGAGGACCTCTCGAGGCGAATCATTTTTCAACCTCGGAGTACGACAATAGTGTCCAATTGATCCCACCGTATCGTATACATGCTATGCCTAACATCTGCCGTCTCCCATTCGACATTCGAGCTCCGAGGCGAGTGGAGAATGACGTCTTGAAAGCGTTTAGCGTTGTATTCGTACTTGTTTTTTCTTTCTTCGAGTGTGTATTCTGCCATGGAGATTCCTAATTATGATGAGACTAAAGATGATGTAGAGACTAGTACTAGTACTGTGGAAAGGTCAATACTGTGATAATATTAACAGATGAAGGAGAAGAAAGAAGAGAAAGAGAAAGAGAAAGAGATGGAGGGGAATGTCGAGGTTCAGATCCATCGTATCGTCCACCTAGGTATCCATCGCATATCGATAAGTGGGGGTGATGGTTGACAGGTTTCATCACGTGACAACAGCCTTGCATGGCGCAGTCCAGCCAGTGCAAACAATCAGAAACAACACCTTACTGTTACATACCTACACATGGATGGTCCAGGTCAATCCTCAAACAGCAATCCAGTCGCTACTAACGCCGTACATATCTGTCTGTTGGGATCCTCCTAAAACGCCTGCACTGCCTCTTCCTACGCCCCATCTGCATCGGCACCAACCGTCCACCCAATCTGCGACTACGGTAAATATGCGATTCGTGCGCCCGCCGCACCCGCTCAGATCGTCTTTCGCTCCGTAACAGGTACGCCCGCCTGTTGCAAAGAAAACTAGGGCAATCGCCAAAGAGGCAAAATCCCCAGGAATCATCTTCTGGGGACGTTTCCGAATACTCTAAAGATCCTTCTGGGCCTCTCTTCCTCACGGCGACTGGAAATTAGTGCCACGAGCCCACCATCCTCAAAAAGTGTTCTTTTTCTTCCAAAGAGGCCACCACCACATCGCCTCGCGACAGGTAAGTTGGCTACATTTCGATTTTCTTATTTCTTATTATCATAGAATCTCCATGTATTCCTCTACTCTTGCATCCTTTACCTTTCTTTTGTGTCTATTCCATTGCAGAACTTCCTCATCCTGATCCATCTTCATCATGGCGACGCAAATGGCTACCATGGTTATGCCCATGCTGGACAGCCCTAGCTATTCCAAGCTCTATCACGATCCTGCGTTTGGCTACGACCAGAGTTGGGAATCCACTAATTTGCAAGCACACAGTGGATACTATCAATCTCAAGACAACAACGTCACAATGGCGGACGCTCCGCCGCCAAGCCAGTCTCTACCGCTCGGCCTGGAAGAAATAGAACGACTGGTCAAGTCCCTCTACGAGCCCGGAAATGCAAAGAAGATCTCTGAAACAGAAGCAACATTGCGAGTTTTGCAACACTCACCGCAGGGTTGGGAAATTGCAGATGCTTTGCTGAACAACAGCGATGAGAATGTTCGATTCTTCGGAGCCCTTACCTTTACTATCAAGCTCAACAACGACTCGTAGGTTCTACGCTTACTGTTTGTAAGATGTGCTCTCTAATTTTTATTATTGTAGTGCTTCTTTGAGTGAAGAACATTCACAGCAACTTCTTTCTAAACTTATTGTATGCCGCCACCCCTTCTTCAAACGTTTTCATGCTCACAGCCTCGCAGTATCATTTGGTCTCAAGGGATGGCACCTCAGTGTCCACGCGGAAGCTGTGCTCAACACTGGCTCAGTATTTTTCCAAGCCCGTCTCAACTTGGGAGAATTGCATCAGGAGCTTGGTTCTTTCTTTTGCACAGAAACAGCCTGTTCTAGATGATGATCTTGACTCACAGCCGTCCACCTGGGACGTTCTTCCCCAGTTGTCAGATAATCAGGTATTAATCCTATTGGACTTTGCCATGAATCTGTCCGAGGAGGTGAAGAAGTTATCTAATGCGCCCGAGTAAGTCATGAAGATCACCTTGTTATATGACACAGCAACTGACATGCACCAGTCGGACTCCTCATAAGCGAATGATCGCAAATGCTGAGAGTATCGAGGCTCTCCTGCAGGTCTCATTCGGGCGTGGTATCAAATACTTCTCCACTCCAGAAAAGGAGGAGAGTATGTTCCATGGAGAGAAACTATGTGTGGCTTCTCTCAAGTGTTTCTCTGTAGGTCCTTCTCACATCAACAATGCAAAGCCTTACTGACATATGCAGGGATGGGTCGGCTACGCTCAATCGGAGTTCAAAGAGGTCCCTGAAAAGATGCAATACCTCAGATCTGTCTCGGAACTAGCGTTGTCGTGCCTCGAGTACCACGTCGATGATGCTATGGAGACGGTTGCCGAAATCCTAGAGAATTACCCAAAGTTCTTTGAGACGAAACATCTCAATCTGCTTTGGTCTGCGATAATGAGTCCCTGGGGCATAGAGATCCTCAAGAATCTAGACGCTGAAACCGTCTCCCTTGCGAGGATCATCGTTGCATACGGACAAATCTTGCTAGAGTCAAAGAAGCTCTTCCAAGAACATGAAAATGAGCATCACCAACAGGTTATGTGTAAGTTTGAATGCTAGCATCCTTGAAGATTTGACACAGCTAACATTTCCAGCTGTATTGCACGAGTTACTCAAGTACCCCGACTTCGTCGGAGTGGACGATGAAGTTGCGCCAGTCTTGTTGGATTTCTGGAGCAACTACGTCAACACCATATCCGAGGAATCCTTCCAATTTCTGGAAGAAGACACCAAGCCTGCGTGGCTCGAGAAGGCGGCTGGTCACGTCTTCCAAGTCGTTGCAGAATTCCTACAGAAGATCATATTCCCTCCCGCGGAGGTTACGAAGCAGTGGGATTCGGATTCGAAGAAGACGTTCAAGGTGTTCCGCATTGATGTTCGAGACATCATACAAGAAGCATACGAGGTCCTGCGGGAAACCATTCTAGAGCAGTTCATCGACTTCACTATCCGCGCATTCGACGCTACCAACTGGCTTGAGCTCGAGGCCGGCCTTTTCTGTTTAATTTCTATTGGCGACGCGATGACCGAGTCGAATGATTCACGCCTTCAACGTCTCTTCGAGCGTCCGTTGTATCAGGTCATTTCTGGCAACGGCGAGATCCCTGCGGTCACACAGCGTACCGCTGTTGAGATGATAGCTGCCTTCGACAGCTTCTTCTTACGACACCCGGAGTACTTGCCGCAGGTTTTGCCATTCCTCCTAAGCGCTCTCGCTCAACCATCTTTGGCCCACGGAGCCGCTAAATCGTTCGCATCGCTTTGCTCCGAATGCCGGAAGTCGCTCACAGGAGAGCTGGGATCTTTCTTTCAGATGTATCAGCAGTTCTTGAGCTACCAGACGGCGGAGGAATTCACCAAGAGCCGAGTGCTCGAGGGAATTGCAGCAATCGTCCAAGCCCAGGATTCCGACGAGAAGCGCCTCGCCGGTGTTCAGCAACTGTTCGAGTATATTGCACATGATGCCATGCAGGCTGTCAACATCACAAAGGAGGGTGGTGATGCTGAACAGGGTCAAGTCCTCGCCCTTACAACTTTGAAATGCCTAGCTGCCATCGGGAAGGCATTGCAAGCCTCCGACGAAGAGGTGATCGACTTAGTGTCCGACCAAAGCCCGTCGCAGTTCTGGACGCAAGGTCCAGGAAAACCCATTCAGAACCAGATCATCAACTTCGTAAACTATCTCACTCAAGTGTTCCCAATGAGCGACGAGATCATCGAGGCAGCATGCAACGTCCTGCGCGCCGGCTTCAAGGAGACCGTGCCGGGACCGTTCGTGCTGCCACCATCAGTCACGATCGATTACATTCTTAAGACGAATGTACAGACTCCACGCCTCCCCTACGTGCTCGACACCGCCTGCTGCTGGATATCCTGCCACAAGCTAGACAAGTCACCAGATTTCCAAGTACAAGTCCAACGACTCCTACATCACGTTTTGAGCATACTGCAAGCCCTGCAGAACCCCCGAAACGACCCCGAGATATCAGTGGGCTGCATCGAGCTAATCCAGAAATTCGTCAGCACCAACGCACGAATCTTCACGACTGAGAGCCCCGAGGTCCTCAAAGCCATGTTCGACTTCTCCGTCGAATGTCTGCAATCGCCGGAGGTTCTACCCAAGCGCGCGGCAGCCCAGCTCTGGAAGGACATCTTCGAGCTCGCGGGCAACACGAAGAGCCAGGACCAGAGCACGGGACAGGACATCATGAACCACTTCGGCGCGGCGGTCACTTTTGCCCTGATGTACAACATCTGCGGCGAGGTGGACTACACGAGCCTCGAGCACGTTCTCATACCCCTGCGCAAGCTCATCACGGCGGACCGCAACGCAAAGGCGAACATCACGAATGCTTTGACGTCGCAGCCGCTGATCATCCGAGTGAAGGACGACCCGAATACTGAGAACATCGTGCGACGGTTCATCGAGAGTCTTATGCGGTAAGTCTGAACCCTTTCTTTTATCCTATCAATATCTTGTAGCTTATTTGACATATATATACAGGAACGCGAGATCCTCCTCAGCATTCAAAGAGACCGTCAAAGAGTTCTGGCAGAGATGCAAGCACATGCAAATGCAATTCGCGCCGCAATACATGCACCCGGGCCACCGATTCGCCCTCGGCGTCAACTGAACGGCCACAACGTCACCCTCCATCTCCAAATCCAACCTGACTGCCCTTTTTTTCTCCAACCCATCCAATCTTCACGAACCACTTAGAACTCAGCAAACGCAGCCAGCGCAAACGTCAGACCGAACGACATCTTCAGCGCGACGTTGTTCTGCACGAGCGACCGCACATTGGTCTTCTTGAGCCGGTTCTGGAGGTACGAGTACGGGACGATGTGGATGCCGCGCGATTCGAGGAACTAGAATAATTCTTCTGCGTCAGCCAGCCGTTTGCTTTCTTCCCGGATAACAACAAATAAAACCACCCCTTTCCCTGTTGATACTTTTCTTGCAGCGAGCGAGCGCGTAGACTTTTGCATGGCGCAGTGTGGCGTACCCTCCATTGCGCCCGGTCGGGAGGTCCACATAGCATACATAGCATAACCATAGCATACAATCAACCCCACAACCCTTTTAAACACGTACCTGAACAAACACAACCCCCAACCCAATAATCACAGCCAGCGGCTTACTGAAAACACTCACGCCCAGCCCCCCCAAAACACCCAACACGCTGCCCAGGCTTATCTGCTTCACGACCCTCGGGCTTAGCACCGGCGCGCTCGATTGCTTCAGGCGTAGGTCGGATGTTATTTTCGCGAGCGGGTCAGGGGCGTCGCATCGGATGCGGGTGGTGGATAGCTGGTGTGAGAGGAGGAGGGGTGTGGAGAGGAGGATTGGGGTTGTGAGGAGGAGGCTGCGGCGGAGGCCGGGGAGGAGGAGGGTTGCGGTTGACATCGGGGCGGGGGATGAGAGGTGTCGTAGGGGGATGTTGTGGAGGTTGCGGGGGCGGGGGATCATGAAATTGAATTTATGTATGTGTATGTGTTGGAGGTGGATTGGAGGTTCAATTGGTGATTGAAGTCTGTGGTGGAAGTGTAGATGTAGGTGCAACTGGAGGTGGAGGTAGAGGTGAGGTCGGGGATACAATACTGATGTCATTGGTCTTTATTTCGGTGGAGCTTTAATTCGATTGGTTGCGTTTTGAACAGGCGAGCTTGGACCCTGAGTTTCCTAAGTGTGAGTACCTGAACTGTCCCGTCGCATCTTCGTGTCGTTTGTTCCCCTCGTTCAGTTCTGTTGCATTCGACAACAACAATTCACCACCGAACGTCTCTACACGCAATTGCTACTCCCCAGCTAATTATGCGGACGCCGTACCCTCCATAAACCCCTTTCCAACAAGACATTCGTTTATATATATCCCACAATGGCACCCCAATCCCTCCACCTCACCCTAGCAAACCTGCTCATCCCCGTCGCGATCCTGACCTTCGCGGCGGGATTCTTCCCCTACAAGCCATTCATGCCCGGGCTCGCGACGTTCGAGGAGCTGCGCTGGGACGACAAGTGGGATTGGCAGCGCAGGGGGACGCCGGAGAGGAAGTTCGATAGGCTGGTTTTCATGGTGGTAGATGCGCTGAGGAGTGATTTCGTGTATGGGAATGGGAGTGGGATGGAGTTTACGCAGAGGTTTGTGAATTCCCAGGCCTTCTCCTCAATTGAATTGGGCTTGAGTTTTGGGTTACATGAATTAAATTGGAATGGCGACTGATAATTGACACAGCTTGATCCGCGACGGCGCCGCCCTCCCCTTCACAGCGCACGCAACCTCCCCGACCATAACGATGCCCCGCGTCAAGGCCATCACGACAGGCTCGATCCCCTCGTTCCTCGACGTGATCCTCAACTTCGCAGAATCGGACACGACGTCGACGCTCGCGGCGCAGGATACGTGGCTCGCGCAGCTGCGGGCGCAGGACGGCGGGAAGGGGAGGCTCGTCATGTATGGCGACGATACGTGGTTGAAGCTTTTCCCCGGGTTCTTCGAGCGCCAGGATGGGACGAGCAGTTTTTTTGTTTCGGTGGGTCCTGTGCTTTCGGTTTTCCTTGCATTGGGGGGGTGTTAAGGGTGTGTGTGTGTATTGTATGAGTGTGCTGATGTGTGGAGTAGGATTTCACTGAGGTGGATAACAATGTTACGAGGCATGTTCCTGGCGAATTGCTGAACACGGATTGGAATGCTATGATCATGCATTACCTAGGCCTGGATCACATCGGGCATAAGACGGGGCCACTTGGGTACGCATCCCGTTTCTGTTGGAAGAAAATGAGGGGAGACTAACGCATATACATACAGACCCAACATGATACCCAAACAAGTCGAAATGGACTCGATAGTCCGCGACATCTACACGGCCATCGAGAACGAAGAACACCTCGAAAACACACTGTTCGTCCTGGCAGGCGACCACGGGATGAACGAGGGCGGCAACCACGGCGGATCGGCTCCGGGAGAGACGTCCCCCGCCCTCGTCTTCATGTCGCCGAAGCTGAAGAAGATCACCGAGTTCACGGATCGCACGAGTCCTGCGGAGCCTAAGGGCGAGTTCGAGTATTATAAGAAGGTCGAGCAGAGCGATATCGCGCCCACGCTGGCGGGGTTGCTCGGGTTCCCGGTGCCGAGGAATAATCTCGGGGTGTTTATTGAGGAGTTTTTGTTTCTTTGGGATGATGGTATGTATGGAAGGAGGGAGAGTTGGGTAGTGGATATCTTTTCGCTGACTAAATTATAGCTTCTGATCGCATTCAATTGCTCCTACGAAATGCGGAGCAGGTCAAGAAGATCGTCGAAGCTACCTATCCGAACTTGTACTTTGGCTATGACCGTAAGGACTTTAAGACAGATTGCGGACAGTCTCTTTCGGATGGCGAGAAGTTGGCTTGCAAGTGGAGTGGCGTGGTAGATATCATGGGGACCTTTGCTACGATTCATCCGAGATTGAGGATTAGCCAATTGTACTGGGTAAGTCAGGGCATATCAAACATTGTGATGGAAATACTTTTTTGTTCAATGCTGACATATGTACAGTTCCTCCGCGCTGCTCAAGAGACCATGAGCACCACTGCATCAAACTACGACGTCTCCAAACTGGTCCTGGGTACCTCTATAGCTTTTGCGGCGTTCAGTCTAGCCTTCTTCTCACTCAACCGCACTCGGCCTTTCTCATTCACCGGGATCTTCTTCACGCTTACTCTGCTGCTCTACGGCGTCCTCATGTTCGCATCCTCCTACGTCGAGGAAGAGCAGAACTTCTGGTACTGGATGACATCCGCCTGGTTCTTCTACCTGTTCATGCAAGCCTCTCGCGAGGCCTGGCAGTCATGGTTCATCTTCCACCCCGCCATCGTCCTCCTGTTCCTCCACCGCATCACACGACGATGGAACCAGACCGGGCAGAAGTTCGCCGGGGCACCGGACATTGTGCACTCGTCACTGTTCCGAGGGAGCAGCAGTGTCGTGCTGTGGAGCTTGATTGGCGCGTGCTACATGGACATCACAATGCGTCTTGCGCGACACGTCGCCCGATCAGTTGCTGGAAAAGACGACCCACCCGGCAAGGATGGAAAAGTGGAAGAGACCAACGAGGGGGAGCGGCTCATGGGAATGATGGCCGTCTTCCCCCTCGGCGCAACGGCATTCGTGTTCAAGTTGGCATTCACCGTGAACGACGCGCCCGAGTTGACCAGGGGAATCGCACATGGGATGCTCTACTGGGCTGCGAGTCTCGAATTGGTCGGTCTAGCGAGGATGGTGTTTGGAGGTATCGCTCTCGTCACGGGCTGGATGGTACTCTATGAGTGGCGAGCCTCGAGGGCACGAATGAGTTCGGAGCAGGGCAATGGCAGTAAGTACATTGTTAGAGATCGGATTTGAAATACTGACGTTGTTCACACAGATCTTGCGGTCTCGCTCTTCGACCTATTCACCCTATTCCTCATCACGCAGACCAAAGCAGAAAACATCCCCCTCTACCTCATCTTCCGCATGCAAACCTTCCTCCTATGTACGTATCCGTCCATCCTCTACCCAACACGACACTAACCCCTCTCCCTTAAAGCATTCCTCGACCTCTCCCCCACCGCCATATCCCTCACCAGCCTTCTCCTCGGGCAAACCACCTTCTTCGCCCTCGGAAACAGCAACGCCATCTCCTCGATCGACCTCTCCAACTCCTACAACGGCGTATCAGGCTACAACGTCCTCGCCGTCGGCGCCCTGCTCTTCGCATCCAACTGGGCGGGTCCTATATACTGGAGCCTCGTCGGCGTGCTCCTGCTCGGCAGCCACGGCCGCAAGCAGCGCCACATCGCGACGGGAGAACTCGACGCGCGGGACTGGGTCGCCGTGGAGCGGGAGCACCTGATCAAGCTTGCGGAGCGGGAGAAAGAGGGCGCGGAGCGGAGACAAGATCCCGGGGCTTGGAGGCAGCATGTTGGGTTGCTTACTTTGTTCATCTCGGGGGCTACTGTGGCGGTCATGTTGGCTTGCACGGTGCTGAGGCAGCATTTGTTTATTTGGACGGTGTTTAGTCCGAAGTACCTCTTCGCGATGGCGTGGGGTGTAGGGCATCATTTGGGTGTTGATGTCTTGCTGGGTGGGTGTTTGTGGTGGCTTGGGACGTGGTGAATGTGAATATACTGTGCTGGTTACAGTGATCTATAGAATTAATTGTCATTTTGAGGTCAAAAGAGACCCGTAGTGTGTATCTATACTTTATGCTCTGATTGATGAAGCATCCCATGATGCTATACCGAGGCAAACCACGCCTCAGTGAAATTATAACCGCAGAAAACCCTCCCATCCCTATCACCAAACACCAAAAATAACACCCCCAACCCGCCTTCAACCCCCGATCAGACATCGGAAACCCACATCCTCATCCCCTCCTGACTCCTCCACATCACGCCGCCAGCCCTCCCAATCGACCCATCCCCATCAACCCTCAACTCCTCCCTCCACTCGGTGCCCCTACCCCCCGCACCACGAGTCTCCTCATCCTCATCCTCCTCCTTCCTCTTCCTCCTCACCCTCATCGCCTTCGCCCTCCCCCTCCCATCCCTCCTCTTCCCAACCACCAACAACCGCTCCGCCTCCCCAGCCTCAAACCTCGGACCACGATAGTCCCCCTCAACCAACGCATCGCTCCTCTTCCTCATCACCACCTGCTTCGCCTTTCCCTTCCCCTTCCCCTTCTTCTCCTTCTTCTCCTTCCCGGCACCCACAACCGCCGCACGGGACACAGAAGAACCAGGCAACACAGTCCTCGCGGTCCCATCCCGCATCAACGCGGCAATCACCTCATCAGTCCTCTTCGTCGGGCGGGCGGGGCGGGTCGGCGGGTCGCGGACGGGGCCTGAGATGTCTTCTTTTCTGATCTTGGACGCTGCGGAGGAGAAGGAGGAGGAGCCGCCGCTGGAGGAGGTGGTGCAGATGCTGGAGGTGAAGAGGGTGCGGATGCTGGAGGTGGAGGTGCGTTTGAAGAAGCGGGTTGCTGGGTTTGTGGGTCAGTTGAGTTTCTGTCTTTAGTTGAATTTTACATTTCTTTTGTGGGAGGTATCGTCGCTGTTTTTTTTTGGGAGGGGAGGGGGATGTGGAGGGGAAGCGAAGTTTGATGTTTTTGTCCTTTTAAAAGTGATGGTGATTTTTTTGGTGGATGATTGGGAGAGAGGGTTTGGATGATGGAGTTGAATTACCTTTAGCCCTGAGAGATGGCATTTTTGGAGATTGGAGGTTGTTTAGGAAGAAAAGTAAGGATTGTAGTGATGTTGGTGTTGATGGTAGTGGTGATGCTGTTGTGGGAAGTTGGAGTTGAACTCCAAGTTTTCGTGGTGTTGATTGTGTTTGGTCAAACTTGAAGTTGGTGTTGGCGTTGATGTTGATGTTCGTTTGCTGTTTGCTCTGTTGCTGTTGATGCGGTGGATGAATTCGCAGAAGGAATTTTACTTTAAGATAGATAATTGGTAGGTAAACGAGTCTGAGAAGGTTGAGGCTGTAGGGTTGAGGGAAGAGAGAGAGAAAGGTGGGAGGGCAAGAGGTCTTATCACATTCGCTTTCACTTGACTGCTTGGCGTGAATGGTCGAGAGGCATTTTCACGCTGGGTGAAGGTGTGTTCAGTGAAGAGTGAAGGTGAAAGTGGGCTCATTGGAGGGTGAGAGGGGAAGTGTGTTCACTGAAAGGTGAAAGTGAAAGATGACCTCCCAAAAGCAAAGCTAACGGTGAAAGTGGAAGCAGAATGGAAAACGGAAATATTTCTTCTTAGTGTACTCAGAGACAACATTTAGCACAATGATACATCTACATATGTTCTATGTGTATGGGTATAAGATACAGTCAGTGTTCACAAAGCTCCTCCCAGAACCCTCACGAGCCACATCGACAACTTGACACTCATGCTGACTTTACGTTCCGGCTTCTCGAATTCAGATTCGTCCACCTTCTTCGCGTACTCGCCGAGCCACTTGACTTCCTCGCCGAGGCGTCTGCGCAGACCCGGATCAGAAGTCGCGATGATAACGTTTGCCTCCAGGTCGAGTTCATACGAGCGTTTCGTGTAGTTCGATGACCCAACAATCGTCAGGCTGGGGTCCTCATCTACAGCAGGTGCCTTTGTAGACGCAGAGGAAGCAGCAGATGGGAATGTAACCCATAATCCCTTTGCATGATAAGTCCAGCCGCCTTCCTCGTTGACTTTACCACGCTGCCACTCTTTCAGCTGTATGCTATCATCCAGACGATCGTGGCGAACTTTGCGGAGGAAGTTCTTGGCTAGATGGGTATATGCATCGGGGAGCATACCACTCACGCCTTTGGAGCCATAGAAGCCATTGGCGTAGGGATGTGCAGTCAAGACGGTGCCACTGGCAGGTCGTGTCGAGAGCAGCAGCCGTCGGAAGGATTGTGTCATGTTGAAGTAGCCAGCCGTGAAGGTCCATGTGGCAGGGTGGAATGGGGCCTGGGATAGTCGAGTCAAGACCTTCGTGATTGCCGGCAGCTCAGTTGACGTATTGAGGAGGGGAACTAAGGACATGACTGGGTAGATGGTGGTCGACGAAGGTCCAGAGGAGAGTGCCTTGGGAGAATTGGAAGGTGTCAGGAGGTGTGAGAGGTGCTTGGAGGCGGCAGACCGGAACTCTTTAGGACTTGCAAGAGGCGATGGCGCAGAGTTGGACGAAGGCCAGCTCATGGTGTACCCGGCGGGTTCAGCAGATGGTTGGATGTCGAAAGAGAGGTCACAAACGCCCGAGTGAATCTTGGAGAAGTATTCTGCCAACTCGGCTGACTTGAAGAGATGATAGCGGTCTTGTCTATTCGTAAAGTAGTCAGACGAGAGGTTTGCGCCGGACATGATGATCTCGTCATCGACGCCGTAGAGCTTCATATGCTGCAAACCCCAGCCCTCGTTAATTCGCTTAGGAACGACCTTCTTCCTCAGGCCGGTGAGATTCGGAGTATGGAACATCCGAACTTCGACTCTGTCGCCGAACTCTGCAATCAGGGGGGCGAGTAACGAGGCACATGATGCTTTCGGAGTCTCCCGTGTACCACGGAGGGCATCGGTGAGGAATGATACCTTAAGGTTGGGATTCTTCTGTAGGGCTGAGCGGATCGTCGAGATGAGCTCATGTTCAGTTTTGCCAATGTATAGTGTGCTGAGATAGACGCGTCTTTGCGCTCGGGAGATCCTATCCTATGAGAATGTTAGACATAGAGTGTCTGAGAATCATCTAATTCTATTCCAATTGAAGAACCTAGATAGTCGTGGACTAATTGACAACACATCTATATTATACGACAAAATGACGAAGAGCAGGATTGTAACAGAAATATTATTATTATGGCATGGTATCATAACAAGAAAATTGAAGATTTCGTCGCAACACGTGAATTGACGTACCTTTAGCGTCTCATAAAATTCTGATGGCGTTTGCAGCACTTGAATCTGCTCAGGTTGAACCTCAAATCGCGGAGCAATCTTATCCAAGTCTGTAGTTATTGTAGCGAGCATTGATGCTTGCGATTGAGGTGTAGTTGACGACATGGGTTGTCCGCTTGATGTCGAGTACCTCCGCGCAGGGCGAATGGAACGACTCGATACGCGACAGACGTGCTTGATACTGGTCAATGGACCGCGTGCTCTTATCACAGTCCGTATTATCATGATGTGTCGATGTTCGAGTTGGACTTATGATATTCCAAGCTTTTCATTATGCACGTTTGATGCCAGGGATACCGTCAATCAGCTAGTCCACTTTTGGATGATATCTTGGCACTCCACTTCGCCGTCAACCCAACATCATTGAACGGACAGCTTCGACAGACCTTCAGCAAGCAGCCACCGCCGCAATGTCGACTCTTCTCAGGACGCTGCGGAATCTCCGCCGAGTCGGCCTCAAGGTGAGTAACTATCCCAGCCTCTTTGACCATCCGCGGTGCTAATTGACCCCGTCATGTAGGATTTCGGCCACCAAATGCAGGTACGCATTACCTTCTCACCTCCGCGCATTCCCTCGCAGTCTATCTAACGTCGATCGCTCGCTTCACACAGCATATTGGTATGTCGTAAGAGACTCCTGGAGAGAGGGTGCGGCAATTGACAGCATGACAGGCGATACCAAAGCGGGAACGTTCATTGGACTTGACAAATATGGCAACAAATACTTCGAGAACTTGGCCGAGGAACTTCCTCGTGAGTCGCCTTTCAAGGATACAGCGTCGGAAGCTGGGGGATAGCATGGGACTGACAATTGGACGCAGTGAGGACGCGCTGGGTGGATTACAAGGACCATGAATTTGATCCGTGAGTAATGATGCGGGCAGTCTAGGATTGGACTCTTCGATTGACTGACTGTGACTAGGTCCCAGATCGAGCCCGGATGGTATGATAAACCTGGAACGCTTGGTTTTCACGACTGGAACTGATTCAATTGACACAGGCACGCCTGGATGTCCTACTCCGTAGACCTCCCCCCAACACAGGACAAGCTCCTCCAGCGACAGATCCGCGTCTGGGAGCCAACAGAGCACCGACCAACACTGACCTGGGGCAGTGCCGCATACAGGCCATACAGCACGTACGTGGTCGATCTCATTAAATCGAAAGAGCAAACAAACAACTGGCGTCGTGATCCGACAGCTAACACGTAGTACAGGACCAAGCCGAAGTACGCAGCCTGGAAGCCTGTCGCGAAGCCCCGACAGGCGGCCACTACTAAGCAGTAAAAAAGAGCCCTCAGGAGACAATTTTTCGTTTTTGCGCTTACCAGGCCATGTAAATATCATATCAAAGACAGAAATGGAATGCGTGCGTGTATCATTGATCGAGTGCGACTTTTCCGTCGTTTCTTCTACTTCCTTTGTGTGAGCTCGTGGTACCGACAGGCCACGCACGAAGTTTGCGATACTTGTTTGCTCCGTGACCTCCGTGTTATCTTGGTGTACCCTCGGCATGCGTGTAGGTGGGCGATCCATGTACTTGGCGTGGATAAGGGATGCCAACAACGTGGGTGTGATTGAATCCCACGAACGAAGGCGCGGTGCGTGTGCGTGTGCATATGTTGGGGGAGCACGACATGGCGATGTGCGACACCTGGTAGAAAGGAGACTATCACACTGTACCAACCCGCGGGAGAGCGAACAGCCCAAATGAAGCGATGCAGTCATGTCCAATCGAACATGTATCACCATCCATTGTTCTCTTCCAGAATACTCCGTACAATCTAATCCAATACAAACACAGCAAAACAAGCGCAATTGAACCACCATACATCGACCATGGACTAACACTACCACGAAGTATTGTGAAAACAACCACACCACCCCCTCCAATAGACTGTGCTGCGTAAGGCCAAAAGCCCCATAATCCACCAATTCCAGCCCAATCCTACAGCAAGGAATGAACCCTCGCCATCCGAACACATCCATCCTCCGCCCATACCACCACCCTCCCAATCCGATCCCCTATCGTAACGTAATATCCTCTTCAATCTCAAGTGTACATTTCTTTTCACCTACTCCGTACTTACTATGTAAATAACAGAAACCCAATAATCTGGGCCGCCTATGGAAGTTCCATTCCACACATAGCCCGAGTGGACCGCTCCGGTCATAGTGGGTGGGTGTTTTCGCATTCCTGAGTGCCAACCACCCCGACACCGGATGCGCTCTCTACTCTGACGACGACGGTTGAGAGAACATGAGTGTGGGGAAGAAAAGGCACCGTTCAAGATTATTTCATCTTGGATCAGATAGATTCAATGTGACTATATCCCAATCAATATCAACATCAATACCAACACCATACAACATAAAATATAAACATGGAACCAGGAAAAAACGACATGAACGTGAAACGTATCCTTTGAGAGTTATATGGTGCTGGACTGGTAGTTTTCTTTCTAGAATTGCACTGAATCTATGGGGTATGGGGTAACGCGAAAGGGTGGGCGTGGACGTGGTACTGGAATTGGTTCTACTATTTGGGTGAGAGTAAGGGCAGGGGGGTGGAGGGAGACAGGTTACTGGAAATCCAAAAATATTATATTTGAAGCGCAAGAACAGTTAGATGATTGCCTATGTGGTTATAGCTAACATGCGACTGTAGGAATATTGTAGAGAAGTAGATGTGTAGATTTATAATGTACTACTCCATACAGCTACCTACCTAGGTATATATCATAGAAGCATGCGCATACATAGGTATACAAACACGTTAAAAATACCTAATTGATATTCATATGCATTCTGTATAAACAGACACCCATGTACGTGACATTTGTGTCAGTACGTTCTTAATTGCCTTGATCTTGATTTTTGTCGATTTGTTTATTTATACTCGGTGTTGTTTTCCATTGAGGTCTCAATGCGCTGTTATTGTTGACATCGTTGTTGTGGGCACCAATTACCATGTGAAGGGAAACCCTGGAAAAGGACTACTTGTATCTATAGCGATGCACCGACGCCGAGAGGGCAGGAGGATAGTCTCAAGGTACATGCATGCACGTTGTTGATGTTGTGATCGATGCAGCGGAGGCGGTGTACGATGTACGTCCGTACTGTTTTGTTACGACTCACGAACATCAAGGCTGCTAGTTCACAGCGCCACGACCATTGGCTAGAAGGACAGTAGACTAGCCTCTTCCTATTGCAAGCATAAATTCTCTCGTACAGTCGTACCTACACTACAAAATGACCAAAGACCGTCGGAAGGGCTGGAAGGGCGGCAGTATTTCCTCGGTAGCACTACAAGTACTGTATCGTTAACGGCCCGGAGACGGGAGATTTGAAATGAGGCTTCATGATTGGGTTGGGAATGGGCCGATGCGATGCGATGCGTTGGGATGGGATGGGGCATGTTGCATGCACAGCACGAAAACGATGGGGGGAGAAATAAACGGGCCGGCGCACGTGGAGGGAGGGAGGTTGGGCTGGTCAGTTCGCTGGAATCGAGATTGGAAGAATGTGGACTGGTTTTGGTCCAGGAAGATCCATGTACTTTACCGCAATTGGGAGGTGGAATGGGCGTTGACTACTTTTTGCATCGTTCGTTGTGTGTTTGGATGGATTGATTGCAGAGTGGATTGGTGAATTGGTGATGACATTCATCGTCGGCTTGAGTCTAGCTATGGTGCCTAGGTACTCCTAGGTATGGGACTCGTACTCCGCATTTCTGTGATGTATGCAGGTAGCGGTGCAGTGGGAGGAGTCATCTGCCCCACCGGCCGGACTAAGATCCGTTTCGTCGTCGTCGGTGAGTCAATTCGAGTCAAGGTGAGTTGACTTGGGTTGAGACCGTTGAGTTCGAATTGGAGCTGCTGCTGCTTGATGACAATATGCGGCGCCGGCAGTCGTTCCGATGCGTCGAACGCGAGTGCGTACAGGTACGAGCAGATGCACAGTAATTCTATGTTTGTATGATGTACAACTGCTTAGCGATAGGCAATTGATGGTTTTATTGGTCGCAGATAGGTGAAATGCATGTGATGATTCAGTAGGATTATTTCGTAATTCATAGGATGCATCACAATAGTACTAAATACTACAGACGGTGAGTTATTCAGGTATGGTCAATAAATAGCAATGGATTGAGGGCATTCAGAACGGATTATCGTCCTGTTCACATGGATGATGGTTGGATGGAGGGGAGGATGGAGGTGCCTATGGCGATACACCAGTGGCCGTAGACGTCAGCACAGGAAATCTCATCTTGGGAAAATCGTCTAACCCGCAATGGGTATAGATTAGAAGCCGCTGGTGGGTCGTTCTTTCCGATACCGACCAGAAATCTAGCTAGAACCATCGACTAAACTGTATTGAGACTAGATTTCCACCCGCCTTTGCCCATAACCCGTTTGCAGGTGGCAGCAGCAGTTGCAGTGTAGGCGAGAAGTTGCTCAATCGTTCTTGCCTGCAGTTGTGCAGTTGCTCTCTCCATCTACTCGTACTGTATCGCTCTTGCCTGCATAGCTGCAAAGTTGTAGCTGCATTTGCTACACTTCACTGCTACTTCGCACTAGTCGCTCTTGCCTTCTGCATCGGTAATCATAACAGCCATTAGCTCCTTCCATCCCATCCATCCCATCCATACCCATCCGTCCCGCCAAAAGTGTCTCCACCTTAATTCCCAAATCTTCATATCCTCCCTCTTGCCTCTCCTCCTCCACTTCCTTTCTCTTACTCTTCCTCCTCTGGTTTCTTTCTTTCTTTCTTCGACCTCCTCCTCTAAACAGACTCATCTTTGTCTCTCCCCTCCACAAACTATCCATCCACCTCCCTCCTTTCTTTCCTTTTCTTTATCCCGCCTCGACTTGTCTTGTCTTACTCCTCCAAGACAACCACCACTCCACATCCATTGTCTCACCCACATACGGCGACAACCATTCACAGCCCATCACGGCGCGCTGTGCTTACTCCAATCTACAAGCACATCACTCTTTCATTCGTATGCGCCCGTCCTACCCCGCCACCAAGACAGAGACCCAGACCCAGACCGAGACCGCGATCGTCCTGCTCTTCAAACATATGTCCTCCACTCGTAGCTAGATGTTCGCCCGTTGCAAAGCCCCGACTTGGGGGGTCGATGATTTCTCAAAATGTTTTGAGCGAGAGTAAGTTTGCTATTCCCAATTCCATCTTGTACTCCCATCAATCCGCCACCGCCGGTGGTGGTGGTCAGCGGGTTGTCCCCCAGAGCTATGCGACCTCCGCGCGACGCATTTTTCGCCGTCATCGAGCTTCCTCCGCCGACCAGGGAAGAACGTCATAACCGCATTGCGCCATTGCGACATTTCGAACGCCACAGCAACAGGAAGGGAAACCTTCAATATTATTGCACTGCATACATCATACCAATCATGATAGCTTTGGCCCAATGGGAAACTGTAATAGTTATCGTTTTACCACTGTTGCTCCTGGCATGTGCAAATCAATCAATTGCTCTGTACCACCGACTTCCGACCGCCTCCATAGCTCTGCCATTGACCCATCACATACCGCGCGCATTGCAAGACATTGACTGACTTTATCACCCACAGCTATCTCCAAACATTATTCCCCCTCATAGTCTGCGGAGTCTCTCTCCTCTATCTCCTCTTCCAGTCCTATCAAGCTGCTAGAGCCTCAAAATATTACCACGCATATTCACAGCTCGATGATCCCCGCAATGTCTGGTCAATACGAACTCCTCACTACGACGCCAACGACGATGCCGACAGCGACACCGAAGATGAGCTCGAACGCAACGAACGGTTGGCATTGCGCCCCTCCCTCTCCCGCAATACTGCTTCCACGATGGCTGTCAACAAACCCAAGGGAGAGATCACGGTGGTCGTGCTAGAGGAAGCCACCGTCCTGGCTGCGTTGGGCTTGCATGTCGCCATTTTCTTTACGGGAGCATATGGCCACAAGGGTCAGATTGCAGCCATTGCGAACATTGCCACCTGGGCGTACGTTGCGACGCTCGCATCCTTGCGTCTGCTTCTCTCCAGCACCCACAAGCTCTCTTTTCCCCGACTCTGGTACCACACCGCGTTCATTTACGGCTTCCAATGGGTCTTCTCCGTCCTCCTCTTCCGCTCGGCCCTCCTTCATCCGCAATCGAAGCTCCACCAAAAGTTCGCGATCGTGGATTTCGCTCTCATCACCCTCCTTTTCCTCATCTCATTGACTTCCCGCAAGGGAAATAAGGCGGTGGAGCTGGAATATGAGGGAGATATTAAACCCGCACAGGAGCCGATCGCCAGCGTCCTCTCGCTCGCGACTTTCACATGGGTTGACTCGATCGTCTGGACAGGATACAAGAAGTCTTACGAGCTTGCTGATGTTTGGAACCTGGCCCCGAAGGACAAGGCGGGCGCGGTCATTGAAAACTATCGCCAAGTCAAAAAGACCTCTGCCCTCGCCTACCACCTGCTCAAACATTTCAAGCGCGGATTGCTGATCCAAGGTTTCTGGGCAGTCATCTCCGGTTTCCTCACTTTCGCGCCCACTATGCTCTTGAAGGCCATTTTGGAATACATCGAGGCGCCCGAATACACCCCCCGGAACGCTGCCTGGTTTTACGTCATCCTCCTCTTCGTGTCCGGATGTGCCTCCGCACTAGCCGACGGACAGGCTCTCTGGATCGGTCGCAAGATCTGTATTCGACTCCGTGCTGTTGTCATTGGAGAGATCTACGCAAAGGCATTGAAGCGTCGCGTGGCTACAGGCGCTGACAAGGTCCTAGGAGAGAGCAAGGCAAAGGCGAAGGGCGAGGACGAGGAGGAACAGCCTAAGGGAATCAAGAGGATCATGACTTTCGGCCGAAAGAAGAAGAAGAACAACGAAGAGCCTGGCAAATCCACGACCGAGGACGATACCGCCAAGACAGGCGACGACGAGAGCCAGGTCACCACCGGAGCCATCATCAATCTCATGGCCGTCGATGCATTCAAGGTCAGCGAGATCTCGGCGTACCTGCATTTCCTGTGGGCGAATACTCCCGTTCAGGTCGTCATGGCTGTTGCATTGCTCTACAGAATCCTTGGTTACAGCTCGATCGCAGGCATTGGCATGATGGTCATTCTCCTGCCCATCAACCTGTATGTGGCTAAGCAGTTCTCTGCCATCCAGAAGCTCATCCTTGCCGCCACGGATGCCCGTATCCATTCTACCAACGAGGTCCTAAGCAACATCCGTATCATCAAGTATTTCGCTTGGGAGCAGCGCTTCATCGGAGTTGTCAACGACAAGCGCTACCAGGAGCTTGCTCATCTCAAGCGCCGTTACATCCTCTGGGCGGTTGCTGCCACCATATGGTCCGGTTCTCCCATCCTTATTACTTTCCTCTCGTTCCTGGTCTACACCAAAGTCGAGAACAGGGATCTCATTCCCTCCGTCGCCTTCACTGCCCTTTCGCTTTTCCAGATTCTACGCATTCCGCTTGATCAGCTAGCTGATATGATCGCCCACGTTCAAGAATCTAAGGTGTCGGTCGACCGTATCGAGGAGTACCTGAGCGAGCCAGAGACAGATAAGTACTCGCAACTCATCAGCAAGAAGCAGGATGCGGATGGAAATCCCGTCATTGGATTTGAAAACGGCACATTCAGCTGGGGCGGAAAGGATATGACGGATAAAGCTTCCTCCGAGGCCTTCAAACTCATGGATCTGGACTTCGAATTCAAGGTTGAGGGTCTTAACGTCGTGATTGGTCCAACCGGCTCCGGCAAAACATCCCTTCTAATGGCCCTGCTCGGAGAGATGACAAAACTGAAGGGAAGCGTTTACCTACCTGGTGGTGTCAGCCGCGAAGACTTGAAGGCCGATCCCACCACCGGTCTCACGGAGAGTGTAGCCTACTGTGCCCAACAGGCTTGGCTTGTGAATGGAACCATCCGCGACAACATTGTCTTTGCCAGTACCTGGAACGCCAAGCGGTATAAGGATGTCATCGAGGCCTGCTCCCTTCAACGTGATTTGGATATCCTTGACGGCGGAGACCAAACCATTGTCGGCGAAAAGGGTGTCACGCTTTCGGGAGGACAGAAGCAACGTATCTCTCTTGCACGTGCAATGTACAGCAAGGCTCGCCATGTCCTTCTTGACGATGTCCTCAGCGCTGTCGATTCCCACACCGCCAAATGGATTTTCGAGAAGGCTCTTACTGGACCTCTGATGCGAAACCGCACTTGTATCTTGGTGACACACAACGTCAGCCTGTGTCTTCCGCCATCTGATTTTGCCATCGTGCTTGATAATGGTAGGGTAACTTCACAGGGAACCCCCGCCGATGTCATCAACTCTGGCAAAATGACCGAAGATCTTACCAAGTCTGTACCGGCCTCGCGTGGAGCATCACGAGTCCCTTCTCTCACCAACCTCAACGCGAACGGCGAAGAAGCTGCCGATGACCACCATGCAAATGGACTGATCAACGGCGATGCCTCTGGACCCACGGATACTAAGGCAAGCCCGAACCCTTATGAAGAGACAAAGGCTGAAGGTGGTGTCAAATTGAGCATTATCATCATGTACCTCAAGGCCATGGGCCCATGGTACTACTGGATTGGAGCCGCATTCACTTTCGCCGCCCAGCAAATTTCGTCGGTCTCGACAAACGTCTGGATTCGTCAATGGGCGAATTCGTATGCGGACAAGAGTATTAATGCAATGGGACACCATGCGCGAACCCCGATTACCCACGTCCCGACATTGAATGGCCTCGGCACTTGCCTTAACAGCGGCACCTGCAGCTGGAATATTCCCTTCTTCAGCACGCCCGACAAGGCACAGTACTCATACGGCATGATGCAAACCAGCTTCACGGCGAATAAGAATGACGATGTCAACTCTGATTACTTCCTTGGAGTCTACGCCATTCTTGGTCTGATATTCATGTTCATCACATTCATCCGAGAAGGTTTCCTGTTCAGCGGCTCATTGGCGGCATCACGAAGAGTTCACGAGCGGCTTGTTCAAGCTATCACTCATGCAAAGTTCCGTTTCTTCGATCAGACGCCCCTTGGTCAGCTCATGAACCGATTTTCCAAGGATATTGAGGCTGTCGACCAGGAGGTTGCGCCTGTGGCTATCGGTGTCGTGCATTGTCTCGCTTCCATCATCACTATCGTCATCCTTATCTCGATCATCACACCTGGGTTCTTGATTGCCGGCGCTTTTATTACCATCTTGTACGCCGCTATCGGTCGGTTCTATCTCAGTTCCTCGCGCGACCTCAAACGTCTCGAGTCGGTCCACAGGAGTCCTCTCTACCAGCAATTCGGCGAGACCCTATCTGGAATGACCACCATCCGTGCATATGGCGATGAGAGGCGATTCATCCGCGAGAATCTCACCAAGATCAACACTCAACATCGTCCCTTCATCTACCTTTGGGCAGCTAACAGATGGCTCGCATTCCGTGTTGATGTCGTGGGAGCTTTGGTTTCGTTCTTTGCCGGCGTCTTCGTGCTTCGCAGCGTCGGACAGATCGATGCTGGTGCCGCTGGATTGGCCCTCACATATGCCGTCACTTTCACCGAGAACGTCCTGTGGTTTGTGCGACTCTACTCCGCCAACGAGCAGAACATGAACTCGGTCGAGCGTATCAAGGAGTATCTCGATGTCGAACAGGAAGCCGCGCCCGTCATTCCCGAGAACAGGCCACCAGCCAACTGGCCAAGCCAAGGTTCGGTCGAGTTCATCAACTACAGCACACGCTACAGGCCCGACTTCGACAAGGTGTTGAAGAATGTTACGTTCAAGATTCTTCCCGGCGAGAAGGTTGGTGTCGTTGGTCGCACAGGTGCAGGCAAGAGTTCTCTCGCCTTGGCTCTATTCCGAGCACTGGAAGCAGAGGAAGGCAAGATTCTCATCGATGAAATTGACGTGGGCTTGATCGGTCTTCAAGATTTGCGAGAGAATATCGTCATGGTACCGCAAGATCCTACACTATTCACCGGCACCATTAGGAGCAACTTGGATCCCTTTGGCCTCTTCACCGATGAGGAGATCTTCCAAGCCCTGCGCGAGGTCCATCTCATCTCCTCCAACACCTCCAGCGCCACGTCGATTGCAAGCTCACCAGAACGCCCAAGCACTCCTCAGCAGGCCATCGAAATCCCCAACTCCACGTCGGCACCAATCGTATCGGACATCAGTGCAAGCTTCAACGTAGGCTCTACGACGCACCCGTCGTCTATCCTTGCAAACCCCGAATGGCACCACGCAAACGCGGCCAATGATACGATCCTGGCCATACCTAGCGCATCCGCTGCGAGTGCTGAGCAGCCAGCTGGCGGCGCCGCACAGAGTGACAACAAGAATCCCTTCCGCAACCTCAACTCGCCTGTCTCGGAGTCCGGCTCCAACCTTTCCCAAGGTCAACGCCAGCTCTTGTGTCTCGCTCGAGCATTGCTCAAGGCTCCCAAGGTCCTTCTCATGGACGAGGCCACCGCCTCTATCGATTACGCCACTGACGCCAAGATCCAAGAAACCATCCGCGAGATCAAGAACACCACCATCACCATCGCCCATCGTCTGCAGACTATCATTGATTACGACAAGGTGCTCGTCCTGGACAAGGGTGAGGTGATTGAGTTTGGCGATCCATGGGATCTCCTTCAAAGCAAGCACTCTTTCCACGACATGTGCGAGACCAGCGGCGAGATCAGCACCCTAGAGAAGCTTGCGAAAGAAGCACACGATTCCAGGAAGAAGGCCAATGCTACGGCTTAGGAGACAAGCATGTTGTGGCGATTGTTGGGACTACAATGATAGGACGAATACACACATAGACGCGGAGCCAGCCATGCTACTATGAAAGACTGATAGATATCGGATGGACGGATACATACATTGGCATCGACGGCCTCTCTCTCTCACTCACGACATACGTATCGCTCTCCGCATTCCACAAACGTTTTCCCTTCATTTCTCGAGTCATCATCGGCGACGGCGGTATTTTGGATTACCCCTTTTTCCTTTTCCTACCCAGGCTCTCTCATTTTCCGTCACTACACTATAGTAGTTACTGCATATGGCGTTTTCTTTTTCTTCTTTTGCTTCATCTCCCATTGCTACGTACGTCACACTGGCTTCCTTTTTTCCTTTTCCTTTTTGTCCTCTCGAGCCCCCAAGGCAAGGGCTTGTTTTCCGCCCTGCAGGGGTTCCCCCAAAAAATGTACATATGGCGTCGGCAGAAGAGATACAGTAGGGGTATAGGGGGTATATGTTGATGGCAGAGAGATACCAGCTACACTGTGAGATGGAAAGGGTGGATAAAGGAACGGAAAGGTGTAATAAACCAACCAATGAATAAATGGTTCATAGCTACCTAGCTGGGCTACCTATTGTTATGTAGCATAAGCATGGCATGGCATGGCGTGGCGTGGCTGACTTCGAATTGAAGTGAAGTGAAATGTTCTTGATAGTGATTGTTTTGGATGGTGTGTTTGTGATACTGTGAGGACCGTGGCTGTGTATGGCACGCCGCCGGACATCCCACTCACACTCTCACACTCACACCTAAGACATTCATACCCTCCCGTTCCATCCAGACTAAACCACCTAACCTCATACATAATCCTCACCCTCAACACTTCCTCACAACATCTGATCTTGAACAGGGACTGAACAGGACTGCTTTTCACATCACACACACAAACCCTCCCCTTCCCCGCCCCCCTTCCTACAGTTCCTACAGTTCTCAACAGCACACACCACTTATGCAAGAACGATGACTTACTTCCCCTTTCTTCCTTTTCTCCTTAATTCCGTGAGCTTTTTTGTTTGAGAGGATAACTCAAGTTCTGTGAGGTTTTAGGTAAGGGAAAGGGAGAGAGTCTGAAGGTTAGATAAAGTTAGAGTTTGATGTTGTTTAAATTTTATTTTTTTTAATTAGTTCATTTTACATTGTTAGAAACAGGAAGAGGAAGAGAGAAAATGTATAAAAGAAAGGGGTCATCTAACTTTTAAGTTCTGTGTAATGTTATCTTTTTTTTTTGATAAAGTACAATTTAATAGTTAAAAATCTAAAGTTGTAGTTTTCATTATAATGATAAATAATCCAAAAAAATACTGGAAGAAAAAAAAAAAAGGATTTCGATGTTGTTCTGGTCAAACATATTACCCAATATATAGACAGAAACTGCCTCTACTAAGTAAATTCCAGAGTTCTGTGTTGCTAGGACTTTTTTTTCTTCGACTGTTTTACGTCGTAATGGTATAAGGGTCCGCTAGGGGAAGTGCAGGAGGGAGTATGGTATGGTCTTGCTCGTACACATGGTGTCTTCAAACCCCCGTTTCCCCCTTTTTAAACAGAGACTATTGTGGCGCGAAAAAAAGACTATTTTGGAGGGTTAATCGATCGAATCTTGCGTTGGTTTGGAACGTCTGTTACGGTAGGTTAGGTAGATAGGTCAAATGTCTTGAAAGTATGAACAGTGGCACGTTTCGCACCGAATCCACCTGAACCTGAACGTCAAAGAAGTTCTAACATCATCATATGCGTAGTCACATCACCAAAGTCATCAAGCACCTTTTCCTTCAGTGAGAGAAATCAAAAAACGCCTATATTGCAAGTCCTGGTGTATGTCACCGTGATATCTAATCTAATCCAATCCAACCTATTCCTTTCCCAAGATCCAAGATTGCTAAACTATAAAACCAAACTAAAAACCAATGCAGTGATTAACTAAATCCAACATCCTAACGATCTTCCCTAACATGCCCATTAAAAGCAAGGAAACATCTCCAACTAAAGCCACAAGAGAGGCCTATGGAGACACATTGGCACCCTTGCTCTTCGCGGAGCCTATCTTCCTCCATGTCGTGGGCAACAAGCCGCGACTAGGTGGCTTACTGCGTATCTCTTTCCCGCAGACGCACTCGAGATTGCAAGCACTGATGGCTTCTGGGGATTTGCGCTTGAGAGATTCGTCGAAGATCCTCTCCTCCTTACGCTCGCCGGCGATCGAGCTTTTCTTGCAGTACCCGGCCCTGAGACAGCTGACTCCATACGAGTGGCCGTTCGCCTTCTGGAAACTGGCGTGGCCGTTCTTGGAGTTGCAGGTGAGAGGGGTGTACCATTCGAAGGTGTTCAGGGCGCGGGCATCGAGGGGGCTGCTAGATAGTCACGCGCTGGCAGTACCGCGCTTGTAGAACTCCTCAAGACCGCTCTCTTCGCCGTCGTCAGTTTCGGCGGCGACCTCCAAGGGCTCGTCCTCGGGCGCCTGGGCCTCTATTTTCCCATCGCCGCAAACGCAGGCTTTCCTGCAAGCCTCGCCATCGAACTTGGTCGTCACTCGCATGGTGATGGTGACGGAACCGGGGGCGACGATGGGCAACTGCTTCCTGACGCATTGCGCAGCCTTGAGGCAGTTCACTTCGGCGGACTCGCCGTTCGCATTCTGGTACGTGACGATTCCGGTAGAGCCGGGGCATGTCACCTTGGGGTAGGATATGCTTACGCGGCGTGCGCTGAGGCCGCGACGCTTGAGGCTCTGCGTCGAGGGTAGCGATGAAGTGCCATCCGTTGGTGCGGCCGCTGTTGGGGGAGCTGCTGCTGGTGGAGGGGCTACGGGAGGAGTAGCTGAATCCAAGACTGGATCCGCAACTTGATCCGCAACTGAATGAGCAGCCGGATCAACAATTGGAGCGGCGGATGGGAGGGAAGATGGTGAGGCTGATGGGACTGTGGCTCCGTTCGAGGGCACCGTGTTCTGACCCTGAGCTGGGTTGTTCTGCTGAGCTGGGTTATGCTGCTGGACCGGATTGCCCTGCTGGGCTGGAGGGTTCTGCTGGGCAGGAGGGCTCGGTAGACCTGGGTTGTTCTGCAGAGCTTGATCGTTTTGTAGAAGCGGCCTGTTGGCATTTGGATCTGCGAGAGGGTTCGGGTGAGCAGGAGGAATAGGAACAGGAGCAAATGGGTCAGCGGGTGCAGCTGGAGCTGGGGCCGGAGCAACAGGTGCAGGAGCAACGGGAGCAGGAGCAACGGGAGCACCTGGAACACCTGGAACACCTGGAACACCTGGAACACCTGGAACACCTGGGGCGGGAGTACCAGGACCACCAGGAGTACCAGGAGCTGGAGCAACAGGAGTACCAGGAGTACCTAAAGCTGGAGCACCAGGAGTACCTGGAGCAGGAGCTGGAGCTGGAGCAAGAGGCGCAAGGAGATCAAGGGGATTAAAAGGAGCTGGAGCAACAGGAGTGCCTGGAACTGGAGCAACAGGAGCACCAGGAGCTGGAGCACCAGGAGCTGGAGCTGGAGCACCTGGTGCTGGTCGACGGGTGTTTGGTGCTGTGCCTTGCCTGGAAGGAGGAGTCTTCGGCGTGGGAGCTTTCACTGGCCTCGCCGGAGGATTCGCCTTCGCTGGAGTCCTAGTACTGCCCTGGGCACGGCTCGATAAAGCATCGCCATCCGAAAGACCTAGGGCGGATGTTGCAAAAAGAGCCAAAAGAAGGCTCTGGGTGATCTGCATGGTCGTTTTGTCTGGTGGCTTTGAATCTAAAGATACGATAAACGAATGTGTTGGAATAGGTGGTGGAATAGAGATTCCGTGACGGAGTATGCAATAATTTGATATAAAGAGTGTGGGTGTAACAAAGTTACAAAAGAGTGACTGATCGTGATGGCGATGCCGTGTAAGAGATGGACTCTGGGTTGCTTTTATACGAATAGCTCAATGGATGACTTCGTGACTGAGCAGCACCCATCACGGGAACTTGTGATGGGCCGCGAATACGCATTGTTGGAGGTCTACTTCACGATAGTCCGGTCCGAGCAGATCTCTCTATCTGCTACAAATTGGGCCGGACTCAGCCATGGAAAGTAGGTCAGAGCCGGCCGTCAATGATAATCTGTGTCGGAATCAGTAATGAAGAACATTTGTATGGGATCGTGCTCAGGGGTACTACCTCGAATATCTGTGATGGAGGGAGATAGTCGACGGCATCAACGAGTAAAGAACATGTTAAGCTCGAGATCGACGTTATGTCGGAGACGTCGGGTGTTTGCTTCGAGCAGTTCCGTCTGATCATCGTACATTCTAGACACCAACCGCCCCTGCCCCCAAAATCGCCTTTTGAAGGAAATTGCGAATCTGTACTTGCCCCAGAACACTATTCGTGGCCATCACGATCAAAGAAAAAGGGCTTTTCGACAGACCTACACACGACACAAGCCAGATCCAGAACATCAATGCTTGTTTCAACGTCCAGTTCCTCCGCCGATGTCAGCGGGGTCCGTAGAATACTCCGTTGAACCCCAATAAATGCTGATAGACGAATACGAGGTATCTGCTAGTGCTGCGTTATGGTCGATCCTATGCTACCCACATGTTCACAGCGAAGAATTACTTTACACAGCGCGTCCCACACAATGCCGTCGACAAGAATACTGCAATTGCTCTTGCGATTGCACTCAGATCTCCGCTCATGGAACGGTTCTTTGAACTGGAGTATTCTCTGCATACTATTTGGTCCTCCAAATTTAAAGTCTGGAGCGCATCATGTTTAGCAGTGGCGGAAATTCAGTCTTTAATCGCTGCAAAAACCCCTGTTTGAACAATCTTGCTTCTGGCAATAGGAAACTTCGGGAAATCAATAGCAGAATAACTAGTGAATATAGTATTACACGATAGAAGATATATCAGAGGAAATAGGGAGCAAATGGAAAGGTAAATACTATAAATAGTACATCCTTTCGCGTTCATGCTGAATTCTCCAGGACGCCAAATGACGCTGAACCACATCTCTTTGCTGCAGCAGCGTGGATGAATATCCCAAAAAGAGAATTGTGTGCTGGGGCTGTGGTAACGACGAGAACTTTCTCGAAGGAGCGATTTAGAGCGTTTCCTGAGGAATTTTCCGCGCTGAGGGATTTTTTGTCTGTTTCCAAGGTAATATTGGCGGCATGTATTTAGGTTTGTGAATATTTTTGTTGTTGTAATGTGGTTGGATGTTTTCAATTTGGGCGTAGGCCCACGTTTCCAGGTCGAGAACTTCCAGGCTCTATTGTAACCTAGGCGGGATGGGCTCTTTGGAATTGGGATTTCGGAAAGATTACGAAGATGGGAGGTCTGGGGGTGTTGGAATTGGGTTGTCTGATATGTTGGAAAGGGAAATATAATATACTTGGGATGTTTTTACATTTCACACTTTGTGATGAAGCATTAGCTTGGCTCAAATTTGAAAATATTCAGATCACGGTCGAGAGGACTCTTTGTCCTGCATGATCAAATGTTATGACCTGTGAGCTATTCAACAGCGACAGTAATTTTGAGAAATTGTGTTAATATGGGTACGCAACATATACACAAACGGCATTCACTGGTCCGTATGACTGTGTTGGAGGAGAACGTCTTGTAAGTTCGTGTCGGATCCTCGAATTGTGAGATTGTTTTCTAATTGTACATATATATTTACACGCCGGACGGCTCTAGGGTAAGTTTCTTCATCGTGATATATCCGCCCTTGGGTTTAACCTTTCGGTTTGGTTCGCTTTGCAGAGTCCCCATGCCAATGACACTGTTGATATTTCGCAATCGTTTTTTGGCGATGCTCTTAGCCGCGCTGGCAGCTACTTCGTTGTGATCCTGCAGGAACGGACGCCTCTGCTCGTCTTTCATTATAAGATTGTAGCGAGTCCGTATGGGTTCTAGAGTGCGATTGACAGTTTCGGCGACCTTCTCTTTCAGTGCGCGCATCGATACGTTGGCCATGTCTTTGGCCAGCTCCTCCGGGGACGCTGCGACGCTCTCATCCATATAATACATGATATCAATGAGGTTCGACACTCCAGGACGGGCCTGGCGATCATAAGTCACGCCCTCAATTGAATCGGTGAGTGCTTTCTTCATGATCTTCATCTCAATATCACTCTTGGAATCTGTGATCAAGATCCTTGAATTGGGGTTCTCGTCCGACTTGGACATCTTCTTCGTCGGGTCTGTGAGACTCATCACCCGCTTTGCTGGAGCGAGAATAGTCTCCGGCGGAGTGAGTATCGTCCTTCCGTACGCCGCATTGAAGCCGAGCGCAAGCTGGCGCGTGAATTCCAGGTGTTGCGCCTGGTCTTCCCCAACCGGCACATGTGTGGTGCCGTAGAGGAGAATATCGGCGGCTTGGAGGACCGGGTAAGAGAAGAGGCCGAGTTTGAGTGCCTCGCGAGATTTGGGGTCGGCTGTGGACTCGAATGGAGAAGCGTCGGTTCCGAGGCCCATTTTACTCTAGATAATCGGTCAGGAGATCATATTACGCTGGAAACTGGGTTCAATATACCTTCCATTGCGTCATCCTTGACAGGTACCCCATTGACGCCGTACAGCTCAGTATCCACATCAATTCGGCATGCTGGTGCACCTTGCCTTGCGTAAACACTAAGCTCTTGAGCGGATCTAAACCAACCGCCAACAGGCTGGCCATCATTTCACGTCTGTATCTACGAAGGTCGGCAGAATCTTGTTTGACCGTAATTGCATGCATATCTACCACAGAAAATAGCAATTTATCCTGCTCCGATGCTGTGTTTTGTATTCTGACCCATTCTCGCAATGCGCCTAGGTAGTTTCCCAGGTGGGGTATTCCGGTTGGTTGTATGCCTGAGAAGATGACCCTGCCTTTTTCTGCATCGCCTTCTTCGTCGGGTTTATTATAGGGCTGCTTCTGCTTCCGCGGTTGTTTCGTTCTCCAGCTGGGGCCGAACAGCTCTTGTTTGATGGGTCTGGACTTCGCAGCAGACTGTTCCGCAGACGGCTGGGGCGCTGACTCGTGTTCGGAGGTCGAAGATGCGTAGGTCCGACAGGCATTGATGCATTTTCGAGTCGATGTGAGGCCTCTCAGCGGGCGAGTCGTGCCGCGAGCCAGCATTGTCGATCGGATTGGCCTATGATGCGATGGGAGGACGTCGTAGAAGTATAATTGAAGTTGTACATAACGTCAGCCAATCAACGTACGACGTCTGCCAAGGACCAGACGCACCAGCCGCTTCGTCGTCATTTGTGGCGCAGACCCACCCGCAACCGCAACCGCCGCATCAACATTCACAACAACCCAGACATCATCACCTCCTCGATCCCATATTCCCATTCGCATGCTAATATCTTCTTGAACAGCTCTTGCACTGCGAGTCCTTTTGCTTTTAGAGATTCTTCCCACCGCTGTCGCAATAGAAACTTTCCCGCGGAACCCCCGATTTCTTTCACAATACCCTCATCATGTCTTGGACAGGTATGTCTCACCTTCACCTTCACCTTCACTTCGACTTTGCGGGGCTAACATGAGTAAAGGGTTCAAGAAGGGCGCCAACAGGACCGCAACGCGGGTTCTGATGAAGACTGGCCAGGTAGAGCGCACGAATGACCGCGATTTCGAGACAGAACTCAGGTGCGCCTTCACTTTCCTTGATCCCCCCACCACACAATCACAATCACAACCACAACCGCAACCACAACCATAACCACAACCTCGCACCCGCCCTACCACCATCGGAACACTCCACAACGCCATGGCAGATTCTTCGATCCCGTCAGCAGACGGCTTTCCCACCTCGGAGGAGGCAAACCAGTCGTCCAATCCAGATCACAGTGAGGCTACCGCACCGATGAAGCAATATGATTCTGACAACAGTTCTGATGCCGTATATGAGAGTGCTTTGGAAGACTTGTCCGTGAGCGAGGAACAGGAAGAAGACCATCAGAGCTCCTCCTCGGAGAGCGACGATGGAATCAGCCATGGCTCCCCATGCGAGGATGTATCCGACTGGCACAGTCTGGCTGACTACAGCGGCGAGTCCGACGAGTTGGGCGTCCAGGATTATTCAAACGTCCACCCAGCTTTTCGCCTTGAAGCAATCCTCGGAACGGTGCCCACCGACCCGTTCGACAGGGCGTCTCCCACTGGCTCTATCGACGGGACGTCTCCCAGCGGCTCTCTCGACAGGACTTCACCCACCGACTCTCTCGACGGGACTTCACCCACCGACTCTCTTGACAGGGCGTCGTCCATCGACTCTCTCGACAGCCTCAGTCGGGTCCTCCTGTTCTCGCCAGGCGATTTCAATGCATTCTCGGACGAGTTGCGTCTGCCTCCTTGGTTGCGGGGAGCCAGCCCGCCTGGCGACCTCGAAGCTCTCTCGGACGAGCAGCCTTTGCACCCATGGATGCGGGAACCCAGCCTGCCTGGAGGCCTCGGTGCCTTTTCGTACGATCCAAGTCAGTCTCCTTGGATGCGTGAAGCCAGCCCTTCTGAAGACCTCGATGCCGTCTCGTACGATCCAAGTCAGTCTCCTTGGATGCGGGAAGCCAGCCCTTCTGAAGACCCCGATGCCTCGTCGGACGAGCCACGTTTGCCTCTGTGGATGCGGGAAGGCGGCCTGCCCAGCGACCTCGATGCCTTCGCGGACGAGCTGCGTTTGCTGCGGGAAGCCCTGAGCTCATCCAGCGACTTCAATTCCCTCTCGGATGACCTGCGTTTGCCTGCTTGGATGCGGGAAGCCAGCTCGGTTCGCTTCCCCAACTATCGTCTCCCTCCATACGACCCCCGTATCTCCTTGGACCTTGAGGAGTATCTCGATCTGCTGGACAACGACCCATTGACCCTCATATCCGTGGACATCTTCCGCCCCCCCGCCTCGCCCGCATCTTCTACCACCTCAGAGTCTAATCCTAACAAACCCCGCAGGCGCTACCGCACGATGGAGACAGCGGCCAACAAGCTCCAGAAGGAAGCCAAGGGCTACCTAGACAGTCTGCGCGCGATGACGGCGTCACAGATGCGCATCGCGGAGACCATCGACGCCTTCTACGGCGACGCAGGCACCAAGGACGGCGTGTCGCGATCATACAAGCAGGCAGTCACCGATCTCGACGCGGAGACGATCAAAGCTCTCGACGGCCCCTACCGCACGACGGTGCTCGACCCGATTCAGCGCTTCTGCTCCTACTTCCCCGACATCAACGCGTGCATCACGAAGCGCGAGCACAAGCAGATGGACTACGACCGGATGCGCGCGCAGGTCAAGAAGCTGACGGACAAGCCCGACAAGGACGTGACCAAGCTGCCGCGCGCCGAGAAGGACGAGCAGCTCGCCCGCGCCGCCTACGACCAGCTCAACGACACCCTCACCAGCGAACTGCCCCAGCTCATCGACCTCCGCGTGCCGTACCTCGACCCGTCCTTCGAGGCCCTCGTCAAGATCCAGCTCCGGTTCTGCGCCGAGGCCTACAGCCGCATGGCGCAGGTGCAGCAGTACCTCGACGCCAACACGAGGGACCAGTACGCGCAGGGCGAGCTGGACGCCCGGGTGGAGGAGGTGCTGCAGGAGATTCGGGACTTGAGCATCGCAGGGACCGTCTAAATTCATTCAAAAGTACACAAGCGACGAGCGACGACCGTGAGAATTGAGAATTGAGAATTGAGAATGAAGTAGTTGCTTTGATTTGCTTTGCTTTGCTAGCCCTTTTTGTTTCTTGCCCTCCCATCCATCCATCATACCTCCCCCTCCCCGTTCAAACCATTCAAATGCTTCTGTCACATTATCCGGGCTTTTTTTTTTCTTTCAAGGCAAAGGTGTAGGCAGTTAGGTTAGGTAGTTTAGAGGAAAGGAATCACTCAAAACTCAAACCAACAATTCACAAAACGTTAACCAAACAAACGAAGCAAACGAATGAATGAATGAATGTGTGATCTCACATTGCGACGAAATGGAACGAACGAACGAACGAACGAACGAACGACCAACTTGGTTACTAACTAAGTAGTTATCAACGCTCCACCGTCATCTGCCTGCCTGCCACCGCCCTCTCCTCAAGGTCGTCAAAAAATCGCAAACGAAGCGAAAGTGAAAGAACGAACGAACGAGTGAACACCTCAATCGCCCAACCTCCATCGAAAAACGTGGCTATTACGTCTTGCGTCTCCCTGTTGTAAGAAAAATGGAGAACCCGGAAAAAGAGGGGGAGGTTTCGTATGTTAGGTAGGTAGGTTAGGTAGCACATCAATAAACCCCTTTTTGCATAATTGTGTCATGAGAAACTTGCGTTGAATGGGTGGACTGCGCGGCACTGCGTACCTAGATGGTGAGGACTGAGTGAAGTGAGTGAGTGGCTGGATGGATGTATGAACCTATGAATCTAATCTGTGTGGGTGTGAGTACCTAGTTCCCTAGGTTAGGTAGACAATGTCGTCGTCACAAAACACTCGTAGGTATCACAACGACGACAGCCCACGACTCCGACTCTTTCGTGGTTAGTATCATCATCGTCGGGTCTTTACTTCAAGGTAACTTTGGGGTGTGATATGGGTTGCCATGCACGTTCGATTCATTTCAGTTCAATCTATTCGATTTCTAGCCTACCAGCCTGCCAGCCAGACCTGGAAACCCGCGAACTCGAGATATATTTTTCTCTCTGCACTGATTTCGAATCGTAACGCCGTGGGCTGTAGTGGTTTAGTTCTACAGATCCACCCCCGTTACTAATTGCTCGGTCTCGGTCTCGCTGCTGCTGTTGCTGTTGCTGGTGCTCAGATATATGGATCGTGATGGAAAACGGGGGTAAAAGGAGAAAAGGGAAAGAAAGAGGTTAACGCCAATGCCGATGCCAAGTATGCCAGTATGATCGTGGGGAGAGGGAAAATGCGAGAGCGGGAGAGGAAAACCTTTGATAGAAAAAACTCCTGGAATGTTGTCCGCCCGCCGCTCCATGGGAATAGACAGAGCCAGACGCGGAGACAGGGAGTGAAAATGCCTGTAGGGGAGAACATAGAATGTGGAGTCGCCTGATGGAAAGAGAGGAGCATTGGTAGACGTTCATGAACCGATTGACCTGACCGAACCAAACGCCGCGCTTGAGAGAAAGGATGGAATGGGAGCGTGGATTTGGATCATTTACCAAAGATGCGAAGAGAGTCGTGAATCGGATGTCGTGAGGGGCGTTCTCGGAGTATGGAAAAGGGATGATAGTTTGAAAAGGAAACGCTCATATGCCAAGCGGACGTGCACACGCACCCCCTATGACTTCGCTGTGGTACCTTTCGACCCCGCGGCCTTGTGGTCCTCGTCGTCTTCATCTTCCTCGTCGTCCAGGTCGGCGGCCTCAAGGTCTTCCGAGTCCTCCTCCAGATCCTCGTCGGAATCGCTACCTCCCCAGCTCTCCACATCACTGTCCTCCCAGCTCATGTCGAAATCGCCGTCGTCCTTCTTCGTCTGGAAAGCAGTCTCGTGTGTTGGCATGACAAAGCCCGCGGGAATGTCCTGCTTGCTCGTCTCCAGATCCTTCCTCACCATCTCCTTGTATTGTTCGGGGTGGTTGCGGAGCATGACTCCGGCGTCCACATTCGCTGGTGACGAGACCTCGGCATCGTCGAGCAAAGACAGCACGGATATGAGCACAGTCTCCACTCGCTGCACAGGAGACCAACGCTCGGCCGCCGTCTCGCCAGACATCTCGTCGTCGCCGGGTGCGTGCAGGATGGAGATGCAGAGGCGGCCGTCTGGGTAGATGTTGGGGTGGTACAGCGGTCGAACGAACTTAAAGTCCGGCGGACTGTATGGGTAGTTCTTGGGGAAGCTCAATTTGGCCTTGAAGTAGCCGCCGTAGTAGAGGGAGTCGGGATTCAGCACGATAAGTGCAACGCTCCACTCGAAGACGTTCTCGTTGATCAACTGTCACAGATCGTAATTAGTAAGGGAAGGAAAAGGAAAGGAAACTGCCGTCACCGCGGTGCGGCTGTAAGGACACCAGGTATACATACTTCAATGTTGGTCCAGGTCTCCTTGCTCATGGACTTGAACTCGTTCATGAGGAGTCTCTCCGCACTAGCCATGTTGAAGGTGATTCGACTGTGGAATCCGTGTAACCGGCAGGTCGTGTGATATGAGGCGTGTAGACTGGTAGGCGTCCGGTCGCTGTAGGTAGGCTGAAGTTGGGCGGAGCGGTTGGGTAGTGGGGTTCCGTACAGTGGTAAGTCGATCGGAAGCGGTCGGTGGGGGGCTTATGTGGCGGTTGAGTATGGATAGTTATATAGATCGTAGAGCAAGGATCGTGCTTGTGAAGGTGAGTGAGTGAGTGATTGAGTGAGGCGTGTAGTGTTGTTCGTGGATAAATGGTAGTGAAGATAGTAAGAGAGAGAGAGTGTGTGTGTGTGAGTGTGAGAGAGAGAGTTGTGAAAGAGTGAGAGAGTGAGAGAGCGATAGTGGTTAGGTTGAGGCAAGTCAGAATCGGGTAAGTTAACCAACACGCTAATGACGGATGCATGAAGGGAAGGAATGACCCAATCACATGCAGCCGCCACCTTCTTCGTCTTCAAATCTATTGCTGTCAAGGGTCGAGACTTTTCCAGTCAGCCAATCACAGTCCCGTATTCCGCAACCACCATGGCCATATCCGACCATACGCTACCAGAATCCATTCCGGCGACTATCGGAACTGCGTTTTCACTTCCTAACAATCCCTAACCCTACTCTTCTCTCTCTGTCATATGTTACAAAGAAAGTCGGATCTTCTATAAGCAATATATTGGACTGATCAATCGACATTGAAAGAAACCTTATCAATATTCATAGTCCCAAGACTCATTTCCGATATCTTCGTTATTGGATACTGTTCATATAAGAGAGAGATTGTAAGTAGTGAGTACCATGTTGCGTTGTCCATATCGACTAATGGAAGCACATGCTCGCTCGAAAGTGTCATGTCGCCATAGTTAGTACGGTGCTCATCATAACTACTACGCAGTACATCAACCATCATATTGCATGGAACCATATCGTTTTTAAAAAGGCATGTATGCTTGACTCCCTCCTAGCCCAACCCGTCCTACCAAATAGATAGGACAGATATATGGCTAAGAAAAGAGGCAACATACTGCCTAATAATTTTTTATTGATTTTTTTATATGTTAATATGTTGTGATGTGTTGTGTTGTTATACATGCTTAACCATGATCACAACCACATATGAGATGTGATCGTGGACATACATTGTGGTTGCGCGTATAACGTTCAAGGTTGCCCCTGACAGGACAGGCCGAAACGTTTGTCGAAGAAGGGATTGGGACTCAAAAGCTGCGGCGTCCGCAACAGCAAACCGAGAGCGTCCCAGAGGAATTGGCGAAAAGCAAAAGGCCGGACGTGAGTGCATGACCAACCCAGACCGGCCCAAGACCACAGAACCTGATATCCAGTGCAACCAAACCCAGTTACACCATGCCCAACATATCCCACAGAGCATCCGTCCGCCCTCGTCGAGACATGTCGTCGGCCTAGATAACCCAACCGACCCACAAGAGGAACCGAATGTACAATAACTCCCGTCGGTCAGCGTCTCTGGCCATCCAGATACCCATACCAGCCCGAACCCAACCATAATCAGCACCACCACCCCAGTACAAGTCAAAGGCACAGCTTAAAACCGGCCGCCCCGAATGCGCCAGAACTCCAAACAAAAGGGAAGAGAATGACCGTCTGGACATTATCGTAATTACATGTTGGTAGAAGTGAAAATGGAGAAAGAGGGAAAGAAGAAGGTACCCGATATTGACAAATGAAAAAAAAGTGAGCAAAAGGTGGAATCGATGACCCTGCACGATTAAAACCATCCCTAAAGACCGAACGAGCAGAAAAAAGGCCCAGAGACAATAGCTAAGATCGTACGGATATGCAGGACATCGAAAGTAACAGTGTCGCAGAAGAGCAGATGATGTAAAACGAGCGGAAACCGAATTGGAAGAGACATTTTCCGTGGAAGAAATCTAACGAACGCCCGCTGAGTCACCCATCTTAACATTCAATAATCGCTTGAGATCTTGCTCTAGAGACGATGAGTCCGGGGCCTTGGAAGGAGAAGAAGGATACTTCTTGGCCTGGACAGAGGAAGGGACGAAAGGGTTCGCTTTGGGAACAGTTGCGGCCTGCACAGAAGAAGGTATGAAGGGATTAGATTTGGGAACGTTGACGGGTTTTCCATTGTTGGCGCCGGGGTGGTGCTGCTGCGCATGCGTATGAGAGTTGGGCCTCGCCTTGTACTGGTTCCTACCAGGAGTCTGAGCCTGACCCCTGGGCTTGCGATTGTCTGGTGATTCGCGGTACTGCTGGACCTGGGGTGCGGAGCCACGCCTTGGACCGTTCGGGCGGAAGGCTTGTTGCAGGTAGTTCTGTGAAGCAGGTCCATCGGTCGTAGGCGGGGGTCCTGCCGCGGGCACAGAAGGAAACTCGCCCTGCCCGATGAGAGGGGAGTCTGCCGTGATCTCGGTGCGGAGTCCAGAGTTGCGAGGAGTTCCATCCGGCTTAGCAGCGGCCTTGAATAGAGGCGACAGGTTGCGGTTTCCGTAGAAGAAGTTGGACTGCTGTTCCTGAGGTGCCGGCGCAGGCGTCGAAGGACCGGAAACACTTCGATGGAATGAGGGACTCTGATGATGAGGCGACGATTCAGAGGGTACCTGATCGCCGGTCCTTGGGGGAGTCGTGGCGGCCATGGACTTCTTCTGGGAGAGGGAAAGCCTGTCGAAAAGGTCCTGGATCGCGCCCGAGTCATTGCCAGGCGCAGGAGCGTTGCCCTTGGCCGATGGCATCTTCGAAGGCTCAGTGTTGGACCGATGGGGGACGGGAGCAGACGCGGGTGGGGAAGTCTGGTTGTGCTGCGCCGAGGCATCCAGCTCTATCGGGAATATGGCATTCATGGAACCTTGGGAGCCGTGCTTGGAATGGTGCGGGGTACGGCTGGTGAAGGGATCAGAGGGGTTCATGTGAGGATTAGGGCCCGGGCTGTGGGTAGCATTCTTCGCCTTCTCCGCCCGATCTGCTTTGAAAAGCATGTCCAAGGGAGAGTTCTCGTGACGAGGCGGGACCGCGACAGGAGCGCGAGAAGGCGACGGTGGGAAAGGCGAAGGAGGAGACGTAGAAGCCGGGCTATCGTCTGGTGGGGTAGGCGGCGCACCGCGAGACTTTGCCGGTACAGATTTCGAGAGGAACTTTGGGATTGGAAGGGCAGATGGCGCGGGAGAGGCATGGAATGTAGGACCGGCGTAGGCGGGCGCATCTTTGGCAGGCGTAGCAGAGGCATTGTTTGGGATGGCTTCGGAATCGGTCAACGAGGCACCGTGGGTGCTTTGCGGGGACAGGACACGATCATGGTGGGCGTGGGAGCTATGGTTGTGGTGTTTCTTTGCGCTCCTCGACCCTGCTGGGACAGGCATTTCTTCGCTTGACACTACGGCGCTGTCCGAGTAGATTGGGTTCTGCGTGTCGTACAGGCTGTTGCCAGCCACGTCAGCGGCATTGCGATGGTTGTTTGGGTTTCCACTGGTGGTGCGATTGCCTTTGTGTCGTCGCTGAGGGTTCCGGTTGGCATTGTTAGGCGGTACCTGTGTTGCGCTCTTGGAGTGCTGGTGGTGCCTGGGCCGAGGGCCTCTCGGGGATGCAGCGGCTGGTGGTGGTTGTGTGGTGGACATGTGGTGTCGTCGCTATCGGAAGCGTATGCGTGAGAGTGGGAGTGGGAGAGGAGGAATGAGGTTATCTCGAGGGTCGACGGCGGGTGCCTTTGGTTCTTGAGCGTGACGTTGGTTGTGGGGATCGGGGCTTTGCGGCTGAGGCTGTGGTGGTGTGGAGGTGGGTGTTGTTTGCTGAGGCGCGGGAGATTGAAGGTAGCATATCCAGGCTGGATAGGAGAACGAGGAAGGGTAGGACCGTCGGGGATTTATTGCGAAGTAATTGGCGCGATAGAGAATGGGAGGAGGATGCGACGGAGATTTAAGATGGTTGGGGAGAGTGGGAGTGGGAGGGTGGTGGTGGAGGTGTTGTTGTGGTGACGATGGTTGTGATGACGGGGATTGGGAGGAGAAGGATGGATGACTGATGACTGAGGCGAAGCTGGAGGCGAGAGAAAGGTTTGACTTGGGCTGGGGGGGAGGAATAGGATTACTAGGGGGGTTTGGGTTGGTTTCGGTTGGTGCCCGGTGGCTTGCCCTTGTTCTTGTTATCCCTGCCTGCCTTGTGTTCCTTGTGCTTGTTTGTTAGTGACTCGTCTCGTATCTCGTCAGTCCAGCCTGAAATCTTCTGTTAGTGAGAACTGTGACGCAGTGTGGGGTAGTTGGAGGAAGAGAAGAAGGGAAGTAGAATGAAAAGTGTAGGTTGTTGACTGTTGTTGTGGTGAGGGTATCAGCATCAGTATCATGGATGGATAGATGATAGATGATTGTGGTGGTACCAAATGCTTGGCAGAGCCATACCTACAGTCAGTCCAGGCAGGCACGCAACAACTGATAAAGAGTATAGTGGAATTTACATAGAAAAGAATCAGGTACATACACTCACATACTGTTTAGCTACTGCTCATAAGTACTCCGTTCTTATATAATACACCACCACCAAATCATAGCTGCCTTGAGCTACTACATTCCACTACCAAGCTATAGAAGCTTCATCCTCCATCCACCACCAGCTCACCTCCGTCACTCACCTACCTCCAACCCCGCGCCGCCGCACGCAACACACAACACGCCGCACGTCCTGTCTTACCGTAATCCCACCCTTCCACTCTCAACCACCTCCAACACCAACGACAACGATCTCACCCGCAAGAAACCACACTGCCCATCATGGCCGACATCGACATGAAAGACGCCCCCACCTCCGCCGCCGCTGCCCCCAAGGCGAAGGCATCCAAGGCCGGCGCAAGCGCAGACACAGGCGACAAGAAGCGGTTCGAGGTGAAAAAGGTACGCATCGCGCCGTCTTCAAAGGCTACAAACAATCAATCAGACAAACACTAAACGGATGGATGAATATAGTGGAACGCAGTGGCGCTCTGGGCATGGGACATCGTCGTCGACAACTGTGCCATCTGCCGTAACCACATCATGGACCTGTGTACGTAGCTCGCCGCTCCCCTTCTGTCATGGAGTGTAAGGATGGAATAATGACTGACTTGTTTCATGACGGTAGGCATCGAGTGTCAGGCCAACCAGGCGTCAGCCACCAGCGAAGAGTGCACAGTAGCGTGGGGAATCTGCAATGTACGTCGACCCCATACCTTCAGCAGCAACGAATGGATGAAAGAAAGAAAGAATGGTTAGCTAACTTTGTATTGTGTCGAACAGCACGCCTTCCACTTCCACTGCATCTCCCGATGGCTCAAGACGAGACAGGTCTGCCCGCTCGACAACCGTGACTGGGAGTTCCAGAAGTACGGACGATAGATGCCGGGGGACTGTTACGTATTGTCACGACGAGTCATTGTTATCATTTTCTTTCCACTCTTTCCTCCTGGCCCCGCGACGGTTCGATTCAAGACATCATGACGGGCGGGGAGGGTAATAGTAGCAGTAGTAGAGAAGCAGGAGTTGGGTCAAGCAATATCACAGGGAGGACAAGGCTGGAGCTGGAGGAGCAAAGTCGAAACAACATCTAGAGGTCGACTCGACCACTATAGGAACCGGCCGACGCATGGATGGATGAAGAAACACTATATCATTCTTGCGCAGGTGGAACGAGGACCGGCAGTGAGAACATCCAGGCCCTTTTGAACCAAAAAAAGAAACATCGTCAAACAAACACTCTTGATCTGGCCTAGCTACGCCATACCATGCCGTGCCATTCCTCTCCAGAACTCTCATATCAATCCAATTCCAAATCCAAATCCAATTCCAATAATACCAAATATAATCTTTACACCCTCCCATAAAATATCCCATCCCATCCCCATCCCCTCCCACGCACCCCGTGTACTCAAGAAACCGTAACTTTTACCCCCCCCAACGGACTCAACCACTCCACCCCATTCCGTCGATAAAACCCCCACGGCGGCACGACCGCCGCGAACGTCGCCGCCGTGCCCGCGAGCCCCACCCACAGCGACAGCGCGATGTCCTGCTTCATAAAGCCTGCGAAGAACGCTACGATCTATCCCTCTTGTCAGTATATCCCATGATATGAGGGGGGCAGGGTGGTAGGGGACGCACGCCAGTTAACCCGAGGAGGAAGGTAGTGAGGAGTTCGGCGAGGCGCTGGCCTTCGAAGTCCTAGACGGGGGGATGTTAGTGGGAGGTTTTGAAGGGGGGAAAGGGGAGGGGGGAAGTACGATTTGGCCTTCGAGGGCGTCGCGGAGGGGGTCGAGGAGGGCGTCCATTGCTTTTATTTCTGTCGTTCCTTGTGATGGTTTGGGAGGTGGTGGTTGTAAGGTGAGCGCGTATACGTGTGTCCGTCCGTCTGTTCAATTCGAGGTTCCTGGCTGTTTGGTTGGGCTTCGCAGGTTCGAATGTTGCTTCGCGCTCGTGGTACCCCGTCGTAGTAATCCTCAAGTACGAGTAAACCACCTGGGTAGGTATGGGGAGACGTCTAGAGCTGCGACGATGGATGATGCTCGGACTCGGTCGTCGATGTGTCTTGATGTCTTCAGCCGGCCAATCAGCGCTCGTCTTGTCCTTGCTTGCTTATCGATAAGGATTATTCGGGTCGGGAATGCCTCTTGTGTTTCGGGCCGAGTGCATGGGTGGGTTGGTGGTATTTCATGATTGTGTCAAGTCAAGTATTATATTAAGGAAAATAATATCCAATAGTTGAGGTTGTCGCGTAGGGAAAATGCGTCGTCCGATTGTTTGAACATACACAGACATATGCATAAACATCACCACGGAACGTCAATAGGATTGATACGTGTAATAGCATAGCAAGGAACCCCCCGCCGCCCATCGTATGGATGCTCGATACGGCATCCCTGCATCGCAAGTCAGGAACCAAAAACATCATGGAACGAAAGTTGAAATGAGTGTGTGGTCGATGTACTCTGTAAGAGTACAATCATTTTTTGACTTGTTGGGTAGCTTTCGAAGGAAGACGAGGGAGATGGGGAGGGGTGTGGGAGTTTTTGAATACTCTGGCCAAGTAGATTGGTATATCTTTTAGATACCTAGGTAGGTATTGATATTGCGTAGAGGATGAAATGGTTCGCAATATTACCTAGAATAGTATTCCGAATTGGATCTTGATCTCGAATACTTCCCTGCGATCAGTGAATCATATGCCCTACTTGCGTCCAGTACGTAGGTTCTCCAACTAGGTACACCATCTGCAAAGTACCAGTACTTGTACCCATCATCACCACTCCACCACCTACCTAAGTGCGCAACTACAATCCAGAAAAAGCAAGAAAGAGCGCGGGACGGCATGTCCACGAGACTACTTCCCCAAAAACCCCTCTGCGCGATTTTGAACACGACCTTAAGAAAAGAGAGGGATATTTTGTATTAGCCTCTCGGGTTAGTGTTCAGCTGCGAGCGGATGGTGACGGTGACGAAAAAACGAACAGCAGCAACGACGTTCTCGAATGCGCCGGTACGGTACAGTTGCTTATGATATGATGATAGGACGTATAGGAAGCACAGGCACAAGTTCTCCGTATAAGGGTACGCGTAATAAACCCCGAAGTTCGAACTACACAACAGAAAAAGCGGCGAATGAGTGCCGCGCAATGACATCGTAGCAGAGCAGCACATGTCGAATTGGATTGGCAGGGCAGGCAAAGACGGGAGCGCGGCCTTTCGCGAGTGCTTGTTTCCCACTGTACCGGCGGGGGGTTTTTTGACGGTTAGTGACTGCGGGATAGGATACCAAGATTGTTATATTGTTGTGTGTAACTGTGACAAAGGGTGGTGAGAAGTATGGTTGAGGGAGGGCACATGGGAGGGTTGTTTGGTGGGTGTTGGACGATGCGATGTGTGTGATGTACCCCTCTTTCTGTTTGGTACCACGGCATAGTAGATAGGTGTTGTGTACATGTTGGATAAAGTGCCTCATACAATTAATCCAGCACAGGAAGGAGAAATATACTTGTGATAGATACGTAGAACTTCCACAGTGCGTCATTGGTGTAGTGGAAACTTACAATAAATCGCTCTTTATGCGCGCTACGGGTAACCTACCGTTAAGAGAGTAGATGATGAGCGACAGATTCTTCAGCGCAGAATCCACGCAGCAGCTGAAGTACAGTACAAAGTGCAAGTAGATAGAGGGTTTAAAAGGGAGGTTGGCAAGTGAATTCAGCTCCTCCCGGCCGTGGTCGAGTCCAATGAGTCCAGTGCAGTCCAGCCCAGTCCATTTGGTATGACTATAGTGGGAACTGGGAACTGGGAACTGGGAACGATGAACTATCGACGGTCCAAGACAATGAATATGTACTTGTAATTACTTGTAATTGTACTTGGATGATGATAGGGTAGGAGAGTAAAATACAGAACAAACCATCACACAGTTAGGAAAGAATCTCTCCCATGCTGCGCTTTAACTTACTCGTTCAAGTCGTGAGTCGTAAGGAATCTCCACTTGTGAGTATTGGTTGAGCTGATGTTTCCACCATGTAATTATTGCCGCCCAATCGTGCACCGGGCGAGTTTCCATTATTCATGTCGGGTGGGCCTGCGTACGAAAGAGAGAGCAAAGAGAGAGGGATGTGTAGGAGAAATGCAGGGTTTTCTTTCAATTCTTACTCATAGTCAGTACACAGTCAGTAGTCCGTCAGTAGTCTCATACAAATAGTTAAGCCCAATTAGGGGAATCGACCTGAGCCAATGACGACGCTCTCGCCGCAAGACCGTCTTTCCTTTGCCGTTCGCCTTTCGCCTTTCGCCTATCAGAGTCTTTCCCATCCAGGGCACAGGCATTACTTTTTCCCTCACTCTCGCCCGCCCTCCTCCTTCCTTCTTCCTTCTTCCTCTTCTTCTCTCTTACAACACAAACTGTCCTTTGGACATTAACCCAACCCCCAATTCAACCACAACAACCACAGTTCAATCAACTACCAGATCGAACAATATCATCTGCTGCGCTCAGTCAGTGCAATATCAACCACCCTCCCTGTCCGACAGGCGAAAAAACAACCACCAAACCTTCAATCGGCGCCTCGACCTCTTAGAGGCCTTCGCTGTACCCCTTCTCTGTCTCTCAACCACCTGAGCCAGACTCGACCCTCAGTAGCCCAACCTACTGAACGAATACTCGGTCACCTCCTCTTTCCACTCCCCCCCCCCAAACCAGCGCTCCCCGACGCCTCGGCGTTCACTCCAATACAAACCATCAAGTTGGCGGGCCTCTACATCCACAAGTTTTCTTTCGTTCGCCCTCTTCTCGGCCCAAAGGCGTGGGTCTACGGAGGCGACTACAAGAAGCCTCCATAACTGGCCCTTCGGATCAGATCACGTTACCATTCTCTCGCTCATCTGTCGCTACGACGTCGTAATCCCTCCTTGTTCCCCGGTGTAGGACGCTGGAAGCAAGGCCTTCGGCACATATCCCCCCAAGGGCTGAGTATAGGGTGAGACCCCTATGCGAAGCCACCGTTCGCATTGAACTCACCAAGGAGGTGAGCGCTCACAAGCGACTCGCCGGCACAGGCACGCACTTGCTTAGCAAGAGGGCGTCAGTCGAACAACTGTAAAGAAAACCCAGAAAATAAATAGAGAAGAGGAAGAAAAAGAAAAGAAAAGAACAAAAGAAGAAGAGGAGAAAACAACAACCCTGGCTTAATCTACGGTACAGATCGCTACCGCCCGTCCTCCCGGAGTCACAAACTCATCGCCGCCTGAGTCGCCAACATGACCGATACTCCGAGGTCTGACAAGTCCCAGACGAGGTTCAGCACCCCGGTGTCTGACCTCGACGACCACCGGAACCAGCCGCAGTCCATGCCACGGATCGAGACCGCGGGATCTGGCGCTGGGTCTCGCAGGCCCACGTTCGGCAGCACCCAGGCTGTTCCCGAGCGGCCAATCCTGCTCACCCAAGTCAATGAGGCACTCGAGTCCCACGCCATCACCAGCCGCGATTTCGAGAATGCGATCGTGGACGATGACCACCTGTCTCCCGATCAGTACGCGCGACGAGGATCCGTCACGGCCAGTCCCATGGGCCGTCGCAGCACCTTTGTGCGCCCTCGCGACCCGGCCGTCGAGCGCCTGGCAAGGTCCCGAGCATCGTCCCGCTCTTCGCGATCCACCTCGCCGCCGAACTCTGTCGATGCCTTTGCGGGACCCCACCGCCGCGAGCGAGCCAACACGCTGGACAGCATTGCGCAACCGGATCTGGAGCTCGCCATCCATAGGACAATCTCCGGCCCGACCAAGAGGCGCCCCACGATCAGCGACGAGCGCCCTGAGATTGTTCGCGCCGACACGGTCTCGACCCACAGCTCTGCAGAGGAGGATGTGTGCTTCCCCGTGCAGGAGGACCCCGGCAAGACGACTCGGTTCGACTACGAGGAGCTGGAGGAGTTCATCGTGGAGAACCAGGAGAAGACGCCGATCGCGAACCCTCTCCGCCACAAGTCCAGCGTGACCTCGCAGCTGTCCCAGGCCAGGAAGATCTTTGGCGACCTCCGGCCCAAAGCCGACCATTCGAGCGTGCTGCGCATGGACCCTGACACTGCGACCATCAAGGAAGCCATTGAGCAGTCCTCGGACGAGAAGCTGGCCGACGGCTTCGGCACGCAGTACAACGAGAAGCAGGCCAGCGTGGCGGACGTGACGCTGCTCAACCGATGGACGTTCTTCTCCTCGGAGCTGGACGACACCATCCACGCGGCGGAGCTTGGTGGGCTCCTCATGCCCGGGGAGCGGTTCCGCGACCTGTTCGAGCTGCCCCAGGACGGCGGCGTCTGGTGGCTGGACATGGTCAACCCGACCGAGGAGGAGGTCTTTGCCATCTGCAAGGCGTTCGGCGTGCATCCCCTTACCCGCGAGGATATCATGATGCAGGAGCCGCGCGAGAAGGTCGAGCTCTTCCACCAGTACTACTTTGTCTGTTTCCGCTCGTTCTACCAGGACGACGACGACAAGGAGAACTACCTGGAGCCGGTCAACTTCTATGCCGTCGTCTTCAAGGAGGGCCTGTTGACCTTCACGTTCGTCGAGTCCCCGCACACGGCCAACGTGCGCAAGCGTATCGGACGACTCCGCGACTACATCAACCTGTCGTCGGACTGGATCTGCTACGCCCTGATTGACGACATCGTCGACGGCTTTGCGCCCGTGCTCCGCTCGATCGAGCACATCACCGACGCGATCGAGGACCAGGTGTTCACGGCCCGCATCGAGGACTCCCGCGAGATCCTCCGCGCCATCGGCGACTGCCGCAAGAAGGTGATGTCGCTGATTCGCCTGTTGGGCGGCAAGGCCGACGTCATCAAGGGGTTCGCGAAGCGGTGCAACGAGAACTACAACGTCGCGCCGCGGTACGAGGTCGGATTGTACCTCTCCGACATCCAGGACCACGTGGTGACGATGATGTCGAACCTGGGCCACTTCGAGAAGATGCTGTCGCGCTCGCACTCGAACTACCTGGCGCAGATCAACGTGGACCAGGTGATCCAGGGCACGCACTCCAACATCACGCTCGGCAAGGTCACCGTCATCGCGACCATCCTCGTGCCCCTCAACCTCATCTGCGGTCTCTTCGGCATGAACGTGCACGTCCCCGGCCAGGACGTCCCCGGCTACGGCTGGTTCTTCGGCATCCTGGGCACGATCGCTGCGTTCGTGACGTGCTGTCTCTGTGTCGCTAAGAAGATGAAGTACATCTGAACGAACGTCGATGCATCTTTGTCTTTCCCTTCCTTTCCTTATTGTCTTTGCTGTGTCTCATTGTTGTTCGCTCGATTGTTGATTGGTTCTCTTCCCCTTCCATGTCATATGTTTTGTTATGTTGTTGTCTTGCACCCTCATGCCTTCTAGCTAGTAGTAATAGTGATAGTCCAGTGGATGTACATATGTCTGTTCTATAGACACGTCTTCGTCTTCTTTTTCTAGCCTAATCTACGAAAATAGGGAGTAATGAGAGTAGAAAAAATAAAAAGTATGTTGAGAAAATGGAGAGATTGAATGAGGAGTGATGTGTTGTGGTGACGAGTCCCCTCTGCTGAGTGTGTGAGTGAGTGAGTGAGTGAGTGTGTGTGTGTGTGTGACTAGGGAGGGAACTGGGGGAACTTGGGAAGATGGGAAGATGGACTGTTTACGTGGTTGTTTATCATTGTGTTTGTGTTTGTGTGTTTGTGTATTTGTTTCTCTATCATCATCTCTACTATTGTGTCTCCTCCTATCCCTCCCTATACGTATACCACAACCCACCCAACTACACTCTTCCCATCTCAGATCTCCCCTCGTCCCCCCTTTCCCTTCTCATCTCTCAAATGTCAAATGTAAGAATCTCAAATCTCCGACGAGCGGGCACGACGGAAGTCTCCCTCTCTCTCTCTCTCTCTCTCTCTCTCTCTCTCTTTTGCCCATAGCTAACCTAACCCCCACCAACCCTCCATCCTTCCACGAAAACCCCAGTTTTCTCCGGCTCTGCCTGGCATCAAAGACATGAAAGAACCACCACAGGCGCTCGTGGGGGCGGGGCCCACTCAGGTAGCTGTACCGATGCCTATCCCCTCCCCTCCCCGTACAACTCTTCAAAGCTTGTCGTTGTTGGCTTTGTACTTTGTTTTGGTGGGTTTGTGGGAGGCGAAGACGAATTTTTTACTAAGTGCGTGTATAGGTAGCTAGCTAATCCCTTTTTTCTTTCTTTTGTGCGGGGAAGGGAGATGAGTTGATGGGAGGAATAGTATCACCCATACATTGGTGTAGTGCCAGCTTCATAATAAATACCGAGCTTAACCCACCTCTTCATTCCCCAAAGCCGTTATCGCAAGCGTCTTCTGTCGGGGCAGGGGGTTTAGGAGGTATTATAAAAGAAATATCTACTACATCTATCGGTTACTGTAATGTATTTATGTTGATATTTGTTTTTGTTTTCGGGTGAAGTACAGTGATGCCTTTTTGAAATTTGTTTTGAGGTTTTTGAGGGGGGGTTAGGGTGTGCGTGACTTGATATGTTGGGATGGAAAGGCTGGGAGTACCAGCTATTGTTACGATTCAAGGACGTCAAAATGTGAATGGATGGATGACTAGTTGCCATCAATCGACGACATTCCGTAAGTTTGATCCCCGGAAAGCCTTTTGTGCGAGGGAGTGGGGCCTGAAAGGGGGGTTTGTGCTGAAGGTTAGTTTATATGGTAGGGAGTATGCTTGGGGTTTTTTTTATGGGTGTTGGGAGCACTGCTCTGAGGGTATGCGCTTTTGGCTGCTTGTGTTTGAGAAGGACGGTGGAGAAATGCTGATTGATATATATGGTGCTGAGATGGAATATCACCTCAAGTGAAACAGAATCTAAAGTGGATTGAAATCTGATAAAAGTAGTAAGTATGGACAGAGAAGGTAAAGAATAACTACGCCATGCTTGAAATCAATCAAGAGTTTGTGTGATATGTATGTACAGAAAAGAAAAGAAGAGTCTCTAGATACAAATATTTACATGTCATAACTCCTCCACTCATTCTCTTTCTTCACCTACTCGTACCGCCTGGTCAATCGCACGCGGATATCCTCGACAGGCGATCTCGAAGCACCGGCGAATCCCATCTTAGGAATAACGAGCTCGTCGCCCTCAGCAGGAGCAATGTCCCACATAACCAGCAGACTGGACGAGAAAATCATGATCTCCTTCTCCGCAAAGTACCGTCCCTTGCACTTGTACATACCACCTCCAAACGTATGCAAATTCTTCATATTGACCCTGGGAGCACCATCCGGGCCCTCCTCGATGAACCTCTCCGGCTTGAACTTCTCGGGCTCAGCAAAGATCCGCTGATCCATCTGCATCGTACCGTTCGCGAGGACCAGCGTCGTGCCCGCGGGAATCGTATACGACTGCGGCTTCCTCTTCCCGAACATTGCAGCATCCGCCGCAGACTCCTTGAGCGTGAGGTCCTTGATCACCTGCCTGATACCCAGCCCAGACATGTTCATCCGCATCGTCTCATAGAACGCAGCCCTGAGCAGCGGACAGTGCTTCATGAGCCCATCGACATCGATATCGAGTTTCGGCAGACCGTCCGGCCCCTTTGCGCCCGACTTCGAGAGATGCACATACGGCGCGACCTCCTCGCGGATCCGCGCCAGCAACTCCGGCTTCGTGTGGATCTGCAGCAGCATCCAGAAGACGTTCTTGTTAGAATTCACGTTGACGCCCCAGAGGACGGAAGTGTCGTTTGTCTTCTGCAGCGTCTCGGACGCCTTCGCGTCGACCCACACCTTCACGCGGTCCTGCATGATCTGCGAGATGTCGTCGAGCGCGCCCCATTTGGCGTCGGGCTTCTCGCCGGACTGCTTGACGGCGACGGCCTCGTGCCACTCCTTCATGGCGACGGCGAGGCGGTTGCGCGCCGCGACGGCTTTGCGGCCGGCGGCGGTGACCTTCGCGAGCAGCGTCGTCACGATGTGGTGGACGCCCTCGTCGAAGTCCCACATGTCGGTCTGGAGATTCGGGTGGTTCTTGATGAGCGCTTTACCCCACAGCATGTCGATGACGATCTGCCCCATGTAGTGGACAGTGAGCTGGTAGAGATTCGCGTCGAACGAACCATCAGTGTTGAACTTGACCTTCCCGGCCTCCTCCCACAACTGCATCGGCTTCCCCTCCGCGTCGGGGGTCGCCCAGGGCGCGGACGTCACGAACCGCGCGGCCTCGACCTCGACGGTGCGGGCCGTCTTGCCGGTCGCCTCGTTGATGAAGTCCTCCTTGAGCATGAGGTTGAGCGCGTTGTGGTGGCCGTGGAACGCCTTGTGCTCGTCCCGCGTCGCGTAGTTGTCTTCGAACGTCGTCTTCATGAACCACTCGAGGATCTTCTGCTTGTTGAGCACGGTGCCGCGCTGCGCGAAGATCTGCTGGACCAGCGACGGCATGTTGACGACGTAGTAGATGGACGGGCCAAGCCGGTAGGAGAAGATGCCATCGCCGCTGAGGTCGCTGGACGTGGAGTTAGAATCTGATATCACGATTACAAGTTTGAAGGAGTGCTTTACCGGTCTTTCGAAATGGTGCCTTCAATGTCCCGGGCGAAGGAGATCGCAGACCCCACGAAGGGAACCCAGTACGCAATCCTGTTGGGGGTTTTCTTATCTGCCTCCGTGTTGTTCTGAGCGATTGTGCTCCGGAGGCCAGTGACGATTCTCGTGATGAGGCATGTTAGAACGAACGTGGAAACGAGGGAAATGAAGGGCGAGGCCACGACGGCCTGCGCATAAGGGTTCTCTTGAAATGAGCGGACGAGCCCCATGGTTATTTTTTTTGCAATTAGTCAATGTACAAGATTTTGTCTCTGTTGTGGAGAAAAGAAAAGAAATGAACCCAGCTGGACGGCCACGCGTATGAATGATATAACATTGAAACGGCAGATCAATCATTGTACATGTCCGTCCAGGGAGCCGTCAGGTCGAACGACTGTGGTCCATCGTCTGGGGCCCAGAACTATCACTTGATCTCCATAACTCGATGTGAGACACCAGGTTTCCAACGTCCGATTACCATAGCCTGGTCTTGAATGTTTCCAAACGGACTGTCCTTTGACCAGTGGCGCAGTCGCTCTCTCCACAAGCTAGTCCCTAACAGTCCCGACCAGTGTGAGAGTCCGCTGGCATGGAGACTCAGAATGCTGTGAGAAAACGACCCCTGTTCCGCTTTCGAACACGGGGCGGGATTCCGCCGGCCTGAGGGTCTTGGGAGGAGCGCGGCAGCGATGATGAGCGGAGGAGGGCAACCAGGCTGTCCCAGCGTACCCAATGCAGTCAAGTCAAGTCCCTACGACAGTTTTGCCCATGGCCGGCCTGTGGATGCGTATGCTGTCATCATGCAGGCCAGGGTCCGCTCAGGGCCTGTCCTGTCTGCTCGTCCTCCACTGGGTCATCATCATCGGACACGACAAAACAGTCGAGCCTGTTGGATGCCTCGTGCGCAACGTGCGCTGAAACATAGCTGGACTGAGATTGGGCCGGAGAGAGAGCGAGAGAGGTTACGAGGAGGAGCATGGAAAAGTGTGTGTGTACATGGCCAGCTAGCTAGTAGGGTAGGGCTAATAGGGACGGCGGGTGGGTGCGCGGGGAAGGTTTCCAAGTTCCAACCCTTCCGTACTGCTGCAGCTGCATGTACTTTTTTCTTCACTTGGGCATGTCTATAATTAAGTCATCACCTGTGTTGCGTTGCGGGAGCCTGTGCTGTGCTGTGCTGGCGCCCTACCCTACTACATACTACACTACAGACTACAGGCGGCGGCTCTGATTTGTTAATCACACTCGTTCGCTGAATGTAAGCCCAAGGTGGCAGGTGGGCAGGCTCGGAGTGCACGAGGGACGACGGGATTCGGGAATTAAACGATTTGACGGTTTTTCCCCTCGCTGTCTCTCTCCTCGCAAAAAGGGTGAAGACAGTTGGCAGAAATGATGTATATTTCATCATTATCCCTCGAAAGGTGGCCGTCAACAAACTTTCGTCGCATAACAATGACGCAGGAAAATTGGAGTCGGGTGGCACGGTATGTTATGTATGTACTGTGAAAAGTTGGTTGTCTTTGCTGTTGGGTCTGTTCGATTCCGTGGTATCCGCTGAGGCGACGAGGAAATCTTACCTAAGTAGCGAAAGAGTCGCTGTTGGAGGGACGTAAAATGCAGTAAAATGCAGGGTCCATACATCCACCTTCAAGGCTTCACCGCTGCTCCCAAGGTCCTATGTCCCCATGCGGTCGTGTAGGCGAAAAAGGCGTTTTTCGCTTAAGCCGAACCCGGTCTTGCCGTATACATAGTCGTGCTTTTGGTTAATGACATATCCAACGATCCTTGGACGACCATGCGCGTTGATCCCCGAGGCGAATAGAATTGGGCAATTGCCATCGCAGATTAGACAGACTGCTTCGTGCATACTGTTGCCCACGAGGACTATGCGAGTTGCGACTCTGCACTGCATATACGACCTCTACTGCGCTGTCAAAGCAGCGGGTAGACTATCCAGTTGCAGTATACAGTACATACGATTACGCTGCACATTGTGAATCGATCGTTGGCTCTGCATGGCAAGGATATCCCTCCCTTGCCTATTCATTCAGACGGGGACCAGGGGTTGCATCCATGTCAGGACCCTGAGAGTAAGCTCGAAAGACGGTGAACGTCAGTTCGTCACGTTACACAGCATGCTCGATCATCATGGGATTGTTCAAATTACCAGCTCTGTTGTAGAGAAATGCAGAAAACTATGCAGGCTATATGTGCGAAAATGCCGTCGTGTGGTATCGTAACTAACGAAATGAAAAGGATTATCCACCCGCAGCATCCTTCATGAAATAAGAACAGAAGAAGAGAAAGACCGCCTGATCCGGCAGGCATGCCCATCTAGTAGGCATACATTGCCGGCCCGGCTTTACCAATGAATGTGCCATGAAGCTTATCGAGGCTCCCGAAGTTCTGTGCTACTTCCAGATGCTTGTTGCATTCCGCCTGCACCTCCTCCCAAGACCAATGGGGATCCCGCTCCTTCTTGACATTTGCAACTCCATTCTCCAGACCTGATGCGCCTTCCGTCGTTGGCGGTGTGGGAAGCAGACCGCTCTCCAGCATGACCGACTCGGGCGAGCAAGTCTTGCGACCTTGCTTGAAGACGAATTTCGTGATCGCTGTGGCATAGATTCGATCTTGCTGATCGTCCACCTTCGCCTGCTGCTCGGAGGAAGTGGACTTCTTAGTGTTCTTCGGCCCAAGCAGGTATTCAGTCGGCTTGTTGGAGCCTGGCTTGGTGAAATGGCTGACCACATAGACCCACTTCTCATCCCAGCAGAGGACCCGGGAGGAGATCTCGTAGCGAGCAAAAGGAGCGATCGCCTTCTTGAAGATGCACGACGTGCCGCCCATGTTGAACATTTTCGGCTTCGGCGCGTCCTTGCCAGTCTTCAGAGGCCTAACGACATCCTTGAAGAGCGCGAGCATCAGCTCCGTGCGGTTCTCGTCCAGGTCGGTGAAGAAGGTGCTGTTGGATTTGTGTACGTTGTAGTCGATGTCAAGGAGTGGGGTGTATGAGGAAGTGACGACGGGTGCAAAGAGTGCCTCGCCTCCATGTTTGGCACTCTTTACTGTAAGCTTAGCGCGTCCAAATAGGAGATGCCGTGCAATTTGCTTGAAGAGTCGTCCCTGTTGGGAATTGTTAGTAAGACTACTCGATACAGTCGCGGTAGGGTAACATTACGTGCCACATGAAAAGAAGGCTTTTGGCATTGCTCAAAAGAGTAACTCCTACGAGCGCAGCGCCGATGACTGCTTGCACCGGTGTTAAGGAGATGGTAATACCCGAGCTGGCAATGGCTTCCATTGTTGTTGATTTGGGGTTCGGTGATGTAAATCGGGCAAATTTGGGAGAATAAGATAGATGGTGAAACGTTTAGTTTCGAGATGTCAAAATAGATCAATGTAAAGATATATTCTTTTGAGAGATATGAACAGTCGTGGAGAAAGTGTTTATTGTGAGTAACTGATGAGCTGGAATCAATTGCTAGAACTGAAGTCTACTATCTATATTCTTTTGATTCGAACGGTATACAATTGTATCAGACACGCTTCCGTCCGTATGAGCTCTAGACCTTTGGAACACAAGTCATCGTCATCTATTGACGGACTCAGCATCTGCACGCACGGCAAACGGCTATTGCCTGAGGAGTCCGCCTCAAAACGCAAGCAACGGATTTCCCATCAAATAGATTCGCATTTGCAATGATTCAGCTGCACGATTGGCAGACTAGAATCAGCGATCTCGATCTGTTATGTTACAGTGCCAAATCGGTAAATAGAGGCTACCATCAAGGTCTCAGGACGATACCTCACAATTCTCCGATGAAACATCGCATTGTTTGATGAATACGATATTGAAAAATAGCCGCGATCAGAGTCGGATACGGCGCGTGAAATGGGCGAAGTAGACCGTTTTGTGTCTAGGGTGTGCACTGCAGACGAGGTATAAACACGATGACGGAGTTCGGGGATGCACTCGTGGGACCAGTGGAGAGGCCGGGGAAACGGTGCTTGTGACACCGTACCGTACGCGGCCAACATCGCGCGGAGGCGGATAAAGTGAACAGTGGCCTGGCAAGAGGATTGTTTACGAGTCTTCTCAAGGCATCCTGGAGGGGGGATGGAGGGGTGGTGAGTACGAAGTGCATGGTTTAACGACATGCACCACGACCGCTTTGCCATTGACAACCGCGGACTCGTGCATGGAATTACGCAGCCAACGGCTGAAATGGAAGGGAGTAGGGATCATGGCCAAGGGCAAGGGTGGTGGTCGTAACAAGGATTGTCTGATCCTTGTATCTTGCATAAGCGAGATCGATCGCTGCGCATTAGCCCCGCATTAGCGTAACCTTAATGCAAGCCCGTGAGACACCCTGTTGTGCGCCACATCTTCTGGAAAAAGGCACAAACTGGGTTGCCTATTATATACCGAGATCGTCGAACTTGGCGAAGCTCTATTGCACCCGTCACGGTCACGACTATGGCCGCTACGGCCTGCTGATAGGCCATAGTATCATCCATCTTATCATTCGTCCGTCCCGTAAGGCCTTCTCAATTGCTTCAAACGAGATCGCCCATGTCTTACTTGTGATCCCAATCAGTACTACCAAGTGTATCAGCAGGGTCCTTGCCTCTACATTACAATCCCGGCTTCGGCTCACCAAACAGAACACAGCTTACACAGTACAGCCTTCCAGTTGTCTTTGGGCATTTGAGCGTTTAGCGCTGCCCCCGGGCCCTTGGACAACGGCTGCAGGCTCTATCCAAATTGGGTTATCCTCAACTTTCCATCCCCGGTGACTATCCACGCTCGCACACCCAACCTTGAGCACGCTTCCCCGCTGGTGTAGGCGCAGCTGGCTGCCAACCCATGCATGCACAGACGCATGGAAACTCGCTATGCATACGATACCAAACGGCAGCTTCTTGTCCGATTAAGCTCATTTCGATGTGCGTAGGTTTGACGCCTTACCCCAAAACGTAGTCGATCCATCTGGGGGACCCCTCTCGGGGACTTTGGCCGGCCATGTACAGGTCAAGTCGCGTAAGAGTAAGCCTCACCAAATGCGAACAAGTGCCGACGCTACGGAGCCTCCCTCTACGTTTATACGTCCTGCGTCCGCTCACGTTTCATGTCTTGCTTAACTGTGCAGTTCGAACGCAGCCTTCAACTTTCGTTCCTTCTCCGCCCAATACTTTCGCTTCAGATTTGAAACGTGACAAGGGTAGTACTAGTTACTTTGAAAAAGATCTGAGATCTATACAGAGTTTACACCACCGAGCGGACTTCTTCAGCTGTCCGCATCTCCGATACTTGAACTCGACATCCACTGTTCAGACCCATCGGACAGACGAGTGGAAACATCTTCGACGACATCAGCTTCTACACTTGCAATCCAATCTGATACCACAAACTTGACGGACATCAGCACAAGACACTGCCTAGCTATGGATGCCGACCGACGCCTTGTCAAAGCCCTGGAGGCTGCCAACGATGCTCTTCAGCACCTTTCGATGTCTCCAGACTTTGGATGTCTCGACTGCACGCATATCGATCGACTATTGGCCAGAGTTGTCGACTTGCCAACGGAGGGAAACCAGAGGAATAGCCGGAGAAACTTGCTCGTGATTCGACAGTGGATGATCACAGAAGGGCCTGGTGTGGTGTTGTTGGAGGTGCTAGGCCAGCTGTACTGGCGGTTGGGTGAACTTAACGGAAAGCAATTCGAGAAGTTCAAGGTTTCCCTCCAAACGCAACAGCCTTACCTATCTCTTATTCAAGATGCGACCGCCGTTTCATTAGTCGTGCAGCGGATAAGACATATCCAAAGATCGAAGTCAGATGCTTGTCAGGACTTCCTTTGCGAATTGTCCGATATTACTGGCATGAAGGGTTCGTTGCCAAAGACAATTCTCCGATTGGATCATGCACTAACTCAGGTAGTTGATACCCCCATAGCGGAAATGGATGCTCTGAGGGCTACTTCTAGCAGCCCTTTTGCGACTCCTTCCGTGCGGTCTGCTGACAGTGGGTCCTCAGCCGAGTCTGGCCTCGTGAGTCTGGTGAAATATGTACCAAATCCAGCAATGTGGGGAAGCGATATGGAGCAGCTCCTCATCGACTTTTATATCAACGGAATCTGCCCTGGTCGATCTCCCGCCACTACGTCCAATGCCTACCTTTCACTGCTGCAGACCGCCAACACTTGCCAAAGTACTCGGTTTGCCCTGCTGAGCTTAAGTGCATCATATATCGGAGAATATTTGCACTCCGAGAAGGAGCAATATCACCAAGCTGAGCTTTACTACTCCACTCAAGCTCTCCAAGCCCTTGCATGCCAGATCAGCAATGGCGAGAATTACGATGCTGCTCTCGCAACTAGCATGCTTCTCATGCACCACGACGCTGTCAACGACGATGATTCAAGCCTTTGCTGGTCATGCCATGCCAACATCTTCGACACCATCCCATCCGAGTTCTTCAACCATCACTCCGATGCTGCGCTTTTCATCCGAACCCAACTAGTTCTTGCACGGACTGCTCAAACTTCCTTCACGCTGCAAAGCACACGACTACATTCCCTGGAGACCGAGAACTGGTACGAGGGCATGCCAGCAACCGAGGCCCAAAAGATCTGTGGAATTCTTGGAATGTCGCCGCAGTTACTATTCCTGATCTCCTCCGTCACATCGCTTGCTTCGGATAGCCAAGGGCCTCTCAACTCGCAAAAGCACATGTACGCGCAACTTTTAGAAGGTCAGCTTACGAGCCTGAGGCAATGGACAATGGAGCTTCAGGGAGAGAGCCAGGAGGTGATCGTCGCGACCGCCGAAGCCTTCCGACTTGCAGCTCTCATCTACTTGCGGTGTCGCATCTATGGGTAAGCCGTTTCGCCGAAAATTCCATCTTGAGGATTGAAATTAATGATGATTCTAGATTCACTCGCTTCAACCCAGCCATTGTTGAGCTTAACGATGCTCTCAGCCACATCTTGCTCACCCTTCCTGTAAAGGGTAATCTCTACACCGCGATCTATCCCGTCTGGCCGCTTTTCGTCGCCGCTGTGACAGCCAACTCCGACAAGCGCGATCGCATCTACGCCCGCGTCGTCCCCATCCGCGAGGGTGACAAGAACACCCTTCCAGCGGTCCTCAAGCGCATCTCCGGTCTGCGCGTTTGGTTGGCAAAGCAAGATGCAACATTGCCACGCCGTGACGGGTGGTGGGAGGAGATGCTTCAACCGAGCAGCAGTACCACTGCTCTTCCCGCCAATCGATTGCTATGCCTTGGTTAGACCTCCCTTGCGACATGAACCGTCACGACTCTGCAGTGCAGATCGGTCCTCTATATATACGTTCGAATTCCTCACTATGGCCCTATACAACTGGCTTGTTCCTTCCGGATAAAAATATTCTGCGACCGATCTTTCTGCTACCAATTTCGAGGAGGATTTTCAGGTTCCCATCTCTAGCAGCTTTCCTATGTCACGGCAATTTCCGCTGTTATACCCTAGATTTCTATACTGCATCGAGGCATCACGAAACGACGGTAATTAACGGCCTTTTCTTACTTAATTATCGCATACCCAGCGTTCTCCTACCAGCGTTTTCTTTGTATATCATATTCATCACATATTTGGGTTTGGCGGATCTCCTTGGATTTTTTTCTCGCACGTCGATCAATCGCACGATAGATTGACGTTCCTCATGACATAGACTCTTATTATTATTATTGGTTACATTGGTGTTGGAACATTTATTGGCTTTGGAACTGTATATATTCTCCAGACTCGCTCGTACATATTACGAATTCACTATCAGAAAAAATGAAACTAAATACCTCACTCGCATTGTCGCGCAACTTGATCATCTCGTAATGTGGAATTCACCCAAGCATCTAGGCCTCTCAACACATGTTCGTCTGTCCGAATACGACGAAATAATTTGCGCGGGTACGGAGCACAGGGATGTATGGGGAAGGTAGCGTGGAAACTAGGGGGATGACGCAGCGTGGCAGCGCAGGCTTCGGGATCCAACTGTTTGAACGTTTGAATTTCCCGGCCACCGTAGAATCGACTATAATAATAAACCATCGCCTTTCAGATCGCGATCGAGATCTGGGGCAAGCCACGACGGCTGCCTTTACCGCCAAACCGATGAAACAATGCCATGGCCTTAACATCGATAATGTTCAACAAATACGTTTCCCGATGGTCCAAGTCACAACCGCACCCATCTCCTTCGGTCAGCAATAACCACATGGTTGTTCTATAGCCGACCTTATTCTCCCATCGATCGACCGATTTGCGATTCAAGATCACCTTTACTCTTTTATGCTAGTTACCGGCGCGGGAGATATGCGACCGCCTTCACACCGTCTGTCTCAAAACCCTACGGCTACAACCTGCAGGATCATCATCAGCTACAGCATCCACAGGGATCGCATAGTCGCATGTCAGGGACACTCATGTCAATTACATGTTCTCAGCGCTGCCTGTGCAGGTACCGCATCGCGTCGCGTTGCGTCGCGTTCTGATCCGGCCTGTTTCCGCCCTGTATGTATGCCTACCTGTCTTACGAGTAGTTCGGATGAGACGATGAAGGCCTAAAAGGAACAAATGAGAAATGCGAAGTACCACTTTCGGACACTGCTGATTGCGTTTTTGGAGTGATTCAAATGAGCATCTTGATTTCAAAGCTAGCGTAAGTATCAAAGCTTTCACTTTGGTAGTCATCAAAGTGCGAGAATGGTGTTTGTTCGAATACTGTACTGTGCAGCAACATGCAGCAGGTCTCAGTTGTGGCCAACGTGCGCGCGCCGCGCGCTCAGCTACGGCTACGTACCCTTGTTTGGGTTTTGTGGGTACTTGGTCGCGGTGTGAGATTGTGCGAGTGCGAATTTGATCGAGCGGTTTTAATCATTAAAATCTAGTATGCGTGATGTGGAGTAGTGGTGCTTGATCTGAAGCTCTTTGTTTGTATACATTCTGCGACGACTAAAGTGCGAATTCCCAGGGCATGAGAGGGGGTTTCGCGGGCTAACATATTCTTTGTGTGATTGGATGTTCGCAAGCTAGGAAACAGATCATCCCAGAACACTACTTCGGAAATGATTAACGAGTGCAGTATTTCGACCTTGTCGTCCTGCAGACTGATTTGCACAGTTGACAGCACACAGTACTCGGTGTGAAGCGCCATGCATATCCCGCGTTGAGAGATTATGCATTCTACGAAGGGGATTGTTGAGCGTCGTTTACGATTCGACCACTTCTCCACCAGCAGTCACGGCATATTGGAGGATAAGGCCTCCAGCCGCCTCAGCATTCTCAATCTGGCATTTCGGCATTGCAATCATGGGAGCGTAGGCCGTCCAATGTCGTGCGAGAGCAAAATGCCTCATCGGTTGGTTGGGGCCCCCATATAATAAGTCTTAGCGGTCGGGGCACGACATACTGAAGACGACTTTCCTGCCGTGATGATCTTATATCCAAGTGTACATTGAGAGTACATCCGTTATCGGATAATAGCGTCAAGCGGTGTGGAAAGCTAATATCACAGGTGAACGAGATGTGACCCAGGGAGGGAGAAGTTGTGGAACTTTGCGGGGATGGAGGGGGTGGGAGGGGCTGAAGGCTGAAGGATTGAAGATGACAGGTGCAGATTGCAGAATGCATAATGCAGGGAAAGGCGGGAACGGAGGACATGCCAAGTTACAAGGATAAAGATGACATGAACCAGGGAGTCAAAGCTGTGAAGGCAATTGGATGGAGATTTTATGGTGGCGCATCTTATCATTGAACATAGTGAATTTGTGTATGTATGGAGTAAATGTACAGTAAATAAAACATTATTCGAACCTCTCGACGAAACACCACGAGGCACTTATGCCTCTACTGCAACTGAAGTAGGAGCAGGAATCGGGTTGATGGTGACGGTAGCGGCTTTGATATCTTGCGTAGCATTGTAGCCAATGACTTGCTCCTCGATAAGAGGTTCCTCAGCCTTGAGTTCCTCAGCCTTGGGCTCTTCAGGAAGCAGCAAGTCCTTTTCCTGAAGAGTGTATGTCCAACCAAACTCATCTTTAACGTTTCCTCGCATGATATTCCTCATCGCGCTGGCAAGCCTCTGGGTACACTCGCCAGCTTTCTCGCCATATACGAACTTCTCATCCGTGGATGGACGGGAAAGCGACCTGATCGGAAGCAAGGAAGCAGCAGTACCGACAGCGATGACCTCGTCAAAGAACTTGCACTCACTCCATGGGACTTCGCGCTTCTCAACGGCCCAGCCGAAAGACTTGGCCAGAGTAAGGCAAGAATCAGAAGTGATGCTTTGAATGACAGTCTTGCTGTCAGGAATGACGACCGTGACACTGTCGCCGTTCTTCTTGATGCCGATGAAACCAGATGTGGAGAACTCTTCAACACATGTGCGAGTCTGGGCGTCCAAGTGAAGAGTGACATGGTAACCTTGCTGAGCAGCCTTCTGCGTGTGACGGATGACAGGAGCGTAGTTGCCACCGACCTTTGCGCCGCCAGTGCCGCGTGGGGCAGCACGGTCAAAGTCCTCGATTACGCATGCGGGAAGAGGCTGCACTCCGTGGTATGCACTCGCGGGCTGTACATAGATGGCGAAAGTGTACTCAGTAGGAGCACTCAGAGCAAGATGACCATTTGAGCCGAAAACAAGGGGTCGGATGTATAGCAGAGCTTCAGTGCTGTGAGGTGCGACGAACTCTGCATTGCGGGCGACTGCGTACTTGACGCACTTGAGGAAGTGCTCTTGGGGTACCTCGGGAATAGAAACGTAGCTTGAGGATATGGCGAGGCGGTCCGCGTGTGCAACGGGTCGGTACAAAAGGATGTTGCCATCGGGTCCACGATGAGCCTTCAGTCCTTCATAGGCTTGTTGTCCGTAGTTCAAGGCGGGTGCAAGACCGTGAATCTTGATATGAGGATCTTCGACGAATCTGGGCTCGGTCCACTCTCCTGTCAAAACACTGTAGGTGGATTCAACGTGGCCATTCACTGATCTAATGTTAGAATGTAGATCAATATGAGGTTTTCAATGCATAGTATACCATTGTCCTTGACGGTTAAGCCAAGGTTTGCCCATTCCATGGACTCACTAGGCGCGGGGGGAAAGACCATCTTGAAAGGATAGGTATAATGGAAAGGTATCAGGATAAACTTTAATTATTGGCTGTTTTGATAATAGATAGAAATCACTGGTTAAATGAGAAGACTGAGCAGCAGAGAGGCAGTACATAAACAAATTTTAAAACGAAAAGCAACAGTCCATCTCAAACAGCCAATGTTCTAGGCGCGGAGACGACGGAAACGTTACGATATCTAAAACATACCAGAGCTTTTCAAGTCGTTGGTACTGTTCATCAGATCGCAAGAGTCCGTCGTGAAACCACATCGATCGTCCCCAGAAACTTTTCACTACATACACCAGCCCTAGAATTCGCCCAGTGGTACTCAGCTGATAGTCCGCTGGTCAATTGTACCGACCGGCCGGCCAACCGAGCTTCTGCAGAAGCTTTTCCGCTCTCACTTCCTACCAATCTGCAATGTCGTTGTAGTACTTAGATATTCACAGCCACATCTCCGCCGACATGGGTTCGCACAGGGTACAACCCCGACTCCGCCAGACGCGCGACTACTGCTGGGATGCCCTGCATTCAGAATGCACACGTCAGAAATAGAAGCGTACATAATTAGATGGGTCGGGGTTCCAAAAAGAGTCGGTGTGTCTGTCACAAAACATTGAAACGTTGCCTGCGGGGTTGGGACGCCATGGCTGAGTGTTAAGGGTGTGGTCGGGCATCCCAATCGGGTAATGATTGTGTCAGCATGATCACGTGATCAAGAGCACTCGAAGTTCTTGAGGGTTCATATTGTGACAAACCGTTCTTGTTCTTTGAAGTATCATTTCCATGCTTTCGTGATTCTAAATAGACTGTGAGTAGTCTTCGAAGAAGGGTGAGAATCCTACATGAAGGTGGAATACGTCCACTGCCTTCTTTTGACACCGACAGTGATCCTGACACGTACCAGTCATGGCTTAGTCGCAGATGAGTGGGTTTCTCCAAAAGCAGATCTTCATGATTTGTATTTGTCTCGAGATTTGTGTACGTGGATGTGACTCATGAGTAAGTCTTTCGCAGTCACAAAAGATCTCAATCCTGGTTGACTGGTTGGGCTATATCTCAGGATAAATCTGCCTACACTTTCGCGTCTTACCCGAGATCGTCACATCGGGACTCGGTCTATTGACATATAGCAAATCACCGATCTGATAACTTGGAGGAGTCATAATAAACAAGTATACGCACCAGGAGATCAAGCGATGTTGGCCGGCATTTCGTGTATGTGAACAGCTTCGCATGACGGATCTCTGAAGGTGTGTTCATATTGCACAAACCATGACTGCATCGTTTATGCGAGAAATGCGACCCTAGAATCGACATGGGATGATATGTGAAGGTGCTTGAATTGGATAGAGTGGACCACTTGGAGGGTGCTAGGCGCCGACTGGATATGACAGTAAAGCATCCAATGAGGCGACCATGGCCATAAGCAACGCCTATCAATTCTGCCACAGTCTACATCGCTGATAGGATTACACCTCTATTCAATCAGAATATTGCATTACAAGAACGTTTAACAGTGATAGGACAAAAGAGCTTGATTTCGACTTCAATCTCTTTATGTTGCCTAGTATTGTGATTAAAAACTGAAACTAAAGGCAAGCGTGCGGTAGCAACAGACGTAAGTACAATCTCAACATAATCACAACGAGTATCATAAACGCAAAGCTATATTCACTTCCAAACACATGACCTATGCTTGAATACAGGTTGAATATTGGTCGCTCGAATTGCAATCAGCAGACCGAGAGGGTCGCAGTCTACCAATTTATCGTGGCACCCGCGGGCCAGAAAGAAGATCTGCTACAATGGGATGAAGTGGGATACTTGCCATGGAAGAAAGTGACGATCAATATCACCGAGAGTAGATACTCATGAGAGAGAAAATTGATTGAATTCGTGATAGGACTGTGATGCGTATTTAAATGAATCTGCATCGTGACCGAAATTACTGGAAGCCCCGTTGTAGCCATACGAAGTTTTTCGTTGTAGAAGACCTAGTACACATAGCGGAAACTCTTGATTTCCTTGTCGGTTCTGTCCAACATACCGGCATCCATGTCCTCTTCAGCCATACCATCAGATGCCTGTCCGTCCCGTCGTTTGTTTTCCCAGACGAGGTAGAATCTCAAAATGAAGCAGGCAACAATACCGATACCGAAGCAAATCAACATGGAAAGGAATCCAGTTGAGTAGCCAGGTGCTTCAGTCTCGATGAAAAGCTGAGGGCCGATGATATTTCCGGCGCAGTACGCGATGAAGATCTAGACGAATCGTAAGGATGTGAACAGAAACCTCTAAACGACAATAAGTCTAGCTTACCATAGCATTGACGGTAGTCTTCTTGGTGAACCCCGCAACATTACCACTGGACATGCTCAAAATCATGGGAAAGTTCGCAGAGTATCCTATCGCAAGACAGTATCCCATGAATCGCGCCCAGATGAGTTCTTTATGGACCTCCCGAATCATTGCCGCACCAGTAAGGGCGATGGCGAGATTCCAGGCCATGAAGTATGTTCGTGAATTCTTCAGATAGGTACTTCCCACTGTGCAAATCGCGACGAAAACGAACTGGAAGACATAGGCGATGATCTGTACGAGAAGGGTGTTGAGCGTAGTGAAGCCAAAGCCTTTGATGATTATTGATCCAAACTGTAGCACGTTCCGTTAGCTCCGACACGGGCTAAGTGACGTTGGGAGACTTACACCATGAATACCACCATTAGCGATCTGTGACGTGATCTGAATGATGAAGAGAAGCCAAACTTTGATGTCGAGGAAAGCTTCAAAAGATTGCTTCCATTTCCACTCATCACTCTTAATGCCGGTCATGTTCTCCCTGACACGCTCGATTGCCTTGACCCGATCTTCCTCATTCAGGAATCGAGCGTTGGAAGGCGTGTCGGGAAGGAAGAAGTACACAACAGCGGACCATATAACGGTGCACGCTCCGAAGATGAGGAATACAGCCTGTCATTCTTTAGCGAGCGACAACAGTTGGTTACCAGAGATCATACCTTCCATGGCGCAATAGTATTAATATGACCAACGCCATATCCGACGAGACCACCAAACACTCCCGCGGTTGTGTTTCCTAGATACCATGCTCCATGACGAAGCGGTTGTTCGGATCGCTTATACCACATGGCGACTATGACAGTCAAACCCGGGCCGATTGCACTCTCTGAGGCTCCGAGGAAGAATCGATTTGCTAGAAGACCGCCAGAATTAGAGCAAGTGGAAGTCAACATCAAGATTGCACCCCAGACGAATCTGCAATTGAATCAGCGCCGCGCAAAGTGTCTCAAGCAATTCGTGTCATACATAGAACCCGCGATCAACCTGCCAACAGGAAGACGAACTAAAAGCCATCCCATCGGATAAGATGCAACCAAATAGCCGAAGTAATAGATGCTGTTGGCCCAAGAGTATTCTAATCCCGTAACGTGCAGGTCTTTTCTGAGAGAAAGAATTGCCGTAAAGCCGAGTGCGGACTTATCCAAGAATTGAAATAGATATGAGACTGCCATAACAGGCAGCAAACTATGAGGCAATGTCAGATATACTGATTTTCGAAGCAAAGGTCTTGGAGGAAGTACTTCATGTCGATCTGTCGGAGAATCCTGCGATCATCTGACGGAGACAACTGGCCCTGCGAATGTCCAAAGTCATCAATGTCTTGGGCAAATCCATTCTTGATGGATGCATCGTCTTTGGCAGGACTCATTGTTTTCTCGTCAACGATCGCCATTGTGTCAACGGTTCCAATAGGGAGGAAGGTAGTTTTGTGAATGAGCTTGAGAGGGACAAGAAGATCAAGTCTGTTCTTAAATAAATCATGACCCAAGCTCGTTATCTCCTCCTTACGGAAGTATGGTATGACAATCAAACATATCTCAGGGTGTGCATACAGTCTGCACAATCAATGTGTGGGGTAAGATACCGACTGAGAGAGCCGACTATCTGGAGGCATGTCTAGCGTTAGATAGCCCTCACGTGGTGTGAAGATAGCCGACGCTGGAGCGCTTGTGCACGTTGATCCTGCTAGTGAAAGCTAATGCCATTCACGAGTAATCGGCCCGATTAACGGCACCAATTATCCTAGAACGAAGCGTTCCATGCTGCGAAGTTGCTCCTGTAGGTTGACGCGCTTCCCCAGCCGTTCTTGCATGGGGATGATTTTGAGGAGGAACCAATGAGCCCTTTGATAATTGCTTCCATACTTGCTAATGGCTGCAAAGCGAGCGAGTATCCATTCCCGGTGGAGCAGATCGTTGGTCTCCAGGGCGGCGATGAACAGTGGCCACGCGACCCTGGTCATCGCAATGTCCCCATCGTGCTTGAAGCTTTGGAAAGCCAGGTTCATAATCTCTCGTAGTGCATGCTGTTGGCGGTCGTCTAGAGGCTGATCGAACTTTGTCAGGCGCATGAAGTCAAGCACTGCTGCATAGTACATTGGCACTATCGCCCTGATATTGGCGACTAAGCGATGGCGGTTATCAGTGTGCGGAGAAAGGCAGCTCGCGACCTCTAGTGATTCGGTAGCAAGATAGCCGACCTCCTCGATAGCAGATTCTAGCTTACGCGCCTCGCCAGTCGCTCTGGCTGCATCCGTTTGGTAGAGAGATGCGAGACGGGCGGTCATGAAACGTAGTTGTGAACATTGGCCCAGGATTGTGTAGATGTTGCGATTCTCAACATCGTCTAAGAGCTCAGACTGAGGGTAAGCGTCACCCCAGTGTAAACGATACAGGGGATTGGAGAACCGATGAAAGCGGGAGAGTGCTTCCATCTCCGAAATATCTTGCATAGCGCCATAGCCAAACTTGTTTTCAAGCAGGGTACTCGTGATTTGACCACCAATTCCTGTAGATGAAGCCGAGGCGTCCAGCAAAAAGAGCCATATCAATATACGTGCTGAATAGATTGACAGCGTCATGCTAGAATTAGCCGAGGAGCTCTTCGTGAATACAGTCCCCTTATCGTTTGACTTAAAGTTCTTTGGGACAGGCGGAAGCAATGCTTTTACATGGTGTTGTAAAAGGGACGAGGCTCCGGTAAGGTGATTAACATAAGCATCGCATCCGGCATCTCCAAATTGTTGCTCATATAGAAGCATCAACCAGATGACTGTCAGGATGGCGTCAAGGTCTCGTGTGTTGTTCTCAGGCGCAATGGCAGATGCCATCAACCTCAGAGCAGATGCGTAATGCCGGATGGGATCTCTCTTTGGACTCTGATCTGGATTCACTCGGCACAAATCCATTTCCCTCTGGCCTATAGCAATGACCATGTGCATGACCATAGGATCTCTTTGTGCAACATCGAACATAATGGAAAAAAGACCGAAATCAGGAGTCTTGGTATGATGCGTTTTTGCTGTGGCGGTTCGGAAGTAGTGAATGGCCTCATGATCCTGACTTAGTAGCGTGACGGAGCTAGCACTCGTATCTGGAGCTGGGATCCGTATGAGAGTTAACGAATGGTTCTCTGTGGGGGATGTCGTTCGCTCGCGCTGAAGGAGTTGGCTGGATACAAGGGCATCAGGGTCGTTTGCCAGCTCTTTCGCCCTTCTTCGTTCTGCAACCGACGGTCGTTGGGTATAGTCGCAAGCAATCTTCAGACGGGAGCATCTTCCGCATACGGGACGCTGCTCATCGCAACGCTTCTTGACCTGTGGACTTCGACATGTCCAACACCCTTGTCGCGACCGGCGGAATATGCGCCCTGTGGTGCGCAGTTGTTGATCATCTGAGCCAGATTGAGATTGAGGGGAAGCCTGAGGAGACATTTCGGGTCGGTTCTTTTGACAAACTGTGGTGGAGAAGTTGGCGACAATGTTTTGGCGACAGTGGAGCCAGACGTCCGACTTAAGCGTCACGGTTGCTTATCACAACGAGAGACGGACGCTTGCGAAGTATGGGGTAGGCTGATGTTGGCCAATGGTTGGATAACATACCCGTCTATTCGGTGGAGACCGTTAAACTAGGGTGGCAAGATAGCCGACGCGCAAACCAGAATAGCCGCTCCCGTTACTCAATCGAATAATGTTTTCACCAGTTACACCGTATGTGTGTCAAAGTAATGTAGATAGGAAACCTAGCTGAAATTCACGCGTTCCACGACTGATATTACAATGCACATCTCAGCCCCGCAAGCTTAAAAGATATTTATTCATCATTGTCCTTTGATATTCAATTGATTCCAATCTTCTGCTTTCATCAAAGCTGTATCATTGCTCATTCTTTCTTTCAACCACTATGGTCAACTTGAAGCCAGACGAGTCTCTAGGAGAGGAGAGCCGTCCCCTTGGGGGCGTCACTCCCAAGTCCGAATCAAATGAGTCGTTAAAACCAGTGCTGGACGATGCTCGGTCCACAGTGGGAAGCACAATCGACCGTCTGGATTCGGAACTCCATGACATCAACAAGAAGATACACTCTCATCCCGAGACGGCATACCAAGAACACTATGCCCATGAGACCATAACAGCCTTGCTTGAGCAGAAAGGATACAACGTTAAGCGACATACTTATGGGCTCGATACCAGCTTTGAGGCCGAATATGGTCAAGGAGGTCGCCTAATCGTGGTCTGCTGCGAGTACGATGCTCTTCCCCAGATTGGGCATGCATGCGGACATAACTTGATTGCCACGTCTTCAATCGCAACCTTCTTCGCCATCGCAGAGAGCCTCAAAACCCACAAAATCGCTGGACGTGTGCGGATTCTTGGAACACCTGCCGAAGAGGGAGGAGGCGGAAAAGCGAAGTTGATCGACGCCGGAGCTTTCTCGGACGATATTGCTGCAGCCATCATGGCGCATCCCGTATCTGATCGACAAGTACTAAAAGTTCCTGGAAGTTATACTGGACTTGCTGGTTTTCGCTTGATTGCTTCTCACAAGTTTCGCACTGAGTTCCGAGGAAAGCCTGCACATGCTGCCGGAGAGCCCTGGAATGGCGTGAATGCACTTGATGCTGCTGTTGCTGCCTACACCAACGTTGCGTTGCTGAGACAGCAAATGGAACCAGATGAGAGAGTCCACGGCGTGATCGAGCAAGGAGGAACAGTTCCCAATGTCATCACAGAATACACCAAGATGAACTGGAATGTGAGAAGTCCAACTGCCGAAAGAGCCGACAATTTGTTGAAGCGAGTAGAAGCTTGCTTGGAGGCTGCAGCAACTTCCACTGGGTGCAAATTGAATTATATCAAGTAAGATCTTGTCAGTTAATGCAGATTTACTTGATGGATACTAAAAAACTACAGATCCCCAACGTACCTTAATCTTCGTTCGAATCAGACACTATGCGAAAGTTACGCCAAACACATGGACGCTTTCGGCTCAAAGGTCTTGGTGAACCAAGAGAAGCCGATGAACGCGTCGACCGACATGGGAAACGTATCGCACAAAGTCCCTTCATTTCACGGCGCGTTTATCATTCCTGCAGAGCGCGACGTAGCAGCCCATAATCCAGGCTTCGCAGCTGCAGCAGGTACAGACGAAGCCCATGCAGCTGCGTTGAAGTGCGCGAAAGGAATGGCTATGATGGGCCTCCAGGTCATACTGGATGATGAGACCGCAGCAGGAGCGAAGACTGATTTCGAAAAGCCGGACGATGAATAGGCGCTAACAAGGTTGGAGTTGTAAAAAATTGATGGATGATTCCAACGAGGCTGAAAATTCAGCTATCAAGCTGACGACAGCGATACTGTTTGTCGCCTTGAAGTTGCACTTACAAATGCATTACGAATGTTACGCTGCTGATGCTTATGCTCAAGGCGCGGAATTTTGTTTTATCTATTTCGTCAAATAGTTGCCCTTATCAGTATAAGCAAACGGTAATTATCGACCCGACACGAAGAAGATTATGGCTGGTGGTTATGGCTGACGGTGAAGATGATGGCTCGTGGTATGATGTCTCCCTCGATGCGTGCATGCGGGGTTGGTTTTGTGGCGCGCAAACGGCCGAGGTGAGGTTCTTTCCAACACGAATGGAACCATTATTATGGGCTGCTCAAAATGAGCAGCTGAAAGACACCAGGAATGACACTTCTGTGTAGAATTGTATATAAAGAGCACAATTGCTTCATAGTCTATCAAAAACACACTTGCTATCTTCACTCTTCTTTTATAGTTGCTATCCAGTCAAAAGTCATTTACTTACAACAATCATTGCAATGGCAGCTACCGCTCAATTGTTGAAGTGCATGCATACGGTAAAGCATCTTGATGTTAACCATTCTTGCATTATTTGCAACACCATCCTACCAATTTGGCAGGCCTACGCGGATGATTGTGGCATCAAAACCAATGTCGGGCATTATCCTAAAGATCCGTCAGCCGATCCAGATGAGAAGTGCTCTCTTCATGCCTTCAACCTGCCTGGACACATGATGAAACAATTGCCGTTGGATTTGGACTTTTTGCGAAACGTACCCGATGACCATACTTTTGCAGTCGATCTGGACAAAGGACAAATTGGTGAAGCCTATCACATTTTGTTTTGCTGCTTGCTCTTGAAGCATTCCCCAAAGATCAATATTCGCGTCAATTTTGCGGCCGGAGACGATGAGATGCGAGACCTCTTTCAATGGTATCACATCACCGTTTCGCCAGCACAATCCGCCAACGCAGGGTCAACCAGCAAAGGGGAGGCGACAAGAATCATAGCCGCTGCTTTCAGGGCCAGCAATAATCCCGACTCTCAGGACATTACCAAATTTCTCTCGCATAACCAGGAGGATCTCTTTGATCAGCTCAGGAGCCACGTCAACTCAGAGATATTTCCCTACATAGTGAAAAAGGGAAAGGAGAAGCCAATGAACCTGGCACCGGAGCATTTTTGGCCTTCATATGCGGCGGATTGCTGGCTGAAGGAGTATTTCCGAATCACCGCCCAGGCCCAGCTGCCGGAAGCAACGAGTGTCGAAAGAATTGCCGTCATACATGTTCGTCGCAATGCGTTGACGCCTGTTGGACGCATCATGGATCCAAAATGCTTAGAGTACGTGGCAAATTCGATCTCGTCTGTCAACAGAATGTGCGTTGCTTTGAACGGTATTTATGCGCGACGCTTTACACATGTCATTCTCTACGGAGACTTCACCGAGGCTGAAGGCGCCAAAATGGTCGCAGACGTGAAGAAACAGCAGCACCGAAACACGCCGGTCCAGGTTCAATTCATTGGTAGTCCCTGGAAGGTGCCAGACACTGCTCCAGCTGGATCCAACACGGAGCTCAGAGACCTTCGGGCAAGGTTTCGCGATGTGAACTTTGACCATCTTCCTGTGCAAGTCAAGGTCCTCAGTATCTGGTCTACCTTATCTCAGAAATATGGCGACAAACTCTGTGTTATTGGGCATCGATCCGGTTTCGTTGAAGGCGCTGGTCTGCTCGGCATACCTATCTTTTATCTCAACAATGAGCGAAAGAAGATCGGAACTACAGAGGAGCTACCTGGTGCCTTTCTTTGGAGTCCAATGAAGAACCCGGAGCACGACAGATTGCGCGAGCTGTCTGATACAATGAACACATTTATCCCAGTTGAAGTACTTCTAGAACCGGAAGGAGCGGCCGCGAAGACTCAAAAGGTTTTGCAAGTGGATCCTAAGTACCTCGGAGAATTGAAGGCCGCGCTATTCATGTATATGTGCTGCGAGAGGGTGGCTAAAACTAACAGTGAAGGTTCTACAGGCGCAACGCCGGGGTGGAAGTCAAGGGTTTTCATGATGCATGACAAATGCAAAGAGAAGCACCTTGGGATCGATGCACATGAGCCTGGCGTTGCTTGTCGGGATGATCAACACTACACAAAGGAATCTGCGTATCAGACCGGCCAGGAATGGTTGCGCCGAAGGTATAACTTTGCGACGAGGTTCAGAGATGGGAGTGAATTACCATTTGTGCGTTTAACGCCGTGGGTTGGCCTCGAAGACTGGACCAAGGGTTAATTTTGACATGGGACAGGAAGGAGCCGAGAGGATTGGTGGGGCTGGGGAATTTCATTGAGAATTAGAATACGGAGAGTTTTTGTTGGTGAGCATGTTTGTTGGGAGAGTAAGGATTTGACACGTAATATAGATCTTCAATGCAGCTTTAACATAGACTTATATGCACGATGGTGACCTTGATAAATCAGTAATCATAGTTTCCGAATGTAGAGTGTATGAACGAATTCACAGTTGAGAAGTCCATGTTTGTCGCGGTGACCTGTGGCCCTACCCACACCCAGTGGGATATATCTTTTATTGAGATACAATCTTTGCAGTCCTTACTTCAAGATTTTGCACGTCCCTTCTCAGTCGATTCATGTCCTCCTTCATTGAGTCAACGTGTCCGAGCATCTTTTCGTGAATCGCCTTGCGCATACGTGAAAGGAGACCGGGAGTGTTCCCTCTATGAGGTCGACCAGGTCCGCCGGGGGGACCTAAGGGACCCACTAGGTGTTATCAGTACAAAGATACCAGTATAGTCAACACATAAAAGTGGATTTAGAAGATCTCAATAATGCGGGTTGGCATAAGACATACTTGCGTCCCATATTAGAGTGCTGCAGTACGACGTTATCGGAATCCGCGGTGCTGGCAGTGGTCGTGTACAAGTAGCAGGAGAAGACATTCTGTGAATAGATGTGATAAGGACGCATGAGAAGAGCGTCGAGAGGATTTTATGTCGCTCACTTTGATAAGTGAAACCAGCCAATATCGGGAACCATGGCGTGGGGACAAAAATGTTGGTGGGGATTATTGAAACGTTCTGTGAAATGCGACTCTGGCTGTTACCACCATCTTGGGAGTTTTGTGCCCTGCATTCATTCTGATAATCAGAAAGGTATCTTCTCAGACAGGGCGAGACGAACTACATAGCTAGGCGCCATCGTTCCTTGCATTGCTAGTCGCACATATGTATAGTTGTGTGGCATTACCGTGCAGTGCGATTGAGGAGTGTGAGGACGAAATCGTTGTATCAAGTAAGATACAGAGGTTGAGATTCTTCGTCGACCAAGGTACTGGTACCTTGGCTGGCTTTTAAAATGACCACTTAGGCTAGCGAACATTTGGCACTCATTTCTGCAGTGTAAAAATTTCGTAGGCTCGTGCCTTTCAATTTGAATTGTAACCATATAGGAACATCTTGGTTACTAACTTCATTTTTTTGAGGATAAATGGAGCAAATGTCACAGGCTAACATTGGACAGCCATGCCATTTCATCTTGTCGATCGATTATAGGTGTTACAATCACCACTCGGTCATTGGAAACGTCCAAGGCTCACAAACACTTCAATATTTCGGTCGGACACGTACTTCATACCTGTATCTCTGTGAACGGCATTCATTATGGCGGAATTGGGGGAATTTTTGATTGCTAACAGAGGTAATTTTCAAGAAGAGCAGTTGTTTGAATCTCCATTGCCTCAAAAATAAAGCTGATCTCTAATCAATGAGAGAAAATTTAGTTTCTGCCTTGATGTCTCTAGAGCTGAAACCGGCCAAGAAATTCACAGCTCCAGTAGGAATAACCCACATCTGCTCGTTGACATCCCAAAAACTAAGGTCTCTTCTCATTAATTCAAACTTTACTTCCTTTCCCTCACCAGGTTCAAGAAAGATCTTCTCAAATCCACGCAAGACCTTCAGAGGAGTACCAGCAGGGGTGCTTTCCTGAGGCAACGAAAGGTAGAGTTGGGGAACCACGAATCCTGCCCTATCGCCCGAATTGGTAACCTGGCCCTTTACGATTGCGCACGTAGTCCACAAATCCTGCAGTCCGCCTGGAATCATCCCGAGAGAAATGTTTGCAATGGGTGATAGGGGTCCATCGACTATCTCCACTTCGAGAATATCTCCCATCTCAAAAGTAGTGTAGGAAAGTCCAAACCCGAACTCGTATAACGGATCGATATTGTAGGCATCAAAATGCCTGTAGTCAATCATTTGTCCTTCGACGAAGTCGGATTGCCAAGCGTTCGGATCCTTCTCGTCTACAACCGTATCGACGATGGGTGCACCGTAGTCTGAAGCATTTCTGGGTACAGTGTAAGGAAGTTGTCCAGAGGGTTCCGTGGCGCCCCACAGAATGTCGACAATTGAGTTACCCGTCTCTTCTCCAGGATAATGTGCTGCTAAGATCGCTGTCACATTCTCGTTATCAGCCCATGGCATCAGGACCACACCAGGTCCATGAGTGACGACAATAGTATTCGGACACATCGCAGCTGTGGACTCTACTGCCATTGTAGCGTTCCATTGAAGTTCAAGCGAAGACCTGTCGGATCCTTCTGTTGCGAAGGCTTTGAGAAACAGTAGACAGGCGTCTGGGGTAGGATATATGGTCCTAAAAAGTCCTCCGGCCACGATGTCGTTATCGAACAGCATTTGAACTCGTCCTCCTGTAGACTCCACGCGTTTCTGGATCGCTTCTAGTGGTGTTACCAATTTCGTATGCCTCACGGTACCAGAGCCACCCCCAACGTCAAGAGTGCCCATCTCGTAGCCTTCTGGGCTATCCCCTATATCGCGGAAGACAGAACCAACGACCGGATATGAAACATCGTTGCCAAACAAACCTATGTTCATGCGATCTTTTAGTGGCAACGCGCCATTTTTGTTCTTGAGAAGCACAGTTCCAGCCGCTCCGACTTGTCGGATAATGTCCGAGTGATTTCCGCGTACACCGCGAGCTTCGACCTCTGGATACGTGAAAGGGAGGCTATAGCCATGGCCGTACTGGTAGACAGAAAAAACGGCACCACTTGAAGGATCTACCGTGGGATAATTCTGATCCTGACCGAGTAGAAAGTACGGCGCCATGACTCTCTTTGCCATGTCATCTAGGCGGCTCTGGTTCACCATTCCACCATTCACTGCCTCAAGAAGTGGGGTCCCAAAAAAGGCCGGACCGGCAAGTGCACTCACGTTACCCGGCATCTCCATATCAAGTCCCGTATTTGCGGAATCGGCTGTCGAGTGTGTGGCATACCAGTCTGAGACAATATAACCAGGGAACGCGAGTTCATCCTTCAATATTGTTTGAAGGATATTCGAATTGGCACAGGAATAATTTCCATTAACCCGATTATACGCACACATGATGCTAGACGTTCCCGCGTGAACACTGTTTGCGAAAGGCCAGATGTAGAGCTCATGAAGGGTTCGATCGTCGATGTTTGAAGATATCCCCTCGATAATGGTGCCGTCGTCGAGAGTGGTATTCGTGCGCTGCGTTTCTTGTTCATTCCAACATAGTGTTTCGAGCAGGCTTGCACGCCAACAGACTGAATGCCTCGAACAGACGCATCCATTGCAACACCTGCTAAATACGGATCCGGGCCAAAACTCTCCCAATTGCGGCCAGCACGAGCACTGCGACCCAACGGGCCGGTCGATGGGCTACTCTATCGTTAGCGGTATCCGTCGAACTCGTCTAAATGTTACAAACCCAAGATGAACATGGGCTCCTTTGGCCTTGAACTCCTCTCCAAGTGCTACGGCCCGCTCGTACATGAGATGTTTGTCCCATGTCGCAGCAGTGGTGATGCCAGATGGAAAGACACTAGCGCCGTCTGAACGAGAATATCCAGTCGGTCCATCCGATAGACAAAGACCATTGAACCCAAGGCGTTTCACTGCACCAATTGCCCCCACGCACGGTAGGCTGGGTGTGTTATACCCACCAGAAACAATGCCAATCTTCTCAGATAGATCAAGTTGGGACACAAAGTCACTGGCTTTTTTCGATGCTGCTGACCATGCTGAAACGGAATTAGTTGGGAATTTCAAAACATTGTTCTCTTCCGTATATACCTGTAGGGGGGATGGGAGCACCTGGATCAGCTGCTGACAGCTTGATGATGAACACTAGAGGCGTGAGATTGAAAACACCAGAGATATGCATGATAAAGAAGACTTTGGCAAAACACTGGACATGTAGAGAAGACGTCAAGTTTCTTCTGGGGCATGCAACCAACTTAATATTCAAAACATATTGGGGTTTCAACCAAGGTCAACTTTCCAAAGTAGAATGTTCACCGAACCCCATAGAAAGCTATACGCGTATAGAACAAGCATCGACTTCAATCCGGCACTGCCAATGTGAACGCAGTGCGGAGAAAATTGAGATTCAAGCCGGGTGGCCGGCTGTAATTGATCGCGCTGTATGGGGTCTAATGGAGTCTATGATATTTCTGTTGCGAGTACGACAAGTGAGATGAATACCTATACTTGGTAGGTACATACATATGTACAGAGCTTTGCCACGTTGGGTTGAAGACCTGCTAGCCGTTTTTAGCGGATACAAAGAACAAATTACAATACGTGCATCTGGAGCCTCTTTTTTGCTACAAAACAGCAGATTTAATTTAAAGGGTGCATATATACTAGCAAGTGTCCAACCCGACATGTCAACCTTCTGTACATACCTAACATACCGCATACACTTGGCATATGCACGTGACTAGCCAGTGAAAGAGCCATTCCACTGCCAACACCTAGCAAGCAACAAGGATCGCGCAACCAATAGACCCCCCTTATGCTATGCTCAGCTTTGAGTCATGTGGGCGCCCATGACTATTACGATAGATAGTAGTTTTATGGAACGGGTGCAGTATATTTCCTTATATCGATGCCCGTACGGAGTACTTGAATTATACCTGAGATGGTTAGACTTCCTAATCTCCGCCATGCCGTGCACTACGTATCCGTATCTCCTGCTGTCTTTAGCGGGTACCCCCATAAGAATTGGTGCCTAGCCCCCCATAAGAACTAGCACCTTCCCCCCTAACTCAAATCAGCGCCAGTGAATTACTTGCACCAAAATTCTCATCTCTAACCCTTCTACCTACAACAGAGATAGGCCTATATACAATGATAAGCCTGTCACAATATAGTACTGTACATCTCCTATAGTCTGACTTATTTATTGTTTCTCTAAGTCTTGGCCCTCTTCTGAATGTGATGTCAAGACAGAGGTTGATAACCCTCCGATACTGCCTTTAAGGAACAATACATTATGTGGTGGTCATGAAAGAGGCCTTGATAGGTCTTTGTTCCCGTCTTTGTCAAAAAGAAGTTAATACAACACACGGGATTATTAGATTCAAGATACACAGTTCAGGAACATCTATGTAAAGCCCGATTCTATTGCAGGGCCCCAGTAAGCAAAGACAATGTAGTATTGTGCTATATAGATAATATGTGGCTCATTCATCTACGCTAACTTCAGACTACAACACCCCTTTGATTTCCTACAATCTTTCTACCGATGGCGCCTATAACAAGTCTACCTATTGAACTACTAGACAACATTATATCTAACTTATTGCTGTGCGATATATTAAACGTTAGTAAGACCTGTCAGCATTTATACTACGCAGTTGTTCCTAGCATCTATTACTGCATAAATGTATCTTCCTCAAGGACAGCCGCACTTCTGTTAAGGACCTTATTAGCACAACCAAAATATAGAGATCTTATTAAAGAGGTACATATTGTTGCGCAGCCATCATTCGCGGAGAATGTCGTGGATTTTTTGACAACATGGGAAAAGGAACTAACAATCCCAACAACAAGCAAGGTTTCTGATCTCAGTCGCACTTCTATTTCACAGGGAGTCTGGAATCTAGGCTTCATACAGCCAGAACAATAGGTTAATGCTGTGTCTAAACAACAATTTGGCCCTATGGCAGCATTAATTATTGCGCTCTGTGGAAACGTTACAGTGCTGAACATGAAGATTGGCCCATACTTAGGCTTCGACACGTCAACCTGTTCTCTTAGCACGAGCATCGATGAGGCAATCGGCTATGACGCTATCTCTTGGATTTCAACTATGCTCATGTACTCTTCTCAAAACTCAGGAACTCAAGCAGGGAAAACGCCAAATTTTAAAAAGTTGGCGATCGTATATATCACATGTTTTCATAAAGGGCTTGATGATAATACAACACCACTTGAAAAAAGACTGGATAGCAGAGCACATGAAATCCTGTTCCCCTTTTTCACCTGCCAAATATCAGGCACATTGAGGTCACTGATCGTTGGGGGGAAGATTTCCGCCCTCGCTTTTCACGAAGACCACCCGAGTCTCCCCTGCTCAAGGCTCCACCATTTTCGCGTCTCCACACTCTTCGGATCCAGGGACAGTGGGCAGATGTAAATACGGTTAAAGTCCTGCTGCAAAGGACTCCCGTACTTAAAAGCTTTTCTTGGGATTGCGTAATCAATGATCTTGCAATTCAGCTTGGCAAACTTAAGGATTGTCTGGATGAAAATGTACGAGATCGTCTTGTTTTCTTGCGCATCCATGTTTCAGCAGTTGGAGAATACGCATTCAATTATGAATGTTCCGATCCAATAAGACAGCGACTAGGAAGCTTCTCTTCCTACGCTGCACTAACAGATATGGAGGTATCGTTAGCTACATTAGTTGGCAAGTATAAAGCAGTCCCGTCTCTTGGAGAAATGTTACCACCTAAATTAAAGCGATTAGTTATTCTAGACGATTTCATGAACAGTACTGAAATATTTCATCCTTCTGCTATTCCTTACCATTCATGGGGGGATCTTGCAGAGGAGTACCTAGCAACTATTCGGTCCTACATAGAGGAGATCAAGATCACAACACCTTACCTTGAAGAATTAGTTCTGGATATGCGCGCTGTATGGCGTTACAACGGCGCTGACGAAGATGGCATCGATGAAGATGAAAATAGAAACATCGGATACATAGCACACAACATGCTAGATCAACTATGCGAGGATAATGGCATTCGACTTACCATTAAACTAGGCGAACGACCCCTGGGCGAGTCGAGCGACTCGAACTTCCTTTTCCTTGACTGGGATACTGTATGGGACTCTCCAACTAACTGATCAGACGATGATCTTATTGTCGCAGCTAAAGACAACAAACGAAAGATCGCCTCTCGTTATGACCCTTTATTTGTTATCCTTCCTTCGGTGTTCTCTTTTTCCTTGCTTTGTCTTGTATTTGATCTCGATTTTTTGATTCTTTCCTGGAACATCGTCCGAGGTCCTTTCTGATTTCCCTTCCAGTCTGCCGTTTGTCTTGCTATCACTTTTTTTCTTGCGAATTAAAAAGGAATCAATCAATGCCAAACTAGTGCGGAGAAAATCGACCTAAGTTTCAAGCCGGCTCTGATTGACCGCGGCAAGCCATTGGCGTATCTGAGTTTGTGATGGAGAGTGGCCTGGTGTTTGGAATTTCAAGCTGATTGGCACCACAACGTTGTATATGCGTTTGAGCTGTCTGAAATGATACGCGTATAGATTATAGAGCATACTGGCGCCTGCTACCTATTATCTCTGATGTTTTCTATGCGAAATCCAAAGGTTTCGTCACTTGTGTCTTGAGTCTTGACCCATCTTTCACATGATAGGCAGCGCTTTTGCCATGCCCAAAGGCTTAAGGCTTGTAACGTCTGTCCCTGCGTAGCGGGACACCCCGTGTAGCGGGACACTGTTCTATACGGAGCTTCGGAATCATGTGGTAAGCTGTGCATCCAGCCGCCCTACCTCCTATGTTCGCTGAGGCGCATCTAAACCTTCCCTACATTGCAGCTGTATTGATGAACATGAAACCTAGCTGGCAGCATTCTTACAGTCTTTTTCAGGGTGTTGTACGTATTGAGCAAAGGGCCGTCTTCTGTATTCTTGTAGTTATACTGTCATTATCGCTAGAACATACACGTTTTGAACAGATGAGCCTGTTATCATAGGCTGCTACATTGAGCCCCTACACTATGATCCTGCCTTGCGTACTCGACTACATATTAAGATGCATCTCTTGCAGTGCACATGGCATAGACTGAAATACTACACACTAAGTATACCAGGGTTTATGTCACATATCCACAGCTTACCACTTCCAGTACCTCCAACAATCCTTGTTTCAGACACACCAGAAACCGAGGGGCGATACTCTGAGGGTAGTCTTACTATTTTTTTTGAATTATACGTTATCCATGTTTCGTTGAAACTTAGTGCTATGCACTGGTGCTGAGAAGGTTGAGGATCCGTTACAGCTGTCGTTGTGTCCGGCGTTGCAGAGTTACTAATAAAAGTAACACCAGCGTCCGTATAAAGATAGAGACCAGTATAGTTGAATACTATTTCGGATAGTCTCCTATCAACCTGAAGCGTGTGTAGATGATCGCCGCTACTAGCGTCCCAGATCTTGACTGTTCTCTCTGATCCTGATGCAATTTGGGTTGAGTTGTGAGAGAAGGCCACTAATTCAACTCTATCGCTATGGCCCTTAAGCGTGTGCAAATGCTTGCCGCTAATAGCATCCCAGATCTTAACTGTCTTGTCTGCTGACGATGATGCAATTTGGGCTGAGTTATGAGAGAAGGCTACTGAACTAACCCACTCACTATGGCCCTTAAGCGTGTGCAAATGCTCGCCGCTAATAGCATCCCAGATCTTGACTGTATTATCTGCTGACGATGATGCAATTTGGGTTGAGTTATGAGAGAAGGCTACTGAACTAACCCACTTACTATGGCCCTTAAGCGTGTGCAAATGCTTGCCGCTAATAGCGTCCCAGATCTTGACTGTATTGTCCTCCGACGATGATGCAATTCGGGTTGAGTCGTGGGAGAGATCTACTGAGGTGATATATTCTTCATGAGCCTCTAGCGTGTGCAGGTGCTCGCCGCTGCTGGCGTCCCAGATCTTGACCGTCCCCTCGTATTCCGACCCCGACGCGATTCGGGTTGACTTGTGAGTAAAGGATGCTATCATGTCAACACCTTCGCTATAACCCTTAAGCGTATGTAAGGGCTCGCTGCTGCTAGAGTCCCAGATCTTAACTGTAGTGTCCCCTGACGCTGACGCAATTTGGGTTGAATCATGAGAGAAGGCTACTGAACTAACCCATTTGCTATGGCCCTCGAGCGTGCATAGATGCTCGCCGCTGCTAGAGTCCCAGATATTGACCGTCAAACCTGACCCTGACGCGATTCGGGTCGAGTCGTGAGAGAAGGCCACCGAATTGACCACATCGCTAGGGCACCTGAGCGTGTGCAAATGCTTGCCGCTGATGGCGTCCCAGATCTTGACCGTCCCTTCGTCGCCCAACCCGGATGCAATTTGGGCTGAGTCGTGAGAGAAAGCCACTGAGGTGGTCCAAGGGGCCTCGAGCGTGTGTAGGTGCTTGCCGCTGCTGGCATCCCAGATCTTGACCGTCCCATCTTCTTCTGACGCCGACGCGATTCGAGTCGAGTCGTGAGAGAAAGTCACCGAGTTGACCTCACTGCTATGGCCCTTAAGCGTGTGGAGGTGCTCACCACTGCTAGCGTCCCAGATCTTGACTGTGTTGCCGGTTGATCCCGACGCGATTCGGGTCGAGTCGTGAGAGAAGGCCACCGAAGTCTCCCAATGGCTCTCAAGCGTGTGCAGGTGCTTGCCGCTGCTGGCGTCCCAGATCTTGACCGTCTTGTCCCACGATGACGAGGCAATTCGGGTTAAGTCATAAGAGAAGGCTACTGAACTAACCCACTTGCTGTGGCCTATAAGCGTGTGCAAATTCTCGCCGCTTATAGCGTCCCAGATCTTAACTGTGTTGTCGTTCGATCCCGACGCGATTCGGGTCGAGTCGTGGGAGAAGGCCACCGAATTGACCACATCGCTATGGCCCTCGAGAGTTTGCAGGCACGCACTCCAGTTCCTACTCATGCTCGGCTTAATAACGATCCCTCTCAACTCTTCGTGCTGGAATAGCTGTTTAATAATGCTCTCTGTTGGACTAAACAATAGCGCAGATGCATAGGTTTGAAGAGGGTAGCACTCAATTGCCCCTTTGTGATACATGATGAATCGCCGGGCGTCTTGAACAAGCTGAGTAAGGCTATTTTGGTCAGACATCTCCTACTTGCGTTAGTATCCAGATTACATTATATAAACATTCCGCTAACATACCTGCACAAGTGACCATAGTTTCGTCATTAAGACTACACCTTTTCCTACGCTCTCGTACAGACTGAGCCCTTCTAGCCAGTAGAGATATTTCTCCTTGAGAAATTGATCAACAGTGCTTGTAACTTGTAAGTCATGAGCTTTTTTTGAGTCGTATAGATGATCAATCCAGTGAATGCACGGGTAGCGTGATGCTGCTAATGGATCTGGATCAGGCCGTTTGATGTCTTTAACGGGAAATCCTAGCGCTTTTAGACTGTACATATCCCTGTGCAATGTCCTAGACAAAATTGCAATTGACCTTGAGAAGATCTCCTGATGAATAGCTTCAGTTCCGTGTGGGAATACTTCATTTACTGCTTCTGCAAAGAGAAAGTCCTTTGCAGACTGATGCACAAAGTAGATTGTGTCTTCCCGCAGAGTCAGGAATGATCCACAGAGGCTAACAATCTCCCGTACTGACTCTAGGTTGTCAACAAAGTCTTCAAGCTGCTCAACAAGCGTAATTAGTTCCGGGATCGTAACAGGTCGATATAAGAGTGCAGTCGAAGCCAGTACCTGCCGACAGATCTTAGCGTCAGGTTCTTCGTTTAACTGAAGCATCATCTGCCTGTATAACGGGCCTAGCCCAGGCGGGAATAAGGCAAGCTTCGTCCGCACGTGTCGATTCGCTGTCTTTATCGATCCTAGATCTTGACACACTAACGCTACCCATAGGAAGGTATCGTTTGCGTTAGAGGTCAAGTACTGGAGTACCGCGTGTTGGATTTCCGCCGTGTAATCCTTTTCCTGCGCCAACTGAGCTACCTTTTGCTGGATAAAGATGTTGACTGCTGCAGCAACAGACTTTGCGTTCAGCTCAAGGCTTAGTTTTATCTTCTGTTCTGCCTTCTCTAGCTGTGCTTCGATGTCTCGCCAGTTGCGACTAGAAACAATCCACTTGACACGTTGAGATGTGGACTGCCTTAAGATAAATTCCAGCAGCTTTGGCCTACCAGTAATGCACTCATCCAGCGCGTCAACGATTAGGTATGTAGTGCTAAGACTTGGGTCTCGCAACACGTCTGTAAAGATCTCTGTTAAGGCTACCCAGGCATTTGCATCCTCGAACAAGCTTTTGCCTGCGTCATCATGCTTCTTGCGGATGTGCAATACAAGCGATGGTTGCTGATTCACGAGCATGTACAACAGCCCTCGTAGCACAGCCGTGGCGCTGTTGATGCGCGAGTCGTTTGCTTGGCAGAAGAAGAAGGACAGAAGGGCCGTCCTAGGCATTGACTTTTGAAGCTCGTTGATGATGCCGCAGAGCAACATCGTCTTGCCTTTGCCAGGATCACCTTTAATCCAAAGCAGGCAGCCGTGCTCGTCCTGTTGCCATTGTTGGAAAGTGGTGTTGTCAAGGACCCAACGGTATGAGTCTGCTAGTAGTCCACCTTTGGTATCCTCAATACGTGTCTTGTCGTCGCGCGGATTGGTTGAATATAGGTCCCTGATGCATTGTTTGTCTTCTTCACTATTGAGGTGAGACGACTTGCGCTTGCCATCGTCTACCAAAGAAGTTAACCTCTGCACTTTTTTTGTTTATTCTAGGATGCATAGTTACATTGAGATTGCTTCGCTAAAAGAGCAGGAGACCTCTCAATCATCTCCCCAATCACCTCTGCTACCATTTCAAAGTCTTCCTCTGTAACCTTCCCGAACTTGTTCATGTTGAAGTGGGTGCGCGAGAGCGAGTACTTGTTTATCGCGTCAGACAGGTCGAGGCAACCAGAGCTCTTGCTGACCATAAACCTCTGCGGATATAGTTAGTCCTACTGGTTGTAATAGCACTTTTACAACTTACCATCCTATCCTGCTTCCCTACAATCCTCCCTACATTGCTTAACATCAGTTCGTAGAAGCATGCAATTTGTGTCTTGTTTGTCTGTTCCCGCAACTTCTTCAAGAAGTTGTCAACCATATCTTGAAGGTACGCGTTCCCTGGCTGCAGCACCTCAAGAGCAGTGGAATGTACCTGATCGCTGTCGTATTCAAGCCGTGCTGCCTCCAGCATCTCCATTTGATTCATCCCACCCGCGCCCCGGAACGGTGTCCCAAAGAAAACCAGACCAGTAGTCGATGAATACACTCCAGGCCACTCGCTCGGGTACTGTTCGGCTTCTAGCAGTGCCTAGGAAAGTTTTAGCTCTATGACAGACACTGCATCGTCTTCTACTTCAACTCCTTACCTTGAGCACGACCAGTCCGCCAAAGCAGTGCGCCACAAACAGCAGGGAGCGAGATGAAACACCCTGATAAGTCAGCATATACCTATCTCCAACGCCTCCTGAAGATGACTCGCACCTTTCTCTTCCGCTTCAAGGCTATTAGCAACCGCTCTGCCACCGTAGATGCGCTCTGCTGCATCGCTTCTTTCCCAAACCACTGTGACCGATACCCATATCGCATTATGCGCGCATTTGGCGCTATGGCTGGTAGCATGTTTCCCTCTTCTAGCCAGTTGACCCACTGTGGGGTTTCCCTAGTGCCCACATTCTTGCACCAGCTATGGTCGGGATGGGCGCCGAGGCCGTGGATCGCGACGATGCTAGAAGATTCAGTACAATTTCAAGCGAGCACTACTGGTGGAACATACTCAGTGATCCGGGCAGCTTCTGCCTCTGCTGGTGCCTCGCGGAGCACCCTCAGCCCGATGTCTTCGTCGGTAATCGGCCGGCTCTAGCTTGCGTTAGCCTCGGCGCGCTGGTTTCCTGCACACTAACCTACCATAGTCACACTTCAATGCTCAGCATTGCGCGGGTGCTCGAAATAGAGGCGGCGAGGGCTAGGGAGATAGAAGGACGATGGTGCGGAAGTGTGCAGACAGCCAGCACGGCAATTATATACCAGGCTGAGCCAGCCGCGCGCTCTGCTTGACCGGTCGGCTTGTCACAAGGCTGAGGCTGAGGGGGCAGAGGAGCTGCAGCCGGTTGAAGTGAGCCTTTCTAGCAAACTGCTGGCTGAGGCATAAGCTTCTAAGATATTCAAGCTTCTACAACCCATTCCTTGAACTGAGCAAATTCGTCTCTTATTCCAGCTATGTCGACATTTTCTAAAGCGATTGTAGTAGTGAAGTAAGGCGGGTAGGGCTGCTAGCATGCGCTATAGCTACCTAGCTATAATACTAGTTAGCCTGTTATAGGCGTAACGTTAAGTTTGTTACAGCAGTACACACGAATATCTAGGCACGCTACTGCATGTTACGACACCTCTCTGTATATTTTCTGTGTTAATCGGTGAAACTCCTGGACAGCATACTTCTCTATTAAAGTGGCCTTTTGCGTATAAGGATGAAAGCTTCCTTGACTGCACTCTTTATAGAGCTATATAATTACTATAGAGGCTCTGCAGTTGCGAATAGGATTGATTGCAGCAAGACATTGGCGTATCTGAGTGTGTGATGGAGAGTGGCCTACGAGTAGTGTTCGGTTTTTAAGCTGATTGGCACCATAACGTCGTATCTATACGCGTTTGAGCTGTTCGTATTTATACGCGTATAGAGCACACTAGCGCTAGCCACCTATCATATCTAATGACGTCCATGCGAAATGTAAAAGTATCCTCCCTTGTGTCTGAGTCTTGACCCATCTTTCATACGATAGGCAGCTCTTTTCCTATACCCAAAGGGCTTGTAACTTACCCATGTTAGGTCTTGGGGAAATCAGGAGGGGAGTGGGTGCCAACCAGACATGGACTTGATTTTACGCAGCTGTCAGGGCAGTCGCAAGCTAGCTTAGGATGTGACATTCACCGACTATAACGAAACGTTGGCCCACTACAGCTCCATTAACCTCAGCTAATCAAGCGCCATCTAGCCAAGCACCCGTGCTATATATGAAGACTCTGTGGCGCAACTCGCTGTACCACATAATCTCAGTGCCTTTTTCTAATCACCAAACACAGCTTCTTAGGCCCCAACTCACCCTCAACTAGCAGTGCGGATGCTAGGCTACAAGAATGTCGAACAAAGAAGGGTTAAGTGACGATTCTGAGCGATGCGCGCCTCCGGTGTATCAACTTGAGGATCCGATGATCTTGGTGCCTTCGTCGGGCGATACAGGTGTCACCAGTAGGTTTTAGATTGCAATACTAACAGAATTGCCCATCGCTGACGGTTTACAGACGATGGACGCATCGATATCGACCTCCACTCAAATCTGACAAGGTCAATTGTGAGATGGGCAAGCAAAGCAGAGCGCGGCTCAAAGCAATACCGCCCAAGTCGTAGACTTACTGTTCACCGGCCATGGACTATTCGACTGAACATTGTCATTCAAATTGTTGGTAGTCGAGGAGACGTTCAGCCTTTTATCGCACTTGGTCAAGAGCTCCAGAAATATGGACATCGCGTTCGACTAGCAACCCATAACGTCTTCGAGTCATTTGTCCAAGAATCGGGTCTAGAATTCTATGCTATTGGAGGGGATCCAAAAGAACTCATGGCCTACATGGTGAAGAATCCTGGACTCATTCCAAACATGAAGAGTCTACGCCAAGGCGATATCCAGCGAAAGCGTTCCATAATCGCAGAAATGCTCCGCGGTTTCTGGGCTGCCTGCATTGAGGATCATTTTGTAGCTGATGCAATTATAGCAAACCCACCAAGCTTCGCGCATGTGCACTGTGCACAGGCATTAGGCATCCCACTACACCTTATGTTCACTATGCCTTGGAGCAGCACCGCAGCCTTTCCTCATCCATTAGCCAATTTCAAAGCCGGCAAGATATCTCCAGAGGTCATCAATTTTGCGAGTTATGGAATTGTCGAATGGTTAACCTGGCAAGGGTCAGCGTGAACGTCTTCTATCACAAGGGCGAACTAACCTCAGCATAGGCTTGGAGATATAATCAATACTTGGCGACATGAACTGGACCTGGAGCCCATACCCCTTACAGTCGGGCCTGTACTCCTTGAGCAATTGAAGATACCGTTCACGTATTGCTGGTCGCCTGCTCTAGTGCCCAAACCCCAAGATTGGGGTGAGCACATTGGTGGGTAGTTGCAATCCGCATCATTGATCACTCGCTAACCGTCGACAGATGTATGTGGCTTCTTTTTCCGCGATCCGCCGCATTACAATCCACCAGAAGATATTGAAGCGTTCCTGAAAGCAGGGCCTCCACCAGTCTACATTGGGTTCGGTAGCATTGTTATTGATGATCCTGCGAAAATGACATCTATCATCCTAGAGGCAGTCAAGATATGTCACGTCCGTGCGATTATCTCGCGAGGCTGGAGCAACCTCGGAGAAGGACTCCAGGAGATCCCTGAAGACGTCTTATTTATTGGTGATTGCCCACATGAATGGCTGTTTCAGCATGTCTCTGCTGTTGTCCATCATGGTGGCGCCGGCACCGCGGCGTGCGGGTTGAGGAACGGATGCCCAACTGCAATAGTTCCGTTTTTCGGCGAGTATGAATCCACCTAGCTCGACTGTAAATTATGTATGCTGATGAAATATATTAGCCAGCCATTTTGGGGTGAGATGGTTGCCGCTGCAGGTGCAGGTCCCCCGCCAATGCCACAAAAGACTCTCGATAGCAAGACCCTGGTCAATGCGATATCGTTTTGCCTCCAGCCAGAGGCCATGACCGCAGCACAAGAAATTTCAAGCCAAATGGCAACAGAGAGTGGTGTCCAGGCCGCTGTTCAATCTTTCCATGCCAACCTTCCTAACACCATGCTTCAGTGCGACATTTTGCCGTACCATGTTGCTTCATGGGAGTATAGGAAACTCCCCATCAAGCTCTCAAAAATGGCCGCCCAAATACTGATAGACAATTCAGTACTGACTCAATCCGACTTGAAAACGTATGCTTTAACGCCAATTCCTCATATTTTTAAGTCATCTAACATTTGGGATAGCTATAACACGCAGCCAATATTCATCACCAATCCTCGCTGGGATCCGGTAACAAGCACCTCCTCGGCATATATAGGTTGGGTTCAGGATATTACATCATCATCTACTGGAATTATCCGTGCACCAATTTCTGAATTACGACGGTCAAATGTGGAGGGCGCTTCGGGCGGGGAGACTGCTGGCCGCATGGCAGCTGCATCTGCCAAAAAGTTCGGTCGTTTCAACATGACGGTCCTCAAGGGCTTGGGTGTCGACATTCCATATGCTTGTGCCGAAGGATTTCGTGCAGTCCCCAAAATATATGGAGAAGAAGTGAAGGACTATGGAGAGGTCAAGGATTGGAGTAGTGGTTTTGTAGTGGCAGGAAAGAACTTCGCCTATGGAATTACAGATGGAGTGACAGGTCTCTGGACTAAACCATACGAAGAAGGAAAATCAGAAGGTGCACTTGGGGTTGCTAAAGGTGTTGGGAAAGGTGTTCTTGGTTTTGGGAGCAAAGTCGCATCCGCAGGTTTAGGGCTGGTGGCGTACCCTGGGCAAGGCATTTGCAAGAGCATTCGACATGTTGCCAAGTCACATACACGCAAGGTTGTCAAAGCGCATAGGTTTAGGGAGGGTGAGAAACTAGCTCAAAATGTGTCGGAAGATGATGTTCTCGCTGTGCTCAGCGGTTTCAAGCGGGCACAGGATGAGAAGGTTCACCAGATGATTCGCAGGTCGTCGTCAACATAGTCACACAATTCTTTTCTGACCACAATGGTCCATTTGATTTCTAGCTCGTCATTCCTGCCATGTAAACTAGGCCACTAAATGTTGTTGGACCCTTGGGCCAGTATGAAGAAGTTCCATTGTTGCTATGAGTTATGGAAGATTTTGCAAACCTTGGACCACCCCCAAGTTCCTTGCCATGAGATCGATGTCTTACATGTATCATATCATAGGCACTGATTTTCTTGACTTCTTTTGTTACTCTCTACGTTCAATTTTATATCAGGTTTTCTAAGCGGATAGAGAATACCAGTCATGGGCATTGTCTTCCACAGTGAGTGGGAAGCTGCACTTTCAGCACGGATAATCAAGGATCGATTAATTGGCTACGTGCAACATGATTTTGAAGATTGATGGCTTAGTTCTAATATTATTACAGTCTATTTCCAATACAAAAACGGCAAAAACAAACGCAAGAAAATGATCTAGCTCTGAGAAAATTCTACAAGACATCCAGTATTCCTTAACTCCCTAGACTTTCAGATAGAAGCGATCAGAAGGCTTGAGAGTTCAGGATTGGCGACACAGCTTTCCGGTATTCAAGTCATAGTGCCACAAATGGCTACCCACGCCCGATTGCACATATAAGCTAGAAGTCGGGTCATACTTTTCCTTAATCGCGGGTAGACGATCATAGTTTCCGCCATAGAAATCATATTGAAAATTTCCGTTGAAAGGATTTGCCTCGTTGATGTAAGAACCAGAATCGGGTGCCCACCTGCGCCAGACTGCTTCCTTGTGCTCCTCTGTCCACGCAGCCGCGGCCAACAACGCATCCTGGGGTGTTGCGTCACCTGCGAAATCGACAACAGCTCCCGTGCTCATGAGATGGATGTAAGCCTTGCGCCAAGCGGGAGTCAGAGCACCGCGCATCTCTTTCTCCACGTTTCTAGGTCCGGGCCCGCCCTGAAGACCGAATACCAGTCTAGACTGACGGCCAGTGACCTGAACATTCATTATGTTTTGAAGATGGGTCCGTAGTTCATCTTCCGGCAGGTCAGTGAGTTCGGGACGACCGAGCAATCGGCTAGACGTCAGACTGATATCGCCACAGCGGCTAGGGCCCGGGTTTAAAACCTCAAAAAGTGCTGAATATGATGGCAAGACTGTAGGTTCAGATAGCGTGACGGACAATGTCTCATTTTGCTCTTTTGATGCCATGCGGGCAATGACAGGTTCGAGGAGGGACTTGAAAGCCGATGCCGTAGTGTTATATCCAAAGAACATCAGAGACAGCTCTACTGCTTTATCAGAAGTTCGGGTTACGTTGTGGGTGATATCCTTTGTTAGGGCAAAACCATTTCCTGTAAGACCAGAGTCCATAAGGTCTGGGATGGATCTGCAGAGTGAAGCCAAAGCAGTCCAAGATGCGCTAGCCTCGCGGGTATCGTTTTTGGTGACCGACATCGAGAGTGTACCCAGGACGACATTTTCAGGAAGTGGATACGTACGCAGCACATACTCGGTAACAATGCCGTACAGACCGGGGCCTCCTCCGCGAATAGCCCACAGCAAGTCTTGATTCTGGGCATCATTTGCGATCAAGATCTGGCCCTCGGTGGTGACCACGGTCGCTTGAAGTACTTGGTCTGCGGCAAGCCCATAGTGGCTGGACAAAGGGCCGTGGCCGCCACCACCAATGAATCCCCCAAGACCAACAGTAGGGTCTTGTCCACTAACCACAGTCCTCCCTACGGAAGCGGCGGATCGTAAGGCAGTACCCCAATTTTGTCCACTTCCAACGATCATAACGTTCTCGGTCTTATTGGCAATAGGGTGTGGCCAGCTGGAGTTGAAATCAATGTTTTGAATATGCTTAGTCCAGATGGATAATGAATTTGCTCCGCTCGATCTGATGCAATGGTCAGATGAAAACTTTTTGGATTAATTCATTGGAAAATTGCACTTACCTGCCATTTAGATCATGACCTGTGCCTTTGACCACGATTCGTATGTCGCGCGAGCTTGCCCATTTAGCTGCGACAGCAATTTGCTCAGCAGTGGTTGCATTGAGAATGTAGCTAGGAAGGCCCCCTAACTCGCATTGCTGTCCCTTCCGATATGCATAATCATTGGGCGGTACGCACGAGTTGTTCGCCCAGTATGGATAACCAATCGACTCTGGTTGTTCGGCCTGGAAGGCCGATTCAAACCACCTCTTTTGAACTGTATCGCAGTTGGTTGTGGACGTGAAGGAGCTGTTGGCAAAGCATGTCGCTGCTACTGGGTTGGCTTTTATCAAAGCTCCATTGACCGATTCATTCAAGGCACTCCAGTTGTCAAGGATGGGCCATTTGCGGTCGAGTGGGTTATTCTTGCAAGCAGAGTCGCCGCGTATAGGCTGAAGAAGCAAGCTGATCAACAGTAACTGGAGCTTCATGGTTGATAGATAATAGAAAGATGATAGGTTTGAAATTGTCACCAGAAGATCTTTTACATATTTATATAAATACTAGTAGTTTATTCAATTTCAGACATCACTCACTTGATCGGAAATTTACCGGTAGTTTTTGCTTAACCTTTGTGATGCGCAATGAGGCTGTGTACCACAGTGCTAGGAGCCGTCTCCTAACGTCGTATACGATCGTATCTGGATTCTTGAGGCGAAACTAACCCCACATCACTGTTCATTGTACTTCTATTTTCGCTGATGATTACGCCATTACCACTGAGGGACAGAAATGGCCATTTACCGTGGATTTCATAATTTGGTACCAGTGGGCGAGCAGAACGTTGATTTTGCTCCAGTGCTTCATCATGAAATAGACACAGATTGATAGCGACTTTTCACTTTCATGGACTTGTAATTCTTGCAAGGCAATAAAGCTGTTCTCTGTTCATCCAAAAAATCAATTATATCGAACAAATACCAGGACTGGTGCCTCCGCGCATTCCCACAAACGTTGATCGTTCAAGTAGTGAACGCTATCATCGACCTTACTTGTGAACCACGCGGGTTCATCTGACATACCTAAACATGGGGATTTGGGTGTCGACTGAAAGCATGCGGAAATATCAGGGGGAAACTGTCGCCTTGGCCAATGAGTATACAATTGCTTGCTTCGATTCCGCTCCACAGTATCTCCCTCAAGACCCACTTCATCGTATAGTGAAGTCTATTCAAGCAACAAATACCATGCAGCTCCGTCTCATGCAATGCACTGTTGCAGCTAATCTTGCGAGATCCACGTCGACAACGCGTCCCGTTACCCAGTTGACACCTTGGCAGGGGTTTGGAGCCCACAGGCACTATACGCGTATAGAATGTTACTTGCGAGTGGTGAATCAGACGCGTGGGTCAGTGTTATGAGCCCTTCTATCTGTGTGTTTGTTTGGTCTCAGATGATGATACTTCGAGCGTTTGGTGATGGATATAATTATCTGGCAACGAAAAGTGTAGCGTACTTAAAGCAAGTCTCCTTCTTTTCACTGTGTCAATTTCATATACCTCCTCCCTATCTTTTAACTTGTCACGCTAAGCTAGCTGATATTGATTCGAACAACGAAGCACAATGGCTGCAGACGGAAAATTCAAATTCTACCATTACGATCCTTCCTTTGGGGCGGCTGTTACTTTTGTGCTGTTCTTCACCATTGTCACGATTCGGCACATTCAGCTGCTCTTCAAAAGCAGAACTTGGTCTTTTATTGCATTTGTTATTGGTTGTCTCTGTATGTGCAATGCAAAAGTGCTCCTTTCGCTATTACCGTCTAACGCAAACCGCCAGTCGAAGCTATCGGATATGTTGCGCGTGCAATGTCCGCTCGACAGTCGCCGGATTGGAAATTGATGCCGTACATCATGCAGAGCCTACTGGCATTGCTTGGTCCGACCTTCTATGCTGCTTCTATCTACATGGTGTTTGGGAGACTGGTCCGTCTGCTTGACGCGGGATCTTATTCGATAATCAAGACAAAATGGCTTACGAAGTTCTTTTTACTTGGAGACGTGCTATCCTTTTTCGGCCAGGGTGGAGGTATGCTAGATGACCGCAAGCGTCATTTTTGTGATCTTTGGACTCGAACAAAGGCTGATTTGATACTTTAGGCGGCGGTATCCTCGCAACGGCTAAGTCGGAAAGCTCTCAGAAACTCGGTAACAACGTTATCCTTCTTGGTCTCGGGATCCAGGTGTTGTTCTTTGCGTTCTTCATGGTTGTAACCGTCATGTTTCACGTCCGAATCGCAAAGAATCCAACCTCGAAGTCGCTTACCATCGCCACGCCCTGGGTCAGGTTCCTCTGGATTTTGTATCTGGCTAGTCTGCTCATCATGATACGCTCCGTATTCCGCATGATAGAGTATGCGCAAGGGAATGATGGCGCGTTACTACAAAAGGAGGTTTATGTGTATCTGCTGGACGCGACGCTCATGGTGATCGTAGCAGCCATATTTGCTGTGTATCACCCAGGTGAGGTTCTTCAAGACTACAATAACTTGGCGGAAACGAAAGACGATACCATGATCTCTGATAACATTCCCCTGTCGAAAGGTGCAAGGTTCAGTCGGTCCGTCTAGGGATTCGGAGGAACAGTACAGTTCCATCATCGACCTGTACATAGAAGTTTCGCAGGTCGGCCGTGAGGAGGACAAGAGAATAGTTGGTCAGCAATAGAAGACTAGTACAATCAAACTTTGTTGAAGCTCCTTTTTCTTAGCCCTGCTGATGGTCGCAAATGTGAGGAGAACCCTTCTCTTCATTGCGGTTATCATTGACTTGCACTCGCTTGGCAATCTTCATTTTGTTTTGTGAACATGATGCAAAAGAAATCTGGAATGAACAGTAATTAACCAATTACCATTGTTTCAATTGAAGCACCTATGTTGTCTCTCCAAAATGAACCGATGGTATTCAAGATCGCAGAAAGTAAAGACGAGCCGGATTCTCCAAAAACCCAGTATGTCCGGTAGCGGTGCAAAGCTGCGGCGTAAAAGGCAAAGACTGCGAAAGCCTCTGGGCGGTGCTGGTGCAAAGCATCAATGTACTCTTGAGGAACCAATAGCGGCCAGGCCATGGTTGCGTGTATACCAACATCTTCTCGGGAAGGATTCTGGTTGCACAAATCCAGCATCCATTGGGCATGCTCGAGCGCATTTTGGCATGCCTTAATCGAATCCTGGGCGGAATTGTATTCGCTCAGAAAATCATTCAGTTTCCGAGTCTCTTCTCCTTGCGTCTGCTTCTCTAGATCATCGCTCATAGTTGGGAGACATAGAAGAGGTTTCAGATCTGATTGAAGAATGGCCGGCCAAGTGCCATTTGAGATTACAGTGCGCACTCCTCGATGAAGGTGAACGTAGTGGATGAAGGAGTCCACGAAGGCGGACAGGTCTTCTCGGAGGCTAGAGAGCGTTTCCCGGAGGACGTGGATACCAAGAAGGGAGGCAAAGACAAAGACGGGAATAGTGCTATCATCACTATCTTCTCCCTCTCGAGCTTGATTGAAGAGTTCCAGCGCACGCGTCTGTAGTTCGGTAGCTTGCTGATGGTAATATGCTTTCTTCATCGCACTCGTGTCTTGCACGGAGAGATGCAAAGCAGAAAGTGCGAGTATTTGGTCGAGTAGGAAGGGCGCTCCGGCGACATTGTCCACAGCTAGATCGATAATTGGCTGAGCCGGCCCGTTTAAAGCCATGTAAGTCTTCATATGAGTCTCGGCGTGGTGTAGGCAAATAAGGTGGGTGGCAGCAAAACGAAGTCCAGTAGTACCAGCCTCAGGCAGAGAGAAATCGAAGGTGCCAGTGGTCCTTACATCCACGGCAGGACTTGCTGCACCGGCTCGATGGTCCGGTGAATCTTGAAACGAGCAACATCGTTGTGAGGAGATGCAGTTAGCGCATTGGGGCCAACCTTCATCGCATTTGATGTGTCGCTTCTTACACTCCTTGCAGCCCTTTCTGGACTTGTGGTGGGTGCGACGACGTCGAGAGCTGGTGACGCTTGCAGGCGAGGCTTTCGGGGTCATCCTCGTGCATACAGATAAACGGGCAGACCGTACCAGCGCAAATCTTGGAAGTCGAATACGTGTATAGGAACAGGATGACCGGCGCAGGCATGCCGACCATAGTTATACAGAGGAGGGTGTACTCGTATAAGGAAGCGGCCAAGGGTCGAATAAAAGACTATCTCGTTAGCGCAAATAGTTATACGCGTATGGGAGCCGGTATTGGCCGACCAATGCTCTATACGCGTATATGCAAATACACAGTGAAACCATAGTAATGAAGTAGTGCATATTTGCGCAGTATTAAAGCAGATCCCACCCTTTGCCGACTTCACATTCCATACCCCATCTCAATTGTTTCATTCTTTCCACTGTGATCATGGCGGTCTTAAAACCCTACAGAGGTTCTTATTACCTCTGGAACTACATTCCATCCACACCCGCTGCTGCACTCTTCGCAGCACTTTTCGCACTCAGCACCTGTTACATAATCTGGCGAACCATCAAGACACGGGCCTTATTCTGCATAGCATTTGTAATTGGTGGACTGCGTATGTATCGACTGTTAGTTGTATGCCCAATGGCTGCTAATTCCTTTATAGTCGAAGTCATCGGCTACTGTGCCCGCGCTGCAGCCAAAGACAAAACCGACCAACTGATGCCATATGTCATCCAGAACATTGTCATCCTTGTCGCCCCAGCTCTCTTTGCAGCGTCCGTATATATGGTCCTCGGCCGCCTCATCCGATCCCTTAATGCCGAAAACCTCTCCGTGGTCCCTGTACGATGGCTTACCAAAATCTTTGTGTGTGGAGATATAATCTCTTTCGTCGTCCAGGGCACTGGTGGAGGAGTAATGGTGACTGGAGACAGCATGAAAACCGGCGAATCGATCATTCTAGGCGGCTTGTTCGTGCAAATTGTGATTTTCGGACTGTTTGCCGTCACTGCGGCCATTTTCCATACGCGACTACGCCGTCAACCAACCGAAGCGTCCCTAGCATCCTCTACCTGGGCGAGCACCATGGTCATGCTCTACATCGTGAGTGCTCTCATCATGGTCAGGTCCATCTTCCGCGTCGTTGAATACATAATGGGAAATGACGGCTATCCGCTGAAGAACGAATGGACTTTGTATGTCTTCGATGCAGTGTTGATGTTTGGCGTAATGGTTGTGTTCGCCTGGAGGTTCCCTGGAGGCATTGTACCTAGAAAGAACAAAGCTCGCGACCCTGAAGTATCAGTAGAATTATAGAGAAGATAGAAAGATAGGGTCAACATGTTTCTCCTTTGTGTTCTTTTAATCACGCAAGCGGAGTGTGCAGCTAGATGGGTCCATACTTAATGAAAAATGTAATAAAACACCTTGGAGACATTAACGAGACATATGGTACAATGAATGCGAGTTCAGAGTCATCTCAAAAGAGTCAATTTCAAACGATGATTGTAATGAAAGTAATTAATGTCTTATGGAGAGGAGGACATAACTGATAACGGCACTAGACTCCTACAACTTCAAAACAAATTGCCACCAACGCCAAAATATAAAAGTAACCATCAAACTCAAGACTCCGACATTTATACTGTACAAAACATTTTACAAGATTATCTAGTATATGAAATCATATGAAAAACAAAAGAAATTCGTCTCGCCATAACCAGTGAATGACGGAACTAAGCTTCCAAAGCCTTGAGGCTCTGGATTGAAGAGTCAAGCGACTCAGAACCAACCCACTCCTCAACAACACCCTTGTAGGCCTTTGCAACCTTCTTCATGAGTGACACATCCATGATGCCATCCCAGTAGCCGAGTTGCAGCTCGATATTCTTGTCTCCTAGCAACACACCAAGAACAACGTCGAATTCAGGAGCACGGCTACCGAAGAGAGTCTCGAAGCCTAGACTCTTGGAAGAAGTGGCTTCGGAGGTGGTTGGATAGTAGGCGGATTCCTCAGAAGCGTACTCAATTGAGAGGACGGAGTTGAATGGCAAGCACCCGATTTCAGCTTCGATAGCGTTGGCAGAGGACACGAAGCCGTGCTGGTGATCGAGAGTCTCGAGGAAGGAAGAGTGTGTTTTGCTGAGGAGATCTGCGGAGGTAGTGGAGGAGGTAAGGCTGAGACGGCAAGCGAGCATGTTGATCATGGGGCCGACGAGCTCGTCAACACCCTTAATGTCAAGCTCGCGATTGGCGGTAAGATAACCGAAGAGGACCTCCTCGCTCTCCGTGACGGAGCGAAGAACAGCAACCCAAGCGGCTTGCAAAAGTGTCGCAGAAGTGATCTTATGCTTGCGACAAAGTGTTGCAATTTCATCAGCGCTGACGTCGACTTCGATGGGGACAAGGACGTTGGAACCCTTCTCTACCGCGTTGGTTGCAGTCTGAGTTTGTGTCTTGCGAGGAATGTGGCAAGGAGGAATGTCACTCAGATAGCTGGACCAGAAATCGTCATCAGACGAAAGATCTTGGTCGGCAAGCCAGTGGACATATTCTTGGAAACCGGGCGCTTCTCCTTCAGGAAGAAGACCCTGGTATGCGAGAACAAGGTCTTGGTAGATGAGGCGGGTGGACATACCATCCTGCAGAGCGTGATTGATCTCGAGCTTGCAGAACAGGTCATTGCGGGTCTGGAAGAGAGTGAAGCCGACATGAGGGCGGAAAGAAGAGTGAGAGACGGTGTGGTGGTTTTCGATGATGCGGCTGATGCTTTCGGCATCACACTGAATGACGTCGACAATCGGATCGTAGTTCTTGAGTATCACTTGGTCGGAGAAGAAGTTGCGGGATGCGCTGGGAATGAAGATTGTACGTAGAGCTTCATGACGAGCAGTGACCTGCTTCCAAGCAGACTGAAGACGAGGAATGTCAATCTCAACACCAGTGATTCTATGAGCAGTGTCGGACTCATAGGATCCAAGATTAGTCTTCTGGCTGTTGAGCATCCGTTGTTGAAGAGGGGTGCAAGGAATGATGGTGGAAACATTCGAGACCGGAACGTTGATGTCGTAGAGCACCTTCTCGAGACTGGAGAGTTGAGAATAGTCCAACCCGAGAAGAGGGAAGTCGGAAAGGGTAGCTTTGCGAGGTGCGCTCGCAAGTGTGGAGGTCAAGTTAGGGATTGACTGTTCAACAATATCGATGAAAGTCTTAAGAGTTTCTTGCTGTCCAAGGTTCGCGCTGTGAGTGAACTTGATTGAGATCTCGCCATTGGTAACAATGGCAGAGACAGTGAGGACAGCCTGGAGGGCCGCAAGCTGAGGACGCTGGAGAGCTTCCTCATCACCGAAGGTAGTGTAGTCGATGGCTTCTACGAGCATCTCAACGTACGCCGGAAGACATTGCGTCAGAGACAAACTGAGGTCCTCGTAGGCGCGTTCATCCTTGACCTCGCTAAGTAGTTGAATGAAATTCAGTGTGTGGGTGTCGGAAAGTCGTCGAATACGATTGAATTGACCGAGAGTACGAGCAGAACGCGAGTCCTCTTTGACGGCGATAGAGGCCGGACGTCCGAAGACGGTAGCCCACACCTTGGAGAGCACAGCGACAAGAATATCGCCAGGTTGAGTGGAAAGCGCAGTGTTGGCAGCGCCCATGAGAGTGGAGGTAATGCCGGATGGCAGAGTGATGACCCTCTCAATAGGAGTAGAGGCCAGGATCTTCTCATTTTCGACACCCCAAACAGTGAGATCGGGGTGAGGGGCCTCAATGTTGATGGCTGCGCTGTTGCGAGAAAGCATTGTCTGGAAGGACGAAGGCTTGGTGGAAATGAAATTGCCCTTGAGCAACTCACGCAAGTCTTGAACGATGATCCTCATGGACGTAGTATCAGCAATCAATGGGTGGGCATTAATCACCAGCACCTGAGCGTTGGATTCTTCTGTAAGACTGAGAAGTCGGACAGAGAACAATGGTCCATTTTCAATATTGAGCTCCGAAACATTGGCGGCCAGGAATGGCTTGATGTCGGCGCTGGTAGCGAGCGCTTGAGCTTCAAATCGATAGGATGAGGCAAGCTCTTTGGTGATGATCTGGCTCCATTGACCCTGAGTGTCGCGGGTAAAGCGGGCTCGAAGCATGGAGTGTTGTTGAATAAGAGCCTCAATAGCTCGGACGAGCTTGGGAACAGTAGTGGAAGAGTTCAGACGGACAAGGACGTTTTGATTGTCGGCGCCTTGTTCGATCAGTGCCTGTTGCCACGCTGTAAGTGCGAAATTCTGACCGATGACTTCGTCATCGCCATCCTCGCCCTGGAATTTAGCCTCGACGGCAAGGTGACAAATGCTCTCGCAAGTAAGAATGTCGCGAACGGTGAGCGAAATGCCAGCAGTTTGCCCCTTGGCGCGGAGCTGCATAGCAGTGATTGAGTCTCCTCCCAAGTCGAGGAAGGATCGGTTCATGTTGATAGTTGGCAACCCGAGGACACCGGCAAGGATGTCATGAAGACGTTGCTGTTGTTCAGTAGCTGGTGCACCTCCTTCTTCCTCCTCCCCACCTACGATCGTCTCGTAGGTCTTGTCATCCATCTCTACCAACCACTTTGTCGTAGTAACTCTATCCATTTTATTGTTTGGTGTCAAAGGCATAGCGCGAGTGACGATCCACACCGCTGGCACCATGTAGTCGGGCACCTTGGTGGCGAGGTGGTTACGGACTGCCGAAATCTGGACATCAGCAAGTCCCTTGTCGAGACCTGAAATCAAGGCAAGCTGGGTCTCGGGGGAGAGGTCCATCGCCAGAGACTCTAGCGAGAGAATAGCAACAAGCCTCTTCTGGAGATAGCCAGCCTTGGGCAGAAGAACAACAGCCTGCTTAACACGAGGATCAGCGACAATGTGATGCTCAATTTCGCTAAGCTCGATACGTTGGCCGTGGTGCTTGACTTGGAAGTCCTTCCTGCTGACGTAGCAGATGGTTCCTTCAGCACTGTACTTGCAGAGATCGCCTGTTTTGTACATGCGTCGGGTCTGGCCGGTGCCCTGAGACCAGGTTGGGTCGTAAACGAAGGCTGCGTCGGTCTTGGCCTTGTCATTGAGGTATCCACGAGACACCATCCTGCCCTCGATGACAAGTTCACCAATGGCGCCAATAGGTGCAAGCCTGTTGTGGTCGTCTGCGTCGACGATCCACATGTGGCAGCCAGATGGTCGACCGAGGTCAGCCGGGTCACTTTCAACAGTGAGAGGAACAGCATCCATACAGTGGATACTGCATTCCGTCATTCCGTATGAGATGATGAGATCAGCCACAGGAGCCCATCGTTGGACGTTGTCTTGAGTGAGAAGTTCACCACCAAGGATCAGCCTCTTGAAGTTAGGCACAGACTGGGGGTCGAGCATTCCAGCAACAGTTGGAGTAAGGAAACCGTAGTTGCAGTTCATTCTGTTGATTGCACCCGGCAAGTCGTTGATGCGCTCATCTTCAGAGGGTACGCAGATGCAACCGCCACGCTGGAGGGTAGTGAAGATGTCGGCGACGGAAACATCGAAAGTGTAAGCAGCGAACTGCAAAAGGCGGGTCCAAGGACCGACCTTGCGGTTAGTTCCGTGGGCCAGGGAACTGGTGCACAGAGAACCGTGCTCGACAACCACTCCCTTCGGTTTACCTGTGCTGCCTGAAGTGAATAACACAAATGCAGGATTGTTTGGAGAAACCGTAGGAAGAGGAGTGCTTGAAGTTAGAGAGTCAATGAAGGTCCGGTCGATAACGATAGCCTCGGAAACCCCATCAAATTTGTGGGCGTGAATGCTGTCAGTGAGGACGAAGCTTGCGCCAGTCTGGCTGATGATCTCGCTCATGCGATCAATTGGTGAGTTCTTTCCAAGGTGAACACAAGCACCGCCAGCCTTGAGAGTAGCCATCATAGCAACAATCGTGTACATAGATTTGTCGAAGCAGAGAGGGGTAAGGTATTCGGGCTTGACACCCTTCTCAACAAGGAATGCAGCGACCTTGTCGGCAAGCTCGTCGAGCTGCTTGTAGGTAACCTCGCCGTCCCAGGAAGTGACAGCGACAGCGTCGGGGCGAATCTCCACTTGCTCACGGAAGATATTGTGGACACAGTCGTCAACGCGCTTCATGGGTACGAGGTCATTCCATTCGATCATCTGCTGATAGTGGGCGGGCGTGACAAGGCTGATGTCCTTGAGGGGCGTTGATGCTGATGCACTAACAAGCTGATGAACGACGTGCTCGAATTGGTCCAAGACGATGCGCGCAGAAGCTTCAGGTAGAGCTTTGTGGTCGAACTGAAGCTCGATGTCGACCTTGCTCTCGCTCATGACCATGCACTCAACAACAGCGGCGTAGATGTGGAACCCACGAAGGAGGTTCTTGTCAAGTACTTCCTCGAGCATAGACTCTTGCTGAACTTCGCCAAGTGGCTGTTGGATGACAAACAGGTTCTTGAGGTTCTGCTTCTCACTAGCCATGGCATAAATGTTCTGAACACCTGCATGCTCAAAGGGTATCATTTCGGTGGATTGTTGCTGCACAGTAGCGAGGAACTCAGCAATTGAGGCGTTGGCGTTGGCCTGGAGTTGGATTGGAACCGTTGTGATGGTAGGACCAACGATGTTTTCAATGTCTTGAACAGGTGCATTGCGGCCGGAATTGGTAGCGGCAAAAGCAATATCCTCAGAACCCATGTATCGACTGGTCACAATCGCCCAGGCAGCACGGAGAATGGTCGAGAGAATGACACCCCGATCAGCCTTGCGAGCGATTTCAATACTGCGCGTGACCTCGGAGTCGGGAGATGGCTGGTAGGTGGCACTTGGGAGAGATGGGAAGCTGTTGGCGTTGCCCTGACCAAGCTGATTCTTCCAGAATGCCTTGGTTTCCTCGGCATCGACCTCGGTAATATGCTTGATGAATCGGTTATAGGCAGGTGCTGCCTCTATCTGGGCACCGTTGTAAATAGCCTCGAGCTGTTCCATGAGGACAATCGCACTGTGTCCATCGTAGAGAGCGTGATGGACGGTCCAAACAAAATGGCGGTGCTCTGAGTCCAGAGCATAGCGAGCCAGAGGGCTGCCGTATTGTACGAACTCGGACTTATCATTACTAAGGTAATCTTCAAGGGCAATCTCTTGTCGCCAGTTGACGTCCTCCTTGACTACAACTTGCACAGCACCAGAAGTCTTGGAAAGGATGATGCGTGTGCGGAGGATAGGATGAAGTGCGACAAGCTGGCTCCAAGCACTCTTGAAACGTTGAATGTCGATATTTTCAGGGAGGCGGAAGACTCTTTGGGCAGTGTATGCTCCTTTCTGTTGGGTAGCGAGTTCCATCAGACCTTCCTGCAGAGGAGTGCAAGGATAGATGTCAACCACGTCCTCCTCGGGAATTCCACATTTGCCTGCAGCGTCTTGGATAAGGTTTTCCTCAGCTGGGGCAAGAGAAAATGGAGAAATTGTGGCGGCAGCCTCTTCATTGTCGAAGACAGCAACCTCCGCCATATCACAAAGAATTGGGTTCTTGAAGATGTCGGCGACGATCAACTTGATCCCGGCAGTTCGGGCCAGGGATGTGAGGCGCATAGCCTTGATAGAGTCACCACCCTTGCTGAAGAAGCTGTCATCGGCGCCGATAGTAGCGGGCTCAATGCGAAGGAGATCAGCCCAGATGGCCTGAAGAGCAGACTCCATGGGGGTGGAAGGAGCACGCTTAGAAGCGGTGTCCTCCTCACCTCCAAGAGAATATTGTTCAATCTGTTCGGCAGTCAAAGCGGCTCCAATGCGCTTCAAAGCATTGCGATCGATCTTGTTCGTCTGTGTCTCGGGCATCTTGCGTAGAGGAATGTACAAAGATGGAACCATATAAGCCTGGAGAGACTGCGCAATGTGTTCTTTGAGCTTGGCGAATTTGACATTGAGAGTCGTAGACAATGGTAAAACCTCTTCAGAATCGTCTACAATGTCTTCGGCAGATGGGACGACGAAAGCAGCAAGTGCGGCTTTCTCCACATCCCCACCGAGGAGAATCTTCTCAACAGCTTGCTTCTGAGTTCCAAAAGAGCTGGTCTTAACGTGATGCTCGATCTCACCAAGCTCGACACGAAGACCACGAATCTTGATTTGAGTGTCCTTACGGCCCAAGCACAGCATGTTGCCATCTTTGACGTAGCGGACAAGGTCACCGGTCTTGTAGAGTCTGGTAGGGTTGGGCGAGATCTGAGAAGCCCAGGATGGGTCGTAGATGTAGGATTCGTTTGTCTTAGTGGGGTTCTTGAGATATCCGCGAGCGAGTAGAGGACCCTCAATAAGTAGCTCTCCAACACAACCAACAGGAACCAAACGGTTGTGGTCGGCCTTGTCAACAACCCAAGCACGGCCACCCTTGGCCTGTCCGATCATAGAGCAAGGGGTTTCGAGGTAGGATCGAGTCATGACGGCCAAGATGGAGCACTCAGCGGGGCCATAGTCGTTGAAGAGATTGACACGAGGAGCCCACCGAGCGTGAATGTCAGCGCGAAGTGGTTCACCACCCAGGATGATTGACTTGAGTCCGGGGACTTGGTCAGGATGGAAAGTGTCGGCAACGGTGGAGACCATGATGATCCAGTCTACATTCAAAGCATTGATAGCGCCAACAAGGTTGTTCATTCTGTCATACTCAGAAGGAACGCATACACAAGCGCCCTTAACGAGTGGCGAGAAACTCTCGAAGAGGCAGATGTCGAAAGTGTGTGTGGCGAACTGAAGTACGCGAGAATCGGGGAAAAGTTGGATCTCTGGTAACTGATATTTGGCCATAGTACAGAAACCCCGATGCTCGATGATGACGCCCTTAGGTTTGCCTGTGCTTCCGGAAGTAAACACGATGAAAGCAGCGCTCTCGGGGCCATAAGCCGGGGCTTCGAAGGATTCGAATGTGGAGGGAAGGGCGTCCACGAAAGACTGATCGATGGACAATATGTTGGGCACAACTCCATCGAACAAGCCTGCATGCTGAGGAGAAACGAGAACAACCTCTCCCTCAATGTCCTCCAAGATGCTGAGCATACGAGGCATGGGGTAATTTGGCAGCAGTTGTACGCAGACACCACCCGTACGCATGACAGCAAACATGGAAACGATGTTCCACAGCGACTTATCAAAACATAGGCCAACCTTAACTTCAGGGCCAACACCAAGAGTAACGAGGTGGTTGGCGATCTTAGAAGTGACAATGTCAAGTTCGCGGTAAGTGAGGCTACCGTCCCATGCACAGACAGCTTGAGCGTCAGGCCTGCTCGCAACGTTTTCGGCAATGAGGTCGGGGATTCTGGCGTTGACGCCCTCGGGGAGTTCGGCGTTCCAAGTGGTGACGTCCTTGAAATCATATTTGTTGAGAAGGCTCATTTGCTCAATAGGCCTGGACGCGTCACCAGATAGCTCGTTGACAAAATGCTCGTACTGGTGAAGCATGCGGGTCATTTGCTCAGTGGGGATGATATCCTCATCGTACATCGCCTCAATAGTGAAGTCGTTGTCTTTACCAAGATTGCAGAGAACAACAAGAGGATAAGTGTCGAAGTTTTCTTCAGGGCGGTCGACGGTTTCCAAGTCCAGCATGGTGTCTTCACCCTCTTCGGCAGGTTGGATGACGAACAGGTTAGTGATGCTGTCCACGGTGGTGCGAGCCTCATTGCTGGCATCGCGAATGTTTTGAAGACCATAGTGCTCGTAGTCAATCGAGGCAATAGAATCGTTCTGGACCTTCTCGAGGAAATCCTTGACTGTGATTCCTTCTTTAGGAGCCAAGACGCGAACTGGGACAGTAGTAATGGTCGGTCCCATCATGTTGTCGATTCCGTCGAGAGCGAGGTTGCGACCAGCAAGAGTCTGGGCGAAAACGACATCCTCGGAATCGGCATAGGTAGCGATGGTAAGGGCCCAGGCAGCGCGCTTGATCGTGGATGGAAGAATGTTAGAAGAGACAGCTGGAGTTGTGCCCTGGATGGAAATCGTCTTCTTGGATGCAGCGGCGTATCCAAGACCAACTTCAGGGTAGCTGGTGGGGAAGCTGCCTTGTGTAGTGAATTGGCTCTTCCAGAAGTCGATATTGGCGGATTGGGGAGTTTCAGCAAGGCGCCCGATGAAAGTCTTGAACAGGGTGGAGCTCGTGATCTCTTCACCACCATAGGCATGGGCTACCTTCTCAAAGAGAAGTGCAACGGACCATCCATCATAGATAGCATGGTGCGCTGTCCATACAAAGTATTCCTTGTTGACAATGGCCAGGCGCATGAGCGACTGTCCATATTGGAAGGCAGTGGCTTGGTCCTTAGCGAGGTAAGACTCCAAATCATCACCTTGCTGCCATGCTATGGGCGCTTTGCTGACAACCTGAAGGTTACCGGTACTGGAGGAGACGATGCGGGTTCGTAGAATAGCCTCCGATTCGATCACTTGAGACCAAGCATTTTGGAACTTGGCAATATCGAAAGTTGGAGGAAGACAGAAGACCTTCTGTGCGATATAGGCACCCTCTTTCCTCAAGCCCAAAGCCATCATACCCTCCTGAAGTGCAGAGGTAGGGTAGATGTCCTCGATGTCCGAAGGCGTGAGGCTGCATTGAGTGGCTGCTTCAGCAATGGTCTGGTCTTTCGTAGCGGCGTCAACAAGCGCAAATGGTGCGAGGTCGGATGCCGCAGCGCTGTCCTGAGACTTCTCGACGATCTCGGCGAGCTCATTCAAGATGGGGAATTTGAAGATGTCCGCAACCCGGATGGTAACATTGTGCTTGCGAGCAGCAGCAACCATCTTCATACCACCGACAGAGTCACCACCAAGACCGAAGAAATTGTCGTCACGGCTGATTGTTTTAGCATCGACGCTGAGAATCTCGCTGAACAGAGTCTGAAGGATCTGCTCCGTTGGAGTACGAGGTTGTTCGGCAGAGGCAGAACGCAGCATGTAGTGAGATACCTGAGCCTTGTCGAAACCAGCGACGATCTGCCTCAAGATGGGTCGAGCAAGCTTTCCGGAGGTAGTGTAAGGAATGTTAAAGACGGGAACAAAGAGAGAAGGGATCATATAGAACGGTAGGACTTTGGCGAGGGAGCCTTGAAGATCCTTCAATACGCGCCTGAGCTCATCCTCAATCTCGAAGGTTGTCTGCTCGTCGCTGTTCTTGAACTTGGCGAAATCTGGGTTAGTAATGAAACCTACAATAGTCTTACTCTTTGTGTGCTCTTCAATAGCAACAGCATCGACGACCATCGAGTAGCCTTCGGGCAAGAGCAACTGGGCCTGGTACATGATCTCATCGAGCTCGACACGTTGACCGTTGATCTTGACTTGGGCATCACGACGACCGATGATAGTGATACTGCCGTCAGTGTTGAGACAACCGATATCACCAGACTTATAGAAGCGACGAGGCTGGATGGCAGTGGGATCGGGGAATTGAGATACCCATGTCGGGTTCTCAATGAAAGCAGCAGCTGTCTTTTCAGGCTCCTTGAGATATCCTCTAGCCAACAGAGGACCTTCAATTAGAATCTCACCTGCACAGCCCATGGGAACAAGTCGGTTGTGATCCTGGTCGTTGGCGATCCAGACGTGTGTTCCGTAGGCGGGGCCGATATTCGAAGCAGGAGAAGTCTTGGAAAGCCGAACACTAGCAGTCTGGTTGACAGTAGTCTCAGCAGGGCCGTAAAGATTGTAGAACTCAACATGATCGGCCCATGTCTCGACGACATCGCGGTTGAGTGGCTCGCCTCCGTTGTTGAGTCGCTGCATGCTTGGCACATCAGAGGGCTTGAGCATCCCGCTGACAGTGGCAGTGAGATCGGCCCACGTAGCTCTGGTACGGTTGATACCACCAGCGAGATCATTCATGCGCTCCTCATCAGAGATGACGCAGATGGTACCTCCCATCTGTAGTGTCGTGAGGATATCCTGGAGCGAAACATCGAAGTTGTATGCAGCGAATTGTAGGGCACGAGTGTTGGGACCAAAACCAAGGACCTCGCCCATAGAAGTAGTACAAGTACGCATATTCCGGTGCTCAAGGATTATACCCTTGGGCTTGCCAGTTGTTCCCGAGGTGAATACAACGAAGCAAGCATTTTCGGGCTTGACTGTAGTGTTGGCAGGACCAGACACTTCGGGAAGAGCAGCGATCGAGTCGGCGCTGACCTCTATGACCTTCTTGAGGTTGGGTGTGTTGTCGAAGAGGCTGACATTGCGAGTTGAGGCTAGGATGACGGTAGAACCGGTCTGTTCAATAAGGCCTTCAATACGTTCAATCGGGTGGCTAGGGTCAAAAGCGACACCTGCCGCACCAGCCTTCAGAATAGCTAGGATCGAAACGGTTGCCCACGCAGACTTCTGGAAGACGTAGGGAACAATGACCTCAGGACCAACACCAAGAGAAACTAGGTAATGGGAAAGACGAGTAGCCTGGTCATTGAGTTCTTTGTACGTCCAGCTTCCTTCGTATGAACAGATCGCTTCGGCATCAGGAGTCGCAGCGGCCTGAGCTTCGATGGCATGGTGCACGCACTCATTGACGTACTGTGGATATACCGAAGTGATTTGACGGAGTTGCTGAAGGTGCGCAGGACTGACGAGGTCGACAGCACCAATAGCCTTGTCGGATTGTTGGATAGTCGCCTTGACCGCCTCTGCAAGAGTAGCGCCAATGTTGCGGACCTGAGCAGAGGTGAAGTCGGACGTCCAAAATTGCATAGTCACGTCGATCTTCGTCTCAGTAACGCCAACATCCAGGGAAAGAGCGTACTCGGTGGGGTCGTATCCCTTGATAGCCTCAACCTTGATGCTAGAGTCGGTAAGTATTTCGGCATCAGTCTCCCTGTGGAAGGAGATGATGGTGTTGAAGAGTGGCTGGCTACCGAGCTTCAGAGCATGGTGAATCTCTGCAAGACCACAGTGTTGGTTAGGGAGGGTACGAGTGAGATCATCAGCAACCTTCTGAAGAGCAGAAGACATAGTGACGGTGTCATCCAATAGCATGCGGCTGACGAGCATAGTGATGAATGCGCCGACACCCTCCTCAATGCCGCTGATGGGAGCATCACGGCCAGATGAAAGATATCCGAAACAGACATCCTCAGTACCAATGTACTGCTTCAGTACCAATCCCCAGGCAAATTGGAAGATGTTCACGAGGGTTACATTGGCCTCGTTGCAGAAGTTGGTGAGATCTGTGGGCGTGAGGCCAACATCTATGGTGACGGTCTCAAGTTTCCGGGCAGGGTCTATGGCATCCTCCCAGTGAGCCATGAGAGGGAAGAAGCTTGGGTTAACGTCGGCAAGATACTCTTTCCAGAAGTCGGTGGCCATGCTAACAGGACGCTCGAGGACGTGCTTGATGTAATCCTCGAAAACAAAGCCGTTGCGATCGGAAATACGGCCGTCATAGGCAGAGATGAAATCTCCCATGATATTCGCAATGGAAGAACCGTCAATGATAGCATGGTTAATCTCGAGCTTGCAGTAGGCCCGAGTAGCAGAAACATGGGAGATGGTGAATCGATGCAGAGCACCACCAGCACGGAACGCTAGCTTGTCGACCGAGTTGAAAATCTCGTCTACCTCACTCTCCTGACATTCTCGAACGTGAACATTTGGATCAATAGAATTGAGCACAACCTGGTCATAGAGTCCTGCGTGGCTTACACTCTCAATGAAAACAGTTCGAAGAGATGTGTGGCGCTGCACAACCTGAGCCCAAGCCGATGCCAAATTCTTCACATCTAGGATATCAGAGGAGTTCCTAGTCTCGACCTTGAGCGTGTGGTTGTATTCATATGCTCCCTGAGTCTCTGCACGAACCTGGCTTATCAACAAACCATGCTGCATTGGAGAACTAGGGTAAATACTCTCGACACGCGTAACGTCAGAGATACCAATCTCTGGGAGCTTGGTCTGGACGAGGGTGTTAAGATCCTCGTAGGAAAGTTTCAACAAGGGAAAATCAGCAAGTGTCAACTGCTTTTGGCTTGCCTGAAGCTGCTCGATGGCACGAGAGAGGCACTGTTGCGTGCTGCTAATCCAAGACTGGATCAAGTCCTGGTTCTTCATGTGCTTGTTGTGAACGAAGAGCAACTGCATCTGGCCTTGGAGGACTTCGGCCGTGATCTCTACAAGTGCGAAACGGGAGGTCTCCTTGCCAACATCCTCGAAGATGGCCTGGTATCCTGGAACCTGTGTTAAAAGAGCATCGGAGCGTTCCATCTGTTGGTAAAGACCAAGGTAGTCGAAGGACAGCTCCACGTGGCCATGGTCACCAAATTTGGCAATACCAGCCTCATTGAGATAACGAGAAGCGAAATATGGGCGACCGTTGGCTGGGACGCTGTGTCGCACGTCTTTGGCACGCTTGACAACCTCCAGCATGTCGAAGTCCTTCTGCATCTCTACGTACAATGGGTACATGGTGGTAAACCAACCAACGGTCCCAGAGATATCGAGATCATCATCCCATGGCTCGCGGCCGTGTCCCTCACGGAAAAGAGCAGGAACAGCGCGATCGCTGAAGGTCTGATTGAACGAGTAGACCAGGGATGCAAGCAGCAGATCAATAGGCTCAGTATTAAAGGTGGAGTGGCAGGCACCCTCAAGTAGCTCTTTTGTCTGAGCAAGGTCCAGTCTGATGATCGTCTCCTCGGTATCGCACATGCGGTTGGGCTTGGTGGACATCTCCCAGTAATCGAAGTCAGGGGATGGAATGGAGTATGGAAGAACACTAGAAACGTCGGTCTTAGTCGCATGCTCAGCCTGGAGAGCCAGCCAGTTCTGGAAGGGAATTGGCTTGGCTGCAGTTAGCAATCCAGTGGTCAAGATCTCCTCCAAGTCGCGAAGAATCACGCGCCACGAAACGAGATCGATCATGACGTGGTGAGCGACTAGGAAGAGAAATTGCCCCTCGGATGCTGTGTTGAAAAGAACGACAGCAAAGATTGGACCATTTTGTGTGTCCAATGAGCATTGTGTCTCGGCCATGATCGGGTAGGCGTCCTGGGCGGAATCGATGTCGCGAACTGAGAAACTGAAAGTATCCTTGATCTGGGAGGGGATCACTTGCATCCATTTGCCGTTATTCTGCTCGAACCGAACGCGAAGCATAGAGTGCTGAGTCACGACAAGTTCAAGCGCGTTCGCGACGTTGGAACCAGCGACTGGTCGCTCGACCTTCAGGAAGAAACTTTGGTTGAACCGAGTTTGGCGAGAGTCGTCAATTTCATCCGGAATGATGTCGAAATACATACGCTGGACGGGGGAAAGTTCGAAAGGAACATCAAATTTCTCTTCAGTCGAATAGGAGGCCTCGCCAGCAGATGTAACACGAGAGGCAAGCTCAGTGATAGTCTTGCTCCGGAGGATGTCCTTGACACTAACAGCAAGCCCGGCGCCACGGCAGCGGGCCATTACTTGCATAGCCGTGATGGAGTCGCCTCCCAGGCTGAGAAAAGACTTTTGTAGGCTGACATTGGCGAGAGGGAGGTTGAGAACGGCGGAAATAATCGATCGAAGCTCCTCCTCGGTACTATCGGCGTTTTCTTCATCGGCAACTTCTTCGAAATCGATACCGACCACCTGACGGTAAAGGCCGTTATCAGCCTCAGCAATCCAGCTGCTGACGAGGGATCGATTCAGCTTGCCGGAGAGTAGAAGGGGGAAGCGTTCGAGAACAATCCAGGTTTCGGGGACCATGTATTCGGGGACCTTGGAAGCCAGTCCGTCGCGGATAGACTGGAGATGTTGCTGAACTGTCTCGCTGTGCATTTCCTCGTGAACATATGCGGTTGCTTCAACAGCTTCAGTGGTCTCGATCAAGTAATCTTTAAGGGAAACCAGTGCAACAAGGCGGTTCGCGAAAAGACCCTTCTTTGGAAGAATAACAACTTGGTGACGGACTTGCGGGTGGGTGCCGATATTGTGCTCGATCTCGCCCAACTCAATACGAAGTCCTCGCAGTTTCACCTGGGTGTCCTTTCGTCCGATAAAGTAGATCGATCCATCTGGCAAGAACTTGGCAAGATCGCCGGTCTTGTAAAACCTCCTGTTCTCTCCTGTCTTAGTAGTGGGTCCCCAAGCAGGGCGCTCAATGAAAACCTCATCGGTCTTCTCCTTGTTCTTCATGTAGCCACGAGCCAAAATCGGCCCCTCAATCAAAAGTTCGCCAACTTCACCGGGAGGGAGCAGGACGTCGTGGTCCTCGGCATCCACAATCCAGCAAATCCCTCCAACCGGGTATCCAATGTTTGCGGGATCGGTGTCGCGGGTCACTTCTGTGTTGGCCGTTGCGGCAACAGAGGCCTCACTAGGCCCGTAGCCGTTGATGAGTCGAACATGGTCAGCCCAGGTCTCGATATCCACCTTAGCTAGCGGCTCGCCTCCCAAGGCCAATGTCTTGAGAGTTGGCACCATATCGGGCGCCATGAGCTTAACCAGCGAAGGTGTCATGAACGTCCAGGTAATTTTGTATTCGTTGACAATGTAGGCGGGGCCGTTCGCCATAAAAGCCATGTCAGGGGTGCAAATACAGGCACCGTGTACCAAAGCGGTCAAGATTTCGAGCATACTAACATCAAAAGTGTAGGATGCCAGCTGAAGGATGCGAGTCGTATGGTCGATGTCAGCGCGCTCTGCATGTCGCAACGAGCCGCTCAAGAAAGCCCTGTTCTCAATCAAACAGCCCTTCGGCTTTCCAGTACTGCCTGATGTGAAAATGATGTAGAGGAGATTGGTCGGTACGGCACCGCTCGTTGGTGCGCCGGATTGTGCTGGTAGGGATGCAAGGTTTTCCTGGCAAAGGGCGAATGTGGGTGGGAAATCGGTTCCGTAAAGGCAAGCTTGTGCGGGAGAGCATATTATAACTTTAGCCTCGACTTCCGATGTGATATACTGCCTTCGATCGACGGGGTGTGATGGGTCCAGGAAAACAAAGGCGGCTCCAGCTTTCAAGACTGCCAGAATACCAACAATTGCCCATCGCGATTTCTCAAAGCACAGGGGAACAACATCTTCCGGTCCCACGCCTTTCCCGGCGAGATAGTGGGCAACGCGATTGGATGCCTCTTCAAGTTGGGCATATGTCCAAGTTCCATCGTGCGCATCAACAGCGAGTGCATCGGGTCGTATCTCCACCTGCTTCTGAACCAGGTTTGCGACTGTGTCTTCAATGAAAGTGGGGACGTTCTCATTCCGGAGCCAGACAGCATCAGTAGATTGTGCAACGGAGCCCATGTTGAAGATATGAGTTATATATACAAATATGAGAAGGGGTCTTGCCAGAGTCAGCACCTCTTTTACTTGAAGATACTAGGGAGACTCACATCAAATAATATGTGCAGAGAAGTTTAAAGGTTAATTGGATCTAACTTGAGATCGGTTGGACTGTGTCTAGATGCTTATCTAGTTGTGTGTCTGGTGCAAATTGATATAAGGAGTTAAGAGTGGGCGCAAGTAACTGAGTATGATTGCTCGGTCGCAATGGAGTCTATTGGTTTGGGTATTCTATAACGATTGAGGTAGGATGGGAAGTAGGACTGTGGTTGGAATTGATAGCGCGACGCTTGCTAGAAGGCACTCTTGGACGAAAGTGATTGCACACTGGAGTGAAGAGAGTAGAAGAAGGTGACTTGGATGAAGTTCCCCAGCCCAATACTATACCTGTACCTGCGTCTGCATCACGGTGCAGATCGGAAATAGAAGCGTTTACTGCCATAGCCCGATCTGAGTGGCTAGTAAGCCGGGAGCTCAAAGGCGGGGACCAATTGACCACTCAAATCAGCGCTCCATCGTGGCCTTTCCAGCTCGGGAAGCTTCAGATTCAACGTTCCCGGGGACCCCTAGGAGCAATAGCCATGAAGATCATCGCGTCAGAGCGTGATGATGCACCGTTGGAGACACAAGAGTGTCTGATTGGACCAAACATAAGGCTGGTGAGAGCTTAATTCTCGCGTTACCCCTTTGAGCAAAATGTTGTTGGTTCCCGATGACTTCTGAAGCAGACATGCAAACAAATCGGGATGAAACTGGATGTTGAGTGGAGTGGATGAGCAGGGACAGAGCGCCTGTTGGTGCTGACTGGGGAAAATAGTTAACGCGAGGACAGCCAAGCCCGGGCTATGGCCGAGTTGAGGATGACATCTCAAAGTATTTTACCTTACCATCTGTCAGCATATAACTTACCGTAACAAAAAAGCACGTGGGTGCCAAAATTAGAATTTACCGCATTGGGAAGTAGTACGTCGCTCCGCCCTCAGCAACTTGGCAATAGCGGAATCATCACACGCAAGGCACATCGCGTACCCCTGTCGCCTCAATCGTCCTGAAGATCGTCGTCTGTCCCTCTGCATACTCTGTTCTGCGCCTCTTGACTGCGCCCTTGGCTGCCTCCTCACCTTTTGCTCCGATGTTACCAACCGCGCGGTTCTAAGCTTTCCCCCCAGAGAGAGGCTTCGTCCTCCAGTTTATACTTACCGACGCTGCAGTCACACCCCTAGGAAAATAGTAAGGGCCAATCTCATTGGACCGCGACCACAGATCAGACCTCACCACGGAGCCACGCCGTCTCACGGCGTTCGGAGGACGGACTGTTGTTGCACACGTACACTGCACGCCCTTACTACTATGGCTGGCGATCATGAAACCGAATTGGGCATTATCACGGACAGATCTATTACTCCACCATGGCAAACAAACACTTTGTGGATGCTAATGAAACTACGCCCTGTGCTATTGACCTGGTACCAGCAGATGGGATTCATCCCCAGGATCCCATCGCTCCTACGTACAGCTAGGCCACGGCAGCCTGCAACACGCCAATATGTCCGTGATACCTGAGCCCCGTGCCCCTGTGAATCAGGTACATCAACTCAGTCAAGGGCTTGGACACCCGTTGACGTTCCTCTATAAGGTTCAGCTCTTCTGCCCTGACTATAATCTCATCAGACCTGTGCATTCCAAGACATTCCGAGCTCTCTACAACTCTCAATCAGACTGCCTCCTAGCGAGACATATAGAGATACCTATCTGGGTTTCAACCTTTCCACTCTTCACGCATTCCGTTCTCTCGACGCCTCAGCACCTCCATCGTCTGTTCACTCAATCTTCCTAACACAATGTCTGCCGTACTCAGAATCCTCGCTCGTGCGCAGGAATATGTCATCGACCCTGACAACCTCGACCTCAACTCTACCGACCCTCAGTATATCGGGCGAGCCAGGAAGTTTTGTACCTTTGACAAAAAATGTCCTATGGAATGGGCCACGATTTTCTATCGACCCACCATGGTCGGTAACTTGATCTACCTCCTCATCTTCCTCGCATTGTTGGGTGGTCAACTTTGGTACGGAATCAGGAACAAGACCTGGAAATACATGTCTTGCCTCTGCCTTGGTATCTTTGGCGAGGCAATCGGATATGTTGGCAGAATCTTGCTTCACGGCAATCCTTGGATCATGAACAACTTCCTAGTGTAAGTTCTGGAACATGTCAACGACAGCAAGAATCTCCTACTGACTAGCAATCAGCAACCTGATCTGCCTTACCATTTCGCCCGCTCTTATCACTGCTGGTATCTACCTCTGCCTGAGCCGCGTCATCACTGTCGTTGGCTCTGAGAACTCCCGCATGAAGCCCAAGATGTACACCTGGGTCTTCGTCGGTGCCGATCTTCTAGCTTTGGTCCTCCAGGCCCTCGGTGGAGGTATTGCCGCAACTGCTAAGGACTCCAAGGGCTCTAAGCAAGGTACCAACATCATGATCGGAGGTCTCATCTCCCAGGTCGTCACCATGGCTCTTTTCTTCGCCATCTGGCTCGACTTTGTCCTCCGCGTCCGCCGCGCAAGGCTTGCCGGCACTCTTTCCCGCTCTCAGCCTCCTCTCTACGAGGCCCTTCGCTCCACCAGGACTTTCAGCCTTTTCCAGTGGAGCTTGTTCATCGCCTCCGTCACCATCTTCGTCCGATGCGTCTACCGTGTTGCCGAGCTCTGGGAGGGCTTCTCCGGCCACCTTGCCAACGACGAGGCTACCTTCATGATCTTCGAGGGTCCCATGATCATCATTGCCGTCGCTTGCATGACTGCTTTCCATCCCGGCCGCGTGTTCGGAGACCTCTGGGTTTCTGCTGGCAACGGCGTTCGCTCTGCTAAGGAGGACTTCCCTCTTGCTGATGGCGCTGGTGACTGGAAGGCCGATGACTCCTATGGACGTGTCTAACCTTGACATGTAGTGTGCGACAGTCGTAACGGACGCTCATCGCTTCGCGCAGCGGCTTTGACAGTCGAGCGCCAGCCGCGTCAAGAACTCACAAGATGAAACGAATCTGGAGGAATTAATACACGACAATTCTCACATCCTCCCTAATTATACTATGATCACCACAATTGTTTCCTTTGTGTATCACCCAAACATCTTCTTATCCTCCTAACCCCACCACCTTTTACCTATTTTCACCCTTTCTTTTCTTGCACAATCTTTCAACGCCGTCATGGATTTTACTTTTTTGTGGTCGGATAAGTTGGATGAAAAAACCAGAAGATACCTAGAAGATAGTTGTTTGGATAGTGCTACGAATACAAGTACTTTTATTTTAACAATCCTTTTGATTAAACTCTTGGTGATGTTTGCCTGCACAACTGTTAACATTGCAATTATTGGTATAATTACTTCACACATGTAAAATTGGTTGACCATATGACACGAAGAATATACGAAAAATTGTACTTCATGATATTCCCGTTCATTTTACCTTTGGCAGTCAGACTTGCTTCTCTATGTCGAGGTCCGCCATTCTAACATGGAAGAGTCCAACCAATAGCCACATCTTGCACATCCACCGACCAATAGAGACGCGAGAACTCAACCCTACCACCCCAAACATCAACATCACCATTCACTCAAATCACGCGTCCTTCTTACACTCTCAATGTATACATTGTATGCAAATCTTCCTTCCCATACGTGAACGGTATCGCCCCCATGCCGCCAATTTCCCAGCGTGACCGGGCGATCGCACGACACAGTCAGCTCGCGCGACAACCTTGGTTATTCAACCACCCGCAGCACACGAGCCTCAACGCTACCCAACTCGCGCGAATGTGCCAACATTGCAAAGACGCCCCGCAGGTCCAACAAAGGCACAGCAACTTTTCCCCACGTTGCTTATGCGCCATCATCGCCCGTTGGAAAAGGTTCTTATGCAGATCGGTGGGTGACGGTCAGAACTTTGCTATTGTCCCGCGCGAGAAGCAGTGATTGAATGGCATTCTCATGAGGCGTATACAGAACCTGGTAAATAAGTTGATTATCGCAAAAGACGAAGTAATTAGTTAGGTAGTCAACAATCCATCAATTGAGGGATTTCAGCTCCATTCGCAGGCAGATAGGCAGATAACGGTTATTCTAAACATAGGCCCCTAACTTTCCCTTCCATCCAATCTCAAGTTGACACAGCCCAGCAATCCATCCTGCTCTAACGACGCGTTCAATTTCAATGACGAAAAAGGGCGAAAGCTATCGCATAGCTAGTAGCAGTTTGGACCCTTTCCAATCCTATCGCGTCGCATAGTGTACACATATCTCACGCCCCGCCACGACTCAGAGGATAAACGGGCCAGTAGACCACCTACTCCGACCGTACGCCCCAAGCAAATGGTCAAGCCACAAGCCTTGCGAAATCCCCACTCAGCGCTGAGCTTACGTGGTGAGTTTAATTTCCACTCGGGAAGATCCCAGGACGTTCCAAGTTCCGCCCCGCTCGTATTTCTTTTTCTCCCGCCTGGGGTTGCCTCCTCCGCTGTCCCCGTCGTCCCTCGTTCAAGGACCATGGGTGCACGGGTAAGAAAGAAAAATACGGTGCCTGCCCATGTGTAATGTAACGTAAGCGGAGAATTGTTTTCTTTCGTGACACTCTTTTTTCGCTAACCGATTTCGATGATCCTCTCCCTGTTTCTTCAGCATACAGCACAGTTGCGTGTAGGTCCCCGAAGTCCGATTCGTTGGTTCGTCCCAAACATGTTTCACTGTATTCTTCGGTTTCACGACGCACAGTGGCGTGCGGCTGGTATCTTACTCGTAGAAGAGGACGAGAAAGGATGTCGTCACTTGTCAATTGGCTGTAGCCTCGAAAGTTATCACAATGTGATCAATTGAGCTGTTAACTGCCCTAACTACCCCCGAGACACAAGGAAGACTGAGAAGGATTCTGGTCACAAACTGGGCCGCATATCTACATACATAGTTGTAATCGTCCTGCGAGCGACTTACCATGAGAGGCATTTTTCTTACTCTGCTTGCTCGCACGCATGCAAGTCAAGATCTACAACTCCATAGCAACAACAGTAGGCAAACATGTCTCGGGACATGGACCTGCACATGTACATCTCCATTACTCACCCCTCTTGCGCATTCGCATTTCAATGTTCGGATAATTTTGCTGTCTCTTGACTCCACCAACTACTAAATCTGCGAAAACGAATACCTTGTGGCAAGACACGGCATAACCAACTACCACGAGGGACCCGCTTGCGCGTTGCCAACGTTGCCGTTCGTATACGCTAAGTAGTTTCCCACCACTGCCGCAGAGCTTCACACTGCCGAACTGCACAAAGTTCAATTAAGCTCCGGAGGACGGAGGACGGTTTTTTTCCCTAACATTCGGCAGCGCTTGTCGATCCCGTGGTCCATGTGTTTCATGCCGTTGTGTATTTCTCCCGAGCGCTGTCAATGCGATGTCGATCCGGGATGCTAATGATGTGGCAACAGTGACAGGCGGAGGACCTTTGTCGCGTAAGGATTCTAAGGGACGAAGGTGGATGTGATGGTTTGTTATTCCACGTATGTTAATTGACTGGCTATGCGAGGTGATGGTGATGTTCGAGATTGGAAAGATTTTCGCATTCGAGCGGTGTGGTGCCTGTTGTTGTTTTCGTCCCTGGCTGCTTTTGCTGCCTGGTTTGGGCGAATGTGATCTCGCGCACCGCGAAGGCGTAGATGGATGCAGTTGACTTGATAGGGTTCACTCAACATGGAGATTTACTCTTGTATGGAATTTGGATGAAATAATTGAGAGGTTTTAATACATACTTTGTAACTTAAGAAGAATAAAATTTGTGTTGCGATATACTGGGAATATTCAAGCAGTTAGGATACTGTTTCTCTCATAAAAAATTCTTCGTGGTCAGAACGCAGAACGCAGTATGCACCCATCCCACAATGTTTGGCACGTATTATTGCAAAAAATGCTTGTTCTTGAATACTACCATGTTGAATCCGAAATACACAAAAAATCATCAACAGTCAAATTTTCCTTGAATAGAGCTATATATATGAATTGTTCAATCTTTCTCTGTTTCTTTTCTATCTATAGTAGCTATATAATTACACTTGTGAGACACCGACGCCGCACTTTCAATCCGCGACAAAATGATCGTGTACAACGGAAACATCTCTAGGGTATGGGGATAAAAAAGGAGATAGATATATACATGAGCGAACAAATGAAAGAAATATGAAAAGGATGTGTCCGATCGCAATGGCGCTGTCGTAAACACGTAAAAAGTATATACATACGTTGAAAAGTAAAAGTGTTGAGGTGATACATGGGAGGGAGCGGATATGGACAGAGAGAATAGAGGATATGTGAGAGAGTAGACAAAGGAGAGAGGCCGAACTCCGATCAATGCAACGTAGGGATGGACATGTCAAGGTGGGAACGAAGTGGTGAAGAATTCAGGATGAGCATGCTCAAACCCACCCGCTTCTCGATCCACGCTTTTCGTCTGTTCTGGAGTCGGTTGAGTATTCTGACGCGCTGTATGATGGTGCTGGACCGAGGTCATCCAGGAAGTCGCGTCCGTCTCGCCTACTACTGCTGAAGGAATCAACGGCAGCGGCGAGGGCGCCAGCTACTCCCGCGTTTACACCGCCCCCCATTGTCCGAACGGTCTCCCATCCTGTTGCGCTGGTCTTATAGCTGACAAGGGAGATGCGATCGCTGGTGTCGTTGAGCGCTGTGAGCGTCGTCTCAGTCCAGGGCTTGACGTCACCCTTCTGGATCTGGTAGAGCTCCTTGAAGCCGCTCTCTTTCGCGAGTAGATTCTCAGGGTTGTCAGACTCAGCAATGCGGCCTGCATCCATGACAATAACGGCATCGAAGTCGATGATGGTATCCAGACGATGAGCTGCGGCGATAATAGTGTGGTGTTTGAACTCAGTGCGGATAATTTGCTGCATGAGCGCATCGGTATGAACGTCGACGGATGCAGTGGCTTCGTCGAGAATGAGGATAGAGCCCTTGCGGATCATGGCGCGGGCGAGGCAGAGAAGTTGGCATTGACCGTGCGAAAGCATGTCCATTGTCAGACGAGCATCAAGGCCAATGGTAGGCTGGTCGAGAAGATGATCGAGCTGGACCTTTCGGAGCGCAGCAGAGATCTCTTCGTCGGAGACACATCGTAGGGGATCAACATTCTCTCGGACGGAGCCAGCAAGAATGTATGGGTCCTGAGGGAGGGCAATCAGGCGACTACGAACAACTTCACGAGGAAGCGTGGCGATGTCGATGCCATCAATGACGATGCTACCGCTCTGAATATCCATGAGCCGGAGGAGTGCAGCAATGAGAGAACTCTTTCCACTGCCAGAACGACCGACGAGGGCAAGCTTGGTACCTGGAGGGATGGCGAAATTGAGGTCGTTGAGCGTGGCCTTCTTGGCTTTCTTATGGGTGGCAATAACATTGCGGAACTCAATGCCGCCGAACTTGGGCCAATGCTCGGGTGCGACTTGATCCTCCCCAGGGAGATTCTCAGACTCGACCGACCCAGTGAAGCTTCGAATACGCGCCAAAGCTCCCATAGAGGTTTCGAGCAGAGTCCAATTGGTGATGAGTTGCTTCAACATCTGACTGAAACCAACCAAGTTGGTCAAAGCAAGACCGGTCATACCAGGATCGACGGTTTCCTTGGTCTGGATTGCAATGGTGACGAGCAGAATAGCCAAAGAACCAACAACAAGATCCAAGACCATGTTGAGCCAACGCTGGCAGCAGTACATGAGGTAGAACGGACGCTGAGCCTTCTTCAACATGTCGAGGAAATTGTTGAGGTGATGGAACTCCCATTTGAAAGAACGAATCGTGGCGATGCCGCTCAAAAGTTCCATGAACTGGGTTCCTAGGTATGCCTTTGTCTCAATATCTAGGATACGAAGGCGGCGCGAGGTTCGAAGGTAGTACACTTGGAGGAAGTAGACAAGTACAACTGTGGCTGGCATGGCGATACCGACCCATTTAGCGGAGGCCAAAATGACAAGGAGCTGTGCGATGAGCACGAAGAACATCATGGCTGTACGAATGAGCGCAACCGGAAGCTCCATGTCAATGAGCTCGAGATCTTGACTGAAACGGTTCGTGGTGATACCGGTATCGGTACCGATGAAGAAAGACATCGGCGCAGTAAGGACGGTTTGAAGCAAACGTTGGTGAAGCTGGCGACCAGCTTGAGGAGCCATGGTCATGATGAGCGTCCAGCAAGCTACAACGAGGGCGGCGAGTCCGAGGAGAGCAAGGAAAGCGTACATGCCTAGGTAGTAGCCGATCTTGTCGTTGGGGTGTTGCTGATTATGGGTTGCCCACCACTTGACCCAAACGTTGGGAAAGGCGGTACCGAAGCCGTAGAGAGCGCAGAAGAAGCAAAAGATGATCCACCTCGTCCAGCCGAACGTCTTAATATAGTAAGCATAGATAGTCAAGTCTCCCGCAGCATTTTCCTTCTCGACAGCTTCGGCCTCCTTCCAGTGAACGAGCGATTGCTTGAAACCCTTGATTGTATTCTTGTCGCCTTGGCTGTAGGTGCTGCGCTCAGATCCGTTGGCACACAGGTTCTTGACATATCCATCGAGACTGTAAAGCTCTTGGAAATTACCTTGTTCGGCGATGGTACTGTCGCTACCGAGGGCGATAATGTGGTCGGCTTGGGGTAGACGATGTACAGTATTGGTGACGTAGATAACAGTGGTGTCACCGCCTCGTAGGAGACCATTGTCACCAAGAACGTTCTCGAAGACGTGCTCTTCAGTGCCTGCATCAAGACCGCACATGACGTCGTCGATGATAACAACACTGCTGCGGAAGTAGACAGCACGAGCGAGCGCAACACGCTGTTGCTGTCCTCCGGACAAGCTAAGACCCTTGCTGCCCACGATGGTCTCGTCGCCAAGAGGCGCGTTGGCAATGTCGGTTTCGAGATCGCAAGCCTGGATGACGGCGTTGTACCACCTCTCGTCGTATGCGGAGCCGTGGGTGATGTTATCCCTAAGGGTGCCGTTGACTAGCCATGCGCTTTGACTGCAGTAGGCGACTTCGGTAAAGAACGATCGCTGAATACCTCTGGCAACGGGAACTTCGCCGAGGATAGCCTTCAAAAGGGTAGATTTACCGCTGCTCACGGGACCGACGATCATGTTGAGGCTGCCCTCTTTGATCTTAAAGTTCATGTCTTTGAGAGTTGGCGCGTTCTCAGGATCCCAACCACAGCTGGCGTTTCGGGCTACAATACAGTCGCGGCTCTGGTTGAAAGAAGCAAGAGTGGTAGCATCTCCAATGTCCGAGAAATCGCGCGCATGAGAAACACGCGCATATTGCCCTGTTTTGTAGATGCTTCCAGTGAATGCTCTATGTTTCTCATCCTTAGAAGTAGGATTGGAAACAGCCGTCCGTTCTGAAACTGTACCCAGTGGAGTATCTGGAGGGTTGGTGTAAGTTGGCTGTGTCATCCTCCTCGAAGCACGAGGGCGAGAAATAATGGGCTCCATTCGCATTTCGGTGTTGAGATAGCCGCGAATACGTTCCATACAGCTCATTGTGTTGATCAGACCAGACAATGCGGTAATGAAAAATGCGACAGGCTCGAGAAGAAGGTTCATAAGGACCAAGGAGGTAAGAGCTTTCTCCAGCGTCAAGTCGGGATAGCCTTGGTACTTAGCCATGAAGATGTAAGTTCCGAGTGCGACGACGGGACTGATTGATGTACTGGCGAAGGAGAAAGTGGTGATTTTGACCAACATTCCACGGAAAGTGCGTGCAGTGTCAATCTCAGACTCACGAAGTTCGGAGATACGTTCTCCAAGATCGGGAGTGAGCCCAGTCATTTTGACGGCCTTGATCGATCCAAGCATGGCGGCAGTCGCATCGATACGGGCTTGGATCTTGTCGAGCCATGTCTTTTGAGATGCAGCGAGCTTGGGAGAGGCACCGATCGCTAGCGATGTACAGCAGAGAATGACACCGAGAGGGGTCAATGCAGCCCAACTGATCTGCTTGTGTAACAAAAATACAGCAAGGCCAATCTCGTAGAAGCCAGCCCATAGCTCTTGAGATTGACGAAGACCAACGGTGATACGCTCAACATCGGCGTTCATAAGGGTAACAGCCTCCGACTCGGTTAAAGCGGATGAGCTCATCGTGAGTGTCTTCTTATAGATGATGCCAATAAGAGAACCACGAAGCTTGGAGATACTCCTGTAATTTCGATGTTGGTGCAGTGCGTTGGTGAGTCCGAAACCCATGTATACGAGAACATAAGCGGCGATGAGGCCCTTTCCGACGGCAGGGCGGTTGGCATGGTCGTTGGTTTGAAGAAACTTGAGAACACGCTGGAGTAGGAAGGACTGGCTGAAGTTGAAGCCTGTAAAGCAGATACGAGGAAGAATGACCGAAGCGAAGCTTTTCCAATGATGCTTGAATGCGAGCTTGAAGAGTGCATTAGGCTGGTCTTTGTTTGGACCTGTAATTCGTTAGCTTTCAATCGTCGGTTGTTGCGATGATCGAACATACAATTCTCCCACTTTTCCGCCAAAGCAAGTAATTCTGAATCCCCAACAATTTGCTTCTGGCACTCAAACAGATCAACCTCTTCGATTGGCTTTTTGTATCCTTTCAGAAGCAAGGGATTCACCCAGAAGAAAGTTAGGCGATTGAAGAAATTGGCGGTCGACTCCGGTGCTGGGAATTGGCTGGGGTCGACCAACCATGCTCGCTTCTCCTTGACTTCTAAAACAATGAGAGCGAATTTGAGAAGTGTTGCTACTAACAACATAATTCCAAGAGGTCGAGCGTCTATTGTCTCGAAGAGAGTTCGCACGCGGGCACAATCAAAAACGAATGAAAGAACGAGATAGATGCTGATGGGCGTTGATGGCCTCGAATTGCGATAGTGCTCGAAGCTTGATGTGATGGCAAGAGTGAATGTGGCTAGGAGATTAACGACCATGCAAGCAATGGTCGCATTTGTCTTGACTGTGTCCGGCATAGCCAAGGCACCTATTGAAAGGACTTGCAACGCTCCGAAAAGGATGTATAATGCCTACATGCTTAGAGTGAGTATGAAGCATTTGAATTGATGGAGGACAGGTGGACCCATACCTGCTTTGCAGCGTGCCATATTGAGCCATTGACCACAATAGGGGCACGGTAAAGTCGGAACAGACGGAAGGAAAGAACGGGTAGAATAATGATGAAAGGGACTATCGTCAGGACCGTCTCCTCGAAGAGCAATGTGAAGTCGAAGCCACCCAAGCAATAGTCGTTGTTGGGCCCGAAATCTTCCTGTGTATCAATAGTGCACCTACTGAATGGATGCATAGTGAAAGGAGTCTCCAGCAAACTGATGGAGCTCCTAATGTTAGTGAAATGCAAAACAATGAGCGAAAAAGCGACAAAATGGAAAGAAACACGATCCAGAGGTTCATCATAAGGCAGATGCACTACCTATGTCGTGGCACTACCCCAGTAAGATCTCCGACAGCACCGGACGTTACTGAGGCAAGGTACAGTGCAGGAGTCTGAGTTGCGTGTACAGTGCGCAGCTGTCATACTAAGGAAAGCCCATCGGTCCATATTGGGACTACGATTTCAGCTGAATGCGGCTCTGTGATTGGGCAAAGAGACGAAACGTCAGAGAACTTGTGGATATGTTTACATACTGCAGTAGGTAGGTAGTGAAAGCTACAGTGAAACCGGAGGCCGATGGTGGCTTGAGCCTCTGTTGGGAACCAAGTGGGCATAGTGATGTTTCCAGATCGGACGGACATAGAAACACAGATCGATAGCTAGTAGATCTTTGGTCACTGATTCGTCTGACATTCACTGATATTGCGGGAGCCAGGGTCAGCCCAGCGCTAAGACTTCCGCTACACGAGCGTCGAGGGTGATCATTCTTTAGTGGTAGGGAAGCCAAGTCTTCCGCCGTCAGCAGGAAGCCACACGATAGGCCGAGGTGCTGGAAACTGTGAATCATAGGGAGCTGTGGAGCTGGCGGACTTTGTAGCACAGTGCTGTTCTGCTTACCTGATGATGCCTTTGATCATCAGCAGCGTGGGTGAGGTATCACGTAGACAGAGCCTGCATCTGGTCTGGATCCCTTTCATCGGACTTCTGAGGTGAACTGGTCCAGGGGTACCCATCAGCGCAGCAAATTTTGCCCAAAGACGCACGGAAACGATGAATGCGACAGCTAATTGATAGATTGTTTGTTTCCTTCGTCCTCCGCGTATAACGAATGTCACTACGCGGAGGATTCTGGGGTCGATCGATGCTGCTAGAAGGTCGTTGGAGTTGAGGCCGAACGGTCACCGATGACCCAGATTCGGCTAGTCCAAAATAGGCAATTCCAACCAACAATGCGATTGTCAACTTTCCCATTGACATCGTCACTTTACATACTGGCACCAAGAATTAAGAGAAATACAGTATGTCATGCGTTGAAATCACAGCCTAGAAATAAGACCTTGCAGCTATTCTGTTCAATTTGCCTGAACCTGTCTGATAAACCAGATGTAATTCACTAAGGTGAATACTTTTGCGGGGTTGTTAACTTCAACTAGGGCACCGGAAAATGGATGATAAATATCCTCAAAGTGTTTCTGAGTTTACTTTTTCTGTTTCTGAACGTACGCAACTCTTGGAATCTGGCTTTTGATAGTGCTCGGGAATACTTGAACAGCGACGGGATCGACACGGCCACTTCCGCTTTCTCTTTGAGGTTGTTTCTTCATCCGCCCTTGAGATACTGCATTCGCGGAAGACGAATTGGAGCATTGAAATGATTGAATGAATTTGAGATCTGAATAATAATTTCATTGGACATAAGAAATATAAGGCTATGTAGATAGTGCTTGGAATCTATGCTCCAAAGCATGCTAAGAGAGAGTAGTTACAAGTATGTACAGGACCATTAAGAGAGCGCGGCTGGGGGGAGTAAGCGGAGATTTTCTCCACACCCCTGGCTGTGATCGACAGGACACTTAGTTTCACGCGGTGACTCTAGGGCGGAACCGCAGCGATGGGCCGTTCTTCGAAGCAGTGATGTGGTCATTAAGCTGGAACTCGTTGGTTCGGTGCCTGCCATACTCTGCGCCTGGTTTTCCCCCGGATACATCACTATCTGCGATCTTGAAGTCCAGTCGGAACATCACAACAGCGAAGGTGGCCATCATCTCGACGAGGGCTACTCCCTTGCCCATGCAAGATCTTGGTCCGACAGAGAATGGGTTGTATGCGGTGTATTGGTCGAGAACTTGCTGTGATGCGCCCTCCTTCTCGACCATCCATCGCTCTGGGTTGTAGTCGAATGGGTCGGGGTAGTATTTCTCATTGTGGTGAAGCGCGTAGAGGGGAACACCAACATCGCAGCCCGCGGGGATAAATTCCCCATCGACGGTTGCGCCACCCGCGGGAACCTCGCGTGCCAGGGTTTGGCCGACAGAAGGCGACATGCGCATCGCTTCGTCGATACAAGCGCGCAGGTATCGACAGCTGTTCAGCTTGGCTCCGCCTTGAATGTCCTCCACGCTGCTAAAAGTGGAGCGGACTTCTTCAGCTGCACGAGCATAAGCGTTAGGGTTGCGGCTCAAGTAGAAGAATATGGCAGCCATGGCGGTGGCGGTCGTATCAGCTCCTGTTAAATTGTTACTTTGACATTAACGTTAGAAGCAATATGCGATATTTGCGTACCTGCAACTACGAGAGTAACACTCTCAGCGATAATTTCATTGGGGCTGAACCCCTTCCCACTTTCGGGATCCTTAGCGTGGGAAAGCATCTCAAAGAGATCCTTGCGCTGGCTGCGGTCGACCTTTTTGGTATCTCTAAGTAGTTTGCCGACGAAGTTTAGGAACATGTTTCGGGCAATGATACCCTTGGGAAAAAGAAGCTTGTCGAGGCGGAAGTTTTTGAGACTGGGTGCCTGGAGGATGGTGGCTACACGAATGTTGGATTCCTCGATGCACTTTACGACGTAGCGGTATTGCTCCCTCTCAAGCATGTTGTATTTGCCGCTAAAGATGAAAGTGGCCATGAGGTCGAAGGCGAGATAGCCGCACCATTCAGACATGTTCCTTACTTCCTTCCATGTGTGCTGCTTGTACGCAGTCTCGGTGGACAAACCCTGGGACTCGAGCGCTTTCTCTTCTTCGGCAGTCTGAATAAGACGGTCGCAGAATCGGTTAATGATCTCATACATATGCGGCTCAAAAGCTCGCAGGGTAGCATCGGAGAGGCCTTGCTGGATGACACGCCTGCGACGTCCGTGGTCCTTGCGGTCACGTACAGTAAGGGTGTTTGTTGCCTTATGTACCATGGCAGCATAGTTCTTGCTCTTCAGATACGGCTTGCCTTGCGTGTAAATGTCTGAATGTTGATTAGAAAAACTTCAATACCTTGTAATGTGCTTGAGACTTACTCTTGAGTGCGGTGACATTGTTGATATTGAGCTTGTTGGGACTGTAGCGCACCTTCTCGCCGTATTTCTCATGTAATCGCCACATTTCCAGATGAAGATCGCCTTTCCAAGCATGATAACCAGCATAGAGATCAGTAAACTTCGCTAAAAATGGACCGGGGTATTTGGCGTAAGGATGAAAGAAGACATTGTAAATGAAGTTATAGATGAAATAGGCGACGAGTCCACCTGATATAGTGAAAGTAGATAGTAACACAGCCCGCTGTATTTCAGCATTTTGAGTGAGTGAGGTGAGGCGTTGAACGGCCCCAAGTATAGTCGACATGGTAGTAGAACAATGAGGGGAAATGCTTCAAAGAATGTAACACACTGTGAAAGATATGAGAGAAAACAATTCGTGAGTATGAGGCTTGAAAATCCCTGATGCGTCTCAATCGTAATGTTATATGGAATCATCAGAAAAGGCAGTGCCCGGATATATGAATACTTGATAGTATCACTCAGATTCAGACATGCCTTGCTACCATTTGGTCACTCCACCGTGAGCTGATGGTGATGCAGGTGTATGCATCGGTAGAAACGTATCGTGGGTTAATCAAACGGACACTTGAGTCCGTAGACATGGGCACCGTGGATGCGCGACATAGACTAGAAAAGCCGCAGTGGACGTCAGCATCAGAAGGGATTAGCCTGGCTGCGGGTGAACTATCGTTGCGGTCTCCTAAAACAAGTCGATCTTCCCCTGACGATGGCATACTTGATAGGTTAGCAGCGGATCTGGAAAGGCTCTAGAATCGATCAAAGAAAATATGATTTGCTTGTTTTTCGACACATCTTTGCGTGAAACAAGTTTCGAGTAGCTGTGAGCCACGGTGAGGGTGGCAGCGTTCTAGTCAGACATGCCAGGTCCGCTGGTAGGGGTACGCCACAAAGGCAACGGACAGTTGAAATCGCTGTGAATACAAGAGGATAGCGCGTAAGAGGCTCGCATTAGGCGAGCGGAGCGGGGAGAGGGTACTTTGCGATCCCCTGGTCTGTAAGGTACAGACACTACGTGAGGCAGTCTGGGTGCTTAGACGAGCACGTGCTGTCTGTACGTTCGGTCGAATCTTGAGCCAGTCCGGATGAGACGCCCAGGTTCCACCATTCCCACCCAACCCTCCCACCTACCCGGACGCTGAAGATTTGTTTCGAATCTCACTCAGCGAAACTCGAAATAGACGAAAGAGGAAAAGAACGAAGTCTAAGCGCAAGCTTGGTATCGACATGCGGGATCGTCAGCGGCCAGCGGACAACTGGGGCGGAGTGTGAAAGGTCCCAACCAGGTTAGCGCTTGGCTTGATGTGGTCTCTGTGCCTGAACAATGAACAGGCTCGGGATACTACACAGATAGATATCTGCCCCAGATATGCCACTCTTTCGGAAGAACAAGAACATGCAAATACCTGCAATCAGCTGTTAATCGTTCGAGCATCCCTCGACTTCTTCTATAGCATCTCGTCTTTCGTTCTGTACATACTTACACCTTGCCGACCTTGTATACACCTTAGCTTCTCGGCTACCACTGTATTTTTCCTACCTTTTCAGCATCCCTTACACTTCCATCGCTTGAGCCTCCAGGAGAGAAACAACCCCAAAGATATCATTAAGCCATGGCGACTTTCGAAAGCATCACACGACAACAGGAGTTGTGCCATACTTTGCTCATTGAACTTCTTGCGTGAGTCCATTTCTACCGGCTGTTGCGAGTAACAATTGCTCCAATGCTCGCCCCGATACTTCTCCACAAGTATGACCCTATGCTAACTCATTTCGGGGTAGACATCAATTTTGCTCGCCGGTAAGATGGACCGAGACACAGGATCTCTTACTCTCCGAGTTCAAAACCCGAAAGACGGTTGAGATTGGTCCGGCAGAAACGTTGACCAATATGATGAAACGAACGCGTGATCTGGTTTACAAGCCATACGATACGGCTAACAATATCTCTCGTGACTTTTATTCGGTGAAGAAGAATAAAGATGAGGTGTACTTCATCGGACAAGAGAGGGAGGTGAAGACGAAGAAGTCGGAACCCAAGGAAGACGCGCCAAGCCCGACTAAGCCGGAATCAGCCCCCACCACGACTACAACCACCGCACCAGCATCAGCACCAACCGCAGCCATCGTAGCAGGACCTGTCGATGATGCTCCGGTTGCTGCATCGGAGATTGTTAGGACTATCGTATCCATCGCTCTTAAGAAGCCCGCCAAGGATGTCGCCTTTGACCAATCGGTTAAGGCTTTGTCAGGAGGTGAGCTCTAGCATCGTGTACCTAATCCGAGAATTGGAATTAACGAGTTTTCAGGACGCTCTACGCTTCAGAATGAGATCACGGGAGACATTGATGCTGAGTTCGGTTCAGCACCAGATGGTGCTGAGGAGTTGCCGCTCAATGACTTGAGCTCGCTACTTCAGAAATCCTTCTCTGGGTCACTAGGAAAGCGAACAAAATCTCTCGCCGACAAGTTCTTTACGGCGAAGATGCCTGGCGGCTTCAACCAATCCAAGGCACGCGAAATTTTGCAAGCTGAGTATGGATTTTCTTCCGGGCGACAGGACTCCATCATCCTCATGGCGCTTCAGACTCCCCCAGCTGCCCGCCTGGGCTCTGAGGCAGAAGCGAAGGAATTCTGGTCAAACACTGTCCACGCTTATATCACCGCAACCGGCGTTCAGATTAACAAGGCACGAGCAGCTGGAGGTTCGTCTTCATCCGCAGCGGTTGCTATTGACCCCAAGGCGCTTGAAGTGCTCAACAAGCGATCAAATGACTTCCATCGCGAGGTCTACGAGGCTTACGCACGCCACCTGGGCGAGAACACCAACGCCGCAGCGGAAGAGGTTGCGCAGCTCAAGAGTGATATGCAAAATCTCCAGAACGAGCTTGATCTATGGAATCTTGAACACGGAAACGAGTATGCGAATGGCATCAAGCCGTACTTCGACAAGCGCAAAGCGCGCGTGTACGATTCCTTCTGGAACTGGGCTCTACAGGATCTCTTCAAGATCTACCATGGTGTTCGACAGGGCTATCTCCAATTGCAATCAGACGAGGTTGCTAGAAGACGCCACCTTCTTCTTAACCGCTGCAGCAAGCGACTCATCAATGTGCTTCGCCACATGATTGCTGATATGAAGAAGTCTCATGCTCGCGCTATTGCCGTTGAGATGTGGTTCGAAGAGCTTTTGGAAGACTGCACCCTGGCCATGCAAGAGGCTCCCACCTATGTTGCCTCAAGCAAAGTCATGGCTCCCCACACCACAATTGACGCTAACGGGTCCATCAACTTCATTGAAACCCCTTGTGCTCGCCGCGGATCGGCAGCTCGCGTTGGTGGACAAAGTGCCGAGGCCCTGGCTTTCGAAGCTGCCATTGCATCTAAGAACAGCAAAGGCAATGCACCACAAGCGTTCGGACTGGGTCTTCTGCCCCCCACCCCTGCGATGACACCAGAGATGACCGCTAGCAACTCCTCAGACTCGGACGAGGATTCAGCTTCACTACCGGACAAGCATGACGTCCGTGACAACCACTATCCACAAATTCAGACCAAGTGCGATGGTGTTTGGAAGAACACCGAGGATCTCAGCAACAACTACGCTGAAATCTTGAATCGGGCGATGACTACCGGAATTGGATTCCAGGGCAAGAACGTGCTCATCACAGGTGCTGGCCGCGGATCCATTGGCGCAAAGATCGTTCAAGGTCTGCTGTCTGGAGGCGCTCGGGTGGTTGTTACCACCAGCTCCTACGCCAAAGCAACTAAGTTCTTCCAAAAGATGTTTTCCAAATTTGGATCAAAGGGCTCTAGTCTCATGGTTCTTCCTTACAATGCTGGTAGCAACCAGGATACTGAAGGCCTCGTTGAGTACATCTATAGTCTGAACGATTCCGAGTGGGATCTCGACCACGTCATTCCTTTCGCGGCCATTGCGGAGACCGCCAATGGTATCGAACTCGGACCCAAGTCTGAATTGGCTCACCGAATGATGCTTACCAATACTCTTCGCCTCCTCGGAGCTATCAAGAAGGCCAAGGAAGCTCGTCACATTACCACTCGCCCGGCTCAGGTCATTTTGCCATTGTCGCCCAACCATGGCGTCTTCGGTGGCGACGGCCTGTACTCTGAATCCAAGCTTGGTCTCGAGGGTCTTTTGAATAAGTGGCACACTGAGGATTGGTCCGAGTATCTTTCCGTCTGTGGTGCCGTCATTGGCTGGACACGTGGTACAGGTTTGATGAACGACAACGACATGGTTGCCGAAGGCGTCGAAGCCCTTGGAGTCAAGACCTTCTCGCAAGATGAGATGGCTGTCAACATCATGGGCTTGATGGCTTCTCCACTCCTTGAGATGATGCATGAAGAGCCTCTCATGGCCGATCTTAGTGGAGGCATGAGCTCTATCGCCAATCTGAAAGAAGAGGTAGCTGCTATCCGCAAGGAGATCTCCGACATCAGCTCCAGCCGCCGCGCCCTCGTCAGGGAAGAGAAGGCTGAGTTCGATGGACCTAGCATCAAGGCCGCCGCCAACAATCTAGCGCCTTTCAAGAAGCGTGCTAATATCCGATTTGACTTCCCTAAGCCTCTTGATTACGCCACAGACATTGAGCCTCTTTCCAACCTCGAAGGTATGATTGACCTCGAGAAGGTTGTTGTCGTTGTCGGATTCGGTGAGGTTGGTCCTCATGGAAGCTCTCGAACCCGCTGGCAGATGGAATCTATGGGACAGTTCAGTCTGGAAGGTTTCATTGAAATGGCCTGGATCATGGGCTTGATCGAATACCAGAGCGCTGAAGGTGTTCCTTACAGCGGCTGGATCGAGAAGGAGACCAAGAAGCCTCTCACCGATGCCGAGATCAAGCAGAAGTACGAGGACCATATTCTGAAGCACAGCGGTATCCGCATGCTAGACGCTCGCGGCATCGAAGGCCCTGATCCTGCTGCCCGACAGGTCCTACATGAGATTGACCTGCAGCATGATTTTGCTCCCTTCGAGGCGTCCAAGGAAACTGCAGCTGACCTTTTGCGCGAGAATGGCAACAAGGTCACTGTTAAGCCAGTTGAAGGAAGCGATAACTGTATCATCACCTTGCACAAGGGTGCTCGTTTGATGGTGCCCAAAGCACTTGCTTTTGATCGCACAGTAGGCGCACAGGTGCCAAAGGGTTGGTGTGCAAAGACATATGGTATTCACGAGGATATCGTCAATCAAGTCGACCCCGCTGTTCTCTTCGCATTGGTGTGCACGGCTGAAGCTCTTCTCTCTGCCGGTATTACTGACCCCTACGAGTTCTACAAGTACATCCATGTTTCGCAACTGGGTGTCGCAGTCGGCTCCGGTTTTGGTGGTGCTACTTCGTACTTAGAGATGTACAGGGAGCGTTTCTTGGACAAGCCAGTCCAGAACGACATTCTCGCCGAGTCATTCTTGAACACTGGTAGCGCGTGGATCAACATGTTGCTGTTGTCCTCCTGCGGGCCAAATCTTACCCCTGTAGGTGCGTGCGCCACCGCGCTGGAGTCGCTAGACATTGGGTATGAATCCATCGCGAGCGGAAAGGCAAAGGCCATCATTGTAGGTGGCTACGACTACCTTGCCAAAGATGTTGCCGTCGAATTTGCCAATATGAAGGCTACCAACAACTGTGAAGAAGACTTCGCTAAGGGCCGTACTGCCGCTGAGATGTCTCGTCCTGCGACCACTACCCGCAGTGGCTTTGTCGAAGCCGAGGGTGGTGGCATCCAGGTGCTCACTAACGCCAAGCTTGCTCTCGAGATGGGTCTCCCCATCTATGGTGTCATCGCCATGACGCGAACTGCCAGTGACAAGGCTGGTAGGTCCCTTCCTGCACCAGGCCGCGGTGTTATCAACTTCAGCGGTGCGTCCAAGAGTAACTTCGACTCGCCACTCCTTAGTATGAGCTTCCGTAAGCGTCAAATCGAACTTCGTATGAGCCAGATCAAGGAGACCGAGCAATCTGAAGTCGACTACCTCGAGCACGAAATCAAATCATACAAGAGCGGTCACGTCGACTTCGACATTGAGGATTACCGCCAACATCGCATGTCTTCCATCAAGGCCGATAGCAATAAGCAGCGATCCGAGGTCCTCAACAGCTATGGAAACGAATTCTGGAAGCGTGATTCCAAGATCTCTCCGATGCGCGGTGCTCTCGCCACATGGGGTCTCACCGTCGACGACATCCAAGTTGCCTCCTTCCACGGTACCTCCACTGTCAAGAACGAGCTCAACGAATGCGGCGTCATCCAGGAGCAGATGACACAGCTCGGTCGTGCAAAGGGTAACCCTGTCCTCGCCGTCTTCCAAAAGCATCTCACTGGTCACCCCAAGGGCCCCGCTGCGGCCTGGATGCTTAACGGTGCACTTCAAATCATGGAGACCGGTCTTATTCCGGGCAACAGGAACGCCGACAACATCGACAATGCGCTCGAAAAGTTCGACCACATCGCCTTCCCAAGCGAGACCATCCACACGAGTGAAGACGTCAAAGCCTTCATCGTCAGCTCCTTTGGCTTTGGACAGAAGGGTGCCCAAGCCATCGGCATCCACCCCAAGTACCTCTTTGCCGCTGCAGGCGAGGATGCGTACACTGCCTACCGTGAGAAGGTACAGCAGCGACAGGACAAAGCGTACCACCACTTCCACAAGTCCATGATGACGAACGCTATGTTTCAAGCCAAGGACGAACCCCCTTACTCCAAGGAAATGGAGACAGAGTTCCTCACGAACCCTGACGCCCGATTGCCTATGGACATGGAGCTCTAATTGCCTCCACCATGCAACTGGAAGTTTCTTTCCTTTGTTTCTTTCAGTGTCATTAATGTTGTTTTATTTTTCTAAGCATAAAAAGATCGGATAGACAGAAAACTCCAGTATATAGATGTAGTTATAGTTGCGGGAGTATTATCTGGTTAGGTTGTTCACTTCGGTGCATTTGTTCTGGATTTAACCCTTTTTTATTCTTTCTGATACAACCTATTTTGAGTTCAATCTGTAGATATCAAATATTCTTCAATACAAATGATATACCTCATAAAACAGAACTATTCCCCCTGTTGTGTTCATTGCTCTGACTTATTCAAATTCTTAGCTACATCTTTCATTCGAGATCGTAAGGCATATCTCCCCAGGGCTGTTCTCTAGTTGAATTCTATATTTAGGCCTTGTGTCTGGGTCATTTCATCATGCATTCCTTGGACACATCAAAGGATAAGTTGGACATGTTCAGCGAGATAGAAGATTTAATAACAGCAATCATTTATATGTTGCGCATTGAGCTGTCAGGAATGGAACCTTTCGTCTGCTTCACCTCGTCCGACACCCTTGATCTGTATGAACGCAAGAGTTTGTTCTATTCAAATTTTCACATCGATTGGGAAAGACACTTGATTGCAATCTACTTGACCATCTTGGACTGGATGGATTACTTGATTTTTTGTAAAGTGGAAGATCTCTTCTACGATACGAGTTGATACTTCTCTATCCAACGAAAACGTTCCCTCTGGTCTCCGGATGGGCGAGACTGGTTCATTCTAAAATGGTAGCAAGATCCCTAGCCAATTTCCGCTCAATGATGTGCATGCCTAGACTGACCCCGAGTGGAACTTGACTCTTCTGTACAAGGCCGAAGTATTGCTAGATGTGTGGCGTTCTACAGCGGAGCGGAATGACGTCGCCGATCATGTAGGTGACAGGAACCGCCCGCAAAGTCCCAGAGTACAGACAGGGCTAGGGGCTTATCTGGTTCTAATCCTAGGCCTTTGACGTGGAAGCAATCCGATCTTACTTGCACTGTGTGTCAGATACGTAGATTGGCCCTAGTGGCCTTGTTTCATCTCTGTGATCGTCAGTTGGAGGTGTTACAGCTGTAACACAGCGAGAGAGAAAGAGGTAAATGCAAATAAGCTTTGGCAAGGGAGCGAATTGCTGTACACGGTTCTCCAGTACTGGTTGAAGGATTGGCTGGAGGACTGGGGAAACCTAGGAGAGATCATCGCTGTATTGAACTGTCTCAGCATTTCCGAACAGGGATGTGCGAGGGACACTAGCCCCAGATGAGAAGGAGAAGCACGTGAAGCTTACGGTAATGTGAAAAGTTACAATACGCAAGTAATCTTTCGGGCCAAGCGGCAGCCGCCACATAGTGTCCGTGCTCCCGGGATTGGAAGAGCAATGGTCGTCCTTCGGCTTTCGCAAAGGGAACTACCAGATTCAGTCGTCCACACACAGCTTTTTATACATTCACCATGGGAAAGCACAAGAGTTACTACCATGGCAACACTTTCAGCCACTCATAGCCTTTCTGGTACAAACGGGGATCAAGCCTAAGCCCCCCCAGGTGCCTTCACCAACCCGTTTCCACTCCGATCTAGTCAGAAGATGTCAGAGAATAAGCCCCTAAGCATTCGGTCACAATGCAGTTACTGAGAGGGGAAAACCTTTAGCCCGAGAGAAGTCTCGGGTGTGTCTCGATCGTACAGCTGATCTAGTCGATAATATGGCAATTACACCCTCTGTTTCTTGTTCTACCTTCTCTACACACGCATCGAATCTTCGTCTTGCAGGCTGCGACCTCTTCTTTGTACATACTCTATTTTCATTCGTTTTCGATACCCTTATAGAACTATTATCCCCTCGAGCAGTTGTTACTATCTGATCTTCGATCGTCACGACCTATCGATCTTCTCCATATTCAACACACTCATTCACGTGTACCATAATCATATCCAACTACCATGGAGAGGTACGGATTCGCACCACGCTTTGCCGGCATCGACAAAGAACCGGAGTACATTGTCGAATGTGCACACCATGGCGCCTCGTTCCAGTTGCCTGTGCCGGAGCATCTCCGACTATTCTCTTGCAGGATCCGCAACGACTTTCTTGCTTGCTTTCAAGAAAATAAATTGCCAGAGCCTTGTTCAGATCTGCACTTTCTCACACAATTCTTACGGTACATATCTGGTCGCGACGACAAGGCGACCAGCATGTCATCAGAGCTTTTCTCGAAAGTGGTGGACAAGCTGAGCGCAGATCACCTCCAGGGAAAGGACATCCATACTTGCGCGGCCGAACAGCCAGACTGCGAGCTGGCTAGCAAGCAGGACATCATCAGATCATACTTCGAAGCCATGCAACTGATGCAAAGGCGCGCAAACAGCAGAATACCTCACTTTTTTGCCGCATCACACCCTTCCGAGCGTACACCCACATACACTGTTTTCGGCGGCCAAGGGAACACTGATCGTTACTTTTCGGAACTCGTAGATCTATATGCTACGTACGGATGCTTACTAGAAGATATTCTTGACTTCGCATCTATGATTTTCGACCAACTCCTCACTGACGAGACAGTTGTTGACCAGTACCCTCTCGGATTGGACTTCTTCTCGTGGCTGAAGAAACCCGAGTCCACCCCGAATTCGGATTATCTGCTTTCAGCACCTGTTTCTTTCCCTCTGATTGCCCTCGTCCAGCTTTGTAACTTTTACATTGCTTGCAAGATCTGGCAATTGACCCCAGGGGAAGTTGTCGAAAACTTGACTGGATCGACCGGTCACAGCCAAGGTATCATCGTCGCCGCTGGTATCGCAGCATGCCGCACCTGGGACGATTTCGAAGGTGCCTTCCGATCCTGCTTGATTGCGCTCTTCTACACTGGATGTCGAAGCCAGCAGCAATTCCCCAAGAAGACTGCCTGGCAGAAGATGGTTCAGGACGAGGCCGATGCAAGTGAGGAACCTACACCCATGATGAACGTCATGCACCTCCCACGCGCCGACCTGGAGAAACAGGCCAAAGCTTTCAACCAGCACCTCCCCGACAACAAGCGCGTTGCTATTGCACTTGTGAACGGTCCTTCCAACATTGTTCTCGGTGGTCCTCCAGAGTCACTGAAGAGCTTCCGTCAGTGGCTTGAGGATCTTAAGAAAGCACAGCTCAAGGCCAAACCTAGCGCGAAACCCCTCACAACCCGATTCCTTCCCATCACCGCACCGTTCCACACCTTTTACCTTGCGGAGACCAAGCAAATCATCGTAGATGACTTGGTTCGACACAATGTCATCATCAAGCCCAGCGATCTATTGATTTCTGTATACGACAGTAAGACTGGCCGTGATCTCCGAGAGGTTGGAGAGGAAGCTCTTTTCCCCATCCTCACAGACGCCATCACTACGCAAATGGTTGATTGGCCATGCGCTACCACCTTTCCCACTCGCAGCTGCATCATCGACTTTGGACCTGGCGAGACTTCTGGAGTCGGCACATTGTTGCACCGCACCAAGGAGGGAACTGGTACTCGTGTCATTTTAGCAGGACCTCTCCAAGGAAACCTTCCTCATGTTGGATACAAGCCTGATATGTTCGATGCGCCATCGAATGCTTCCTCACAGCGATCAGCAGACTGGCTGAAGGACTTTGAGCCAACCTTGCTCTCTGACGCATCAGGGAGGACCATTGTCAGTACCAAGATGAGCCAGCTTCTGGGAACGCCACCGCTCATGGTTGCGGGTATGACACCGACTACTGTCCACCCTGACTTTGTTGCAGCGGTCATCAACGCTGGTTATCACGTCGAACTTGCGGCTGGTGGTTACCACAAGGAAGAGGCACTTCTCAAAGCCATTCGCACCATTGAGCAACTTATCCCTGCTGGAAAGGGGATCACTCTTAACATGATCTATTCCGCCCCAAGGCAAATTGGGTGGCAGGTTCCGTTCTTGAAGAACTTGATCGCTCAAGGAACTCTCATCGATGGTATTACGCTTGGTGCTGGTGTTCCATCTCTCGAGGTGGCGACTGGCTACATCGAGGACCTCGGCCTGAAACACATTTCATTTAAGCCAGGAAACATGGATGCCATCCAGCAGGTCATCTCAATTGCCAAGGCTCATCCTACGTTCCCGATCATGATGCAGTGGACTGGTGGACGCGGTGGTGGTCACCATTCGTCCGAAGACTTTCATGCTCCCATAATCCAGGCTTATGCATCAATTAGGCGCTGCTCTAATATTATCTTGGTTGCGGGTAGTGGGTTTGGCGGTGCCGACGACACTTACCCATATCTTACCGGTGCATGGGCTTCCAAATACAATCAACCTCCCATGCCTTTCGATGGTATCCTTTTCGGTAGCCGCATGATGGCAGCCAAGGAGGCTCATACCTCGCTTGCTGCCAAGCAGGCTATTGCTGCCTGCCAAGGTGTAGAGGACTCCATGTGGCAACAATGCAAAGGCATCATCACTGTCAAGTCCGAGATGGGTCAGCCTATACATAAGATTGCTACTCGTGGTGTGCAATTGTGGGCGGAGATGGACAAGAAGATATTCTCCCTCCCCAAGAACAAGCAACTCCCTGAAATCCTGAAACAAAAGGACTACATCATTGAGCGCCTCAACAAGGATTTCCAGAAGGTCTGGTTCGGCCACGACTTCCGCACTGGAAAGGCCGTTGATCTCAAGAACATGACATATCAGGATGTTGCTAGGCGCATGGTAGACTTGTTCTATCTCAGCAAGCGCTCACAGTGGATCGACCCATCCTATGTGCGCATCTTTGGCGACTTCATTCGTCGTATCGAGGAGCGTATCGAACTGTCGAACTACGAGCTCACTCAGCCAATCTTCACCAGCTACGCTGACTTCGACGAGCCATTCGAAGCCCTGCGCAACCTCGCACACGCCTATGCGGACTGCAAGACCCAGCTTATCAACCAAGAAGATCAAGACTACTTCCTAAGCATCTGCCGTCGCTCTGGCCAGAAGCCGGTACCTTTCATTGCTGTGCTTGATGGCGGCTTCGAGACTTGGTTCAAGAAGGATTCCCTCTGGCAATCTGAGTTCGTCGAAGCAGTTGTGGATGAAGACGTTCAGCGAACTTGCATTCTCCAGGGGCCTGTTGCTGTTGCCCACTCCACTCCAGACAACATCAACGAGCCTGTCAAGGTTATTCTCGACAAGATCAACGACGGCCACTTAGACTCCATACTTGAGCAAACCTACGGTGGCGTGAAGAAATCTATTCCTACTGTTGAATTCTTTGGTCATGTCGCTTCGCGCAAGTCTGCTAGACAGCACGGTCTTTCGATCGTCGTTGAGCCCAACGCGACAACGTTCAAGATCCCCGCTGAGCTCAAGGATCTGCCTTCTCCCGATGCCTGGTTCGACCTCCTCGCGGGTAAGAAGCTCTCGTGGCGTTATGCAGTTTTCAAGAGCAAGACTGTCATGAGTGGGAATGTGATGATCCCCAACCCAATCAGACAGGCTTTCACTCCTGCACACAACCTCTCTGTAATGATCACTGACAAGCTCCGTCACAACTTCGTCTCGGTCACCATGAGCAGCAATGGAACTAGTCAAACAGATCTTTCCATCGCGACGGAGCCCGGGAACAAGATCATCCTACGAATGTACTGCTATGAGAATGCGACCAGTGACCCTATTCCTCTCGAGTTCCGCTTCTCGTACCATCCAGAGACCCCGCATTCTCTGCTTCACGAGGACACGGCTGGCCGCACAAGTCGTATCTGCGACTTCTACAAGACACTCTGGGTTGGCGATGCGTACAAGGATCCAATCCTTCTTAATGGAAAGCAGGGCTACAAAGCTGATGGTGGAGAACTTGTCATTACTCAAGATCTGATCAACAAGTTTATCCAAACTATTGGTGGCGGCATGAGGCGCCCCGACGTCCAAGGCTATGCCCCCATGGATTTTGCAATCGTTGTCGGCTGGAAATCCATCATGAAGGCTTTGCTTCTCGTACATGGCGACCTCCTCAAGCTTGTTCACCTCTCCAACAAGTTCCGAATGCACCCTGAGCAGACCCCACTCAAAGCTGGTGACAAGACGGAGAGCTTTGCTCGCACTACATCTATCAGCATCGGCGACAATGGCAAGACTGTCGAGGTTTGTGCGACCATCACCCGTGACGATGTTCCCGTGATGGATGTCATCTCCGAGTTCTTCTACCGCGGTAACTACACCGACTTCTCTGAGTGCTTCACGACTCGCACAGAAGATCTCCGCGAAGTCACATTCAGCTCTGCCAGTTTGGCCAATCTGCTCTTGTCCAAGGAGTGGATTAGCTTCCACGACCCGATTGAAGTAGAGGAACTTGCTGAGAAGACTCTGACTTTTGAGCTCGAGACCTTCTCTGCGCTCAAGGCCAAGGGCGTCTTCAGCCGCATCCGAACTGTTGGAAAGGTATTCTCAACGTCGAAGTCTGCTCGCGGCTCGACCGAGATCGCCACCATCCACTTCGATTCCAACAACAGCTCTTCCGCCGCGGTTTCGATCAACCCGGTCATGGGCTACCTCGAGCGACACGGCAAGGTCGTCAGCGATCGCATCCCCCTCGAGCGCCCTGTCTCATTGGACACCTGCGAGGAAGGCTTCCTGTTCGCTGCACCCGCCAGCAACTCCGCGTACTCCAAGGTGTCTGCGGACTTCAACCCCATCCACGTATCCGCTGCCTTCGCCCGTTACGCCGGTCTTCCTGGGCCTATCACCCACGGTATGCACACCAGCGCCATTGTCCGCAGCATCGTCGAGATGAGATGCGCTGAGAACAATCTATCCTCGATGCGCAACTTCAGTGCGTCTTTTGCTGGGATGATCAAAGCTGGAGACAACATCGAGGTTCACCTCGACCACGTTGCCATGGCTGAGGGTAACAGGATCATCAAGATTGAGGCCCGTAACTCAGCCAGCCAGGAGAAGGTCTTCGTCGGCGAGTGTGAAGTCGAGCCCCAGGAGACTGCTTATATCTTTACCGGTCAGGGTAGCCAAGAGCTTAACATGGGAATGGACTTGTATGAGACGAGCAAAGCTGCTCGCGAGGTCTGGGATCGTGCTGATAAGCACTTCGATGAGACATACGGTACGTTACATCAGGGATCTAATCCTAACTCCATGCTAATATCTATCTAGGTTTCCGCATCTCGGACATTGTCAAGCGCAATCCCAAGACACTCACCGTCCACTTTGGTGGTCGTCGAGGTGCCGCCATCCGCCGCAACTATCTCGCCCTGACCTACGAGTCCATTGCTGCCGATGGCACGCGCAGGACAAAGAAGTTCTTCAATATGTCGGACCACTCCCCCTCATACACCTACAAGCACCCCAAGGGCCTCCTCTTCAGCACTGAGTTCGCCCAACCGGCCCTCACCGTCATGGAGAAGGCAGCATTCGAGGACATGAGCGAGAGGGGACTCGTCAGCGAGAAGAGCAAGTACGCCGGCCACAGTCTAGGCGAGTACTCCGCTCTGTCCGCCATTGCCAACATCATGCCCCTTGAGCAAATGATGTCCATCGTCTTCTACCGCGGCCTGTCCATGCAAGTCGCCGTTGAACGCGACTCAGAAGGCCGCAGTGAATTCGCCATGATGGCCGTCGACCCGTCTCGCGTCGCGCCCGGCTTCGACGTCGTCCAGCTCGAACAGGCCGTCAAGGCAATCAGCGTCGGCAACTCCGACTCTCTGATCGAGATCGTCAACTACAACGTCGCCAACCGCCAGTACGTCTGCGCAGGAACCTTGACCAACCTGCAAACCCTCACCGACGTCTGCAACGCCCTATCCACCACCCCCTCCCCCACACCCGAGACCGTCTCCTCCCTCATAACCACCCACATCGCGGCCAACACCTCCAAGTCAATCACATCCCTCACCCGAGGCAAGGCCACGATCCCGCTCCCAGGCATCGACGTCCCCTTCCACTCCTCCTTCCTGCGCCCCAATCTCGCCGCCTTCCGTGAGGTGCTCGAGCGAAACATCTCAAAGGACGGTGTGCAGCCTGAGAAGCTGATCGGCAGATACATCCCCAACGTCACCGCACGACCTTTTGAGATCACCAAGGAGGCCTTCGAGTACGCGTACGAGGTGACAGGCAGCGAGAGGCTGAAGAACGTGCTTGACAACTGGGTTGAGACTTAAGTTCATCCACACATCTCGTGTTCCTCCCTACCTCCCTACCTCCACACCCACTCATCACAATCACCCAAAAAAAACTCCAAAAGATAAAACCACCCCCCACAAGCCAGGGAGGCAAAAATACAATCGCGGGCTGAACCGGGGATTGAACCCGGGGCCTCTCGCATCTGTGGTTTTAATGTACCCAAAGCGAGAATCATACCGCTAGACCATTCAGCCGAAGTGCACGATATCTTCCTTTTACCATTAACGTCGACCATATTCCTGTACATACTCCTTTCTCATGTTTCCAGATTGTTTGCTTTAGAGGGGTGGAGAAAGGGATGAGGAGTGTATTGCCCCTTGCATTTTCGGGGCTCCAGTTTTTATTATCGTGGGTCTATGTTGTGTGACTTTAGCGGCGCAGAAGCTCAGGGGTATTAGCATGTATATCTTTTGTTTCTCGTCTGGCATTGCATTTATAAAGATATATAGAAAGAGCTACTAGCTAGCCTAACAAGTTACGATATTGAACAAACCAATATACACAAGTTTCAAAAATCAATGATACTGTGTTGGCTGTGTTGAACTGAGTTTGTGTGGGGCGGTACGTTGGAGTATGAGATGTACATCTAGGCACGAAACCAACGCTAAGGGAATCGAATTCGTACTCGATCCCACGATGATGTAGCTAGCCACACATCCACCAATACACGCACGTCCAATCCAGCATAACCACTATCGCGAATCTCTTCCAATATACACGTGAAAACATCATCCATTCCACCCATAAGGACCAAACCCCCCTATAGCGAGCTGAAGCTCCGCATAAGAGAAGGAAAGGATGACGCCCCCACCACCGACATCAATACACCTCTCCCTGGCTTCTTCTCCCTCGTCAGAACCGAAAATAACATATATCCTCTACTTCGTCCCTGGAAACCCAGGACTGGTTGGGTACTACACGCTCTTTCTCACTCACCTGTTCTCTCTTCTCACATCTGCATCCCCCGCCAATGTCGCGTTCGAAGTGCACGGCAGGTCCCTCGCGGGCTTTGAATGCACTTCCAACGAGGATGAGGGAAAGGCGAAAGGAAAAGGGCCGTTCACGGTGAAAGAGCAGGTTGCGTTCGCGGCTGGGGATGTGCGGAGGGTTGTGCGGGATGTTAAAGCGAGGAGGAAGGGGGATGTGAAGGTCGTGTTGATGGGTCATAGTCTCGGCACGTACATGTGTCTTGAACTTATCCGTCATTTTTCTGTTTCACACTCGACGAAGTGTGGGAGGGAACAAGGGGGAGTAGACGGGGAGGTGGATGTGGCAGGCGGAGTTCTCCTCTTCGCGACGATACAACATCTCGCGCTATCGCCCCGAGGCATCAAAGCGTCGCCGTTGCTGCTCACGCCGCCGCTCGGGGTCGATTTGGCGGTCGTGCTGGGCTGGGTTGCGAGGGTTCTGTTTGGCCTTGTGCCGGTTGGGATGGTAGCAGCGCTGGTGGGGTGGGTTATGGGGTTTCCTGCTGATGCGGCGAGGACGACGGCGGGGTTCTTGAAGTCGAAGGGGGGTGTCAGGCAGGCGTTGTTCATGGCGAGGGACGAGATGGTGGAGATTGGGGAGGATAAATGGGGGGAGGAGGTTTGGGGTGCGGTGAGCGCGACGGCGGGGAAGAGGAAAGGAGGCCCGGTATTGAAGTTTCTGTTCGCGAGGGAGGATCATTGGATTGCGGATGAGGTCAGGGATGGGATTATCAAGGCTAGGGGGAGGAAGATGGTGAGGAGGCGGGAGGTCGTGGATGATGGGGTGGAGGTGGTCGTGGACGAGTGGAAGCCGGAGATGGAGGTTGATGAGGTGGAGGGCTGGACGCATGATTTTTGCATCAGAGATAGCGTGAGTGTTGCGCGGAGGGCGATGGAGTATATCGAGGATATCGTCGAGCGGGATATGAGTCGGTAGAAGATGTTTCTATGACGGAAGCCTGCTCATGTGTACATATAGAATAGATAAAACATAGAGGCGTATATATGTAGACGAGCAATCGTACCAAGATCATGAATTGAATTGAATTGAACTAATAAGGGTATCAATATTCACTCCCAACTCGTCCTTTACAATCGCAGGTTGGGGCACACATGGGGATATCATTCAGATCCTCGCCCCATCATCCTAGCTCTTACCCTCAACGTCATAACATCATACGCTCGTCTTCATAGAATACTTTCGCCGCGGCTGTGTGCATACGGTCAATGATGAATTTCTTCGGGCATCTGATGTGACTCAATATGGTGGCCTCGCGTAGAGTAAATCCGATCTTTTGATCCGAAAACAAGACATCGATGCCGATCAGCCGACACCGTTATAATTCTGCCTTGCTTTCATGAAGAGTTGTCCGAGGTGATCCCCTGACCCATCCATAAGACCACCTCCAGCATTCATTGAAGGCATGAATCCAGAATTGGACATCGGTTGCGGAGCAGGAGCCTGGCTGTGGTGATTGTGAACACTCCATGCCGCATCGCTTTCCCTCTGCTGTCCAAATAGCTCCCTAAGCGAAAGTTGGCGGCCCATTGGTATGCTTTCCTCTGCCGACTCTGAGGCCGCAAACCCTTCCGTCGCGGAAACGTCTTCTGGCTCTTTATTTGCTGCAGCCTGCTGCGCAAGTGCGAGTATCTTGTTGGCGGTTTCTACCCTCGCATTCGCTGTCGAGGACGGTGGGGGCTCCGAGAATATCCATAGTCCGTAGATCTGGTCGCCTTGTAGGATGAGATATTCATCTGTTATTTCCACCTCTTCGTCGCTAACGATGTCCATGCTGAAATTGTCCAAGCCGCGGCGGTTCAAGATGACAACGGAAAAGCGGTCTGGGTAGACCGCGGTAGGAGTTAGTTGACACACGAAGAGAGTACCCTCGATGCCACTCTTCTCCCATGTCTGCGACGTAAGTGAGAAAATGTATAGAACGGTATATGGTGCGACGTGTAAAAGGGATGCAACGTCCGGGTAGTGCCTTTTGAGCACTGAAAGATTGATCTGTTCGTTGGACCGTGGTGGCGGTGGTGGGACATCGATCTGTGGTGCGTCCGTCTCATAGTCGGACGGTTGTGGTTGGGGTTGGGAGGGGCCCTGCTGAGAGCGCGACCTGCCTTTGTGAGGCTGGGGAGGCATGCTGTTGGTATATACCTATGTAGCGATAGTGTGGAGAAGATAGTAATGCTGTATCGTGGTTGAATGAGTCGCGCCCATGAGTTGAAGAAGAGGAGGACGACAATGACGAGGTTCCCAAGGTACTTTAGATAGTTACTAAGTCTGAGTTAAGTTGATTATTGACGAAATGAAGCTCCAGCTCCAGCACAGGCCAGGTCACGTGCATGCACTGCCCCCCCATCGTCATTGTTCAGACGAGTAATTTTATGTATCCCATCTCCTCGATTTCTAGTATTCTCTGTGTCGTCATCGCCTACAGCTTTCTTGCTCAGCTCAGCTCGAGATATTTGTACATCAATAACACCTAATGGCGATGGGCTGAAGGACATCCAGTACTCCGCACCTCGAACATCCTCCCCACTTGCGATCGTGTGCCCCTCACCCGGCCCCGCGTGTTCGCTATGCCTTCTTCCAATTCCGATCGATCCTTTACCGATCGGCTAGATGCGACCATCCCCGGCGCGTTCCCAAGCAGCGATGGCAATCAATCATCGACCCACCAGACCCTCTCTCAAGCTTTGTATGCTCGGCGCAATGAGTACACCCGATCTCGGAACGTTAGGATCAAGATTGGAAGCTGGAACGTAGCAGCGGAGAAGGGCACAGAGAAGGATATCGGGGCCTGGTTCGTAGAAGGAAAAGGGATTGAGAAAGCAATTGCTGGACTAGGCGTCGACGAATCGCAGGATGACGACAATCTGGAGAGTGTGCCCGCACAAGAAGCTCGGAGGTCTCGGAAGGCATCTACTGTTCCCCGGAGAGACGATGGAACACTGCCGGGCGGCGAAGAGGTGGGCATATATGTTCTAGGTCTCCAGGAAGTAGTTGATGTTTCCTCTCCCAGCGAAGCGTTACGTCCGTATACCGACCCCAGCGTTGCGAATCGGTGGAAGAGCGAGGTTCAGAATGCTTTGCCGGAAGGATATAAACTCGTTGCGGAACAACAGCTGATCGGGCTCTTGCTTCTTGTGTATGCATCGCCGGATGTCTTTCCCCATGTCAGTGGGGTCAGCACGACGAGTGTCGGAACAGGACTCATGGGGTATATGGGCAATAAGGGCGCTGTGACAGCAAGGATTGTGCTGGGCGAAACCACTCGCCTTGTGTTTATCAATTCGCACCTTGCAGCTGGATCCGACAAGGCTGCGCTGGACCGTCGCAACTGGGACGCAGGCCAGGTCATCAGCCGGACGCGCTTCGATCCCATCACAGACGCGCTGGGAGTGACTCAAGGTCACGGCGAGGGGTTGGGAGAGGAAGACTTCGCCTTCTGGTTTGGTGACCTAAACTACCGTCTTGAGGGCATACCTGGAGACGATGTACGACGACTACTTACCATCCACACTAAAACCCTAGACCCCGAGCCTACTGAAGACTCGAAGGAGCCTAGATTATCCTCCTCTGACTCCAGCGTGACGTCCAAATCCCCTAGCTCAACCTCTTCCATAAAAGAAGACGCAGTGCCATTACCTCCGGAGCTTGATCCTGCCTCGTTACATACTACAATATCATGTCTGATGCCCCATGACGAGCTGCGCCAACAACAAAAGCTTGGAAAAGCATTTCAAGATGGTTGGAACGAAGGCCCGATCCAGTTCTTACCCACTTACAAGTACGATGTCGGAAAGGTCGGAGTATTCGATTCGAGTGAGAAACGACGCGTGCCTAGTTGGTGCGATCGCATTCTCTACCGTACTAGGGCAGCCAAAGAACGCCATGACGCTCACGTGAAAGAGCAAGAGGAAGCTCGGAAACGGGATGAAGAGATGAAGAAGAAAGGACTCGATGCGCCAGGGGACGAAGAGGTCCTGTATGACTATGATCCCGAAACAGACGGAGACAAAACCACGGGATACGACGATTACGATGAGTACGATGAAGATGCTGAGCCTGAACCGGAAGAGGTCATTACCAAGGAGGGATTCAAAGATGAGATCCTATTGGAATATTATGCCGCCCACCTGCGGGTCATCTCGTCTGATCATAAGCCATTAGATGCGATCTTTTCCCTCAAGTACGACGCCGTGATACCAGAACTCAAGGCATCAATCCACCAGGAAGTAGCCAGAGAACTCGATCGACAGGAAAACGAAGGCAGACCATCCATTACCTTGGTCGTGGATCGTTCAACTGGAGCCACTACCTCCGAGGCTGCACCCACCACAGACAACGACTTCGATGGCGTTGACTTTAACGACGTGCAATTCGCGAAATCCAAGCGCCGCAACATCACAATTGCCAACACTGGAAGAGTACCGGCCACATTTGGCTTTACAGATCGCCCCGTGTCCAAAGATCAGGCCCCTGGACCTTTTCCTTCCTGGCTGACTGTGACCTTTGACAGAGAACCTGACAAGACCGACAAATCCTCCGATGACAATCTCCATCAACAGTTTACCTTGGAACCCGCTGATGTCTGCAGCGCCGAACTCAAGTTGAAGGTCGAGGCCATCCATGACGTACGAAATCTCAATGAGGGCTCAGAGCAACTCGATGAGATTCTTGTTCTGCGAGTCCAAAACGGTCGTGACCATTTCCTACCCATCCGCGCAGACTGGCAGCAGTCGGCGTTAGCTCGTTCCATTGACAAGCTAATCAAAATTCCCGAGGGCGGCATCCGGAAGCTCCAAGGCCAGAAACCGGACAGTGAAACCAATAAAGTGAGATGGTCGATTCCTCGAGAGATATTTCGGCTGACGGAGGCCATAGAAGATCTGACGGAACGAACGATCGCCGAATGGGATATGACCAAGCATGAAGGTGACAGAGCCCCTTGGCAGCATAACGCAGGCTGGCCGTTCGTCAAGGACTCGAGGTATTTTGAGGATGATGTACACGAGGACACACTTGCCGCCCTCTATGAAGCGCTTGACTGTGATACATCGTTTGACGCAGCGTTTCCCGGAGAGGTTGCCGCCATGCAGAGACTTGAGATCATCTCCGAAGTACTACTGCAATTCCTGCGCAGTCTCGAAGATGGCGTTGTCACGGAGTCGTTGTGGAAGGACCTTGAGGGCGGCATTGTTGCTCGAGAACGCTCAAGGCAACATCTTCCGCTTGACGATGCGAAAATATGGGCTTTAGAAACTTTATCGGTCTCACCAAGCCACAACGCCACATTCCTCCTCCTTATATCCATGCTGCAACGCCTCACCAATGAGATTGTCACTGCCTCAAGGCCCGACACGTCCTCGTCTCGCGCCAGCATGGACTCTCTTCCGTCCTCGCCACGAGTCGCAGTTCGCAGACGAACGTTGAGCAAAGTGCCGGAGGTGGCTACGAGACAATTAATTAGTAGAAATTATGCTACGGTATTCTCAGAGGCCATGTTTCGATCAGGAGGCATGGATCAATTGAAAGAGAAGGAGAGAAACCTAAGAAAGGACAGGATGGTTGGAGTGATCGAGACATTCCTCAGCGAGGACGACGCTCTACGATGAACGAAGAATTGGGCTCTGTGTCTTTGAATACATGCCAGGATTACAGCCATATCGAAGGTAGTCCCTATATATCAGGAACGAACGACGTCACCCTCTTTTTAGGGCCTGGCTATCCTTTCGATCCAGAGCTATCAAATTCCATTTAACTTCACATCTGGTCAGATGATCTTTCACGTGACTTGGCGAAGTGAACGCGACTACGTGGACGTGCATTCCGGTCCGCCTGGCAACTAGCGGTACGTGCCCCGCTATGTTGCTTGTTCTCATGGCCAAATCGGGAAATCTGGACTTAATCATTTGCTATAAAAGAACTCCGAAATCAATTCAATCACTGTCCCCCCCATCGTCCTCAATCAATCAAGCAAGCAAGCAAGCAAGCATCTTTCTCTCCCCAATCTCAGATTCACCATGGAGCACTCCTACACTGCAGCAATGGCAGCAGCGACTGCTCCCACTACAATGACCCAGTGGAAGGACGAGCAACCCAACGTCCCCTCTGTTGCTGAGCATCACCGTGATGTCCTTAGACAGTGGCTCGACTCCCTTCCAGACGCCCCCGTCGCGAAGGACCGCCGCACTTATCTCCAGGTAGTATCCAACTGGACCGCATTTCTCTCTGCTACAAGCCTTATCCCAAGCCCCGCCCTAGCCCCCAACAACAAGAAAGTCATCATCTTTAGCGGAGATGAGGAAGATGACCACGGAGAGTCTCCCTCGGATATGAAGAAACGCTTCCTAGTCGACCGACGAGAGCGCTTCTGCATTCAAGGGACCATCTGGCGGCTCTTCGACGGCAATGAAGCGCTTCTTGAACGCTGGCCGGTCCCCGCCCGCCGGCTCATGAACCGCGCCGTCTACGGCCCCTCTGCCCCTCCGCTTTCCTCCATGATGTCCGACATCTTTCTCCAGCGCCGCTGGAACTCAGTATGGACATCACTCATCTGCTTCCTCATCTACTGTGAGGAAAACGATGGGTCACCAGAGGACATGGGTCTCACGCTCAGCGAAGAATTGACCGACGATCTCCTCGACATCTCCCAGGCCCTCATGTTCGACGGCTACCCCAAACCGGGCGCCGAGGACGGAGACAGCGTGACAGGAGAAGCCCTCCGGGTCTTCATCACCAACGTCATCACCGCCCTCGACTCCCACTCCGTCTCCCCCAGAACGAACCCGCTGCTGTGGTGGATGACCGTCCTCGTGCACTCCTCCCTCTCCACCCACACCGACTTCATCAGCCGCGGCCACTTCACGTGGAACATCCTCCCCATGGACCTCGACATCGCAGGCCGCATCGACGCCGTCGTCCACTACACGCAAGTCATGCTCCTCGACCTCTCCTTCCGCACGTGGAAGCCCACAAACAAACAGCACCAACTCGACGTCGTACAGCAGCTGGACAAGGTGGACAACTCATGGATCGTCAAGATGAGCAGCACGAAGCCTGCGGTCGAGGCATCCGCCGCCGAAGAGCAGGAAAAGGCGTGTGAGACGCCGGCTTTCAAGGATATGTTGGCGCATGTCGAGAAGACGTTTGACGAGATCCTGGGAAAGGAATCCAAGGGCGTCGTTGCGGGTATGGTGAGGCTTAAGGCTCAGTTGGCTGCCGCTGGCGCCGCGGGCAATAGCAACGCCTAAGGAAAGGAATCACAGGTCATGGGCAATCACAAGATGTAAGACGTAGTTAGGAAATCAATAATGCCAATCCCGAACTTTTGAATTTCAGATCAGTTATCCTACTACTTTCCTAAACCCCATGTCCACACCATCCTCATCACTTTTGAACCTCTCCATTCCGTCCCCCAAATTCCCCACCCATGTGAAGAAGTCGTCGGTCCGAAGCACCATCTCCTTCACACCTCTACATTGGCGTCGAAAGTGGCCCCCAGTCCAGTCTCAACAGCAGCAGCGACGGCGCCGGACCTAGTAGGTCTTCCCGACGGAGCCATGCACACGGGCGGCCAGGCGTTAACGATGAGGTTCTGGCCCGGGGGGCAGGCGCCGACGGTTGGCCAGCCGCGGGGGTGGTTGTCGTTGGCGAGGGTGGCGGTGGGAGCTGGGAGGGCGAGGGTGAAGGTTGGGAGGACGAGGAGAGAGAGGAGGACGGTGATGAGTGTGGTGATCATTTTGTCGAGGTTGTTGGGTTGAGAGTGGTGGTTAAGGTGGTAGAGCTTGTGTGTGGATTGCTGGTATAGCGATTGTTGGAGAGAGAGATTGATGGTGAGAGGCTTTTGGCACCAGATCTTCGATCCGAGAACGTGGTTGATATATCCTCCGAAAGATCAAGTTTGAGGTAAAGAAAGAAATGAGGAAAGAAGAGAGAAGTTCAAAGCTTTATACCCCAATTCAACTCTGATCTGATCTATAGTTCCCATTAAGCGGTGAGCTATATCCGCGCGCGTTAGGGAAAGTTGAACGAATGAGGAGTGAGATCAATTGTAACAGACTAGTTGCGACTTTGTAATTTAACTGGATTGTTTGTCTGTTTTGTTGGGAATTTGACCACCCCGTTTGAAGCTATGACAACGAAGCGGACAGTTTCGATGTCAGATTCCGTTCGGTTCTCCTCGGAGTGTAACTTCGGGTATGCCAATTCTCCTACGAAGGTGATGATTATGGTAAACAACGGGTGATAACAGAGCCTTCTATATTACTACACAGTAAAGGAAAACTATGTATCGTTCGCCTACAGCGGTCCGGTTGCCGTACCCTCGTCCAACGAGGAGTAACGTAGATGTTTCAGGGCGTGAGAGCACGGTTGTCTGTATGAAATCACAGACAAAACTGTTTGCTTCTCAACAGTTATTGCATATTGATTCCATTGTGGCGATTCCCCAAATCACTGACATAGTAACAAATTCGTCTTCAGACTACACTTAAGAACTACTAGAACTAGCAATTGACCGTTCACAAATGGGAGATTCATTCACCAGACCTGAGAAGACATTATTATATTCTGAACATATGATCTCACACTGCATCATTGAGGTGCAATATTCATTGTCTTCTATCTCATTCCTGCGGAACATCCAATTCTATCTATGGGACCAACCTGAGCTAGAATTTACATAACATTCAGCGAACGAAGTGCTGCTTCTACCACCTCATCTACCGTCTTTTTCGGAAGACCTAATTGACTGTTGAACAGCTCGCCTTCCTTCTCCAAATGGCCTCCAAACCTTCCCGTCACAAACCCAGTCTCAATGAGGTCAAACGTTGCCAGATTATCTCCATTGCGAACAGCCTCTTGCTTCTCCTTGATCAAGTCGTAACTTGACAGATACTCAGTCTCATACTTGGCCCCTTGGATCCGTTCAATCGCTTCCAACAACTGCCTCTGCGAAATCGCAAAGTCGCTCAAATACACGTTTGTATTCTTCGTGCTTTCCCTCATCTCCAGCGCCCGTACTAGTCCCACCGCGGTATTCTCCTCCGTCGTGCAGGAAAACAAACCCTCCCCATCATCCCAAAACACAAATCTCTTCTCCCGCACGTGCATCCCAAGAAACTCGTGCTCCATGCTCCACTTAACCCACATGCCACATGACACGCTCATCCACTCAATCGCGCCGTCTGCCGCCTTTGCGCGAAGGTACTCCTGGACCTTCCCCTTGTCATGAAACACTCTGTTCAATGCTTGCGCATCCGGTCGCATGTTGTTGAGGCCGTACTCGCTAGGCACATAGCGTTTGACGCCCGCAGCGATGGCCGCATCGATCATGCGGAATTGATCGGAGACTGAGAGGGAGGTCATGCAGTTTACAATGACATCTTGTCCTTTGAAAGCTTGTGTGAGTTCGTCTGTTGGGTACGAGTCCGCGATTGTGATAACTCGAAGATGGGAAGGGAGGGTTGCTTTGGAGGATGCTCGTTGGAGGAGTGTGACGGTGAAATGGGGAGAGTCAGATAGTGCTTTGAAGACGTGGCTACCGATAGAGCCTGTGGCTCCGATGAGGAGGATGTTTTTGAAGGGGGATGCCATTTCTAAATTTGAATTGAGGAATGTGTTGGGTGAGTGATCTTTCCAGAGGGCAACGTACACTTTATGTACTACAGTGGCTCCAGTATTGGGATATCATGCTTTACACATAGATTGTATGTTGAAGAAACCTATGGATAAATTCAGTGCAGGTTCGGCTACGATGTATGGTTCGTCAGCAAATACATGAATACTTGTCGTATGGTATGCAATCCTTTGAATTAGTGAGCCGCCCAACAGTACTTGCCGAGGCTGCACAACAGAGGTGTATCGGCTTGCTACGATATTCTAGTGGTCTTTCTATGCAAACAACAAGTATTTGCCAATATATCCATAGGTTTCCAACAATGATTCAGCAATTTTCAATGAGAAATTAGATTTGCATCATACAATTCGGGTAACCTTCTTCAATCCGGTCTCGTCGTTCAACACCAATCATCGTGCAGCTCAACCCTCACTGGACATTCCATGTATTCTGTACAACCCTCGGCGATGCCGAACAAATACAAATACCCAAACGAAAGGAAAACGCCTCCTACATCCTCCAACAGGTGTAGACCAACCTCTTTCCGAATTGGGCATCCTGAGTTGCAACTGCCAAATTTGAATATCTCAGCTTATCTAGCGCTAACCTTATTTCGACCGCGATCAGTAATCCATTTATTATTGTCACCTCGCGTTCAGCAACGACATACAACACGCTCTGATTACTGATCACCATCATGAAGTATTCAGAGACTCTGCGAGCGTCCGATGAGCCGACGATGCTTACATCAGACGCAGATACCGAACACGCCGAAAAGCTATTCATTGTCTCGCCGATATCACTAGTTCTACTACGTCGTAAGAATACTTCACGCGTAAGTGGCTGCATACTAACTATTATATTCCATAGCCGAGGACATAGGTCAATTAGTAGATATCGAACGTCGAAGAAAAGTGTGGTAATCCCGCGTGCATGCGTATAGCTGGTGTCACCACATCGTAGACCTGACATAGGCAGAACGAATTGTAATTGTAATTCCAATACTTCAGAGACGCGATGAGTAAACACCGAGTCGCATTTAGCACTCAATCAAGAGAATGGGGATTGCTATAATATATAAATGGGTTGAATCGCACGTAATAACAGTGTCCAGCATCTCTAGATCCTGCAACTGTCTGACACACTATACCTTCAGATATTCCATCACACTGAACATTCAAAATGTCCTTCCAAACCATCCCTACGCAATACGCCTCTGTCAACGGCACCAAAATCGCCTACAGACGTCTCGGAAAGCCTGCGAACGACAACATCCCCCTCCTCTTCCTAACCCACTTCCGCGGCACTATGGACATCATCGATCCTCTCCTCGCCAATACAATTGCCAAATCCCGCGAGCTGATCCTCTTTGACAGCATCGGCGTCGGCCACAGCGAGGGCGCCATTCCCTCCACCCTCCAATCCGCCGGCGCAATAACCGTCGCTTTCCTTGCCGCCATCGGTGTCCCCAAGGTCGATCTTCTCGGCTTCTCGATGGGCGGACTGACGGCTCAGGTCATCGCCGTCGAGCACCCGGCCGTGGTGAGGAAACTGGTGCTCGCCGGGACGCAGTCAAGTTACTCGCCGGGCGCTGTGGGTGCTCCGCGGGAGATCTTCGAACTCGCCTCTGGACCATCGCCTGACGAAGAGGTCATGTTGAAATTGTTCTTCTACCCTTCCGAAACGAGCAGGGCGCTGGGTTCCGCCTGGTGGCGTCGGATTCAAGAGCGCGACCTTTCTGACGAGAAGCGCACGATGTTTGTGAGTCAGGAGGGAGCGCAAGTCCAGCAGGAAGCTATCACGAATTTTGTTTCCGATGCGACGTTCTGGGACAAGGTGAAGGGGTTGGATGTTCGGGTTCTGATTACGAATGGGAAGGATGATGTTATGACACCCACACCCAATAGCTGGCTTATGCAGCAAAACTTTCGGAATGCTCAGTTGTATTTGTACCCGGATTCCGGGCATGGACATTTGTATCAGGAGCCTGAGGCGTATGCTAGGCTATTGGAGCTGTTTTTGGGGTAGCCAGACTAGCAGATGATTGGATAGAATTGCTTGGGAAATGTCAGTTAAACTTGAGATTTTGACAGAGTAATAAACCAATAGTACAGTGAATAAATGTATGGGTGAATTCGAAGCAGAGGAAAACCGGACAATCTGTTGTAGCTTCCAGTACCATATTCTGCAGGCTTCTACACATGAATATGTCTACTGATCCTACATGCTACGGCAACACTGGGACAGTCCAGTCGATCCACCTCTTTTCATCAATTGGCCACTTCCCATCGGTTTTCCAGAATTCCGTCTTGGCGTCTTTCGATAGCAGAAACCGCTCAATGAATGCTGTTAATTCTGGCTGCTGGGCCTTTGGGAACCCGCAATGGTCAGAATGCGTATATTGACTGAAACCAAAATAATCTTTGACGCCCAATGCCTCATGAACTTTGCGCCCTGCTGTCGCACAATGATAGTTGCTGGTAGGGCCTAGATAGTCAATTGCAGTGTTCTCAATAATTAGTAGACCTCGGGGGGGATACGCATAGAGCGCGTGTAACATGTGGTTGTCCCAGGGTAGACTTGGTACAGCATTGACGTATTTAGGAAAATCAGTCGAGAACCAAGTGTCGCCGTTTACGATCTGCCTGGCGGTCTCAACCTTGGTGCCATTCGCCTGGATCTCATCCGCGATTCTCCAGCATCCTGCAGCAGATTGGCCGCCTTCCTGCGGCAGCGCGAGTGCAATTCTGTCAACGAACGCTCCTGCAATCATGGCGCCTTTTCCATTTCGAGAGCAACCTGTAACACCAACTCGCTTTGGGTCAATTTTGGCGTCAGGTGTGATTTCCAGGGCATCCATGATGCGGTCAACCCCCCAGGCGGCTGCAATCATGCCTCCCGCGTTATGATTGCTGCCATAAAGCTCATAAAATTTACCCTTGCCGCGTCCATTATCGGCAGCCATATCGAAATTTTGGTAAGTGATTGTGGCGACAGTGTTGGGTATTGGCAAACTTGATCCACCATAGGCGATTATGGCGGAATAAGGCGCGGAGCCAGCACTCGGAAGTTTAACGCTAACGGAGAATGACATTGTCTTGCCTCCATCACTGACATTGATCTTGAGTGAGGTACCGGACATCGAGGCGGTCACGGATGCAGGCCCAGGTGGTAACTTTCCATAGGAGTAGCGCTGGAAAAGCTGTCGTATTTCTTCTTTGCGGCACGGCCATTGGTCTCTTTTTGTCAGGCGCGAGCCATTGATATGAAGGAAAGGATCAGGGAACTTGGGGTTGGCGGCATAATTGATATCTGCTGGAAGAGTCGAACAGTCAGTGATGTTTTGCCCGACTGTGACATGTGCTGTCAAGAGGAGAAAAAGCAAGCCGAACATGACTTCATAAAGGAGGGATCGGTGAGCACATTTTACAAACGCTCCTTTTCGAGATACTTAACTATGTGCTTCTCGGCGGATCTATCGTGTTGTGTCCGTTCCTCCTTCAAGTTTCCACCAGTCAGTTCTTATACCAAACTTTCATCAACTTATCCATAATAGTTCAACTTTGGTAACAAGGACAATTAATCTTTTTATAAGACCCTCAGAAGGTTTGTTCAATCGAGTACAGTAACGTTTAATGATTGTGAAATCCATTTCTAATATAGCTGAACGTCACAACCACCTCAATGATGAGGGGAGCTACATGTTTGCATTGGACTTGTTCAGGTATATAAGACTCATGAGAGTTTCCACCAATGAATTGTATCATTGGAATTCGTATAGTTCTAAATTTCTATGGTTGACGGAGAAAATCGAGTCCATTTTATCCAACAATCATCTACGTGATTTGCGGGTACAAAAACTACGGGTAAAGTCAACTGTCTACTAGCCAAATTGATCAACAAGTATGTTTCAAGATTTTACCTAACTAAGGAAGTGAATCGATCATTATTAGCCTGCGAATAATGGTAAGGATGAGCAGGCAAGTTCCGACGGAGGAATTCTGCCGCGGGATTAATTAACTCGTTCGGAAACACGTATAGTAGCAACACAATTTGAAAGTGATATGAACGAGAGCCATGTGTACTCAATGTTCATTGAATAACCATCGATCATGTCCTTCAAATGTCAGAAACTCGTGGCTATCATTCTGCTATCGCTAGCTCAATACGGCTTACTCAGTGATGCTCTCTCCACGAGCAGCGAAAGAGGGAATACGACTTCGTATGGACGTGCACGCATCAATATCGACAACGGCTGGCGGTTCTTTCGGTCAGAAAGCAATCCTGATGGGCTCAGCTACGACACCCGACCGGGTCTTCCCTCGACGTCAGACACGGAATCATTGAAACTCTGGATTCTGCCCTGCGGGAACCGATTCATTAAAGATGTAGCCCAGAAACACGACAGGCCTACAAGTAATCCAAAGAGCAACGTCTCTTTCGCACAAAACAGCTTCGATGACACTGCCTGGGAGACGATCAACCTCCCCCATGATTGGGCCATCAAGGGTCCGTTTTATGTCGGAGACAATGTGCCTGTCACTGGAGGGATGGGTCGATTACCTGTGTATGGCGTTGGGTGGTATCGTCGCAAAATAGAAATTCTCTCTGAAGATAGAGGAAAGTTCATTTATCTAGACATCGATGGTGCCATGTCATACGCAATGGTCTGGCTGAACGGAAATCTGGTCGGCGGATGGCCTTACCCGTACAATTCCTTTCGCCTCGATCTAACGCCTTATCTGGTTCCGGGAGATGAGAATATCCTTGCAATTCGATTGGACAACCCAACTCAGTCCTCGCGGTGGTATCCTGGTGGAGGCCTATACAGACATGTCTGGCTCACAAAAGCGGAACCTGTACATGTAGCCCAATGGGGCACATACATCACGAGTAGGGATGTGTCTGCTGAGTCTGCGACTATCGATGCCGTTATTCAGATTGACAATAATGCGAACTCCAGCAAGGAGATAGAGGTTGCTACCGACGTGTATATTCTCGAAGGGCATGAGAGGAGGAAAGTGGCATTCTTCCCAGTTGCCAGACTGGTACTTCCTGCAAGCGCAACAGAGCAGATCAACGGATCGGTAGAAGTAAAGAACCCGCAACTGTGGGGTCCACCACCAACACAGTTTCCACATCTGTATGTCGCTGTTACACGTATAAATTTCAACAACAAAACAATAGACACCTACGAAACGAATTTCGGTATCCGCTCACTAGTTTTCAATTCTGAAAAGGGTCTCCTTATCAATGACGAGCATGTACGCATCCAAGGTGTAAACCAGCATCATGATCTAGGAGCGCTAGGAGCGGCTTTTAATACTCGGGCAGCGGAACGACAGCTAGAAGTTCTTCGCGATATGGGATGCAACGCAATTCGAATGTCTCACAACCCGCCTGCACCAGAGCTGTTGGCGTTGACTGATCGTATGGGATTCCTGGTCATAGATGAAGTGTTCGATATGTGGGAACGCCAGAAGACGCCAGCGGATTATCACTTGCTATTCACCGATTGGCACGAACCAGATCTTCGCGCCTTTCTACGGCGCGATCGAAACCATCCATCCATTGTGGCGTGGAGTTTTGGTAACGAAGTAGGTGAACAAACTACTGGGGAATCTGGAGCAGTACTGGCCACTAGACTGCGTAATATTGTTCACGAAGAGGATCCAACTCGACCAGGCACCGCTTCAATGAACGCTGCAGAACCAAACATGCCATTCCCGCAGGCTTTAGACATCCTGAGCCTGAACTACCAAGGGGAAGGTTTCCGGGATACACCAGCATACTCCCATCTTCCTGGCAGAAAAACAAAACCTTTGTACGCTGACTTCCATGAAGCCTTCCCTGAAAATATGCTACTTAGCAGTGAAACTGCGGCAACTCTCAGCATGCGTGGTGCGTACATATTTCCAGTGACGCGGGAGATCAGTGCGCCAGTGAATGACACGAGCGGAGGTAACTCCACATCGTTTCAAGTCAGTGCGTACGAATTGCATACAGCCGATTTCGGTTCCTCTCCAGACAAGGTATTTCCAACGCAAGATAAAAACCCGTACGTCGCCGGGGAATTTGTCTGGTCAGGCTGGGACTATCTAGGCGAGCCAACGCCCTATTACTCGGCCCGAAGCTCATACTTTGGCATTGTGGATTTGGCTGGGTTTAAAAAAGATCGCTTCTTTTTATATCAGTCTCGTTGGCGTCCTGATCTTAAGATGGCACACATCCTCCCGCATTGGACCTGGCCTGATCGGGCAGGGCAAACAACCCCAGTGCACGTATTTTCAGCCGCTGATGAAGCTGAATTATTCTTGAATGGAAAATCACAAGGTCGGAAGAAGAAACAAGAATACGAGTACCGATTCCGATGGGACGACGTCAAGTACCAATCTGGAGAACTGCATGTTGTTGCATACAAGAACGGAACTAAATGGGCAGAAGAAACTACGCGAACCGCTGGGGAGAGCACAGGGCTAGATGTTACGGCTGACCGGACTACTATCAGAGCTGATGGGGTTGATCTGTCCTTCATTACCGTCAAAGTTGTTGATAGCCAAGGAAACACTGTGCCTCATGCGGCTGACAACATTACGTTATCTATATCTGGACCCGGCGAGATTGTGGCTACGGACAATGGCAACCCTGTGGACTTCACTTCATTCTCATCTAAAGAGCGAAAGGCATTCAATGGCCTGGCACTTGCCATTATCCGCACTACAGACCGGACAGTGGGACAAATTAAGGTTGTAGCAACGGCGAAGGGCTTAGAAACTGCACAAATAGTATTAGAGGCGCAATAAGAGGAAGCTTGATTGATTGATCAATAGTAATCAACGTCTAGGTAGTAATACTTTCAGGGCTATCTATCTCTGATAGCGAATTATATCATGGCTTAGCTTACTGGAAAGTAGAATCATTACATGTTAGTCTAGCCTTAATCTCAGCCCTTTAGTTGAGTGATGGTTCCGGCGCGATTAGTTTTAAGAATGCTCATATAGCGATACATGCATCTGCAATCAAGGAAGTACATGTCGTTTCCCATGCTCTAATTACCATCAATATCGCACATTTGCATTACAATCACTTCCATTAGGTAGATCGTCCCTTCCGATAGCTCCCAGGCCACCCACCATCCTCAACACTGCTTCCGAGTTCCGCATCAAATAAAAGATACCACGCATGGTTAGCCCATCCGATCAGTTCGCCCGAGCCCACACCACCCACATAGCCCATCAGTCTACTTGAAACCATTGCGCAATGCGCGGACGCTTTTAAACCTTGCCAATGATCGACAATTGGTAGTATTTCTTAATTAGACGTCGATATTAAGTCCGCTGTCAGGAACAGCGTCTTCTTATATTGTTGGCATCAAGATCTGCGGGAAATACCTCACCTTTCCACGGCCGTATGTCGGGCTGACTCCCAACAAGTGTGCTCTAGAAAGCTTTGACTATGGATTTGCTTATTTTTTTACCTTTGGGGTTTGTTGAGGACAATGTACAGGAAACGTGTCATTAGAACAAGTCATCGCGAAACCCTCCCCTCTTCCACAGTGGCGACTATCACGACCAATCAACAACCAACCATCTCAGCCTCAACCAGGAAACGGCCATCGTACCTAAGAAACGCCAAACGAACCGTAAGACATGCATGGAAGCGGAAAAGTCGGGGGAAGGTGCCGGCCAAGGCCCTAGAACAATGTCATGTATAACATCCAACGTCGCGTGCGCTGTCCAGCCACCCAAAAGAAGAAAGGAACAAAAGCCACGATGCCAAGGCGATCTCGGTCTGGCCAATCATCACGGCCAATTCATCTAGCGACGGGAGGTGGGGTTTGGGGATTGGGGGCGGGGAGCTCCACACGATGCCATTGTGGCTTGCTTTACCTCGTAAGTTTATTATGCTCCTTCGTAGGGGGGTCAGGGATCTCATTGCATTGGCAATTTCACGTGTTTAGATTGCATTGGAAATTGCATGTTAGGAATGTAGAAAAGGTTGGATTATTACGACTAGACTATAGCTTCCATGATAGCTCTGGAAATTGCACGATTTGGCTATTATGAACAAGACTCTCAAATACGGTGGGTAGAGCTGGTTTCCCAGAAACCGATCACAGGACTTCAGGCATAAGGGTTTCGAACAATTTACAACTTCTCGACACCAAGGACCTGGCCCTCGGCGCTGAAGTCGATCTTCTTCTTCTGGAGAGACTCCTTGACGGGGTTCTTGGCCTCGAAGACAACATCGAGCTCCTCGAGAGTGCGCTTCTTGGTCTCGGGAAGGAGGAAGTAGAAGACAACGACCTGGATGGCGTCCCAGACGGTGAAGACGATGTAGGTCTTCCAGCCGATCTCCTTGAGGGAGATGGGCCACGCGAACTGGTTGAGGAGACCACCGGCGTTGACAGCGAGGGCGGAGAAGGCCATACCCTTGGCGCGCATCTCGAAGGAGAGGACCTCGACGGGGTAGAGAGCCTGGAGGGGAGTGAGACCGATGGAGTAGACCATGCCGAAGAGGAAGATCATGGCGACCATGGCCTTGGCGGCGCTGCTGTTGGTGTTGTCGCTGGCGGCGAACTGGGAGGAGGCGATGGTCATTCCGACCCAGACGATGGTGCAGGCGGACATGGAGAACAAGAACATGGGGCGACGGCCAATCTTCTCGACGAAAGCGGCACCGATGAGGGCGAAGGCGAACTGGAAGCAAGCGTATCCGAGGTTGATGTCGGCCTGCTCGACGTCCTTAGTGTAACCGGCGGTCTTGAGGACAGCGGGCAAGAAGTAGGTGAGCACACCGTTACCGGCCCACTGGGCGAAGATGGAGAAGACGACGTTGCAGGTGAGGCGGTAGCGGCTGGCGCGGGTCTTGAAGAGTGCGGAGTAATCCCACCAGCGCTTATCGGCACCATCGAGCTCGAGGAACTCCTCGTACTCAGCGAGCTGAAGCTTGACCCAGGCAGAGTCAGCGTTTCCGTATCCGTGCCACTGGGTCAAGACCTCCTTGGCCTGAGTCTGCTTTCCGTGGACGTAGAGCCAGCGAGGAGACTCGGGGGCGAACCAGATGAAGATGATGATGAGGGCGGGGAAGACGAGCTGTAGCCAGACGGGGAGAGCCCAGGAGATGTTGCCAGTGAGGTTAAGACCGCCACGAACGGCACCGGAGGCGAGGATGGATCCGACGAACCAGAAAGTGTTGCAGTAGGCGGTGATGACGGAGCGCATGGCGGGGTGAGCAGTCTCGACGACGTAGATGGGACCAGCGGCGGAGACGATGGTGACACCGAAACCGAGAACGAAACGACCACCCTTCAATTGACCGTTGTGTCCGTTGGTCATGGTAAGGCCGTTGATGATGGTACCGACGACAATGAGAACGGCACCGGTCATCATACCCATGCGGCGACCGAAGCTATCGATGATGGGACCGGCGAAAGGAAGAGCGACGACAGCACCGATCTGGTACATAGCAGAGGTCAAAGCGGCCCAAACACCCTCGGACTCTCCATGGAAGAAGTTGAGGAAAGTCTTGTTGGCTGAGGAATTGAAAGTCAGTATAATCGCCACCGAGGAGGGGTTTCTCAATTGCTAGGATGAGACTCACCAGTAAGACCACCGAACAAGCTACCATCGAAACCGTTCACGGTCTGGCAGAAGAAACCGAGGAGAAGGCATCCGGCCAAGGCGATGGTTCGCGCATGGAATCGGGGCAATGGCTCCAAAGTGTTGGCCTCGTGGAAAGCCTCGCTACCCTTGAGGGTCTTCACTTCGACGATTTCGGCCTGTTGATCTCGTCAGTCCATCTGTTATGGAATTGATTGTCGATCTCTGTGTGTGGAGAAGCTACCCACCTTGTGGTCCACCTCGACATCACCCTTGTTGAGAGACATGGTTGCTGTGATTGCAGTTGGCTGCTTGCTAGAGTTGGGATTGTTGTCTTGAGCTTGAGCTGTGCGATGCTGCTGAACAAAAAACCATGAAGGCGACTGAGGGACGTCTATATGTACATATTTTTTTATCAGAGGGGAACAGAGCCGTCTGCCACACCAGATGACCTGACGCTGGAACCCCAGACCGAAATGCCGCCCAAGCGAGAACCCCCTACCGTCCCCCTACCATAACGCCCGCCATGTCAAGCATCTTCCCCCTTGGGCACGGCCGGCCTCTTACCCCAAAATGCGGGTTGTCGGACCGTACTCACAACTCGAATCCATCAATCAAATGATCCATCTCCTACTCCAGCTACCATTTCGCACCGCGCTGCTCGCACACCTCCCCAGAACCTCCAGATCTGTTTAAGCCTCTTTCAGCAGTTTCGTGGGAACATCACAAGTCCTCCTCCTCCTCCATACCAGGCGTCCAATCCGGGGTTGGATGGTATTCGTGCCACACACGACTACCACCCGCACACTACCAACTTCGGAGTACACTGTAGTAACCACCAAAGTAAACCAACCACAACGCTAGAGGGGCCACAATCGGCGTGCTTGGTGAACATTATTGATCGTGCATCACGTCTACTTAGCCTGGAGGAAAAACGAGCGGCACAGTTGGTTTCCTGTCTATTGTCATGCGCTGATTCGACCATCGTGAACATGCTTACGGGCTCGAGCTCGATGGTTGAATTCACTTTCGCCCCCCTTTGCCTTTCTATGAAAAAAATACTAATAATGGAGAGATGGCGAATCTGGAGGCGACTGGCCCCCTTAGTAATCGCACATGACCCGGTAGAAAAAATTCAGGTGTATCGTATTCTATTATTGCGGGTTCATTCTTTGGGGACGGAGGTGGGAAGTGGGAGACTTTCTGTGGGGAATTGGGGGTGCTTAGACCACACAGTACACAGTTCAGTCCATACATGCAGGGAGATACACGGAAAAGTCACATCAGACTGTTCTGTGTATGAACAACTACCATCCAACCAACGTGCATGCTAACGATTGGCGTCTAGCCTACGTGGTCGTACACAACACAGTACCAACAGCATGAGATGAAGCACCGAATGAATTTCGAATCGAACGTCCTGCTGGCTTGCTGGACGTTGATCAGGGCCGTCGCGTTCTCGGCCTGTGGCGCCGTTAAGTTCTCGGCCTGGTGCAGAGTCGTTCCAACTGCCTGTCGGGCCTGCGTCGCCGTGCAATGTATGTACTTGTGCGACTCTTTCGACCCGGATTTCCGGTCTTTCGAAGCGGCCAGAAGCTAAACGGAGATGCCAAAAGGCTTGCTTTGCAAGATTTCAATTAAATTCGACCCATGTGGTTCCGTGCATAGTCGTCGATGGCGGGTGTGGGTGGATCTAGAGGATGGAAAAGGAGCTACAGTTGCTTCTAGGCGTGGCGAGTGCTTTTAATTCGATATTTCGAACAGGCGCCGTCCCTTGTCATGGCGGATATGGACTAGCACCCCATGCCCCAGCTTCCCCAGCGTCCCCCGTACGGAGTACTCATGTACTGCAGTCCTTGTACTGCAATGGGAGGAACCGTCAAAGATAACAGTAGGCGCGTAGATGTTCAGGGTTGGTATCTACATCATCGTGATGTAGAAAGCGTCCGTCGACTATCATAGAGGGCGAACATCAATCAGACTATAGAGCTAACAAAGAGATCTCCTGTTCTTCTGAGTCATTTCAGCAAGTTCGACTTCGTAGCTGGTACGAGTATTCCGAGATTCCTCATGTTCCCCATGCAAAGAAGATCTCCGCAATCTAGGCCAAGGAGAATTTCCACGAAGTCCCCATCTGCCAGAACATTATGCAACTGTTCGGTAGAAGAAAAGCTTAGATGTTGAAAAGGATTATTGATTTGTTGTTCTATCCAAGTATCTATCATCATTTTTCTTAGCTATTCAGGCTTTCAGCCCATCGTCGTGGATTCGGAATGAGATTCCGACAGGGACCCTCACACCCGCACGGGGCCTGGGAAAAAATCGCGGCAAAGGAATCCGTCGATCTGCTCTCGACTACATCACTACACCTAAATCGATCATCGAATGCATCTCTGTGGAAATTTTCCATTGAAGAAAATATTGAATCCGTCTACGGAGTACCTGGCGTGAACCGCTTAATGGTATCGTCTTCCTTGGGACCCAGTCTCCAAGTCGCCGCGCCTTTTAATGACCTAGTCCGTTCCAAAATCCAAATACCTGGCCACGAACATGCCCGTCACCATGGTCGATCACGAAAAGTACATTACACTGTATTCTCCAAGGACAGGAATCGGATAGTCCAGGCAAATCATCTCAAAAGAAGGTGTGGGAAGCTATTCCCAAGTCAGCCTCCGCATTCTGTCCTTCCGTATCGTTTGGGGTAAGGACTGGCCGCTGGCGAACTTAGTGCAATCCGCCAGTCAGCCCCCACAACTGACAACTGGGATGTCCCTCGTATGACCGTCCAAACCACCGTTGGAGAAAACTGTGTTCCAATGGATGAGCTAGCTTACCCCTGCTCTATCTCTCTTCTCATCTTCTTTTCTCTATCACAGTGTCTCGCGCTCGCGTTTTCTCTCTTCGTTGTCGCGACTAAAAATACAGTGCGCTGTCATCACACCACGAGTCATATGGTAAAATGAACAAACTGACTAGCCTTGCAAAGGCCAAGAAAAGAGACGAAACTGTTGAAGAGCCGAGGAGGTTCGTGCCATACTGCCAAAACGGTAGAATTTACATCTGAAATTGGCAAATCCGTCTCGCCCTTTTGAGGAAGGCCTACCTGCTCACAGACGTGCAGCATTATTTGCAGTGTAGCACAGCAGTTCATCTAGCAGTCTACCCTCAAGTCTCACACATAGGTAGGTAATAATTACGAAACTGTTCAGTCCAAGGATGTCAGACCACCTTACCCATCGCCCTACATATCCATTCAATGTATCCGACACACGGACCTATACGTGCAAGCAGCCAGCAAACGCAACGCGTGACGGTAGATCTTCTTCTTCGAGCGACGATGCACGCGATCACGTTGACGCAACACGAACCACTGTCCGTTGTTTTCAAACCATGCGAAAAAGTCGACACAACTCAAGTTGGTTTGACTGCGTGACACGCCGTAGCATGACATCAGGCCGTTGAGCCGCATTCGCAACGTCTCTCGTGAAGGCAGATCTGTCAATTAGTTCTTCTCGGACATGCTGAGCCGCAAGTGGATACTCTCGATAAATACGAAGGACTTGGTCGCGTGTCGTTCGGCGGAATCAGATGATCAGTCTCGAAATGGATCTTTTGAAAACTTCACGAGCAGTCAGTCCAGTAACGGTTTTTCCAAACGACATGCAGATTCCAGCGCCCGTCCAAGTCACTCGTGGAAGATCTGAGTGTAGGTAGTCGGAGAACTGGGTATCACGGCGATGCTCCCTTGGGAATTACTTGAGGAGCGGGGCATGCGCAGATATCAGAGCAGGGAGAGACGATCTTTCCAATATCCTAACGATGTGGATTTTGTTTACAGAACATAGATGACTCGAAGAACCTCCCTTCCTGATTCTACAAATACAAACATTATAAATTTATATGGAATATGAACCAATGCCTATCAAATCGCCGCCATAGCAACAGCATAAGTGGAACCTAAGTGAACAGTTATGCGATGCGTCAAAGCCATCATGAAATCCACACAGTGAATTTAAATACTTCAAAACCATACATTTGTGCCGCCTATATGCTTAGTGTAGTCATATCAATGATACAGACTGAATGCTTTCGATTGCGAGGTGCCTGGCTGTTCTGCTAAACAGTATTTTGAACAATTGATATCATAGAAGACAAATGCAACATACGCTTCACACAACGAGAATGTAAGTTTCATATTATTTTATAGTAAAATCTTGAATATCAAATAATATATAGGCATAATCACAAATTCAATAAATGCTGTGTTGCAATTGATTTCAGATATTTTCATGCTTTGTCTATTGAGTATAACGTTTGAATATACCACCACATCAAACATTTGCTGCATTTTATGGGGACCAAACAACCATCCCATACACTTAAAATATAGTTATTTGCATAATCAAATCAATATGACCATGTTGAATATTTCTTTGATTTCTAAATAAACTCCAGATATTCTCGTCTTTACATTTCTTAATCCTCGATACATGCAAACCGGGTACTACGGAGTACTTTGCTTCTCAAACGCCTCTACAATGACCAACATACACATCACTAGCATGCAGCAACAGGAACATTTATCTACTTTTCTACTCCGTCAAATGTTGTCTTGATCAATTGTATGTACATCATCTATGATCTATCAACATCACTTGCACCTTCCTCCCTATCCGTCGCGTCTCTGTCTGTATGTTCACGTCACGCCACGCGCGTTTGTACTAGCCGGTAAGGTGCGTGGCGTATTTGACTACCTAAAGTATGTGTCCCAGAGTCGCACAATGGAGACAAAACTTTCATAAAGCTCAATACTTCGCGTTAACAATACCTTTCATGCATCTATAGGACTATGTTTCGGAAACGGTGTGGCCTCTTGTTGATTTGACACCCTTCGTTGGGGGAGCCTAGCCTGCGGGGGATGAATGCCACGGGTTGTCCTTTGGTCGACTCTGAGGGTGTATGCAATTACCTTTTACTGACAAACAATAATGGGAGAGAAACGATAAAATTAGGTGATGAAATGATGCGAAAATTGAACACAGATGGGATCATCCGAGGACGCCAACCGGCCCGCGTACCCTCTCACGAACCGAGATCGGAAGATTCCTCCGCAAAAGCAACAGAGCACTGGCCAAGTTGGACCGCTTCCTTTTCGCGAAGGAACAATGCGTGACGGCAAGACAATGCAAGCTAGTGGAGCAATGTTAGCTGCATTGGATCCTGAATCATGCTCTATGCAGCGTGAGCTGTAATCCAGACCCTCACAAGCCAAGAAGGCGAACAGTCTTCCCAATAATGATCAACCTTGGATTCAAGCATACGCTTCTTCGTTAGCCTACATTTGATCGTATAAACTCATGTAGCGCCGTGAACGAGTCCTTTGGCGTAGCTTTCATATACTCCTCTCCGACATCGCCTTTTGACATTTTGTCTACGAGCTTCCGCCCAAGCCACCAAAGTTCCAAGCAGTGCTTCGTGAAACCGACGAATTGCGAATGGTCTATCTCCTCATTGGAGTTCATATCGTCCCAGAGATCTTTCCAACGGTCTAGCGCTCGATATAAACTTTGCGAAGAGCTTGACGATAATAAAGAGGTGCGTGCCACAAAGATCGCAGAGTTAATGGCTGACAAGGTGTTAGCGAATGATTGAAGCAACGTAGGGGGGTATGGGGCTTACCGAAGATGAGAAGAAGCATTGTCTTTGGATTCATCGAAGCGAATCGTAGATCGTCGGACCAATGCCAACCGTCTCGTAATAATGCCATCATCAGGCCGCACAAACTTCGAGAGGGCGACTGCGATGACTGACAAGCCACGCGTTTGAAGTGCGCGGCTGATGATGCCTCGAATAATGCGTCGGGATATGGGAGATCGCTCGACATCTCGGACAAAGTTATATGTGGAGGGTTGTTGAGGAATAAGACGATCATGGAATCGACGACGAACATTCCAGCGACGAGTCTAGGGAGTTAGGTATATTTGTTAGCCGCTAAACGGATGTACAACGTACCTGATCCTCGTCTCTTCGGCGATGAAAACGTCCCACTCGACGTCTACAGGACGATGCACGCGTCTGATCTCTGTAAATCCCAAAGACCTCATCGATGCGATGAGTTCGGGGTGTCGATTAACTCGAATCCTCCGTCGCGTTGGTTCATCATTGGAGCTGGCTAGAAGAGAATGCATGACTTGTGCAGCTTGAACGATCTCGATTACTCTCACGTCGTTCGGAGACCCGCCATCGGCGACAGCCTGGCGCAGTTGCCTGAAGATGTATTCTTCGCTCAATACGTAAAACTCACGAGCAGCGAGAGCATCGTCGCGGGGCGTGAGATGCGCCGATCCAGATAGAGCGAGTGCAAGGACGAGGGGTAGACTTGCGGTCTCCAAGTCAAACGTTGGGCGATGGATGAATGCGAAATGTGGATGGAAGAAGGTGAAGTAGGCTGAAACGAAGTCCGTAATGTTGTCTAAGGTAAATACTGTTCTCGCCAAACGCGTCGGGAATATTCCTTCCGATAATGGGAGCGCCGCAGGTGTTCTGCTGTATTCTTGGGCAAGTATGGATTGGACTTCTGAAGCGCGATCTTTGCGCACAGGTTCGAGGTTGTATTCTGATGGGGTGATTCCAAAATCCAAACGTTCGTCGTCTGTGGTAAATGGAAAATAATCCGAGATTCCAACGTCACTAGGTTGATCGAATACATCATTGGACAATTGATGTAGCCATGGAAAGTGTACAACAGCTTGGACACGTGCTCCCACGGCAGCCATCGCGTCTGTGACAGTCTCGAAAGAAGGGTCGGTGTAGTTGAGCAAAAATACCATGGCAAGATGATGCGAGGTTGTGGTCGCGGATTTTGTGGACGTTTCTGTACCATGCTTTGCTGCTACCCTGTCCAGGCCAATTACTGTGTCTCTATGACTAGCATGCGTGTAGGAGCACGTGATCTTGCTAATCAAGCAGGAATTGCAGGGCTGTGTAGCGGAACATTGTAGTTTTTTGATATGGCAATGGTCGCAGGAGCGTGGCTTCGGCCCTCTCTTGAGTGGTGAGACCACTTGACCATTCGAGCAAGTCCTGGAGTGCCTTCGAAGAGCGTCACTGCATTTTCGTTAGAGCAGACTTTTAAATGAGCCCAGTATCTCAGGAACATTACTGGCGTTTGAAATTCTGACTGCAATGAGTGCATTGGTAGGCTCGAATGATGGAATCTGGCGCAGACCATTAGTGATCTTTTCCAATCTGTCCATGAAGATCGCTCACGCGTTGCATCATGACGTCGTAAACGGCTTGATGTTGCAAACTTCTTTTCGCAAATGTGGCATCGATATTCTACGACAGCCTTCTCCCCAATCGGTGTAGGCTTGCGCATTCTCTCATTGGCAATGTCTTCAGGTCATCCACGATGGTTGGGGAATTGTGGGAGGGTTTCTTCCGACAAGAGGGATATCACCGGGTGCGCTAAGCCGGTATAAGTACCACACTAATCCTGAACAGGACATATATACCCATATATTGATGTATCAAGGTCAATGGTACGTTGATTTCTTGACAACATTTGTATTCTTGCTTTCATTCTCCAAAACAATGTCTAAAATACCAAGTGCGGTCAATTCCTTAAGATTTCATGGTAGGGACCTTCATCGCCAACTTCCATAACCAAGATTGACCGTGTAGTATCTTTCACTCGACCGCCTCTCATTTACTCAGCCCGAACATACTCGACCCGAACGTACTCAACAAAACCGCAAAAGGAACACAGAAACGAAACACTTCCTTCAACGATACACGCGAAGACGAACGTAGTCGAGCATGTACTGTGAGTATACTAGGAGCAACGAAGGTTTATCAAACCTGACAGCCCTTTAGTACAAGCCTTGACCAAATCGTAAATTGGGCACGCCAGGGCTCATTATGGCCTCTATCATTTGGCCTCGCCTGTTGTGCTGTTGAGATGATACACACATCCATGCCTCGATATGACCAAGATCGATTGGGGATCATTTTCCGTGCGTCACCGAGACAAGCCGACGTCATGATTGTTGCAGGAACGGTCACGAACAAGATAGCCCCGGCGGTACGGTTATGCTATGATCAAATGCCTGATCCTAAATGGGTGATTAGCATGGGGAGTTGTGCGAATGGGGGTGGATACTATCATTATAGCTACAGTGTAGTCAGAGGCGTTGACAGAATTATTCCTGTTGATGTGTATATCCCAGGCTGCCCGCCCACGGCAGAAGCGCTGTTATATGGCATCTTCCAGTTGCAGAAAAAGATGAGGCACACCAAAGTAACCCGCATGTGGTATAGGAAATAATGGACTCGCAAAGGGGCACTGCCCAAGGACGACGAGTTGCCTATGTGTGAGGTACCACAAACTAGGGTCACGTTTAATTCGGGGCCCTTAAGATTTTCGAAATCAAAAGGAGTGATTTCGAAAGAACGGCCTGCTGCTTCGAAAATTTGTAGAAACAAAATGTTCAATTCTTCATCGTGGCAGTGCTTAGAAAGGAAAAGAAAGCTATTTACATCAATTCATATCCCGTATTCCCGTGATCGTACATAAGAAACCCCATGACTCATATAAAAAACCTGGTGACGCCTCCTACTCGGTTTCAGTAGGCTCCGCTTCGCTACTTGTAGTCTTGCTAGACTTCCCTTTAGATGTACTGCTGGACTCGTCTTCATCCGTTGCACTTGATTCGGCTTCACCAGTCTCTGTGGCTTCAGCCGAGGCGTCGGTGATCGTTTTGGCTTTGTTGTTCTTGGTGGCGGAAGACTCAGTGGCAGTGGCCTCGCTCTCATCTGTCTCGGTCGCAGAGCTTTTGGATTTACCCTTAGATGTGCTGGTGGACTCGGATTCCTCTGTCGCTGAGGTTTCTCCAGTCTCGGTCGCTGAGGTTTCTCCAGTCTCGGTCGCTGAGGTTTCTCCAGTCTCGGTCGCTGAGGCCTTGCCAGTCTCGGTCGCTGAAGCCTCACCAGTCTCGGTCGCTGAAGCCTCTCCAGTCTCCGCCGCCGATGTCTCCCCAGTCTCTGCTGCAGACGACTCTCCAGTCTCGGTCGCTGAAGCCTCGCCAGTCTCGGTCGCTGAAGCCTCGCCAGTCTCGGTCGCTGAGGCCTCGCCAGTCTCTGTCGCAGACGATTCTCCCGTTTCTTTGGCCGATGACTCTCCAGTTTCGGAGCCTGTAGCAGAAGCTTCAGCGCTGCCACTTCCTGTTGCTGAAGCTTCTCCGCTTCCTGTTGCCGAGGCTTCTCCGCTTCCTGTTGCTGAGGCCTCTCCGCTTCCTGTCGCTGAGGCCTCTCCACTACTCTCTGTTTTGGTAGCCTTGTCTGGGCCAAATGGTACACAGCTAGTGAATAAAGGAAACATTGATTGATAAACATCCTTTTTGTGGTCCGGGTTCATCTGATTTACCTTTCCAGCATTGATGTTGATATTCATGCCAACCTTGTTAGTGACTTGGAGTGCGAGTGTCTTGGTTGTGTTGCAGACCCCGTCGTCATCAGTCAAAGTCTTGAGATCAGAGGTGAGGTATGGAATTCTGGTATCAATTGCTGCTTCGTAGCCCCACTCTGCATTGACATTAGTTTGCTGATACATTTTTCCGGAAAAGTGAGCGTGATAACTTACTGCCAAAGACCTCCGCTTTCATAACAAGACTCCACTCCATCCAAGCTTTGAGCGTGCCAGTAATGGTGCCGTTGAAATCAGGCTCGACCTTTTCAAAGTTCGGGTCCCAGCCACTATTCTCGTTTTTGCTCGTGTCTAGCATATTCATATACAGCTTGGCCTTGTTGTCAATGTGTCCTTTAGCCCCCACAGTGAACCCGCAGTCTCCTTTCAACTCGTCTGCGCCGACATGTACACCAATAACGAGAAAGGGTCCCAGTTCAAGGAGGTTCTTGATTCTGAATGGAGTGAAACCGATCTCGATCTCAGGATTCATCACAAAATCAAGACCATTTCCGAGCTTGCCCTTTGCTTTGATGCTCAACTTGAAGAATGCTTCCATACCTTCCGGTCGAACTGACACCTCGACCGTTTCGGGTTCGACCAGGTCTTTGACTTCTTCGATGACTTCTGGAACTGCAGAAACGATTGGTGCGGCAACGGATTTGACTTCTTCTACAATAGGAGCAACTTCTGATTTGACCTCCTCGATGACAGGAGCGGCGACGGACTCAATCTTATCGAAGATATCACCAAAACCGAAACGCTTGGCCTTGGGTTTTCCGAAGATGCTTATTCCACCCTTGGACTTGACTTCCATATCTGAGATGAGAGCGCCTCTGGCGTAAAAGTCGACGTCAGCTTTGATCGCCATGCCCTGAGTGATCCTGGAATCCTCTGGAAAGTCAAAGAGATTGCTGTTGAACGATTTGTCAAAGTCCATCTTGTTTTCCTCACGCTTCAGGCGTGCATGGGCGTCAGTGATTCGTTCGAGATCGACGTCTTCGGTTCCAAACTTGATGCGATACTCGGATCGCTGAGCAAGGTGAGTCCATGGCTTTTCTTCGACAGCAAATTCACTGGTCAAAGCACCATCGTCGAATTTAACGCTGTTCACGATGTAAGTTGCTCTGGCGTCACCTTGGTAACACTGGTCCGGCTCGGTGACAATGGTTAACTTCCCAGGGGAATTGTTGGCAGGCTCCCACTTGCTTCTGGCGTATTTGTAGGAATCGGGGTCGTGGAATCCAAAGGCAATCCGTTTGTTGTCTCCTTTTCCGCAATCATGGAATTTCAATCGCGTGGCAAAGTTCTTGAGGGGCAGAAGGAACTCGTTGTCGTTTGGCCTGGACAAGGTGAGGTTCACGACAATTAGACGCTGACCCGCTGATATATCTCAGTTAACAAAGCCCGTACAAAATCATGAAGTGCTTATCTTACCAAGAGTGGCCCAGGAAAAGGTTTCCACGTCCAGCGGATTGAATACAGCATTCCCAAGGTCTTGACGACGTATAGGTTGGCCATGGGTTATTGCACGGATATCGTCCACTGGGTGAAGTTCTACAGGTTCTGGACCACGCCTTTCCTTGGACTTGTGACGAAATAGATCACCGAAATCTTTACCCAAAGACTTGACGTTCAACGGTGAAGCATTGGTTGTTAGAACCGAATTCAGTGCCAAAGTGGCAGACAGAAGACAGCGAAGGCCGAACATGATGTCCAAAATGGAAAAGACCGTACAGAACTCGATCAAAAGAAGGATTTATGGAGATCGCATAAGATAGATAAAGTTAAAACGTCGCAATGTGTGAATAAGGTAGCTATAGAGTGGGTACTCACGGATAATCGGCTCTTTCTTATACATTATATCTACGCCCCAGTTCAAGGCCACTCCGTTGAGGAATGGCCGCTGTTCATGATACCGTATCCTCATTGTGAACATTAAGGTTGGCAAGCGCAGAGGATCAATCGCCTTGACTTTCATAACACCTGTCCGAATTTGGGTAAGCTCATCCTACAATTCAGACTGGACACCTTTTCGGAATAGTCTGTGCCTGAAAGGATTTATGCGCGGAGGCGTTGGGTTGCTGGAATCAGAAGGGCACAGCTTGAAACTGTACTCGGAGTGCAAAATGTGTATGAAACAAAAGTATGGATTGGGTACCCAGGCGCGGCGAGACCGATTTATGCCAAACGTCAATCACAACCTTATGATCTTCATTCACATATAATGTTAGGCTTAAGGACTATTATTTTGCGCGCGCACCGTTATTGATCCTACAAGGCAAAGAAGAGGTGATGATGAAGGAGGCATGGGGGCGGAGTAAGCGACGCAATGAGGATTGGTGGCCAGTTCGGTGCCGATTTGGTGGCTTACGATACACAAAACTTACCGATCATCGAAATGGCTGCGTTGTCAAGAACTTCCATCAAAAGCCTTCAAAAGCGGCGAAGATATTCATGAGCGTTCGGAGAATTGCTGTTGTTTTCGTAGTTGATGTTTACTCTACGCGCTTACAAACCAAGGTCAAGATTATCGCGAAATGATCAGCAAACAAGAGTGTAATGGTTACAATAAGCTATGTCTATGTATACATGACTGTATACTGCAACTGAATTTCAGTCGTTTTTAGTGAAATGTTTGCTGCCTTGCTCAATGCCATCTCGATATGCGTTTTCGAAGAGTATTTGAGCTTCTGTCAACCTGCTCGTATGCGCTGACCCACCCGCCGTCTTTCGAGTTCAATGTGTAACAACTTATTTCCGCTCATCAGGTGCCCAAATTTGGTTTCGAAAGTATGGAATCATCTGTTGAAACTATTTTTAGGATAAAAATCCCCTTTCGTAACTGGGAGTGGATCTCTCTGGACAGGAACCTATTTGGGACGAATCACGTGATAGTGAATCGCGCGCAGGTTTGGAGTCTTGTAAAAATACACCTAAACATGTTCTGTCTAAGCAATAGAATAGCTTGTTAATTCTGAAGTGCAGTAACGAGAACAACGTAAAGTGCGAAATTTCATTATTATTTCATTTCATTGCCTCTTCTATCATATGCAGGCGCAGTTATACGCTGCCTACCTAGGTATCCGTAGAGAAATAAAAGAAATATACTCCTAGTCTTGTTTTTTATAGATATTTTACTGCGTTTAATCCAGCTAACGATGAAGCTGAATCTGTAGAGGTATGAGCTCCCGACTATGACGTTCAGAGATGGGTCAGGTGACCAGACCCTGTAAACACTTCCACAGGACATCTCCATTGATGGACATCTCGAAATCGCCGCAAAAGGGCGTAAAAGGTCTTTTAACAATACATATATTTTCCGTGTGAGATGAGGGACCCGAGTTCACGAACAAGGCACTACAAGGCCAAGAAGGCCAGTCTGTGGCGCAGTCGTGACACGTAGACAGTCGTGAATTGATGTGACGACATTCCACAACAATGATCGATCGGAAGTTTTTTCAACATTAGGTCCCTATGTTCAGAGCATTTGCCATCATTATTTAGAAATTGGCGCCTAATTCAAATCTACAAATAGAATTGCCGATCGACTAGATATTGGTGACATACTACAATCCAGGAGAAAAGGCTTGCCTCATTTTTTCTGCGCCAAATTCGATGAACTTGTACAATACTACTTAGGCCGACACAGGCGCGCCTTGAAATTGAAAATAGCAACAGGAGAATGTATCCGTTGGTAAGAAAACTTCTAGAAACTGTTGTAATCGTTTTCGCATAACAGAGACTCTAGTATATCAGTCGACAAGGTCCAATTAATCCCTTATCTCTCTACCCCAAAGCCTGCATTTGGCACTGAAATATGTCAGCTACTTAGCTAATTAACTCTATAATTTTTATAGAATTCTTACCATTTGCCAGTAGACGCCCTTGTTCTGGAGCAAATCTTTATGGTTGCCTTCTTCGACCACTCGGCCTTCGCTCATGACAAATATGATGTCCGCGCGTTGGATCGTAGCCAACCTGTGAGCGACCACTATCATTGTACGGCCCTGACAGGTAGCCTCAAATATCTTTTGAATGTTCTTCTCTGTCTCTGAGTCTAGATTGGAGGTCGCCTCATCTAGCAGTAAGAGTCTTGGATTGCGTATCAGAGCGCGGGCAATGGAAAGCCGTTGCCTCTGTCCTCCAGAAAGAGCGATGCCGTGTTGGCCGACTAATGTGTCGTAAGTTAGAGGAAAGGATGCAACGAAATCGTAGAGGTCGGCCTCGCGACAGACGCGATCTAGATCGGAATCCGTAACCGTTTGGGGGTCAACGCCCATCAGTATGGTCTCTCGGATCGTGCCAGTCATGATAGAGGACTCTTGCGATACTAAAGAAATCGCGTGACGATATGTGTCAAGCTTAATCTTTGAGATGTCTTGATCGTCGAAAGAAATGCTACCGGATTGTGGCCGGTAAAATCTAAGCGCAATTAGAATGGTGTGCATTCTTTCTAGCAAGAAACACTTACCGCTCAAGTAGGCTGATTATGCTCGACTTCCCGGATCCTTTGGGCGAAATGTTAGTAGATAGAATCACGACAACGTGAGATGACGGCCTACCTGATGCACCAACGATTGCCGCAAATTGATTCCTCTCCACCTAGGGAGGGTCAGCTACATCTCAAAAACATTTTTAACACACTTACAGTAATGTTTAATCCACGAAGAACAGACACGTTTCTCGTGGGATATGTAAACCAAACATCTTTTAATTCGATTCTTGGACCTTCTATACCCTTCTCGTTGTTGGGGCTCTCGAGCGGCATACCTTCTTCAACCTGATCATTCGTCCGCAAAGAAAGGATACGTTTCATTGCGCCTAGCGCTTGAGCAATATCTGACTCTATTAGATATTGTGGGTGATCAAGAAAGACTCGAAGCACTCACTGGGCCCGAAGCTCAACCATTGACCAGCAGCTAGACTTCCCTGCACTACTGCAAAGTACACCACCACTAGATATCCTCGGTCAGACACTGTTGACTTTTGGGAGACTGGGTTGATCACTTACAATAATCAAAAGGCCACAGCTCGTATTGAGAAAGCAAATTCCCACCGTACCACAAGCTAAAAGCCATGCAAAGTAGGGCGACACTGTCACTGAATGCAAACACCAACGTCGTCCACATGGCGCTACGAAGTGCACTTTCCACATGTGCAGCAAGTAATCTTTCATATCGTTCACAAATGAAAGATTCCATGACTAGCGCACTGACAGTTCTGAACGCCCCGATCGATTCAACAGCAAACTGAGAGGAGTCGCTGAACACTTTCCAGGTTTTCTTTTCGAATTGTCTTTCCAGCCTCACTCTCATGAAGCCAGCAATTATCATGATTGGGGTTGTTGTGCACACGACAACGACGCTCAGTCTCCAACTGAAGTAAAAGGATATGGTTACGCACCCAATGACGTTAAAGACACATGTAAGCATAGATGCAGCATTGACTCCAAGCAACTGTTGTAACTGCGAAGGATCATTCGCTACGCGGGCACTTAGAACCCCTGTCGAGTTGTCTTCTTCATCGAAGAACGCTATGGGCTTCCGAAGAATGTTTTCAAAATATTCGGAACGATATTGGGCGACAATATTCTGCGAGCGTATTTGTCAGATAATTCATATTGGCTCGAGCAAAAAACATGGCATCTTACAAAGGAGACTGAATTGCATGTCCAGCCTAGGGCGAAATAACATACACCGACGCAACAAGCGAGGACAACGGTCATGAGGCACCAGAATTTTGTCTCGTCAATCAGGTACTCTCCGTAATAGGAGAATACGGATACTAGTTTCGCGAAAAGGTAAGACTGTACGGGAAAGGCAGCTGTTGGTAAACTAATGATTAGCAACTAGTGATGGCATTGACTGTTAGGACCGCAGCGACTTACCTCCAGCTCCGGCGGAGGCAAGGAGTATAAAAAGATACCAATACCAGCCACCCCTTTGTTCCAAAATCATTCGACCGAAGATCAGCATGGCGCGGAAGGTCTTTGAGGTGGCACTGTTCAAAGGAAGGCAGTCATTGCTCACTGTCGCGTTGCAAGCAGGCCATTCCTTTGCGTCCAACGCATCCACATATGCGGCAAATGATCTCCTGTCCCCAGAGTCGTCGCCGGTAGACAGGCGTTGGGCATTCAAGAGTCGGTGGTACACCCCTGCTCGGTTCTTCATGAGCTTATCATGGCTACCTTGCTGGACGACCATGCCCTTCTGAAGTACAATAATGTTGTCAGCCTTTTTAATGGTAGAGAGGTTATGAGCGATGACTATTGTAGTTCGTCCTCGGGCCGCGCGATCAAGAGCAGCTTGGACTTTGCGCTCTCCACGAACATCGATCGCGCTCGTCGCCTCATCAAGAATGACAATAGAAGGTCTCTTGATGATGCAGCGAGCGATGGCAAGCCTTTGTCGCTGTCCCCCACTGAGATGAATCCCCGCGTCACCGCAGTTGGTGTCATATCCCTATAGAGTCTTAATTTGTTACCCTTGGGTCGGAGGAGATGTAGACTTACATGCGGCAAGCGTGAGATAAAGTCATGGGCAAATGCTAACAGAATGAGCACAATTATCACCACGACAGCTTGATAGAAGCGTCTTACCTTCCTCACAAGCTCGGATAACGAGGACTCGCTTCGTGTCCTCAGATTCCCTTTCCCACTGCGTGCCAATGAGACCATGGCATACGTTCTCAAATATGGAGGCATTGAACAGCACTGGTTCTTGCTGTACCAAACCAATCCGCGATCGCCACCACTTGAGATCCAATTCGTGAAGATCGTGTTCCCCGAATTTTATATGACCGTTTCGAAGTAGATTGATCTAAAACGATAAGTACGATACAGAGTAAGGCATCGAAGCACTATGGATTAGGTACATACCACCGGATCCTCATTCGCACCGACACCTAACTCGTACCACCTCTGAATCAAGGCAACTATCGTGCTTTTGCCAGACCCAGATTGCCCTACGATTGCTGTACTCTTTCCACAAGGGAACGTTAACGTGACATTCTTGAGGACACGCTGATCCGGCCTCCCTATGTATGTAAAATTGACATTCTCAAGTCTAATATCATTTTCTTCGAATCTCTCGGTGATTGTCGTGCCTTCGGATTGTGCCTTCGGGGCATCAATCACCGCGAAAATGATTCCAGCAGCACTGGCTGCGCGTCCTTTGGGCAAAAGTGAGTAAAATGATTCACAACAACATAGGTTGACGACCTACCTAATGCGGATAGAGGAGCAGAGATGGAGCCTACCGACATGACAATCGTTAGGATGGATGTGATAACAACAAGTAACACTTCGACATCCGTGATCTTCCTCGTCACATACAAATGAACTGCCCACCAAAAACAGAGCGCAGCAGTTCTTGATTACTTTAGTTAGCGTATTGAGAGCGGAAACCGGAAGACTCTTACCCATAGATAGCAAAGAATGCTTGATATGCGTCAGCCGAGTTTTATCTCAATAGAGTAAAGTGAAACTCACCAAGTGCAGACTGAAGTGCGACCCACCAAGACAACTTACGTCCTGATATCACGGCCTGATCGATTGATCGGCGGTAGGTGTCCGCCAGCCTCTTCTCCGATCCATATGCTGCCACCATGCGAATGGATGAAATTGTCTCGCTAGCTGTGGCTGCACCCTCGCGATCAGACTCAGATATCTGTTCCCATGTCTTAACGATGTACCGCAGTGTGATAGCATAAGTAACAACGACGAATACAAGACCAGACACGGTAACGAGAGCCAGTAGCCAGCTGTAGATAAAAGCGACCACTATTGCCGAAATTATCAGCGATACATTCTGTATTAGCATACACAGTTTTTCTGATATTCCATCTTGAACTTGACTCGCAGTCAAGGTGATTGTAGCTGCAGTGTGCCCTGGAGGTATATTGTCAACAGTAGAGACTGGTAGTCTCATTAAAGAAGTCAAGTAATCAAGTCGGAGAGCGGCGGATATTTGAAGCCCGGTATGCCGGAAGCCGAGCTGTGCGTATCAATATTTGATGTTGGAGATGGTGTTGATGGCGTACTTACCACAGCATAGTATACAAGAATGAGTCTTGCAACAAAGATGTATAGCATAATAAGACTAAAGAAGATTATTTAGAGCAGTGACAATGCTCATGGTAGGATACACTTACACATTTTTCGCAATTTCTTCACGAAACTTCTCTGGTGTCCAGCCAGTATAGTAACGAGCGTAGAATGCCGTAAATATGTCGACTAGTCTTGCTGCATTGCATTCAATTAGATATTTTGCGGTCACTGGAGTTGCTGGAATACCTACCGAAGATCAAATTCATCAAGGGAATGGTGACACCAGCTGCCGCCGAGGCAAATGCTCCCGAGATAAGCCAGGTACGCTGCAGCGGAGTCGCGTACCAAAAGGTTCTCTGTATCCAGGTCAGTTTCGTACAACATCTTCTTCGTCCAAGACCATCTTCGCCTACTAAAAATTGCCTTGAGGATTGCATCTTGGCTCGACCTTCACCCATCTTGTCTCACGCTTCGAAGAAAACTTGTGTACGTTTTAGAAAACGCCTTGACAGTCGGAAACTTATCGACATGATGATTTAGGATCGACTTTGACGCGTAAGTCAAAATCCCGCCTGTTGTAAAGTGCTTCAACGGTGTGCTCGAAGATTGATGAGTTGGAGATTGGGACGCGGTCGAAGGATGAGAACAATAATCTGGCTGAATGCGCCGCGTCAAAATTCCCAGGGTGATGCAAGTTGTGTACCTTCGGAATATTCGAGCGGCTTATCATGTTGAGGTTTACAGGTGTGAGAACGGTTGTTGTGAATGGGTCAATGAGACGGCCACTAGTGTCGGCAGTTGATTTAATACTAGGAAGAATAAGGCCGGAATACAAACGTTAATGGCTGTATCTGATACATGTTATGTACCCTTGTACCGGAGAGGTAGCACGGCAGTCGTCAATTAATAGTGAACTAGTGGTCGTTCAACATCCTGGTTTAAATCTATTGGCCAATCTTTACATGGTTTCCCCTCTCGAAGAGCCGCACAGAAGGTAATTTCCCCGACCGTCCCTACATGTCCACATGCGCAATAACCAATGGAGAACCCTATACATTCTGTTTGGGGTAATCCCTATCTCTACGGCTGATCATCATGAATATCCGCAATCATATCGCGCACGATATCACATAGCTCCTTCACTGTATCCTTGTCTCGGGGGATCGTGTGGCCTTTGGCATGATCGAATAAAAATGCCCTATCTGAATCGCACACATTAAAGAGGGCCATGGAGCCGTCGAGGTAGGGATCTAATGAGCCGACTTTGTTGTGCGATGACGCGATTAGTGATGGTCGTCGTAACCGATTCCGCATGAGCGTAATTACTTACTGACATGGCACGATGCCACTGGAAGTGTTAGGTCTGTCTCGTCCGATAGCATAAAACCTTGAAGATCTGGCTTTAGTGGAGGCCAGCCGCCAAAGAACATAGCCAACTTGATAGAGTTGCTGTACCCGCCGCGTTCCCTCATCTCTTTCTCCTTCAATATCATGGTTCCTGCGATAAGCGCGCCCTCCGAATAGCCAATGACTATGCTCCTGTCAGCTTGGACCACTAATTTCACATGAAGCTCTTACCTCCATCGAAAGGACCCTCCTTGTCTATGATGTCTCTGAGATAATTCAAAGCCTCTGTGGCTGTCACGGCTAGTCCTTCGGACGAGCCCAGAGGATTGAAGAGCCGCAAAGTATCTTCCGGCGATGCACCAACGGGAAAGTCGCGTATTCTTTCGAGGCCGTCTACACCCTCAGGATCTTTGCTTTCTTCTAAGAATCGGAAAAAGGGAGGTCCGCCAAAGAAGTCCTCATACCCCGGTGGGGGAACGGCCTCATGTTGCCCATGGATGAAATGGAAGCTAGCAGTTCCATCGCTTTCCAGTTCGTTCACGATTGGAGCTTGGATTTAAGTCAGGAAAGTATTTTATGCAAATTATCAACACGCACCGAGCTGAACTCGAAACTTCTGCAGCGACATCAGCAAGCGAATCTTTTCAATTTAGGAAGAAGTACCTACATCACTATTTCCAAATGCGCCTGCAAGGCACAAAAACTTCATGATTTCAATGATTTTCCAATTCAAAAAGACGTCGCTTGAAATGGTTCAGCCAGTTTCAGCAGTACATCAATGAGACTAAATAGAAATTTTCCAAATGTCTAGTCCCGATATCAAGATCATCATAAGAAAGCGTTATAAGCTGATTTGCTCAAATGCATCATTCTCCCCCTATTGTGCACCTGACGGGAAAGATTCTTTCACATGAGGGCGGTTTTGACGCCCGGGATGGCTATATCAAGATCTGTTCCAGTTTCAATGCTTTGAAACCACGACGTAATATAGTGCTGTGTACATTGATATCACTAGATTGTACAAGGCGAGCAGGAGAACCGGTAGATTGCCCGGCATCAAGGATTTGTCTTTGTACGACGGCATGCTGGCAGAGCTCTACTTGATAGAATCGGCAATAGGCGTTTGCTTGTAATATATGCACGAAACATCCGTAGAGCAAAATGTGATTGGCTGAGAGTAAAGCTCACAATATTCTACAAAGTCCATTTTAGATTATTGCCCTTTGAACTCACGTCACAATAGTTTTTTTTCAAGGGAATCTCTGCCCGGGATATGATAACAGGTACCCTTTGGGCGTTAGATCGGCAAGTACTGCTAGAGACATGAACCTCGCGGTGCTCCTGTCGCCCTTTTCCCGCAAGTCTAGACCGAGGGGACACTGGCCTCCAGTTACTATAAAATGTCTACAATCTGCCTCAGATAAAGCCCAATGAAGTATTGATTGATCATTGTTGGGTTGATATTAAGAGAAGCCATGTCACCTTCATTCAAATCTTGATCATAAACTTTGATATCTAATAACTACAAAATACATATCGTCATTGTACCTGTCATGAACCATGCTGCCATAAGGTGTGATCGCCACTTTCCCCTGAAATTGCTCAATCTCAACAACGATCTGCCCCGTCTAATCTTTAAGGCATGTCGTCTGTGCCTGGTAATGGTTGAATTTATCACCTTGCTCGTCAGTGGACCATTCGGAGACGTGCACCGAGATTATCAACATTGGTCCCAGGCAGAAGATAATATAGAGAAAGAGGAAGCTTTTGAGATGAGCTCCGCTTCCTACGCGCGGTCAATTTCTGATTAATTGTAATCGATTGTCGGAGACGGACTTTTCGGCCGGACGGTCCTCACATTCCTAAACATGAGAAACCGGGAAAATTCGTAATCCAGACCGGTCGATGTTGAGAACCGGGTGAAGATGTGAGGTATAATCATGCGACGTTAAACTTAAAGGCGGTAGGATCCTTGATTTATGCTGTGTAAAACTCATCCTTGGTGTTCCATCTTCATTGTTCCAATCCAAGGCAGCTATGCTTGTCTTTTGAAAGCACTGATCTCGACCTCAACAACAAAGCCATGGCTCCTGGCCGAATGATACTCGCCGAGGTGCAGAATGGGTGTCGCGGTGAGCCTCATCCGAATGGAGCCAATGGTGAGCAGCAGATCAATGAGGAGATCAATGGGTTCAATGAACTCAACCCGACAAATGCTCATTCAGAAGATCGCGGTTCGCGTGAGGGCTCTTTGGAGCCCTTCCAAACCGAGCAGTCCAGTGATCTGGACTCAGTCAATGGAATCGAAACCCCTCCTAGCGATTTCGATTCAACGGCGTCGCTTCCACCGCCAAGAGTAGAATCGAGGACTGAAGCTAGTATGCCTATTGCTGTCATCGGCATCGCAGTAAGGGCAGGGGCTGCGTCAACAGCGGATGAGTTTTTCGAGATGATTTCTAGGGGTAGAAGCTCATGGTCACCTGAAATACCCCCAGAAAGATTCAACAATGCAAGCTTTTACCATCCGAATGCAGGAAAGTTGGGCAGCGTCAACACCAATGGAGGCTCCTTCATACAACAAGACATCACCAAGTTCGACGCCCCCTTCTTCAGCATCACGGAACTAGAAGCAACGTCCATGGACCCACAACAACGTATCCTTCTAGAATGCGCATACGAAGCCTTGGACAGTGCTGGTGTTCCCAAACATGACACTGTTGGCAAGGATTTTGGCGTCTTCATCGGTGCAGGCTCACCAGAATACGAGTTTGATCTATTTAGAGATTCAGAGACTCAACCAATGTTTCAAGCAACAGGTGGGTTCAGTTTGAAATAATATTCCATGTCGTCTAACAACTTGCAGGAAATCATCTTGCTATGCAATCGAATAAGATCAGCCATTTCTTCGACTGGCGAGGTCCAAGTGTCACCATGGATACAGCGTGTTCTTCCTCGTTGACTGCAGTGCATTTTGGATGCCAAAGTTTACGAAACCGCGAGTCTAGTGTCGTTCTGGTAGGAGGGTGCAACCTCAACATCATACCTGAGTATTTCATCAATTATTCTACATCTAGGTAAGCATTATTGTGTCATGGCGTGCCAACAATTAATGAACAATCGAAATTGTTAACATCTGCTAGACTCTTGGGTGATAGTGGAAAGTGCTTTTCGTTCGATGCTCGTGGGACTGGATATGGCCGAGGCGAAGGCTGTGGCATGCTTCTGCTCAAGCCATTAGATCAAGCATTGAGGGACAACGATTGTGTACGAGCAATCGTTGCTGCCAGCGGCGTAAACCAAGATGGTTACACTCCGGGTATCACTATGCCAAACGGGGAATCCCAAGAAAAGCTGGTCCGCTCGATATACAAGAATGCAGGTCTTGATCCAACCTTCACTGGCTATGTCGAAGCCCACGGCACAGGAACGAGAGTAGGTGACCCTATCGAGGTAACTGCATTACACAATGTGTTCAATGAAGGTCGAACCAAGAAGAACCCCCTCTTCCTCGGATCCGTAAAGTCCAATATCGGCCATTTGGAATCAGCATCTGGAATCCTCGCAATGATCAAGACAACAGTAATGCTAGATAGGGGGTTCATCCTGCCAAACTATGATTTCAAAGTCGGAAACCCTCGCATACCATTCGATGACTGGGGTCTTAAGGTACCAGTCAGACAGCTGCCTTGGCCCCGTGGAAAACGATTTGCCAGTGTCAACAACTTTGGATTCGGTGGGACAAATGCCCATATTGTAATGGAAAGGCCGCCCATGCGACAAAACCACAATAATGGCGCTGCTTCTTCGAAAGAAGCCCCTCGCAAACGTTTGTTTATTCTTTCAGCAGCCGATAAGGCAGCTTGCATATCAATGATGAGCAATCTTGGAGTGTATCTGGAACAGAGGCCAGAAATGTTCCAAAGAGATCTCATGAGTAAAGTAGCCTATACGTTAGGTCAACGCCGATCACTTCTACCATGGCGCGTAGCGATACCTGCCAGTGAGTCTTTCGAACTGGTGGAAAGGATTTCCAATGGAACAATCAAGCCCGTGAAAGAGACAGGCCACCCCATTAGAGTTGGTTTTGTCTGCACAGGACAAGGAGCACAATGGTGGGCAATGGGGAAAGAACTCTACAGTAGCTATCCCGTGTTCCAAGAAACGATCGATGTCGCAAGTCAAACGCTGCAGGGAATCGGTGCGCAGTATGATCTGATCGAAGAACTGAATCTGGACGAGAAAACTACGCGCATAAACCAGGCACACATCAGTCAGCCATCGTGTACGGCTATACAATTGGCAATCATAGATCTACTTCGATCTTGGGGAGTAACACCAGCTGCTGTAGTCGGCCACTCATCTGGCGAGATAGCAGCAGCTTACGCGGCCGGGATCTTATCAGTAGAATCCGCAATGATCATTGCCCATCATCGTGGTCGACTCATCCCAGTCTTGAAGGAAAGACATCCCTACCTCGATGGTAGTATGTTGGCTATTGGCTGCGGATATGAAGATGTCGAGGATACTCTTTCATCTATCACCAACGGAAAAGCTCGAATCGCATGCTACAACAGCCCTCAGAGTCTGACTATATCTGGAGATTCCTCGGCCATAGCTGAAATCCAACAGAAAATGGAGGAAAAGCAGATCTTCAATCGAAAGTTATTGATTGAGACAGCTTACCACTCTCATCACATGGACCTGATCGCTGAAGACTATATGAGCTCGATCCAAAGTTTACCACAGCCTAAGTCTTCCGATGTGCGTTTCTTCTCGTCTCTTACTGGGAAAGAGGCACTCCATTCAGATTTTGACTCTAGCTATTGGGTTAGAAATTTAACAAGTCCGGTACGATTTGCACAAGCGTGCGCGAAGCTCGTTGCACCCACAGAGGATTTCGCTACTGGCGTCGATGTACTTGTTGAAATCGGCCCTCACTCTGCCCTACAAGGCCCGGTGAAACAAATTTTGAAAGCCGTCGGCGGTGCGACAGCAAAACTGTCATACGCACCGACCCTTGTTCGCAAAAGGCACGCCGTTGATACAATGCTAGAACTAGCGTCGTCACTTTTCTGTAAAGGCAGCGAGTTAAACTTCGCAAAGATCAACTTCCCAACATCTTCAACCATGCCAGGTCTTCTGGTGGACCTCCCCAAGTATCCTTGGAATCACTCTACCACCTATTGGCATGAATCTCGAATATCTCATACGCACAAGAATCGGAAATTTCCCCGGCATGATTTATTAGGATCAACTGCAAATTATTCGAATGAATTGGAACCAATTTGGAGAAATATTGTACGGCTCGATGATATTCCATGGCTTAGGGATCACAAGATACAAGGTCTTACAATATTCCCCATCTCTGCTTTTGTTGCCATGAGCGTTGAGGCCGTTGCTCAATTAGCAACAACAAGAGGCATTGACGCTGAACAGATCGACATTTACGACCTCAATGTTCATACACCCTTGATGATGCCAGACGACCAAGTTGAATTGACTACTTCCTTCCGCCCCTCCAAGGAAGGATCCGAGAAGACTACGTATTCCTTTATCATACACTCGCACTCGAACAGCAAAGGTTGGACAGAGAACTGTACTGGTACCATCACCATAAAGACGAATGAGGTAGACGTACTGGATACAGAGACTCGATCTGGACACTCTCTTGCACGATTGAATGACATGATCGAACACACAAGGGAGGTGGACTCGTCAATAGAGGGTACAAATCTGTACGATACGCTGTCCCAACTTGGTGTCACTTATGGCCCTGCATTTCAAGGCATTGAAAACTGTTGCGCAACCGACCAATGTGCAGCTGCAACAATTACCGTTACGGACACAGCGTCGCAAATGCCCGAGCGGACGGAAACAGGAAGTACGATTCATCCTTCCCTACTGGAGCAGCTCGTCCAAATGTATTGGCCAATTCTCGGCGTTGGCCGCAGGACACTCAACACGATTTGCCTGCCATCATCCATTAAGAAGATCACTGTCTATCCAAAAGTCTTACGATCAGTAAAGAACCCTGGGAAGATCTTGCAGGCATATTGCACTTCACCGATGCCACTGTCGACCGAAAGAACGAGCCAGGCTTCCATGCTTGCAGTCACCGAGAAAGAAATTGCAATCTCGATCGAAGATCTGACCATCGCCCCACTGCCGACCTCAGATATGGGCGAAACGGAAGAAACCGCTCGTGATCTGTGTTTCAAGCAAATTTGGGAACCCATCTTGGATGGCGTCAACATAGATTGTCACGGCCGAGTAGACAGTCCTCAAGAAACAACGTTTGGCCACGAAATGGGCGCTGTGGCCGAGCCAGTACTAATAATACATGGCCAAACAATGTCTCAAAAGACTCTCGCACTATTTCTTGCAGCTTCTATCCAGAGTCGAGGAGGGGCCAACGTCGAAATGGGCCAACTAGATCTGATTGACCCTACGGGAAAAGTCTGCATCTGCCTGACAGAACTCGATCATTCAATTCTGTCGAACGTGACAGAGAAAACCTTGTCGTCATTACAAAAACTGGTTCAAAACGCCCACTCACTTCTTTGGGTAACCCGTGGCGCGTACGGTCAAGCAAACGGGAATCCTACCAGCAACATGGTGTCTGGCTTCAGCCGAGCAATACGATCTGAGAGTATGTTCAAGTTCGCGACTTTGGATCTAGATGCAGACCAACCGCTTGATACCATAAGCGCAACCACAGCCATCATCCAGGTTCTCTCCGCAGTGATCGACGCGACAACAATCGCGAACGTTGAGTTGGAATTTCAAGAGCGAAAAGGTCGTTTCTGGACTCCCAGGATCGTTAAAGATGAAATCGTCAATGATTACGTTCACAAGCAATCTTATCCTCCTGCCGTGGAGGAGACAACGTTTGGGGACCCACGTCGAGCACTGAAACTAGCTGATCCTACTCCTAACTCACTTGACTCTCTACATTTTGTGGACGACCCCTCGCTGACTCAAGATTTACTAGCCAATCAAGTGGAGATTGAAGTGAAATCAGTGGGAATCAGTCTGATGGATGCACACATCTATAGTGGTCGCATTAACAATTCAAGCATCGGACAAGAGTGCAGCGGCATCGTACGCAGAGTCGGAAAGGACGTCCGAGACATCGCGGTGGGGAATAGAGTGGCCGCTGTTGCTACTGGATCCGTCGCCACTTCCGTTCGAACCGACTCGTCATTTGTGTTGAAGCTTCCCGACGACGTTTCCTTCCAGCAAGCAGCAAACCTACCGCTGGCTCAATGCGTTGCACGGTACTCCTTGTTTGATCTTGCCCACCTGGATGAAAATGACCTAATTCTCATATTGAACGGAGCCGGAGCAACAGGTCAAGCAGCAATTACACTTGCGCAAAACATCGGATCAACAATCTTCGTGACCGTGTCGACGTCCAAGGACAAGGTCCTCTTAAGGGATGCGTATGGTCTTCCAGGAGATCATATCCTCTCCAGCCAGGACGATCAACTTTGGCACTCGATTCGAAGAATCTCAACAAACCGTCGCGTTGATGTTGTACTTGGCATAGAGAATGATCCGAAGTTGATGCAGTCTGGGCTGGAATGCCTCGCGAAGTTCGGCAGATTTATTCACGTTAAATCCAGCGATGCGCCTAAAAAGGCTCACGTCGATTTGACTGCCCTAGACAGTAATGCTGCGTTGTTGTCATGTGACATCCATAGCATCGCAAAAGATAGACCGCGAGTGATACAGCGTCTTATCAGAGAGATATCTCGGTCCCTCCGACAGGGTAAAATATGCGAAACCCACGGATCCGACGTATCATCCATTTCCGTTATGTCGCAGGCTCTCAAGCAAGTGCAGTCTTCATCTACAGAGAGTAGGACCGTCATCACATTGAACAATGAAGATACCATCAAAGCGACTCCCTCCAAGAGAGAAGACAAGCTGTTCAAGGAAGACGCGACGTACATCCTGATCGGTGGTACTGGCGGATTAGGCAGAGGCATGACAAGATGGATGGCGAAGAAGGGTGCCAAGAACATCGTTCTTTTGTCACGTACGGGGTCCGTGACTGGTTCTGTGAAGATCTTGGTAGACGACATGATGGCAGTAGGTGTGAATGTCGTTGTACAGAGTTGCGATGTCGCGAAGAGGGCGAGCGTAGATTCGTTCATGTGCAAGGGATTGGTTGGGCTCCCACCCGTTCGTGGTATCATTCACGGTGCAATGACGCTTCGCGTAAGTATCACGTCTATAATTGTACGAAATGACAGTTACTAATTTTTTTCCAGGACACTCTTTTCGACAAAATGGTCCTCAATGATTGGATAGACGTGATCGAATCGAAAGTGCAGGGCGTCTGGAACTTCCATAATGCCTTTCAATCTGTCCCACTTGACTTCTTCATTGTTTACTCCTCATCCGCTGCCGCCATGGGAGGCAGAGGCCAAGCTGCGTACGCCGCTGCGAATTCATTCCTCGATGCCTTCGCGCAGTATCGTCGCGCGCTTGGTATGCCTTGTGCTTCCCTTGGTCCTACGGCGGTTATGGATGCCGGATACATATTTGAGAATGCCGAAATGTGGAAAGACGTCCAGAGAAACATTGGCGATAACTACATCTACGAGGCAGAAGTATTCTCCTTATTAGAGTCGATTCTTGACGGCACTGCATCACGGAGCTGCAACGACCACATTATTACCGGCGTCAGTCTTGATCCAACGAATTTACCATTTTGGGCAACCGACGCCAAATACAAACACTTGCGTCTAGAGGCCGAAGCCACCGCCGCGCTGTTGAACAACGGTGCTAAGACAGTTTCGTGGAATGCAACATTCAAAGCGGCGGCCACCGCAACCGATGCCGAGCAGGTTGTATGTAATGGGCTTGTCGAAAAAATAGCGAAGACTTTAGGCCTTGATTTGGAAGAGGTAGATCCGACTCGAAATCTATCGAGCTACTCCTTAGACTCTTTAACGGCAATTGACGTGCGGAATTTCATCACTAGGGAGTTTGAGTCGGCTTTACAAGTACTTGAGTTGCTAGCTAGTGGTACAATTGCGACGTTGGCTAAGAATGTATGTGCAAAGAGCAAGATACAAAAAGCATCGGCTTGAGGGGAAGGATTGCTATGTTGGTACTCCGGCGCAATGTGGATTTCAGGTGGGCAGGCGTAGTGGGTAAAACAGGATAGGATCAATGGTTCATAGTAAATGTTAAATTTCTGGTACTTCGATTAGGTTTTGTCGGCCTATAAAGAAACTGATATTAAGGACATTGTAGTCGTTTGTGTTTGTTCTTGTCAAGCAAATCAATGCAACTGTAGGTAATTGTTGGGGCGAACAGGAAATAATGAAGGGTTAACTGTCAGCCTACCAGCGCTGATCTCCACCTTTGATTGCAACCTGAATGAGTATACCGCCGTTAATACGGGTGATAGCTAGTAGGCAATACAAGTTAGCGTAGGAGCATGTGAACCTTGAGGTTCCTGATAATGGGAATGTGATGCTGTCGGAAGAAAGCAGGACCATCCTGCGCGACGTCATCATATACCATTCTCCACACAGCAAGGCAAATTAAACCCGCAAAACAAGCAATAGGCCAAGTCGATAGCAACAATCTATCAACTTTAACGCATCATAATATGTTCGTGCAGTCAAAAGCCAGGGTACTTGTAGCCGGGCTATTGTTTACCGAGAGCCCTGCAATGTTCCCCGCATTTGGGGGCAAGCTCTTTCGAGGATATGGTACGTTCATCCTCGTACATCGTCACATCTCTTGCCCTTTTGGATTGATCTCTCATGATTAAAAGACAAGCGTTGTTACTGTTACATCATGCTTGTCACTGCATGTGATCCCACGAAAGGCATTGCCGTCCTGAGAGCATTGCCGTCCTGAGAGCATTGCCGTCCTGAGAGCATTGCCGTCCTGAGAGCCCTCTTACCTTATTTAGACAACCCGGAGTAAGTCACTTTATTTACTATCCACTTCTTCGCGACCGAGTATGTCTATTCTAATTCACCCATAATGCTGTCATTACTATTGCTACTGAGCATTTCTTTGCAAGCGACTGCCGCACCCCAACATGGTCTGTCACGCAATTCACGGCGGGCGGAGGCGAAAGAAGCGTTCCTCGACAATTTAATCGCAAAAATGGATATCCCCGACCTTGTTCAGCAATTGCATCTCACATTTGCCGATAACATCATTGGGCCGAACTCTGATAACTCGCTTTACGACTTTGAATTGCGGTTTACGCCCGGTGCTGCTGTAGGACATGTGCATGATTGGTACCCCCTCAACAAATCGTACTACAATGGGTTGCAGCGCTTGAACATTGAGAAGTCGAATACGAAAATACCATTCTTGCATTGGGGTGAGTGTCTCCACGGTGTGGCGAGCTTCAACCAGAGCGTTTTCCCCCAGGCGCTCGCTTTGGCATCGAGTTGGGATACTGGGTTGGTCAATCGTGTTGGACGGGCTATCGGTGCAGAGGCGAGAAGTATTGGTGTTCACGCTTGCCTGGCACCAGTGCTCGATCTTTGTAAAGATCCTCGTTGGGGCCGATGTCAAGAGGCGTGGGGTGAGGACAAAATCTTGACATCGAAGATGGGTGTTGCTTTCTCGTCCGGCTTATCGAAGAATGGGTCTTGGGATCGGCCAGACGCTATTGTGCCTGTGATGAAGCATTTTGCAGCCCATGGTTCGCCTCAAGGTGGGAGCAACGGCTCGCCGTATATGGGGCATGGCAATCGTGAGGTGCTGGAAGAGCATTTGCTCCCATTCAAGAGCGTTGTGGATTTGGGTGGCGTGGGGGGAGTGATGATGGCATATCACGAACTGGACGACATTCCGAGTCATGTGAATCCCATGTTGTATGAGCAGCTAGACCAATGGGGTTTCAGTGGTTTTGTGACAGCTGATGACACTGGTAAGGTCTGCTCCAGTCTCAATTCAGAATCTTGCTGATGATCAAAGGCATGAAGCAGCTGCAAGTTGGGCATAGAGTTGCCAGCTCGCCAGCAGATGCCATTGCACAGTATTACAATGCTGGAGGGATCGTTCAATACTACGACTATCCTCTCTCTACTCTTCTTAATGCGACACATGGGCTGCTCTCCAATGAGACAATATCCGAAGAGTTGCTTCGGGATAAGGTTCGACGCGTACTGGGTATAAAGTACGACGCCAGATTGTTTGAAGAGCCTTACATTGCGGATGAGATTGACCCTTATCAGCTCGTTGAGGATCATATACCTCTAACCTTAGAAGCAGCCCAGAAATCCATAGTGCTGCTAGAGAACAGGAACGAAACGTTACCACTTCAAGCAACGGGCAATGCTCCGAAGTCAATTGCATTGATTGGACCCTTTGGGGATATTTTAAACTATGGCGACTACTCTGGAACCTATGGAATGTATCCTGTTGCAAATTCTACGACGCTAAGAGATGGCATATTGAATCATTTGGGGAACACAAGTACGAAACTCACATCAAGCGTGGGTGCAAACACTTGGTTGTACAACGCACACTACCCTATTCCATCATCGCATCTATCATCAAATGGAACCCCTGGAGGCCTACATGTTACCTACTTCGCACACCCCAATTTCAGTCACCCTTTGGTCCAGAAGTTAGAAACGCCAGTTGGTACTTGGGGCCTGTACCCGCCTCCTGGCCTTCCCTCGAACAATTTTAGTGCTATATGGGAAGGAGAGTTAGATCCAGCTGTTGATATTGATGTTGAAGGCTGGTTGGGTGTAGCTCTTGGCCCCAATACCACTGCCAAAGTATATGTTGACGGAAATCTGCATGTGGACATCCCATCAACATTCGAGGGTAACATCATGTCCAACATCCCCGACCGAGCCTACAGTTTAGTAAACAGTACCCTTCCTCCTCCTGGTTCAAACCCAATCACATTCAAAACCGGTACTAAACATCACATTCGTCTCGAATACCAGACCTGGAATACGTATCAAAAGATAGAGAACGTAGGGATGCTTAACTCGCAGGTCCTTCTTTTCTGGAACTTGGTGGACCGGAAGTCGCCTATTGAGAAGAGCGTCGCCGTTGCAAAAGATGCCGATGTTATAATCCTCACATTGGGCGCAGCATGGAATAGTGACGGCGAAAGCGGTGATCGTGCGACGTTGAGCCTTCCCGCAAATCAGACTCTACTCGCAGAGGCAATCTTCGCCCTGAACAAGCCTGTCGTATTAGTGCTACAGGGTGGACGGCCGTTTGCGATTCCCGAATTCTATTTTCGAGCTGCTGCCGTCATAAGCGCCAATTTCCCAGGACAGAGCGGCGGGCAGGCGATTGCGGATGTTCTGTTCGGGAAGGTGAATCCCGGTGGTCGAATTCCGGTCTCCGTGCCCATTCACGAAGGAGCGCTTCCGGATTATTACAACTACAAACAGACCGCGAAGAAGAAGTGGTATCTAGATATGGGGTCTTTTCCAATTTATCCATTTGGACATGGACTTTCGTACACGACTTTCAACGTGTCGAATTACCGCGCCGCTACCCTGCGAGGAACAAATAACTTTACTGCAGAAGATACCATCGTCTTTGAAGCGGACATCAGGAATGTTGGATCTGTGTCGGGTTCGTATGTCGCGCAGATTTATCTACTACAGAGAGTATCGCAGATCTCCCAACCGTTGAAACAGCTCGTCGCATTCGAACGGGTTTACATTGATCCAGGGCAGACTATCACAGCGCGGATGGAGCTAGACGTCGGGCGTTACTTACGACTACTGGACAGGAAGTATCAATGGACTGTAGAGAAGGGCTTGTACACATTTGCTATGTTGGACAACGGTGGATGGGACGCTTTGTGGAATGCCAATGCTGGAGGAAACGTCACAATGGCTTCTGTTTAAGATGCAATTTATACTATTATGCCATAGCGACTTAAATACGAGCCGAAGACTGGCTCACAAGGCGTTGACCTGCATAGTCTTTTATTCAGTTGTCTAAGTCTCATACTGTCTGGAATTATGTATCAATCAAGCTTGGGCGGCAACTGTCTTTTAGGGAAGTGTGCCTCGTACGCTGACATCGCCCTGATGACAATGGGCTTGTCGTATCTCTTGCCCACAAAAGACATCCCAAATGGCAGGGTGGGAGGATGCACAAGCTAACGTCGGTACCGTCGCTCACTATTCATTCTTAGCTGGTGCGTACAGTCTGGTGCCTGCCGTGGGATATGCTTTCGTTACGGATCCGCTGTTGCAAGTTGCGGCTTCGATCAGTGCCAATGTAAGCTTTTCGGAACATCCTATGCTTTATTACAGTCTGGATGTCAGCACGTTTAATAAGACAAGGACGTATGGTCCCGATTGACAGGTTAGCTGGGCGACGTTGCAGTAGGTCAAGGAGGCTTTTCCAGAATATATTCCCCATGAAGAAGGCGGCTTAGTACCGAGGAGAAACGTGTCTATTGCATATTTGCTCTCCGCAGAGGTGTGATCAAGACTACAGATTGAGGTTTACAGAAACCCCACTGCCCTGCGACGGGGTTTTGAATTCATGAGAACTGTCGGCAGGGCTATAGTACAGGAGTGGTGAATTGATCGATTGTTAGTATATGCGTATTTACTGTATTCGTGCTTCTTTACCTAATTCCTCGGCATCATACTGCTACCACACATATTTGTAGCGGAATCGGATTATGCGATAAGAGAGAGGGAGGCTGAGGGAGAATAAGTGCTGGTAGAAGAATTTCAAAGTTTGACTCAGGATCATGCTGATTCTTCAAGGCAGTAACCACTTAAAGGTCGAAAATCAATTACAGCTAGGGCACTTCTAAGAATCCAAATGTTAGAGAAAACATTATAATATGTCTGTTTGTGATCCTACGTTTCAAAACGGGCTTGAACAGTCAAGTTGCAGTTCCCGCATTAGACATATTGATATGATACACCCTTGTCGAAATTTAGATTAGTTGCTGGGCCTAGAAACCAAACACTACTCTGAGCTTATCCTATTACAATGTAGCGAAGTCAAATAGACTTAGCTTTTCTCAAGCCCAGTTTCACAATGCGTCGTCCCCTTCGAAAGTACTTCTTCAACTGGAGCATCAATGCGGTTAGTCATGCGTTCTCTCATGTTGCTGATGAATACCGCAGCAATTGTCGCTACTGCTGTTATCGCAGCTGTTATGATGTACAGTACGCGTATAGAATCAGCATAGGCCTGCTTGTATGCAGCAACTCCTGCTTCAATAACAGCGGGAGTGACTCCCGGCAGAGACGTTAGGGCCGACAGCTGGCCACTAGCCAAAGCCGCCATGAAACCTGCAACGGAGTCTATGGGAAGACCCGCGAGAATGATTGCAGGGGGCACATGGCGCGGAATAGAAGTGGATAGCCTCGAGGTAAGAATAGCGACGTAGATAGAAGTAAAGGTGGTGTTGCACAGTGCGCGCGACGACGTGGCCACGGACGTCGCGGTCGCGATCAAGTGGTGTGGAACAGAGAGTTGCACTCCAGTTACGATCATGACGAGCGGAGCACCAAACCCGAATCCCGAAACGGCTGCGAAGGCCATGGCGTTGAAATCATGTTTGGGCTGGAGAGTTGCCAGGCCGATAGTACCCACGCCCCAGATAATGAAACCACAGATCATGGGCCATTTGATGGTCCGAAATCGAGTGCTTAGATATCCCCAGAATGGTGCGCCAAAAGCTGCAGCGACCCAGTAAGGCATCGAACGTGCCACTAGTAGGAAAACATCCGTCTCGTATAGTGCTTGCGTCCTAGGTCTGGGTGAGCAACGTACATCATGCATGGTGCCACTAGCACAGAGAAAACTCACAGAAGGGGGTAGAATACAATAAAGCTGACAATCAGAATGGCCTCAACACCGAAAAGTGCAATACACAAGGCAAAAGTCCGTCCATTATCCTTGCCGGGAAGGAACAGCTCGTGATGCAAAATGCCTGTAGTCGTGCCTTTCCATTCATAGAAACCGAAAATCACTCCAAGCACGCCACCAATGATAAGAGTAGATAGTGTGCGAGCACTAGTCCAGCTTGAGTTCGAACCACCAAGTCCAAGGCCAACGAGTAGTAGGGTTGATGATGCAGTGAGGAGGATCGAGCCCGGAATATCAAGCTTTGCGAGCTTCTGATACCATAGAGGCGATTCGTAAGCTGTTTCCCTGCGAGGTGGGTTGTACCCAAACAATAGAGAGAGTAGGGACGCTGCCCACATAGCCATCTCAATCCACTATTGCCATGTTAAACGAGCTATAGCTTTCATTCATTCATGTTGCTGGTCCTGTACTTACCCAAAATCTTCGCCAACCGTTAATCATATCTCGCCTCGTCAATGCACCAATAGCTAACGGACCTGTAATCGAAGCAATAGCTGCTGCAACGTTGACAATGGCCTGTGCAACTAAATAAAGTGTGTAAGCGAAGTAGCCTTCAAAAAGAGTGTAGAACTTACTCGGCCTCCATTTCTTAGGGAGAATTTCACTGGGGATAGCATAAAGGAGTGGCGTAGTTGCATAGCCGAAGCCAACGATAGTCTGGCCTGCGATGACTCTGTAGATATCCTTTGAGCCCGGAACGATAGCACAGCCTATAACACCCATTGCACATCCACCAAGCAATATGTGCTTTCTTGCCTGGAAAATATCGGACGCAGATGATAAGATTGGGCCTACTGCAGCGCATACGAGGTTGGGGGCATTGATGATCCAGGCTTGGTGCTCGGTCGATCCCAAAGAGGAGCCAATATAATTTAACTATACAAAGAACGGAGAGGGTAAGTATAAGATATTGGTATGGCTGTCGGAATCGCCGCTACTTACTACCGCTGGGGGTGCCTGAAGCGAAATAACGGCAACATAGTTGGTTATGATAAGAGCAAACAGCGCGCAATAGGTTCGCCAATGTAGTTCAGGCTCATTTTGGACATCGGCTTGGTCTGGTTGGTCAGAACCTGGGATATGTTCTCTGTGTTCTGTCGAGCACGCTCTGTCTTTGTCGTTGTTGGACAACGCAGGAGCATTCGCATTTCTATCGCACGGATTCGATGAAGATTCCATAATAATCAGCCGGGCACGTCTGAAGATCTTCTGTTATTAATCAGAGCAGACTTTGAGCATTAATTGTGGGTACATATAATTGTCCGAAAAGAGACTAAGGGTGGGGAGCACGATGGCGCGGCTGGAGCGATCCCCAGATTTGCTTTACTAGCTCATCTGGCGCGGTGGCACCCATCGAGGGTCAACTATCAGACATCAGCAATCTGATGAGTTATCTGCCATCCGTAATTTTCTCAATTCCAATAAATTTGTATCAACTATACTTTTGGGCACGCCCCTTGCCAATTTCTCAGCTTTGCGGCCAGCCCGAATGCTATGATCAGGCCTGACAAATGTTCTTCAACCATTGTGTTCTGTATGCTATGCCAGTTGAAATCTGAATGGGCCAAACGGCCTCCGAGGCGAAAGAAAATGGCTGTAGTCCCAGGATTGAAGCTCGCCCTGGTGGGCATAAATTCTCATTTTCCTCGCATCTGAGCTATTACATTCTCCATTCGTCGTGACAACCAAACACACCAAGACGGCCAATACCACTAGCAAAGTTGCGTTTCTCAGGCCCAGGCATATCATGTGAGAGTTGAATACTCCTTTTTTTTTACTATGAACTGCTTCTTCCTTCCGAGGCCCTTGAGAATGTCTGAAAAAGGGATCCAAAGGATGGGGTAAATCTGATCTTCTTCTCAAATAAGCACTCAAGACATTAAGTCTTAGAGATCACGTGAACTCTGAATCACGTGCCCCCGCCCTTACCTTTATGTCGAGTTTCTGCTAACTACCTCTGTAGATTAAGCCAGAGTTTTAGAAGGTCAAGAATCCAATTGGATTGTGACTGGGTACGTACAACAGAAAGTGATACCAGTATGTATGTGTATTGGCCTGGCCAATTATCAAGGCTGCTAATCAAATCGATTGCTTTTCTACTTGTAAGTTCTGGTTAACCGATCCGGCTCTAGCGGAATGGCCACGGATACGGGCTGAAATGACATCCGTGGAGAATCCTTGGGGGGTACCGCTGTGACATTTCTCGGATACGTGTGGTACAAGACATAATCGTCGTGTGTATTGCTGGCTGTTTGCTAGATCATCATTGGACCAAAGGATACTGAGTTCACGGTAATACAAGCACTAGCAGCGCCCGATTGCTTTTGTGGAGTGCCTAGCATGTATTCAACACTTGCCGAATAGTGTCCGTTCTCTGGGCCAGAACCTGATCGTAGCCGGGGAAGTTGGGCTCATGATTCACAGGGACTGGCTTCCCCGCAGATTTGTTCCGACAACCAAAAATGAATACATTCTTGATTCTATAGAGATCATTCAAATTTCCGCTGCTAATTCGTATCTATGTTCCCCCTGACACCGATACTGTACGGCTGTTCCATTCAAGTGTCTTCCTCATGGCTGCACGCTTCTCCTGTCCCCAATGCCAGGCAGTATTCACCCGGTCCGCGCATCTCCGACGTCACCAGCGGACGCATCGTGCCGAAAAGCCCTACACGTGTGCCTACTGCAACGTTGCCTCGACACGCAAAGATGTCATCGTCCGACATACTCGAAACTTTCATCCGGGCGTGAAACCGATAGCAAATCAGGCTTCAGAGGAAACGACACGGCCAACCCATCCACCGCCTGCCCCAACAGAGCAATTGCCAATACCACGGCCTGCACGCGAGTACATCTCGTCCAGCTCCTCGAACAGTAGCACCAGCAGTAACCCTGACCATCTGTCTCCTGGGCTTAGCCAACGGGAAGAGAGCGATTTAGCTGACTTCGGACATATTGATGGTATGGACATCGTGCCTCTTGAATGTCCCATCGACTTCGATCTGTTTGATTTCTCGGCATCTACGCTTCCAGAGGCTGCCTTGGTTAATTCAATACTGGCGCCTCTAACTCCACCATCCATTGACCATCATACTGAATCTCGCAATTCATTTCCTCGAGATGATGACTACGCACAGGCAACTGCAAACTTCCATTATTATGGTATCCACCAGACTTCCCCCTTAAAATTCCCCTCAAGGATTGCTACCCATCGGTTTGTAAATGCCTTCTTCAAACATATGGCCTCGCATCTACCCATTGTACACTTACCCACATTTTCTATTGCTTCAACTGCCTGTACGCTGCCAACCCCCTCGATGCATTTTTATTCGTATTTAACGCATGTTAGCACCTCTGCTTTTGGAGATCATGGCCTGCGGTGCCTTGTATCGCTGCGAACGAGTCGCAGCTACAACATTACATGCTACTGCTCAACAACTAATGTTGCAGGTAACACCTTCTTTCATTGATTCCGAAGCCATTGCTGACTTTTGTCAAGATTGACAGCGCAGAACCAGATAGTGATCATGACACCTTCGATATATGGAAACTGCAGACTTATCTGCTCATGACCTACTTTTCTGCCTATGGCGGACATTCGTACACCCGAAGACGAGCAGCAATCACATTCTCGCACACTATAGAGGTCTGTACTTGAACTTTTGCGACTACATATTCTAATGCTAATTATGTTCTGTCAGCTTGCCCGGCAAGCACTAAAGAATATTAGTACGCTCCATGAACCATCATACGAGCAATGGGTTCAGCAAGAGACCATAGTCAGGTACCTACTCCTGCCACTCTACAATGTGTGTCTGCTTAAACGCATGATTCAGATCCATCGCTACAACCATCGAAATCGGTGCGGTGCTCGCATCAACTTCCAAGGACCAATGCTTCACCACTACGTTGTTTGATGCATCATTTCCCCTGCCGTCAGATGAAATCATTTGGAACGAGACTAAAGGAACTTGGAAGTTTCAATGTCAACAGCCCGATAGCATTCAGGTCTTGGACTGTGTCTTAGCCGGCCAGAAACCGGCTACGCCTATGAGCGAGCTGGGATTCGTGACTATCGTTTCTTCCATCCTATGGCGCGTGTGCTCCTTAGAATCATTTGCATGCTCAGACCGGTTGACTATACAGTTGGACCCAGCGAGCAAAATTGACAATGGCGCACAGATTCTCGACAGCATTCTGATAGAAGACATGAGCGATGGTGACCCCACATTTTCGACATGTAGCCCGCTTCTGATATCCGGCACAGCACTGTTGAACTCGATGTTTTATCATTTATACGGGAGCAACACCTTGAAGGAAACAAAAGAACTCCTCGACAATCCTACTGGTGTCCGTTACGCTGTTTCAGAAGCAGGGAATGAAGTAGGGGAACGCAAGGATCCCAGATTAAACACTGCCTTACTACGCGCAGCAAAGTCTATGTATTCGGATTGCCAAGCAGGCGTGGTTTATATACAGAGGACTGCCGCTCATCATTTTGGTCCAATCTGCGCAACAGCATGTTACGAGGCTGGTACGTTCACTCCCCGACAGCAAACACAGCTGTTGAACATACCTTACTAACATCTGAATACAGCATTGCTCCTCAATTATTATCTGAAGGGTCGAGAGTCCTTGTCATTAGCGCCAGAAGAATCTGCGACTCTTGATCAACTGATCGAAGAAGCCGTCTTAGAAACAAATGTCTTCCCTGGGTCAGACGATTTTCGCAACCCATCCAATCCGCTCTTGGTGTCTGCAGAGCTACTTTCGGACGGATCGGTCTGGCAATGTAAGTCTCACTACATCTATTCCGCACGTTCATACAGATGACAGGTTATAGGGCCATGCGCTGTCTCGAGAAGATTGAAAAGTGCCGCAGATGTTACGAATCAGCTCAATATTACAAGTAACATGATCAGTTGAAGATCTATACCATTAGTCCGGATTTTGGCTAGTACGAATGGTTGAACTATTGCCCCTTCTCTATGAGGTATCTTCGCCTGATCGCGTTTTTGCGGCTTGTTGGAGATATAGTGTTTGATGAGCTTATTAGACGCACTCAAGACTTCGTTCTAATCGTACACGATGAGTTCCAGCTATCTTGCACAGCCGCCCAACGCACACAGAATGTAGGGTGGGCTTCAACTGCTCCACTCATGATGGATTTTTGTCGATTGGTGATACCCAATCAAATCCATCCTATTTCTACATATGTTGTAACATTTCACGCGCCGTATGACCATGTCCCTGTTCTAGGCATCGACTGCAATCTCCCACAACAGCTTGGGATAGGCCTATGAATCCAATGATTTTCAACTTCATTCTCATACTGGACCAGGTAACATGTAACCAGCAGCACTCATAGCAAATGGTTTGGGGATGCAGAGCACATTTGATCCAGGTTTCCAGGTAGTGAATATACGGGAAGGTCGATATGGAAACATATAGAGACGTATGTATTGATACGTTTTCACTGCCAAATCACACTTGTTAGTGGAGGTTGTACCACCATACTCTCCCCATTCTCCATCCAGTGAAGGCTGTTAGAGTTGCGATGGTAGATGCGACTAAATTGTCCTGGGCGTACCAAATTGGTTTTGGGTGGGGATAGCAGGTGGCTCTCTTGTGTGGGGGAGGATCCACCTGACAAGCGCCACCCTTAGTACTTGAAGGATACCCATTCAATTAATCACGACTTTACAATATCCCAGTTAATCTTAACCTGGTTGAAGCGCTTTCTGGAGTTTCAAAGGTTTGAAACATTCCGTCTTGGATTCTGAGCCAATTATCTTATCATGGCGGCCATGTCACGTACACCGGGGAACCAGGCGCTCTGGCTTTCTAACTTTTCCTCTCCACTTGAACTTGTAAATCTACCCATCCCAGAGGCTACTGCAGGGTCAGTAGTCGTAGAAGTGCTGAATACAACGATCTTTCCTTACGCAGACGACATACATAAAGGTCATTTGCCAGTCTTCAACCTTACGCTGCCTTTGGTGCCACATCCTAGCCACATTGGTCGCATTCACGCTGTCGGGTCCGACGCCGTTACTCTGAAACCAGGTCATCTGATATATTTCTCCGCGTTCATCACTGCCCGTGATGACGAGAGCGTCTTCATGATACAAGGTCATCATGGCGGCGAAGATCCCCGAGCCAAGAAATTGATGCAGGGAGAGTGGAGAGATGGCGCCTTGCAGCAGTACCAAAAGATCCCGTTGGAGAATGCCTTCCTGCTCGATAGTCATCGGCTTTGCGGAGAATTGGGCTATAATCCAGCAGACCTACATGAGATCTCTTTCTACGCTATGGGTGTCGGTGCTATTTGTGAAGCCGCCCGGCTTCAACCCGGGGAAACGATCCTCATCGGGCCAGCAACAGGTACCTTTGGCGGAATCGCGAGTGAAGTTGCGCTGGCAGTTGGTGCAAACGTCATTGCGATTGGAAGGAGTAGAGTTGGCTTAGCACGCTTGCAGCAGCAACTGGGAAAGCATGAAAGATTCCGGTTTGTTGTCATGACTGGCGACTTGGAGGCTGATTCGGCAGCCATAATTGCCACAACTCCAGGCAAACGAGGCGTAGATGTTTACAATGATTGGACTTCCAGTGCGCTGGAAGGAAGCCCATTCTTTGCATCTTCAATTCGCGCCATGAGGAATAGAGGGAGGGTAGTTCTCAGTGGTGCACCTGCAGGGACGATCGCCGTTCCTTACGCGTTCGTAATGCATCATTCTATTATGATTATTGGAAAGCTAGGTGTGGAACGAAGCGGCATCAAATTAACAATCAGCATGATAGAATCTGGGCTCATTAAGCTTGGTCACCGTGGAGGAGCGGGACATGCATTATATAGTCTCAGCGAGCACCAAGAAGCTTTTGAAGCAGCGAAGCAAGGAGGATTCAAAAACTATCACGATATTGTCCCATGCCCCTGGTAAATATTCATGTATTCCGATTCATGCAGCTCACATCAAATTAATGCCACATTATTCACTTCTTTAACAAAAGATTGCCTCGCATAAGCTCCGGCCTTTTCTCCACCGACTTTATCATGCCTCATATATGTAGGCAAGCCCACATAGATACCTATGCGTTTAAAAAAGGATTATGAATCAATATCTAGAACAGGAGTTGTACACATTATGTTGATAATGCAAGAGTCCGACAATTGCCGTCTAGTATCCACCGTAGGATAAGTGGCCCTCGATACACGAGCCCCACCCAAAAGAAGTATCATCAAAAGTCCAACCAGGTGGGAAACCTTAACATTCATTTGTTTGCACAGCGATCAGGTCTCATGATTTAAACGACCTTTTTATCTATTTGCTCAACATTCTTTACCCTCACGCATCCAAATGTCGTGCCCCGATTGCTTTCGTGGTCATGATCACCCCGGCCCTACCACAGGCATCGAGACGAAAATGTACGGATTAGATGTATATGTTTCCAATCCACCAGAGAGTGCTAGTGGAGAAATCAATGGCCTTATCATTATTATATCGGACGCCTTTGGTTGGGCAACAAACAATCTACGACGACTAGCAGACTCCTATGCTAAACGTACTGGCTGTAGGGTCTTGCTACCGGATTTCATGGAAGGCAGGTCCTGTTATATTTAATATATGGACACACTGAAATAACCAATTACACAGGGACTGCCGCACCAGCATGGTCGAAACCGGTCATGGATCGCATACTCAATGATTACAGCATTTGGGGGTGTTTTGCAAAACCGTGAGTGGATGAGAAGGACTCGGCGGGCAGTTATAGATGCTCATTTGTGCTCAGTTGGCACTTTCTGCAGGCCTTGTATGCGTTTATTCCTTTTACTATGAGGAACCATCCGCCAAAACGATACCCTTCAATGGTGCATTTTTTCTCAGAGCTCCGGAGCCACCAGCCTTCACATATGCGCATTGGTGCTGCCGGGTTTTGCTGGGGCGCATATGGAGTTACGCGACTGGCCCGAGCAGAAGACCTAGCACCCAGCGGGCAGCCACTCTTGGATGTCGCGTATACAGCTCATCCTAGCGAAGTTGAGCCTGCCCATTTCGAGAATGTCAAAATTCCGTACAGCCTAGTTATTGGAGATGTGGACTTTGCCCTGCCAAAGGAACAGGTGGAGCTGGTGGCTATCACCTTGGAACAGAATCAGGACTTGCCAAGTGAAGTGGTGGTCATCCCGAATGCGAAGCATGGTTTTGCTGTCCGTGGAAATCCAAATGACCCGATCGAGAAGGAAATGGCGGATCAAGCGGAGGAACAGTTAATTAGATGGTTTAAGTTATATCTCTGAAGCAAAGATCAATTATCATTGTACTCCATCTACGTTTACGATTGAACATGGTGGCCATATCATAAAGCCTAGTGAAAAACCTTTCCAAAATGTAACCTACAATAATATTCATAGATCATTTGCTTTCGGCACTAGCTACTGTGGTTTTAGAGTATGACTTGTGCAAGGCTTCGATTTCGACTTGCATAGCCTGTTGAGGCCAAATGCCTTGCTTGCCTGGTGCCAGAATTCCATTTGGATCAATAGCAGTCTGTAAGGAATTAGCTATGATATGTAGATCAGCGTAGATTTATTTCATACCTTCAATTGCTGAATAAAGCGCCTATATATGTGGTTGTTGAAATTGTACATATCCTGTACGGTGTCTGCAAATGTCAATTGTCTGCTACTATGGTAGATCGAATTCTATGCTTACCCATATGCTGTAAATGTGATCTGTAATTTGCGAATCCGGACCTTTTCGCTGCGACGAGTAGTGATTCGACGACTTTACGCCCGCGCTCGCGATGGATGGCTTGTCTTTTATCAAAGACGTATTCCTGTACGAACAATATGTAATTTGGGAAAACATGGCACCCAATGAAGGGGTCAACACCTTCGTCCTCCATGATCTTCTTAGCTGCTATGAACCACTTCACAACCGTCTCCCCATCCGCAGGAAGAATCAGAGTCGTATCGATATGTCCACCGGCTCCACTACCGTCTTCTGGGAGGTTATAATCGGCCAATCTAACAGGATCCATTGTCGGTACTCCGGCACTGAGCGTCCCCACCTGCAAAGCATCAACCGGACGACCATCCTTACCCTCCAAAAGGTCCCCGTCAAGGAGCATGCCCGGTATCTTGGCAGAGAAGACTTCCTTAATTCGCGCATACCTGGCATGCACCATTGCGCTGGTACCGTAGAGATTGAATACGCAGCGCCAATATCCTGTCTGGTACATCTTCTTCATATTGGCTATTGTTCCAGGAAGAAGAGGGCCTTCCTCTCTTTGGTGCTTGTACTTTGGTACATCATGAGAGGCAAAATGATTGATATTTGTGATCATGCCATGATTCTGTAGAATACCTTCGAGTGATAGCTGTTGCATGCAGTCGATGATTGGCCCAAGATCGTCCACCTCATCTCCAATGAGCCTCACATTCATGAATGCCTGAGGTGCTGGATCGACTGCAACTGCTAACTTGGAGACGATACCAAGGTTTGTCTGGAGGAACAATCCATCAACCTGTGGACCAAAGTTGTTACTGCAGGTATGTGCACTCGGCGAGCCGGTCACTCCCCACTGTCCCGTGCGCATGATCTCTCCAGAAGGCAGAATGACTTCTAGGCTCCGGATACCGTGCTGACGATCTCCGGAAATAGTGTATCCATGACCTCTGTCCATGGTCTGCGATCGAGATCGTCAGTATACAGGCATTTAAGTGATGGGAGTACATTACATTGCCAACAACACTACCCCATCCAAGAGCAGGCACGCCAACCCACAAAGGAATGCCTTTAGCCCGCAGATGCTCGTAGAGCTCGAAGAAAGTAACACCTGGCTCTACAAGAACATAAGAGAACTTTTCATTCACTTCAATAATTCGTTTCATCCGGTAAAGAGATAGAACCAACGTCCCCGATTGTCTAGGAGCTGGACCTCCATATCTGTTGAAGCAATTAGAGAATTTAAGAGATGTGTTGAGTTGCTTCTACCCACCCAAAGTTCTTGCCTTGTGAGCAAACCCACAGAGGAATGCAATATTCATTTGCAATTTTCAAGATGGATTGAATTTGTTCGACAGTTATTGGACTGCATTGAAATTATCGATCGTGAATCCCATGTCGGAGAGAACTGTGGCGACCTACCAGGCAGCAGCCGATGGTTGATACTCCTCAATTGTCAGGGGATACGGATCTCGAAAATTTCGAAGTTCCTCGCCCGTGATCACATTCTCTTCACCCACAATTTTGCATAGCAAACTAAGAAAACGGTTGAAGGTATCTCTGTCGACATTTGGGGGCAGCGGGTCGTCGCCCTCGATGGACGGCACAGTAGTGAAAGCATGATTGTGATGCTTTTGCAGCACGGAATCGTGGTAGAATTCGACCATTGTTTTGGTTAGCAGTAATGCTGCTGGACCTAAGTTGCGTCATCCTTTTGAATAAATGCTCGTGGAGATGGCATCTCATGATGATCTGATTCAGGCCCCACAGGGAGAAAAGGTGCGCCACCCGCGCCACCCGCTGTCGACCTGTTACTTCTCGGGATGCGGTGGGACGCGGCACGATTCATGGCAAATGCTATCGGTTAAAACTTATATTAACTGCTAGAGCTTTGTAGTAACATCAGAAATTCAATTGATATTGTTCATCAACCTCGGATTGCTATTCACCTACCTCCTGTCTTCCAACCCGTCAAGATGGTTCACGTTGTCCCTAGTACCATTTTTCCGCGAGTTTATCAGATGAGCGCATGGAACCATGATGTCATGCGCTTCGAAGGAGACGTATATGAGCTTGAGGTAATTGGCTCATTGCCAACGGACCTCCATGGTGCCTTTTATAGAGTACAGCCAGATCATGCCTTCCCACCAATGTTTGGTGAGGACGAGATCCCCTTGAACGGCGACGGGAACATCTGCTGCTTCTATTTTGAGAATGGGCATGTTGACTTCAAGAATCGATATGTACGTACGCCAAAGTTTGAGGCGGAAAGGGCTGCACGTCGTGCTCTTTTCGGGCGGTACCGCAACAAATATACCGATGACCCACGAGTACGCGATGTACTTACACGCACAACGGCCAACACGCATGTCATATACCACGCAAACAAGATCATGGCCCTAAAAGAAGATGCTCCACCTTTCGAAATTGATGCAAGTACACTAGAGACCGTCGGTTTGGTCAATTACAACAATACGTTTCATTGCCCAACTCATACCGCCCATCCTAAGGCGGATTCCGATACAGGGGAGTTGGTCGCGTTCGGCTACGAAGCCAAAGGAGATGGCTCCCCTGATATCTGCTCCTTCACCGTTGACAAGGAGGGGTACGTCACCGAAGAAGTCTGGTTCAAGGCGCCCTGGGCATGTATGATCCATGATTTCTGGGCGACAGAAAATTACGTCATTTTCCCAATCAACGGCCTTAAGGCTAGTGTGGAGCAGATGCAGAAAGGCGGGGAACACTTCTACTGGGATGAGAATCTTGACCATCAACTCCTCGGTGTGATTCCTCGCCGTGGAGCCAAACCTGAAGATGTGAAATGGTTCAAGACCTCTAGAGGTTGCTATTCTCACACTATCAACGCATATGAAGAAGACGGCAATCTCGTACTGGACGCCAATGTTTGGACTGATTGCGTCTTTCCGTTCTTCCCGAACAGTCAGGGAAAGAAGTTTCACTATGATCCCAAGAACATTCGGTCCCCGGTATTGCGATATCGCTTTGACCCGAAAGGCAGTACGGAAGTGATGGTGCACCCACAGCAGGTTATTCAAGAGGGAGTCAATGAGTTCGGGCGCGTCGATGACCGATTACTTGGGAAGAAGTATGATCGTTATTGGATCTTAACAGTCGATCCGACTAAGCAAATCTATTCAAACGGAACTGCAGCACAGGCTGGCTTCAATACCTTGCTTTGCCATAATTTCAAGACAGGAAAGAAGCAGACCTACTACCACGGCAACGATGTCACCTTCCAGGAACCCTGCTTCGTCCCACGCTCTGGGGGTGCCTCGCCCGAGGAAGGCTACATCGTTATCCTGGCTGATCTGTACCGTGAAAGCCGTAGCCAATTGTTGCTCTTCGACGCCCAAAACATTGACAAAGGACCTATCGCTCAAATCAAGTTGCCACTGAAGCTATTGGATGGTTTGCATGGTAGCTGGGTTGACGGCAAAGACGTGGATTTGGCTTCCAAAGGGACGACTGGTAAAGTCGATCAGTAGTTTCAAGTCTGCTTAACAATTTTGCATCGCCCACTTTCGTTTTCCTATATATCAGGTGCCTCTCGTTGTTATAAATTTAGTGCAATGTTTGGTCATTGTCGATAATTGAATGCAATGCCTGAACCAACTCGTAGACCAAAGCCCCTCCATGTGAAGCAGCCACAGTCGGCAGTAGCTTTCGCTATTATCCATGATCACCAGTCTGAAAACCCATTTCTTGCAACTTTCTACACGGGTCAGAATCTTTATACAGTAATATTGCTGATATGGACTGATCGGTCAGTTTTCAAAGGTATGTAAGAGCGTCGGGAAGGGTTCCTCAATGTGCGGTTCCTTCTCAGCTTGTAGAAGCGATAATCCGAAAGAGTCTCATTGTCTATAAGCGATATTTTGAGCCTGTCTTGTAGTTCAATGTGCTTATGTATGACATGCCAATAAAGCTCATGTGATTTGTACAACTCAGCACTATCATATGAACATTAATAAATTGGTTGGCGCAGACCACATGGCAATCTTGTTTCCTTCGTGATTATCTCAAGGATTTACAGAACCATCATCTGGACGACACTCTCTTCTAATCAGGTCTGCGTGAGCTTGACTTCTAACTGTGACCCCGACCTCGTAAGGTTTGTCTACTCCAATCGAGAACGGTCTACCCGTGGGAATGGGCCGGCCAGGTACTGTATGGAAATCGAAACAGTAGATGAGCCGTGAAATTCCGAGGAATAAGCTTGCACTTGCGACCGTCCAACCTGGGCAAACGCGACGACCTGTGAGGGGTGGAAGGCTGAGTCAGTTACTCATCACAATCCAGTGATTCGGGAATCTCACCAGCTCCAAATCCCAGATGTCCCTTCGTAGGTTTCTCTAGATCGGCGTTGAGGAAACGCTCAGGGTAGAATCTCTCGGGTTGTTCGTATTCGTTCGGATCATTATGGATTCCCCAGTGATTCCAGACAAACGTCGTACCAGCGGGAAAGCGGTAACCTTCAAACTCGTCGTCTTTTATGAGCGAGTGGGCAATTTCCCCAAACGAAGGACTGCGATACTTCAGTCTTTGCATTCCAGTTCATTTTGGTTGGTAACTTACTTCCAACGTACAGTCTCCTTCGCCGCAGCCTTGATGTAAGGTAGTCTAGGAGCATCGTCCGCAGTCGGCAACCGCTCGGCATTTGAACCGCAAACCTCATCTAATTCTTTGCGTGCACGTTCCACCCAGTCTGGAAATAGAGCTGCTGCTGCTGCTAGCTGGTTGAGCGATACACGCGTTGTGTCCGACCCGGCCTCAATCAAAGACCCAGCGAGGAAAACCATGCTCTCGCGATCAATTTCCTTGTGTCGCCCTAGTCGCAAGAATTCCGAAACAAAACATTTGGTCACCTTGCCTTGCCGTTGTCGCTCGACAAGCGCATCGAATTCGCTACTAAAATTCCTATGAATCCGTGATCAGTACGTCATCCAGTGAAACATCAGGATAAGACTAACTCTAGTGCAGCCTTGTACAAGGAATCTCCCCACCACCTCCATGGCTGTAATGAATGTGCAAATGGTATCTTTGCCAGGAATGGGAAGGCATCAATCAAATTAGACCCGGGTTCAAAGGATTTGGTAAGCTCATCATTGATTTCCACAATTTTTTTGACCGTCGGATCATGCAGGTCTGTTCTGCGACCAAATGTCATGCTGAAAACCACAGAACTGCTGTAGCGAGCATGACTGAGATGCCATTTATCTGGCTGGTCAAGGTACCCAGCAAGGAGTGTTCGAGACTCTGCATCTTGGAATGGGCCAAAAACGCCTCTTTGTGCAGGCCCAAGAATTTCATGTATGACCTTCCGCTGCCATTTCCAGAGGTCTCCAAATGGGAGAAATACGATTCTCTTCCCACGAGAGATGACATCACCCGCCATTGGGAGGTTTTGTCTAGAGACATACAATGCCCCGCGCTTTTCCAAAAGCTCGCCAACGACTCTATGTGAGTTCAAAAATACCCAGTAGTTGGAGCCTAACTTGAGTGTAAACCTGAGATTACTTTGTCAATATTGTTGCGAAGTGAAACAGCAGAGCACGTACATCTCTCCATGTTTCTTTGCAAGCTCCGCGAAGTGTAAACGCTGATCGGCTGGGTTCTTCGGCATTTGCAGAAGGTTTCCGAATATCGGGACTCTACCTGGTATGTGATTTGGAAAGCGGTATTTTTTATGGAATCGAACATTCTCATAGAGGATATGAAATATCCATAATAGCAGAACTCCACACATCAACTGGACAATAAAGAAGTCCATTGTCGTAGCTTTGATTATGCAGCCTTCAATATGTTTCGTCAACGGCCGGTCTTCAACATTAGATATTTGAAGAATTAGCAATGTCGACCCAGATATCAGTGGCGCACCAGGTGGGTAAAAGTGAGGCACTTTCATTAAACTATTACTATAGTCAAACCGCCTCAAGCAGAACTACTAGTGCTCAGGTGGCTTCGGTGGGGTTTGGTCGTCCCCGCCGTGTGGCACTTTATTCCCATCGTATTTTCCTAGTTGAGACCTTACGAGTGATGGATAATCCCCCAGCTCTTTGGTTATTAGTACCTACCACAATTGCATATTGCGTTTGCCATTCCTCTTCGTTGGCAGATATTGTCACACTACACGAGCCAAGCAGATCGCCCCCCTCCTCCCCCCTCATTATCGAGCGTTTGATACAATTATTTGGAACTAGCTTTGTACATAATGACGATCGAAACACAAAGTTTGAAAGGAAAAGTTGCCGTCGTCAGTGGGTCCTCGCTTGGCCTAGGTGCGGCCATTGTGCGAGAGCTTTCCCGGCGTGGGGCATCCGTCGCGATCAATTATCCGTATCCAGATGAAAAAGCAAACGCTGAGAGAGTTGTTGAAAGCCTCGGTCCTGACTCCAAATCTGTAATCATCGAAGCAGATATGTCGACTGAGACCGGGCCACGATTTCTGGCGGATAGGGCTGCAGAAGCATTCGGCAAAATCGACATCTTGATCAACTGCGCAGGCATAAATCGCATGATGAGCCTTGATGATCCGGATGAGCGAAAGGTACAAACAGCATGGGACTTGATTGCTCGTACAAACGCGAGAGGAACCTTCATGCTTACGCGTGCAACACTGAAGCATCTTGCTCGAGAAGGGTCGCGCATCATCAATATTGGGAGCGGGGTCTCCCGGGCAGCGGACCCACACTCGAGCATTTACGCAGGGTCGAAGGGCATGATTGAAAGTTATACCCAGTGCTGGGCAATGGAATTGCCACGCAAGTACGGTTGCACGGTCAACGGAATTGCACCTGGTATCGTGGAAACAGAGACATTTCTTGCTGCACCGAAGGAACTCAGAGACTCACTTCAACCCAAAATTGATGTCACCCCCGTTGCGCCTCGCGCAGCGAGACCAGAAGAAGTTGCATGGGTCGTTGCAACGTTGTGTGAGAAGGAGGCGGGTTGGTTGAATGGTCTCTACCTGCCAGTGTCCGGTGGTTTGTTCATGTTCTGATACGTTCTGTGGGAGATTGCCGATGACTTGGACATTTCTATCATTTTTATCTATGTGCATAATTACTTCATTGAGTGTTCAGATCAGCGAATTCATCACCAACTATAAAAGGTCTTCTAGATGCGTGTCCAAGGTAAAGTAGATTGATTTTGCTTTTCATTGATAAGCAATCTACACTCGGCTTGGGAAAGCAGTGGAGGCGATGTTGAAGATATTTTCCACCTCCATAATATTACATTGAAGAGCAAGAGAACGAATGCTTGACCAGGATAAAAAATAGAATCCCGTTCATGATTTGCGAAGCCCATTCGATAATCGAGACATCGATTACTGTTTGCCACGGGCCTCCCTACTGCCATGATTATGAAAATGAATACAAAATTTTGAGGTATCAGCTAGTTCATATCTTGAATTATAGACCTATGATGAAGCTCTTGGCTTGACTGTAACCATGTAATCTACATAGACAAACCAGGCGCAGTAGGTTTTCAACTTACTACCACCCTGAACATCGAAATCAAAGTTGCGAACAATCTGAGGGAGAACTTTCGTCATCTCAAGAAGGCTTATGTTCTTACCTATACAGGCACGGGAGCCTCCCCCAAACTAATGTAAATAACAATTAGTTGAACTCGTTTTCAATGCAATGGAAGAACTTACGGCAAACATCATCTGATCTCGTAAATCTCCATCATACTTTGGTTCAAGCCAACGTTCCGGTCGAAATATATCAGCATCCTCTCCATATATTTCCTTGCTGTAGTGTAGTACCCATGCATTTACTCCAACGTTTGTCTACTCGGCGGTCAGCAAGTGCCTGGTAACTCGTGTTCAGTGATCTTACACCAGCCGGAAAATAAGTCCCTGCCAGCTGTAGGCCTCCTTTTGGTACCTTACGAGGGAGAATAGTCCCAACAGCAGGGTGCATGCGCAAAGTTTCTTTTATGACGGCTTGCAGGTAGGGCATGCTCTGAGCTTCTTGGAATTTGACAGGATCCGAAATGAGAGATTCAGATGCCATGGTGTCCACTTCCTTTCGGAGTTTGGCCAATGTTTCAGGGTTGGTGTACAGATAGAACAGCGCAACACTTAGGCTGATTGCTGTAGTATCTGAACCAGCACCTATGTTGCTTCCGCATGTGTCCAGGATGTGTGGCATCTGGACGCGGTTGTCTGCCTTCATCCGGAGCAGCTTAGCTAAGAAGCTATCAGCAGTACCTTCTCGTCCTGCGCTGTTGTTCCCTCCTTTGTGAACCTCCATTTGGTCAAATGTGAATTTCAAGAGCGCGTTGGTCCCTTGCTGATTTCCCATGATAGACTGTAGGCGTTGAATCCATGGATGTAGATCAGGGACAAGTCCAATATGGGCCATGTAAGAATTCGCGCCGTGGATTCCCTTGATCATTCCGGTTTTGTCCCCTTCAGCTTCCATCATGTTGAACGACTTGTTAAACTTTATAAATTTTAAGCATCAGATGTCTCCAAAAGGAAAGGAAAACGTACTGTGATCTCGCCGATGACGTCAAATGCATAGTATTGCATAAACTGGGGCATTGATATTTGCCCTTTCTTGCTAGCAAACTCAGATAATTTGCGCATGCACACCTCTGTCATTCTATCCACGGCAACTTCATAAGAAATCATTATGGACATGCTATACAGATTTGCAATTTTTCTACGTCGCTCCTTGTGGACTTTGGCATCCATTAGTGCAAAAATGTTTTGCTTGTCTGGCTCTTCGGCCAGCAATGGCTTATAGAATTCCGTTTTCGTAAATTTACCTCCAAGCTCATATATGATCTTGATATCTGCAGGATTACTGAAGCTGTAACGATTCGGGCCGACACGAACTACGGGGCCTATGACTGGATATCAGCGGAATAGTCTACGAGTTACCTAAGAGACGTAACACACCGTATTTACTATGCAGACGAATGTACTGCATATTCGAGTCACCTTTCAGGACCCATCGGAGCTCAGTAAAGCGACTGACCCTTGCCCAGAAAGGGCCGGGGATTCTCCTTGTGGACGCAAAAAGCAGGCCATTAAGAAAAGGCCCGAGCCAATAGAAGGCAATGGAAGCTCCGAAGAAGATAAGCAATCTCCAGAGAACAAATTGAGTTTCATCGCTGAGTTGGTATAAAAACGACATGATGTTCCGTTGAAAGTTGCAGATTAGGATCGAGGGGCCCCGGAAGGTTTTGTCAGAGCGTTCATGTAGTTAGCTGTGAGACAGACTTCCCACCGTCGGTCTACAACTAATCTTCGATCACTAGAGTGGCAACCTTCGTCTAATTTAGACCAATGATTGAAATTCTTCTCATAGTCGCTCTCATTCAGTACGGGGACCCCGATAATAGTGGCGTTAGATCACGTTCCCCGTTGTGTTTGGGGTCCGGGGTGCGGGGGAAATTCAGGTGGGGAGGGGATTGAAGCGGGTGGGGTTAGAACTAGGAATAGCAATGCCATCCACCGAGGTGCGAGAGTCGCAGCCACCAAAGTAACCTCCAAGTGCGGCAATTGACCCCAACCGTTGGTGTGTTGAACCCACTAAGGGTGCCGACACTCCCAAAAGCGACAGTTGGACTCTTAGGAGGCGACAGGAATTCGATAGTTTCGCTTAACAGTCACACGTACTTCAGAGACGCGGTGCTTTGCAATGCTTTGATCACTCCAGCATCGATCTTCTTGAATTGGTAGAAAATGTAGTAGTTTCTGTAATCATTGTGGCCACATTGACGTCTACGCTCCCATGTTCGACATAATGTGTTACGCGATCTGAGATTTCTCTCGAGGTCGAACAAGAGACAATAGCGTCTTTGTCTTTCAAATTAAGAGCACTCAAAGTCAATTCTGAAACAGATTTATAGTCAGGTTATACATATCTCACCACATTTATCATTGGCAGCTTCAGTTGAACGGGCGGGAATGGGTCCAGTGCAGATAGAAGCTGTGTGGAAGTTTAGTTCGTTATGTGATACGTAGCATAGTTCACGTAGGATTGAAGTATAGCCAATTCCAGGATGGAGCTGACAGGCCAGCTTGCATGCTGATGCATCTAGCCTCTTTGCTTAGAGTTGAACGAATTTAACAACAGCGAGATGTCCCACTTGCTCACAAGAATAAAATCTGAAGCAATTGAATGCATGATCTTTGAGATGTGACTCTGATCTATTAATCTAGACATGCCATTTTGCCACTGGATAAAATTACTAGTCTTGGCCACTCACAGTCCATTTGTCGACCTTTTGATCTTAGTGAATTGAGTTACGGCAACAATAATTTAGACAGTCAGTAGATGCTAAAGCAGTCCTGTACCCATTCTGTCATGACGTTTGATCTTAAAATGGTCAGCTAACTTGTGACACGGAGATCAAAACAGAATGGCCATGCACTAACCTCCTCATACACATCGTAACCGTAAACAAAGCTTTGCTGTGCGGGATCGAGCCTTGAATTCTTCAGCAAAAGGCAGCAAATATTAGCAACAAAGCTCACCAATAGAATGGATAACCAGGCAGAGGCTCTGCCATTTGTTCATTCATTAAACGGTCTCGATGTTGCTGCTCGGATCCATCAGGCAGATGATTATATTGCCGCTAATTATTTGATTAGTTGGTTCAGGAACGGTTTGCCCGAGACTTGTTTGAAAGATATAATCCATACCTGGCGCATGCTTCCTTTCTGCAGAGAAGAGCTACGGGACTTTCTAAGGTTCTCGTATATCTGGAGGGTCTTAAAAAGGTCTTCGCGGCTGGTAGCTCGGGATAGCAGACTCCCCAGGGCGGCTCCATCCTCCAGTGACGAGCCTGCACCTTGGGCTAGGTAGGGAAGCATCGGGTGACAGGCGTCCCCCAAAAATACTACCGTGGCTTCAGAGTTGGACCATCGCTCTAACTCTTCCACTGGAAAAAAGGATATGGTCAGACTACTGCGCAATACTCGGTATAAGCAGCTGAGACTTACTGTGCATCAGCTTCCACTTATCCACCTTTTGAACCATAGATAATAGATCCCTCAATCTAGCTAGATCAATATGCTGTGTAAATGTAGGGTAGTGTGTATTACCTTGGATCCCAATCCTGAAAGATCTGTAACATTTCCCCGATATCTCCAGGAACTCTCGATACTCCTTCCGGAAGATTGTCTGGGACTAGGAGCACCAAATTGAGCAGCTTGTTGGCCTTGACGGGGTAGCAGATGACATGGCAATCTGGACCAGCCCATAGCGCGACTCTAGGTGTCTCGAAGAAGTGTCTCAACGCATCGTCTTCGATGTCTTGAACCTGCAGTATAACGCGATATGCGAGATCGCCTGTTGGGATTGGAGAATGGGCTTTACCCCAGAGAGATTCGCGACATTTTGACCACAACCCTGATTCCGTCAATTTTTAGTCTTAGCTAGTATGAACGCGGCGTAAAGCAAAGACGTACCATCAGCACCGACAATGAGATCGCCATGAATGTTCTCCCCATTCGCCAACGTGGCAGAGGGAATGCGTGCATCGATGTTAGTTACGAGCGCTCCGAACCTAAATTTGACTCCCAAGTCGGTTGCGCGGTCGTACAAGGCCAGCTGCAGATCCGCCCGGTGCATGTCCCAGAATGGACTCTTGTATTTCTCTACCATTTCCTTCCCATAACCCTCTCGTTTCCCCAGGATCTTACCATCGGAATATCGATGGATGGTGAATTCTTCTGGACTAGATGACAGATCCTTCAAAATGTTGCCCAAACCCCATCGTATCAGTAGCCTTGTCGCATTTGGTGTAACTTGAAGGCCGGCCCCAACCTGTACACTTTGTTAGAGGTATTAAATCCAAATGCACACAATCTTTCAATTACCTCAGCTAGCTCTGGCGCAGACTCAATAACTAGTACATCGTGCTCTGGCTTTTCCAGCTTGATAGATATCGCGGCAGCCAAGCCTCCCAGCCCCGCGCCGACAATGATGATCTTGAGAGACATATTGACTGATTTCGAAAGAATGTTGATGTTTATTCATGAGTTAAAAAAATCCTCGTTTGACTTGCGGGAGGTCCCAGTCAAAGATTAATATTGGCGAGCCACCCAAGTTATGAGAAGATATCGGTCATTATGTTGTGTGGCTCACCTTCTACTCGAGGCCACCCTACAACTGTAGTCCTCAAGCCCCACACAACCCACCCTACCCTACGCTAGGCAATTTCCATGATCCCAGTCTAGAAGTTGATCACAGTAGATATGAGAGCACCTCAAGCACTATACCAAAGGCTTTGGTCCGTCTCGCATCTTTCACGATTTACATTCTTGAAAACCAATGGCCAAGAACGAGCAAGTGGTCGGATCTCCTGCTTCGGCATTCGCCAGTAATTCCGTGATACCATTTTGGATCAATGGAGAGGAGGTGGTATCCGAATCCGAGTTTTCACTCATATCTCCGATCGACCAGAGGGTTTTATATCGTTGCTCGTCAGCTGGTACAGCGGAAGTCTCTAGAGCAGTTGAATCTGCCCAGAGCGCCTTTGTGGAGTGGTCCAAGACGAAACCGCGAGAGAGGCGAGATATATTCCTAAGAGCAGCAGATGAATTTCGGAGGAGAAAAGCCGAGCTTCGTCATTACAGCCTCACAGAGACTGGTGCATCCGAGGCAATGTTTGCTTTTGAACATGAGGCGGCTTGTCAAGCTTGTTACGATGTTGCTGGTCTGATCCAGATAGCTACCACTGGCACCGCGCCAGTTCTGGACGCAGAAGGCAGCAGTGGCGTAGTTCTCAACGAACCTTTTGGTGTCGTGTTAGGGATCGCTCCGTGGAATGGCCCAAACGTCCTCGGATTGAGGGCATGCCTGCAGCCATTGGCGATGTACGTCCGTTGCCAAAACCCAAGAAGGCGAAACCCAAATCCGTGCATTCTGATCATTATACAGGGGAAACACTGTCATTCTCAAAGGCCCTGAAGCTGCACCAGCAACATATGTAAGTCATCTCTCGCCTGAAGTAATGTCGCTAACATCCTTTCGCACAGTGGGCCATTGCTTCCATTCTGCATGCGTCTGGTCTCCCTGCGGGATGTCTAAATACATTGTACCACCGCCCCGAAGATGCAGCAGAAGTGACAAGCGCTCTCATCTCCCATCCGTCGGTCAAGAAGATCAATTTTACAGGTTCTACAGCTGTCGGTTCTATCATTGCCTCGCTTGCGGGCCAATACCTCAAGCCTACCGTTATGGAGCTCGGCGGTAAGGCTCCAGCGATTATATGCGACGACGCCGATATTGAACTTGCCGCGGTACAATGCTGCCTGGGGGCCTTTCTACACGCTGGCCAAGTTTGCATGTCTACAGAGCGCATCATTGTCAATGCCGCAATAGCAACGGAGTTTCGTGAGGCTTTGAAATCGGCGATGGTTAAGCTTTTTGGTTCACAGCAAACACCGCAACTGGTAAACAGCACCGCTGTTGTGAGGAATCATATGCTGATTTCTGATGCGCTCTCTAATGGCGCGAGTCTTCTGTACGGCAAGCTCAATGATGACTACGATCAAGCGTCGACCCGAATGCCGCCTGCAATCATCGAAAATGTTACACCGAGGATGAAAATATATTCCACGGAGTCATTTGGACCGACGGTGACTTTGTACATTGTGAATTCAGACGAAGAAGCCATCAAGCTAGCCAACGACACAGAGTACGGTTTGAGCAGCGCAGTTTTCACTGCAGATCTTTGCAGGGCCCTTCGAATTGCAAAGTCCATAGATTCGGGGGCTGTACATATCAATTCTATGACGATCCACGACGAGACAACGCTGCCTCACGGGGGTGTGAAAAGCAGTGGTTTTGGTCGTTTCAACAGTCTGCCTGGGTTGCAAGAGTGGGTGAGGACCAAGACAGTCACTTGGAAGGATTGAGCATGCACGAGCGATATCCGAGAGACAGTACAAGATCTGCCGTTTCTCGGAGCCGTGTCAGTGGATTTAGATAGCCAGCCATTTCCAATGCGATGAATTATCTACCGAAACGTAAAAAAACATTGTAGTACTGTGATCAAAGTGATAGATGGGTGGCTACAGACTCCTAGGTGTAGAATTTGGGTTGCAAGGATCTACTAAGTTCCGGTTTGGCGCGCTCGCGTATCCCACCCACCTACCAAGTAGGTGGAGCAATCCACTTACACAGTACGCTTTGAACCTACTTGTAGGATGGGGACCTCGAGGCCTTCCACCGAATGAAATAATGCTACAAGAAAAGAAAAAGATAATAGAATACGCCAACTCTTGGGTTAGCACAACTCGAATCAACTATCACAGACCGCATATTGTAATAGTTGCGGTTTCCCGTTTTTGACCTGCTGCCAACACATCTAGACATCAACACCCGCCTCAATCCTTGCTGTCACATATTAGTGGATGCACAACATGGAGAAACGCAATGCGAAAGCCCCCGAATTATATGACCTCACCACCGAAAACATCACCGCCAACGTGCATCTCGTCAACTCCTCGAATCCATCCCCACGATTCAAGTTCCTCCTCGAGCGCCTCGTCACCCACCTCCACGATTTCGCGCGCGAGACTCGGCTTTCTCAAGAGGAGTGGATGCGTGCCATCGAGTTCCTTACTCTCACTGGCAAGACTTGCACAGATGTCAGGCAGGAATTCATACTGCTGAGCGATGTTCTGGGGCTGAGCTTGCTTGTCGATAGTATCGATCATCCGAAGCCATCGGGATGCACCGAGGGGACGGTTCTGGGTCCGTTCCACACCCATGACGCGGAGCATCTGGATCACGGGGACAATATGTCGCATGACGAAAACGGGGAACCTCTGCTGGTCGTATGTACAGTCAAGGATATCAACGGGGCTCCAATATCAGACGTCAAGGTTGATATATGGGAGACCGACTCGAGTGGGAAATACGACGTACAGCACGCGGGACGTGAACGGCCGGATGGAAGATGCATACTCACGAGCAATGAGCGGGGAGAGTTCTGGTTCAAGGGGATTGTGCCAGTTCCTTATCCCATCCCGCACGATGGTCCAGTCGGTCAATTGTTATCGAAACTCCAACGGCATCCGATGAGACCGAGTCACATGCACTTCATGTTCGAGAAGGAGGGCTGGGACCCGCTCATTACGGCGCTGTACTTAAGGAATGATCCCTACGAGACTTCGGACGCGGTTTTTGGTGTGAAGAGGTCGCTTGTGGTCGATTTGGGGACGGTGACTAAGGATGTGGCATCACGATATCCTGGCACCTATGAAGGCATGAAATTGTTAAGCTATGACTTTGTGCTTATCACGGAAGAAGAAAGCCAAAAGCTCCGTGATAATAACAGTTTAGAGGCGTTGACGAAGTTTAATATTTCGGCTAAGATTGTGGACGGAGTACCAGTTCCTGATGTTGACTAGATTCACCTGTGGTAGCATAGTAGTCAAATAGTTTTTGTTGAGATTTAAGGATGGTAGCTCATCATCAAAGTCACAGCTCATCATACACATTGCTTCGAACTCGAATTAGGTCTCAAGGCCCTCTGTGGGTAGCTCCCCGATGTTTTCGTAGTCTCCGTGTGGGGTAGAACCGTAGTCGGTTGAGCTGCTTTCCACCGGGTGGGGCAGATGCGATGCCACCGAAGGCCACAGGTAGCTCTACAAAAGTTCATAGTACTTTTATTTTAGTTCATTTGTATCTAAAGAACTATTCTCTTCACTTTATACTACGATTCGATACGATTTGCAAGCATCGACAATTACGCAACATGTCACAGTTCACCTACACCGCTAATCCCAGTCGGGTAATTTTTGGCAGCGGCACTCTCTCGCAAATAGCCACTGAAGTCTCGACGCAAGGATTTACTGCCGCCATGATCTTATGTACGCCATATCAAGTTGATGATGCCCGTCGCATCGAGCACCTCCTGGGGGCGAAAGCCTCCCACATTTTCTCCGAAGCCACAATGCATACGCCCACCTCCATCACCGAAAAGGCTCTCGCCATCGTGGAGAACAAGAAAGTTGATTGTTTGGTATCAATCGGAGGCGGCAGCACGACAGGTCTGGGGAAGGCGATCAGCATACGGACTGGCATCTACCACATCTGCATACCCACGACCTACGCAGGCAGTGAGATGACGTCCATTCTAGGCCAGACCAGCCAGGGATTGAAGACGACGATCAAAGACCCTCGCGTTCTGCCCGGAACTGTGATCTACGATGTTGACCTCACCAAGACATTGCCTGCGGGATTGAGTGCAACAAGCGGCATCAACGCCATCGCGCACGCTGCTGAAGCTCTCTACGCGCCTGATTCCAATCCGATCATTCGGCTGATAGCTCGAGAAGGTATCCGCGCGCTCGCAGAAGCGCTTCCCGATATCATGAAAGACCAGGAGAGTCATGACGCGAGGTATAAGGCGTTGTATGGCGCGTGGCTTTGTGGGATGTGCTTGGGAAGTACGACTATGTCGCTGCACCACAAGTTGTGTCATACCCTCGGCGGCTCGTTTGATCTGCCGCATGCGGAGACGCATACTATATTGCTGCCGCACACTCTTGCATACAACTGTCCCGCAGCACCTACGTTAGATGCAGAATTGGCGGAGTTGCTGCCTGGAGGGTATAGTAGCGGGATCGAGGGCTTGAACAGGCTGTTGGATCAGCTCAATGTGAAGCGGGCTCTGAAGGACTTTTGGTTTAACGAAGATGACATCGATAGAGCTGCATCGATTGCAATGGAGAATCAGTACGCAAATCCGCGGAAAGTGGAGAGGGAGAAGATATGCGAACTTCTCAGGCGAGCGTGGGCTGGTGAGCCTGCGAGAGTAGATGGATAGGAAGTATAGGGCAAGGTGTTTAGATAGTTGTAACACATCTTATCCTGTGAATTTATGTCTTCCAAATCATTCAAATCCTTCCGGTTATTTTGGCTGATTTATTACTACATCAGAATGAAACAACAAAGGGCAATACAGGAGAAATCGATTTCGTACCTTGATGTCGCTCTGCCGTAACCACGACCACTAGTATCGAACTGAGAAATAGGACGGTCTTTACAGGACACTTGAGCTTTTTTACCCTCGTCGATTCTTCCCGAGCCTCCCTCCCCTTCACCGGGTCATCTTATTTCCCTTCCGTGTTCCTGTTGCGGTTGTGAGTGGGGAGGTGAAAGTCTTGGCGCGGTTTGCTCTATTACTAGCTTTACTTCTCCCACCTTCTCTCTCTCTTCTTTTCCTCTCCACCACACAACGCGTTCACTCAGTCGACCTATTGCTCTTCCTCTAGGTTCTTTTGAGGCTGAGTGCCGTGTCTAGTAGGTAGCCTGTCGAAGCTCTGTTGCGTACTCCACAGAGTACCCATTGAGACAAGACTGGCTGCTTGCTGTTCGGTTGCTGCTGTCCCGTCAAAGATAGCAGCTTCTGCGGACCCTTTGGGACTGCGGAAGTAAAACTTCAAGCCCAGCTTTCGGGTTGGCATTTTCTGGTGGATTACCTGCTCCGCACTGCTCCGCAGGGCCACCAAGTTCTCCCTGTGTCTCTTGCGGAGATATATGCCGACTTCCGTTGGCTACTGCGAACCTTAGGGATCGCAGGAAACTGTGTTTGGTGGGGAAGGGTTCTTGTTGACCCCAACCGCCTTTTTCTTTTCCCTCCTTGTCTCAACGACGTGGAACCCGGCTCCGGCCACTTAAGTCCAACTGTCGCTGGCAAAACCTTTCTACCGTCCTAACGGATCGTGGAAGCGGAATTGCTCTCGTGGGTGATCTCCCTCTGCCGTCTTGACTGACCGCGGAAGTGGAATTGCTTTTGTTGGCAAACTGCTTTATGCCATCCTAACAGACCGCGGAAGTATGTTTCATGTTTCGGGTTGAGCAAAGTTCGCTGGCCCTCATCTTTCCCCATGGCTTCGGCCACAAGTCCAACTTTTGTTGGCGATCCCTTCTGCCGTCTTAACGGACCGCAGAAGATGAGTCGCTTTAGTTGGCACACTGCTTGCTGCTGTCTTGCCGGACCGTGGAAGTAAGATTTATTGTTTTCGGTAGGGTGGAGCATTCCGCTTTGCCTCTTTTCCCCATGTCTCACGACATGAACCCTGGGATTATGCCCAACCCTCGGCTTCGGCCAAAAGTCCAACTTTTGTTAGCGATCCCTTCCGCCGTCTTAACAGACCTCGGAGGTGGATTCGCCTTTGTTGGCACACTGCTTGCTGCCGTCTTAACAGACCGCGGAAGTAAGTTTCTTGTTTCGGGTTGAGTGGAGTCGTCTACTTGCCCTCTTTTCCCTATCCTGACGGACTGTAGAAGTCGGCAGGGTGAAGTTTGTTTGTCTACCCTGCCTCTTTTCCCTGTGTCTCAACGAGAAAGTCCCAGGCTTCAGCCACGCTGTTTGGCCTTTTGTCGGCAACAGCAGGCGAGTAGTTGTGTGCTGCTCACCCGCCCTAATCCCTACGTCTAGACGACGTAACCCCCGGGCCCATGCCCGACTCTTCAGAGGAGGTTCTGCTCCTCTAGACCTGAAGAAGGCTTCTCTCAAACGATTGGTTCGAGAGAAGCATACCCTAAAGGCAGCGAAGACAGTGGCGCAGGAACGGCGACCCAACCAAGTCTTGTCGACTCTGAGACCCACCCACCAACTCTCACTTGATCAGACTGGCTACTTTGAAAGGGGGTCTGCGTACCCCATTTCATTTGATTCCGAGCTACCTGGACGTTATGGCGGCAGGGAGCCAACTTTTCGACATACAGGGACGACCGAACGACATCATCACCGACCATCACAGCACAGCATCTCAGCCCGCGTATCTAGCTTTTCAAACCCCGACGTCAGAACTCAGCATAATCACCATCGAGCCGACTTGTCGATCCCCAACTTTACCGAACTTCTCACGCGCTTATTTTCGGGCTTATCGCTTAATTCTTTTTAAATTGACTAACACGGCTTTCCTTTTCTTGACTGACATTTTAGGCTCTTTGCATTTCTTTACATCTTTCATACTATCATACCAAATACGGAGGAGAGGGGGAGGATTGCAGGAAGAATAGGAGGAGCACTGCAAGAAGAATAGGAAGGAGGAGGATAGGAAGGAGGGGGACACTAAGCAAGAGGCAAGGGAGAAAGTGATGGGGGAGGATGGGAACAATAAGTATAAGGAGGCGAAGAAAAATAGTGAGAAGGATGACAAGGACAGAGAAGAGAAGAGGGGGGGATATGAAGGAGGAAACAACTGATAGGGATGATAGCTCAAATAAATGCAAAGCAACTTAGGTCGGAGAATAAATACAACAACAGAGCATCAACCAACCAGACAAACACAAACAACCGCAACACCACCAATGTACCAAAAACCATCCAATCATTTCACCTCAAGTCTTCGACCCCAGGGGCCAGGAATCTCGACACAGCTCTCACACGACGAACTACCGCAATCTCTCAACCCCCTATTATAAAAGCAGGCTTTAAAGAAATGTTCAACATCCCACATAATAAAAGGGGGAACGCCGGCACCTGAACTGTCCAAGTACATTCTCAAACCTTACGACGTGAAGCACTAACACTAAGACCAACCGCAAACGGGTGATGGGAACCTAGGCCAACGCGGTGAGGAAAATTCATAAAGAAGTTTATGATTTTGTTCTGGATTTTTGGAGAGTGATTGTCTCCGCAACCAGGTTACTCTGCTTACGTGTAACTGTATATACATCATCTAACGATGCCAGACTATGTATATATGACCCCAGGGCATTGGAAAGAGATGAATAATTGAACATATGCAATTTTTCTCAACCGTCTTACTCAGCCTAAATTTCAAATGATATATCCCACGCCTTGCATGGCCACGTCACATCACGACAATCCCTCTTACAACTCCTCAAAGGAAATCATTATAAACATAAACATGAAAATAAACATCACGATTCATTACCTACCCCTCCCCTCCACCCCCTTCACCAAAAAATACCTCGTACAACCCAATAACGAACTTTACATCAACTTTACCACAACCACCCCCTCGATCATACACTCTCAGTACTCACGTCAGATACGCCCTCGTAACGCCGCTCAAAAACGGCACAAACGCGTGAATCGCAGCGATTGGCCCAATATTCGTAACGCAGAACGCGTCTTCGGAGAAGAAGACCCACCCTGTTACCCACATTAGCACCGCACACTCTCTCACACACAGGGAAAAAAGGGGGGGAAACGACTTACAAACCCAGAAAGTCCACGCAACAGCAAAGCTCGCCATACTCCACAGTCCCGCGCCGATACTCCACCACCTACCGAGTCTCAACCGTCCGGGCCAGAAGAAGCTGACGAGGACGAAGAGGTCGACGGCCGCGAAGGAGAAGTACATGACGACGCCGACGAAGACGAGCTGCGTGTAGTCTTCGTTTCCGAACCCGTTTACCGTCGTCGAGTTGTTGAAGAAGCCCGTGCAGGAGGGTTCCTTGAGGAGAGCTTGGAGGAGCCATGCGGCGGTGGGCAGGGACAGGAGGTTGAGGAGGCCGTTGGCGAAGAGGGCGTCCGTGGCGGCGCGCTTGTAGGAGGCGCCGAAGGAGGAGTAGAAGAGGAGGATGGCCCATTGCATGCGGGGACGCATCAGCCAGAGGAGGATGAGGGAGGTCCAGGAGGCGGGGTAGCCGCCGGCGCGGATGAGGGCGGCGGTCGCGATGGCTTGCACGACGACGAGGAGGACGGTGGAGAGGCCAGCCCAGGGGGTCCAGGGGTCGTGGGGGGATTTCTTGGTCTTGCCGAACTTGAGTTTGTTCTGGAAGGAGAGGCGCGACATGAGGATGCTGGAGGCGAAGACGATGACGTTGGAGAGGATGAGCGGGATGAGGAGGATGATGGGCTTGGTGCAGTTGTCGGAGGTGTGAGGCGCGGCGAAGCCGTCTGGGACGCAGAGGACAGTGGACTTGGGGGCGTTGGTGGGTGAGGCCTTGACGGTGATGAAGCGGTCTTCTCTGTCGGTGCAGAATGCAGATAGATAGCTGGTGGAGGAGTATATGCCCGAGGCGAACTTCAGATATCCACCGCAGAACCGGTTGCCTCCAGTGCTGATGTCGTCAGTCTTGTACGTAGAGAGGTTGAGGTGATTTACCATAGGAGACACTCGTCGGAGTAGCACGAAGCAGTTGCTGCCTCGTAGCCAGTAAGGCACGTCGAGTAGTTGTCGATGCAGCCATCGTCATTGCAGCAGGCGAATTGGTAGCTTGGTGTGAAGAATGAGGAACATGAGTAGCCGGATGAGCATTTGAGAGGATTATCTGCGGAGTCAGTATATCTGTCAACAGGACGCATCTTTGGACGCACTTATGTTTCCGCTAATGAAACCGCACGTCTCCGACCCTAGAGACGAGCTTGCCGCCCTCCTCGCGATGTCAATAGGGCGAGGTGCAGGCGTGATCAGCGCGCGAGCTGCTGCATCAATTGGCTCTGATGCTGCTATGGAATTGGACAGAGCAACAGCGCTCCACAGCAGGATAAGCATGTTGAAGAAGCTATCCCTTCGTGTACTTGGATGCCCGAATAAAGTCCGCAGTGCAGAGCAAGGCTGAAAAGAAGAAAAGTTCCATTGTGGCACTCGAGCGGTATAAATCTTTCCTTTCCGCTCAGCTCATAAAATGATTGATATTCTTCCCTTTCGAGGATGTGAAGCCACCAATGTCCAGGGCGAATGCTCTGGCGAGTAGGGCCACAGCATAAGCGAAGTGGCGCTACGAACGACAGCATCTGGACTGTACGGCTGAAGCAACGGCCAAGCGAATGCTTCTATCTTTGCCTGTGGCTAGGGAATGTGAATATTGGAAGGCCGTTACTGGCTGCATGCGCCGCCGCACGTGTGAATGTGTGTTGCAGACCCTGGACGTTGGGCGAGGCTGCGACTGCGATGTTCTCGAGGCTGAACGTCCAGACCATTCAGCGAGGGCCTCGCGCTGGATTTGGATATCGAACAGCAAGGGAGTAGGGCCGAGGGGGACTGCGTGATCTACAACGTTGATCATTGCTGGATCGGTCGTTATCGTTCCAAATTGGACACAGCGGGATAGCAAAGGGAAACGCAAATGGTGTTCACCAATATCCACAATATAAATAAAGTGATGCGACACGGAATTTATTCGAAAGGCGCGTGATGATGAGGTGTGGTATGATTGTATGTTCACTTACATAGTTCACGATATCAAAACTATGTACAAGCGGTCGGAAAGGACAATGCTGGGCATTCAAAGACGCGCAAGGCGAGTATCGTCCGAAACAACCTACATTTGAAGTGAGCATGTTGTTCTAGAGGGGGAAACGCAATGGAATTAGATTGGAGCTCAGTCAAAGTCGGTATGCTGATCAAGTTCAAGAAAGAGAACCCCGAGTGAGCGATAGGATCTTTGCAGATCATAAGAATTAACGTGACCAGACATTGTCGAGCGTAGAAACCAATGCGACGAGGATCATCCAGCATAGAATCAATGTAATGAGCATTATGGAGGAACACCGATGGGACGATAGGAAGTTGCATATCCGTATTCGACGTTCGAGATTGTACATTCGAGTAGGGCCATCCCTGATTGATAAGGCTAGGTGCGGTCGCAATTCGGCGGAACTACTGGTAAGCGTTCAATGGGGCGATGCGGGGAGAGAACCACGTCCGTTCTCTCGATTGTTAACTAGATGGTAGTTCCTACAATGGTAAGTTACGCGGGCATGAAAGGCGGACGACGAGGCTGACGATATGTCCTGGCGCTTATGGGCGAATTGATCGTCAATTATGGGAATCGAATGAGACATAGCAATATGTTAGCGATTGTCAGACAGAGCCAACCCGGGAGCACAGACAATCTAGTCGCATATGGGAATTGTTGCAAAGAGAAACATCGACATGGTCGCTTTGGGCAGCACTCGACAGTTGCGTAATTGAATGGACGTATGAGTAAGACGATGAGTCGACCGCCGTCAGGACGAAATTGACTGTTATAGTAAGAAGAGACAAAAGAAACATTACGGCGCATCCGCGCCCGGCAGGCGGACTTGTGTGTTTGTTTGTTTGTTGTGAAAAGCCACAGATGTATCCACTTCGAAACTCCTGTTGTCGATGCCAAAGCATGCCACCCTTACCACCGTGAATACATCCGAGCACCGAAAATGCAGCATCGCAAAATGGAAAGGAAGAAACAACAGAGAAACGGAAAGAATGTCATCAATGTCGTCAACCAAGAGGATATCCCGCAACGCACGCACGCAGGCAACGCAACCCAACGAAACGATCCGGAGCTTCGCCAAAACACCATTCGAGATATGTCCAGCGGGGGTCAACACGCCGAAGTAATCGCGAGATACTCATTTCGACCTCTCGAGGCTGGTTGTCTTCGCGAGTAGGGCCCTATCGTCGTCGTTCATGTTGTCCACCTTTTCGACCAGCAACTTCTTCAGGAACGTGTTCTCCCGCTTGAGGCCCTCGACCTCGTTCTCGAGCTTCTTGGTCCGCTCCTGCATGTCGCGGCTCTGCTCGAGCATCTGCTGCTCCCGCTGCTTCTTCTTCTGGCGGAATCGAGCGCTGGCGGCCTGGTTCCTCTTGCGCTTGTCCTCGTCGGCCTCGACGGGGATGGTTTCCTCAGACGGAGCCGAGCTTGCGGTGCTGTCTGGATAGGGGACCGGGTAGGGTGGATAGGTTGATTGTAGAGGAGAGATTGTGCCAAGGTCATCGATGCGTGGCGCACCGTGGACGGTATGGTCGTAGTGATGGGAGACGCCGTTCATTCCGTTGATTGGGCTTGTGAGGGCGGGGTATTGGGTCCCTTTCCAGGAGGATTAGTTGATTGATTGGCATAGAAAGTATGGGGGTTCAGAACATGGGGAACCGGTAAGGGGGAAGAGCGAGGAGGAGGCGAGGTCGTGGGGGAGGCGTCAAAAAGATGGGGAGAGGAAGGATGGGGGAGTGAGTAAGGGAGAACTGGAGGAGGAGAGAAAGAAGGAGAGGAGAGTGGGTGAGAGTAAGTGGAAGGGGATAGAAGAGGTAATGACCGTGGGGTAGGAGGAGGAGGAGGAGAACGAGATGGGGAAGGATATGACATTTGGGAGTAAGAAAAGGGTAATTGATAGGATTACGATGGGTAATAAGGGGAATGGGGGAGAGGATTGGTTGGTGGATGGTGGTTGATGGATGATGGGAGTAACATTGGGTAGTGAATTGGTGGTAACATTGGGTGAGGATTGGTGAGGATCGGGTGGTGAATGGGGGTCGTGATGCAAAGTCACGTGTGATTGCGTGCAAACTAGTGGAATGACGACATCCACAACAGCAACTCGGAATTACGCGCCAACCTGGCAGGAAGGACGCGGATGCGGATGCAGACGAGAGAAAGAGGGAATCCAAGCGAAGAAGGGAAATAAAAACATAGACTGTGAGGGGAGTTAAGCGCGGGTGGTGGTCGTGTTCCGTCGCCAAAGGATTTAGACAGGTCGTAGTGCGGGTATGCAATATGACGATGGATGCGTGGGTGAAGACGTGACCGAGAAAGACGACAAGAATATTGGAAAAAAGGCAGCAGAAAAAGAGGAATGAAATGAGATGAATGAATAATATTGGTGGAGTGAATGGTAGATGATATATCGATCGAACATACGAAGAGAGATGGATCAAACTCACTACGAAGCGCATCGTGGGTGGCCGCCATGCCGTGCGACGGGGCAGATGACCCGAACGGACCCCCAAACTCGAAAGCCGAGTGCTCGTGCTGGGGTGACAGCTGCTGCTGATGCTGGTGAAGTTGGTTCTGCTGTTGCGCACCGGAGGCAGTGGCAGCGGCAAACCAGTCGGATGAAGTCGAAGATTCCAGGATTACTGGGTCCACCAGGGGACTGAAGTCGGGATCAAGTCCAGACAAATTCAGACTTGCAGATACTGCGGTGAAGGTCGGCGCTCCAGAGCTTTTCTGGCGATGATGATACGGTGACATTACTCTCCATCAGCAGCAGCAGCGTCGTCGGTGCCAGGAGCATGCGGAGACGGGGGGTAAGGAAAGGTCCGTAAACTATCGATGTGACAGGGTTGACCGGGTTTTTATGTGATGTAATTTCAGTTGATAGTCGTTCTCCTCGTCGTGGCCGTTGTCGATGTTGTCGATGTTGTCGGTTTTATTGCGAGGCTATGAATTCTTTTTGGTGAGTGAATGTCGAGTTGAGTGGTCGTGGTAATGGTAGTGGTAGTGGTAGTGGAAGTGGAAGTGAGGAAGTTGGAAAGGGAAGAAAATGAGGAAGTAAGATGTAAGATGTAAGATGTACGGAGTAAGAAGGGAAGAGTTGGGAAGTGGAATGTACGAGGTGGAGTTAGTTGTCAGGTAAGGAAGGCGTGGGAGGGTCAGGGTAGGTACTAGGGTAGGCACACGTAGGTAGGGATGAAGAAGGAAGGAAGCAAGCAAGCAAGCAAGCAAGCAAGAGTAAATAATAAAGAAGGAAGGGAAGAAGGAAGGAGGGGTTGCTCAGATGCCTTTCTGGTTGGTCGGATTGGAAGTATTGGATCAATAGACGTCTTGGTGATGCGTTGAAAAGGAACAGCTCACTCACATTCGACTTCCCACCACAAGCGAGGGCGAAGGCGCGGAAGAATAATGGAATGGAAGAATAAAAGAAGAGGATGATGCTGATTATTATGTTCAACGACCTGGTTGGATGCGATCTAGGTCGTAAGAGTAGTCGGTCCAGGAACGGTCGGGGGACGGCGTGGGTTTTAATCGTCGCAAACCGCAAGGCGCGAGGAGTTCCCACCGGTTGGGGTTCGAGGGTGGAGTCGGTATTGCAACTACTGTGTAGTAGTACGAGTAGTTATTGTAGATGGTTTACTGTGGATTATTGTATTATTGTACGAGTGGATGCGGGACGAAATGTGAAGCAGTAGCGTGCTACCGTCTATCTACGTTATTGCCGTGGAGATGTTCGTAGATGTAGTTCTTGAAGATTACCGTATGGTCCGTATAACGAGTAAAAACAATCTTGTATTCGTGCGGTACAGTGTGTGTAGGTACAGAGGCAAGTAGATGCCCAGGTACGTGGTAATGAATCGCAATAGAATGGTGGTCCTTGTACTGGTAATGGTGGTAACCTGCACTGTACGGAAGATGAAGATGAAGATGAAGATAAAGACGAAAACAGAGACAAAAGCTGAAGGACGGCAATAGGATGCATGTATATAAGAATAGGGTAGAGTGCCGATGCGACGTGATGTGATGTCTTCCCTCAAGCAGCTAGACGAGTACGAGTATTGTCATAGTGTGGGTGGGTGGTTTTTTCTCTCTCTTGCAAGTTACAAGCCGCATCCCATGTTCCATCCCATGTTCCATCCCATGGGCTTCCCCACTCAGCCTGCGCCGCATCATCATCGCCAACCAACATCATCATCTTTGCCTTCATCATCTATGGATCTCTCCTCACTTCCGACATACTACCGCCACCACAAAGGGCAGCATCACGGGCTAAGAGACTAATTCATAACCCTTTCATCTGGTATTTTTCCCTGCAGGTATCCCGTCGTGCAGTCCTTAGTCCGTACCCTACCTTGCCCTACCGTACGGTACTTTTTGCTTCCCGTCTACTACCTACTACTACGAGGTACCCTCTAGTCTTGGTGATGCCATACGAGTAGTCAAGATACCTGCGAGGATCAGTTCCCTGCACATTCATGATCTTAAACATAAATGTACCTCGGAAGAAATACTTCTACCCACTACAGCTTACTACGACTCCCTCCATCGCTAGGAATTTATAAACCTTGATAGTTCATGCACAGTGTACCCACTCGCTGTTGTCTACTGCCCAACTACTGCCTGCCTGTAACCCTAGACCTCGCCAGGCCATGTATTTCCTCTGCCTCGACCAACCCTGGGCCCACTCTCCCCGTTCAACACTTTCAACAGAAGTACTTACCTAGGCACTTCTTCTATAATTCCTTGAACTTGACCTCGACTTGACTCAACTTAACATGACTACTGTTACAGCACTACTTCTCTCCAACTTACTCAGCTTCTTTTGTCTTGAGACTGGGTACACCGTATTTTAAGACAATATAATTCCCTCCTAACTATTTCCCTGGATCCCTAGGCAAACCTTCATGGACGTTGCCACCCTAACCCTCCCCTTCCCCTGCCTGTACCCATACATTCACCCTCACGGGCCTCACCCATCGAACGTACACACCCCCACGTCGGTACGTAACCCGTCACAAAAAGGTACCACCACCCACCTACCTCCCCGAGCCCAGAACAAAGTCCAGCCCAAATAATCACCTGTAAATGTGTATACTCAAAACATCTCCTTCTCGAATGTGTAGGTAGGTAGGTTCGCATGGAACCGCATGTCACTCCATCGTGGGGGCGGGCGCAGAAGGGGGAGGAGGGCACGCGACTGTCGCTCCTGCCGCTGGGAACAAGTACCTAATACAGCCACACGCACATCAGCATCGGCATCAGCAGCGGCAGTAGCAGTAGCAGAACAGGACCAATGTACCAGATGGAGTGATTTGAATCGAACAATGATTACCGATAATGGGACTACCATCCTTCACGCCCTTTGATTGATCAAATCTTCTAACCCTCACCGACGTCCTTGCCATCGGACGAATACACAGCAAGCTATCAGATCGAAGTAACTACTACTAGGCCCAGCTGCCCACGTCGGCGGCTCCGGACTTGCACGGCTGGGCCTGCCTACGCTACATGTAACGATGGCGTCGTCAAGCTCATGGGTACTTCTTGTACAAAGACACCACCTCCTCTACAGCCAGTCGCCAGTCGCCAGTCGCCAGTCGCCAGTCGATCCGGACTGCACGAGTAGTACATACGTGAACGTTGTACGGTCCTGGTATCGGTACCTGAGCCGATGCTGGGACTGGTAGCTGTAGCGTAGGTACTGTACCATACCAAGACTTGTTGGATTGCAAAAGCAATCGCCCTACCGCGCTTTCTGCTCCCGAAACCCTGAGTCTTGGGTTGGAAGGGTCGGGTACCTGTTCCAGTATCTTTTTAGCTGTTTGGTTCAGAACTACTTTGTATTTTTGTTTGTTCGTTGGTTGGGTTATCTGTTCGTGCGTTCATATGCTCTAATATAGGTCAGATAGATACCTAGGTAGCTACCTAGGTACGCAGGCGTCCGAGGGAGAGTTACATATTACTTAGACATCGTGCATTCTTTCACTTCCCGTTTCCTTTCGTTGCTATTCTTATTATTTCGCGTCCGAGGAGTTCTGAATATTCATGTGTGGATCCTCAAGATAGTACTATGTTGGGGGGTGGAGGATGCTTTGTTAGGGCGAGATTGCGTGATATTTCACCACCGAGAGCGCACGCCCATCGGAAAATTAATCTTTGCGAAAGGAACATTTCGGGAATATAATGAAGATGGCATTGTAGTGAAATAGTTATGACAACGGGAATGGTAATGCAGAGAGGACTATCGGGTTTGGGTTGATTCAGTCGGTTTAGTCGGGATGTGGAGGAGAGGCGACGGGGAAGTTGGTTGTCTGAGTGCAGGGTTGAGCTAGATCCTTATTTCTGTGGCCGCCTTTCATAGCTTCACAATGCTTAAGCATTCAATATCAATTCTAAAGCAGATGTAGACATGGAAATGGAGTTGTGGTGGTTTGATACCTGCGCAATGTAGGTGGTGATTAACTCTGGCACGTGACTACTTCTTTCACTGCTGCATTCATCGTTCACTGTTCACACGTTCACCTCGAGTTGCATCTGCGGTAGACTCCCGACTCGTCAAGTTATTCTCCATCGCTGCAGTAGCGAACTAGAGCGCTGTCAAGACTGCATTCGATGCCGTGGAGAAGTGAAACTCTTCTGCCTCCCCCTGTCTAGACGCGAGGGAAGCAGGAACGCGAGCACGACGACACTGTGTGAAAACACGACATCGTATACCAAGCTTTCTTCTGTATCTCCACAATACTTCCATCCATTTCTTGCCATCTGTTCTTTCTCTACACCTCATCTCCATCGACTTCGACGCACTTCAACATACTGTTGTGCTCCTTCTCCTTCCCATCATCTTCTCTCTAGCAATCATCTCTCTTCATCACCAGCTCTATCTCTCGAGTCTCCAGTACCCCAACACCTCCTCATCTGCCACGTAACACCCTCGCTTGCCGTCCACTCGCTTTCCATCCCACATCCCCAGACCAGCAGCCCTCCACGCTATCCCCTTCTCCCAGCCGTCGAACCAACAAACGACCGATGGATTCATTCCTCTCACCCGCTCCTGCCGCCGTCACCATCGCCCATCGCCGCACCCCAATATCCCTACCCCACGCTTCAATGAGAGTCAGTCTCATGCACCTCCGGACGTAACCCGCGGGGAGGCACTTGGCGGTGGTTGACACATGAGTGTGGGGCGAGAGGAGATACCATCGGATCGGACCTTGTTGGTTTTACCGACGGAGTGGCTCAATACCGCGATTTCGAAATCTGAGTTCTTCTCGTTGATTAATCGAAGTTGAACAGACCATTGTAGAATGTTTAGTATACCCGGAGTACTTTCCTACAGCGTGCTCTTGCATCTTTGGATGACAGCTTCCCCCTGACAGGAAAACACTTCACCCCTACCCAACTAACAGTGCAGCTTGAATGAGACAGCACACGACGAGACAGTGAAATCTGGTTGCGATGAGTCATTGAGACTATCTCACAATGAAAGACAATTGTGCAGAGACAATCTCAACAAGACTTAACACTGAATGAAACATAGTTCATGAACAACACAACGACAGACTACGCCGATATAAGGACCCCGAAAATCATCTATTCCTACTAGCTCCCCATCAACATCGGTCCGTAAACACAACCTCGTTCGGCGGGCCATTTCTCAACATGCAGTCCAACTACTACACCATCCTTGGCCTCGATCCCTCCGCAACCCTCCCTGCCATCCGCGCGGTATACAATGTCCTCGTGCTCGAGCACCACCCAGACAGGACGGCGAATCTAACTGAAGATGAGCGCACCACACATGCTTCGATCTTCCACAGCGTGCAGGAAGCATACAACGTCCTGGGCAACCCCGCTTTGAAAGAGACATATGACAAGGAGCTTCAGAACTTCGCATCGGCGAATGTCGGACTGTCAACGTCGCACTGCGCCCGTAGCACGCGTAGCGACCATGCACGACCATTTCCAGCGAATAGCACCGCCGCCCACCCTCCGACCGAAGGCGAGAAGACTACAATGAAATCTAGAGTCGAGGCTCAAATGACCATCTTCCGGCTAGAGCGGGCAAGACGCGATGAGGTAGATAAACTCAGGTCGGTTGCTCACCTGAAGCATGTGCTCGAACTGTGGATGGATCAGATGGCTGTGGATAATCTACCTCCACATGAGCGCGCATACTGTCAAATCAAGATCCACGAGTATGAGCAAAAGATTGCAGAGCGCAAGGGCCAGCACGAAGCATGGCTCAAAGAGATGTCGACACCGAAAGCAAGACAGGAGAAGACGCCCAACCAATCATCGCGTCCATATAAATACACTCTCTTCTCTGGGCCGAGTCGATCGCCGTCCACAAGCTCGTCGTCCCGAACTGCGTCTCCCATGAGCGATGCCGGCACAACATCGACACGGGCACGAGCACGCGCGAATGCCAAAGACAATCAAGACGCATTGAGGAATGCTCGAGCAACGACAGCTTCCACTGCGCGACGGTCCACTACCGTGTCTTCGAGTGCCAACCCAGAAGACCGGCCGCTGAAGTACCGCTTGTTCAGGTAACTAGTGTTGATGCATGACTAATTACGAACATGACTCGCATGCCGAATGCTAGAAGGAAGATATGTTCCTTCGGGCACCACGTGCGGACGAACGTTCAACAAGATCTCTATCTGTATCGAGCAAGCTTGCAGCTCTTCCTTGTCTTGGCACTGGAGCATCTCCGTGATGACTTTTTCTATAGCCATCCATGGATAGGTTTGTGCCAACACACATTGTGAAGAAACATCATTAGTGTAAGTAGGCAATTGTACCTAACAAAGAAATTCTTCACCTTGAACACATTGACAATCAAATTCATTTCTAAATCCCTCTTTGTTCCTATATACCAACCGTGACAATTCCCCTTAACCTCATCCCATCCCTTCGCAACCCAACCATTGAGAAAACAAAAAGAAGTAATTATCACTATGTCCCAACAATGACGCAACATCAAAACCCTCCCCATCCGACTTCCGCGCGGAAACAATTCCTCGGCAGCTAACATAAGCAACCTCACAAAAAAATCCAAGATTTCCAAAGTAGCACGCAATCCCCATGCTCCCATCGCACACGCACGCAATAAGGCGTGCTCGCTCCATCCTTAAAAAAGGGACCCACGCACCCACACCACACGCACCGATTAGACGCATTGCTGTACTAAGCTAGCGACCGAGAGTAAGCGCAGGCGTCATAGGCTACGCGGGACGGGGGCTAACTAGACGGGGGAAGGTGTAGATCTTGATGGGAGATGGTGGGAAAGACGGTGCGCGGGAGCTAGAGGGAATACGGGATGCGGTAGCGTTTAGTGTAGGTGTGGTGTAGGGGTCGTACATCGAATTTCTGGTACGGTAAGGTGTAGTTGTGAGGCCGTGGGATGTACGAAGGTTTTTGTTGGATTTGCTACGGTGGATGCGTTTGCTTGAGGGTGCATCGTGAGAATGGCTTTGTGCGTGGTCGGTTTGTGGGGTTTGTTCTTCTGGTGATTGAGAGGAATAAAGAAGAGAGGGAAGCATTGGAGGGATGTTGCATAGATCATAGCATTGTTCATTGGCGTAAAGACAGTGGTTGTGGGAGAAATGAGATTGGTAGAAAATAGCACGGATTGGTGATGGTTTTCTCCAGGTGTTTTTTGGAGTTGGTACATGGCTGTTCCCAAAGGTTTCAGGAAGATATGTAGGACTGCCCATAGCTTTTCAGGATTAGGTCTATTCCATTGAGTCGTCGACTTGAGGACCGGTTTAGTATATATAAGTCTCTCTGGAGAGGGCAACAGGTCGACTGACGATGGAGAAAGCACTGTTGATATTGATATCGATATAATGCTGGTCCTTTGTTATCCTATTGGCATTGATTAGGAGAATGGAATCCCATAACGCAAGAGAGTGTATTGGTTCATTATATACGCTTTCTCTATCTATCCAATTCTAAGTCGTCTACGCTTTAGATGTACACTTGCTCTTCTGTGCCGTAGTATTGGCAAGATTAATCAGCGTCTGGTCTTCCATACTCTCCGCAACCGCTAGATCAGCCTCAAGCTCCTTCATCAACCAGTGCCGGATCTCAAAAGCCACCAGTGACTCAATGCCGATAGAAAAGATAGGCATGGTAGGATCAATATCGATTGCCGGGATATTGAACAGCTTCGACAACTTCCCAATCAGTGCTTGCAATAAAACCTCTATGGCTTTGTCATGGGTTTCCGCGGCAGCAAGTAATTCTATTGCACGCACTTCATTCGATCCTTCATCGTCTTCCGACGTCGTTGCAGCGTTCATCTGCCTCAGCACGGCGCAGATGGTGTTCCACGCCCAGTAGATCTCGCTCTCAGTAGACGGCTTGTAGTTCTTCATGTTTCCCAGCCCAGATACGAGCTGCGTCTGCTGCGGCGAGGTGACCTGGTTGCCCAGATCGCAGCAATAGCCCAGGGTATTCATGAACCCATTCTTCGGCATGCCAAAGTACCCCTCACGCACCAACATGTTCGTCTTGTCCGTCTCGGTGGCCCATCCAACGCCAACGATCAAGCCTAGGTCGAACCTCCTACCTCGCTCGCCGTTGATGTGTCAGTGGCGCATGAGAGAGTCTTGGAACGTGCAAGCGGCGTTGTAGGCGACCTGCAAGCGGACACCCAAGACACCCGCGACGTAACTGAGGCAGACGAAGAAGTCCAAGTCCTTGAGAAGGTTGTTGTGTAGGTTCCATGTATCCTGGGCGTTTTGGTGCGAGCGCAGCGTGCCAGTCTTCGGCGTTGAGGTTGCTGATAATGCCTTCTCGGAGGACCATGGTTGCTTGGAGTACGCCCTTCACTGGCGGCATGGTTTGGCTTGCCTCTTTCAAAACATCCTTTAGTATTTTCTCATCGTAAACATCGCAGGGAGGAGCTTTGATGTTGACGCCTTTGGCTGTCAGATCTTCGAGAAGGGTTCGAGCTCAACCAGAACGAGGATGTTTCTTGCGCCTTGCTCTGCGAGCCAGCATGCGATGGCGCGACCGATTCCACTGGTTTCACCCCCGAAGATGTATGTTCCATCGGGAGAGAATCTGCGGTTCGTTGCGCGTGGTGGTGCGATCTGTTAACTATGTTAGTCATGGGTGAATGCATGTTTCAGTGGGCGAATTACCTTCACGATATCGTTCGTGTGGAAATGTACCACGGCTTTTGAACCAATATCCGTGCCGTATTCTAAAGCCTCAGCTGTTTCTGAAGTAAAGAAAGTCTTTAAGTTGATAGATTGATCGATATCGAAAAGTCCCGGGATGGATTCTGAGATTTGTGCGAATCGTGACGCACCTCTGAGGCTCTGAAGAAGCTGAGGGATTTGCATACTCGAATACGTGATATTGTGTGGTAAGGACTTTGAAGGTTGAGATGAAGCAACGTTGACGAATCATCCAAAGGGTGCTAGATATTCCGTCAATTGATGCATTTGTTCGCTGATCAGGGTGTTGATGATTGTGTCAACGTTGAAGGAAGGATCCGTAGGGAATCCTAGCGCAATCAAAACCATTATCTGCTCTGGCGGCAGATCCAGCTGGCGAACCAGTTCTGTTTTCTCTGACTCGTCAATTGCTGTTATGTATGGTATAGAACTGAACGACTTCGCTATCTTGATAGCAATGAATCGGAAATCGGGATCATGCGATGCGACGAAGACATTCTCGTATTCCTGAAAGTTGCAGGATTATCAAGGCCATGATACGCTGAAATAAGTGACACAGGCAGGGTCGCGGCTCGTGAAGGTGTCAAATGATCAGGTTCCTAGCCGCATCCGATCGATGCCTTTGCGTGGACGAAGCTCGCGAGACTGAAGTTTTGGAAAGCAGGTCCGTAGTTGTAGCCCATATTTGATATGCGAGTGAAGTATTGCAATGTATCGACTCGACTACGGCACCCCTTTAATCGTTCTACGAACACTCGCGAAAGAGTCTCATCGTCGGCTGTCGCTGCAGGTTTCTTACTGTGGGCCTGGACGACACCCTCACAAATCACTCTCACATCGTCTCCTTCGAAAGTATACATGTAGAACCCATGTGCGGAACCATCGCGTCGTAGATTGATTTGGGTCTCAGCCTCCCCACTATTAGGTATGTCAAGCACACGTTCAAATCTGACATCCTTGAATTCGAAGGGAGCGATTCTCTAACCGTCATAATCGTTCAATTGTCTCACAGCCTCTATGGCCACAACTAGAAGTGCGCCTCGTGGGTAGATGATTATGCCATTTATATTGTAGTCGCTTAGCCATGGATGCTCCAATAACCTGACAATGTGTCGCCATCGAGGCTCTTCGCCGTTCCAGTCGGAGACTTGATTGCCCAGAAAGTCGTGACGAAGAGACTTTCTAAATCTGTGTGTTCGTTCGACGCGACCCCCATGCCAATATTTCGTCGCATGGTTGAACGGATAGACGAGTAGGTCAACCAGCGTCTTACAAAGGTTCACCTTTGTCGATTCTCGCCTTGCCTTCGAGAGGTCTATTGGGTCACTTTTGCACCGGAGCCGACCAATTGAATAAGCCACAGTCTAGAGGGGATTTTGTCCTCGTTGGAATAGCGATTCGTAGCCCACTCCTTTTTCTTCATTTAAGTGAGCTACGATATCCTTCACTCGGCGCTGGAGTACACTGTGCGATCCGATCTCGAGGATTGCTGCGGTTCTTGGTAAGATTTGGTGAATGCTGAAAGCATTTCTGTCACTGCACCCAGGAACTGAACCATATAGCATAGATTTTGGATCCAGTAATTCGGCATAAGTAGCTTACTTGCTGCCACTTCAGTGCCTGTGACTGTTGAAAACATGCGAGCAGCGTCCCGTTGAGGCTTAAGTACGGCCGGGCGGGTCGAACCCTTCTGAGAGCCTCAAGTACTCGCCTGCAACTTGACTCATGAATATCGAATGATAGGGAACTATTACAGCGAGCTTCCTTGCAAAAGAACCTTCGCTAGCCATTCTATCGTTGGTTCTAACAAGCTAAACACGCAGGCGACGAGGAGATTTGGCCAGTCAGAGTGTGCGAACACTCTACAGCAACGAGAATATAAAGAGAATTAAATGATATGGTCAGTGACTACCACGCTTTAACGTATCACAATACAAGTCTTGAGTGCTCCGTAGCTGCACTGAAATTGTCGTCGCACGGCGTCAGCCATTCTTTTTTGTAATTATCTATGCTACGTTCAGTCCCTCCATGAGCACGTCGCCAATACGATGCAGGAAGTCCTCCATGAATTCTTCCTTCTGCCAATTCTGGTTGAAGCATGCGTTGATGTAGAAGATCCCGTTAAAGGTCCATTGGAAGACCAACGGTGTTGTAACCATTGAATCCAAAACAGGCTCCACTCGATTAACCGATACGGGCCTTGCGCCTTGGTACAAGCTTTGGATCTTCCCGTCGACTACACCAATACTGCTTAGCTGAGGCTGTGATGGGAGCGGGAGGCCCGGCGGTGGCGGGGCCCCGAACGCATCTGCCATCATCCCACAGAAAGTCTCATAAGCATCGAACAGAGGGAACTCATCTCGCCCCACTGGCTGCTTGTAAACTTTCTTGCATGCCTCGGTCTGGGTGGCGAAGTCCCCTGGAGGTAAAGAGAAAGGCAATCCAAGCATCTATACGCCCATGGGATACTGTCGCGTATCGTTGTAAGGTGCCGGCAAATACTTTCGATAATCGAAGAATGCCACGGTAGTGAAATTCTTTGCCAGTGCAGACTGATATGCTTTTTCTTGGGTGACAACTGCGAGCGCTGCATGAACCGCGACAGCAATGGTTATGTTCTTGGCCCTGCAAGCAGCCAACAGCGCTTCAAGCTTGTCCTGTGCGAAACTGATATGCTTACGGATTGTCCCTCCTGGTCCCATTGGAGATGCTTCCACTGGCAAACCAATTGAGGGTAGATTGCTCGCAAAGTCCATGAACTTGGCTTGTGCTTTCTGAACTACTCCCGGCCCAGTGGCGTTTTCAGGGAATCCTGCCGCGTCGAAGAGAGAAGGTGGAAGGTTTTTAATCTCGTCACCAAACTGAGGATTCGGAACTGCAGCCCCTTCAGCATAGAGCTCTAGAAAGCGGTTCGCCAAGTGCAGGCCCCCGATGCCGTCAATCAGCCAGTGGTGCGTTCTCAACAGGATCTCTGATGATTGCGGGAAGTAGTGCACAGACGACGCCTCAGCCCACATCGCCTGGATGAGGAACTGGTCGACTGATATGTCTTCATGGACGAAGAACGATTCCAAAACCCATTGTTCCATTACATCCTCGGTTGGTGTCGAATACTTGTATTTGTTCTCCTCTAGCTGGATGTCAGTGGCGATGAACGGGTGGTGGTACCGCAGCTTTACCCACGCCTCTCGGAGCGCAGGTACTACCCCATCCTTTGTTTCCTTCTCTGATCCGAATGAGACATTGAGAATGATGTTGAGTGCCCAGTTCTCTCTCCCCAGTGGTTTGAAGGGAATTGCAACGGCTTTGAGGAATCGTTCAGAGCTGTCCAGTCCGCGCTCCACTCGCCCAGGCGCAGTCTCTTTCCAGGGATGCTTCATGTTGGAGAAATTCAAAGGTTTTCGGCTTGTATGCGATGAATAGGAGGACAGTTAAGATGGAGGGTAAACGATTGCAGAAATTTCTCTCGGTGGGACTCTTCGAAGTATGTAGTTATTTGCCAGTGCTACGCCGCATCGCAAGGAGCTTGGCGCCGGTCAACGGGCCACCCTCCATCATCACCATCCAGCTGCGCATGCAAGCCCTCCGGATTGTTCATGATGACCCATCGTCCCAGGCCAAGTTCCATCATCTTCATATCGACTGCGATGATTGGAATGAACAGAATCTGACAAAGTGTGATTAGGAGAACATCGATATAGAAATACGCCAACCTCCTCACGACAACGAGTAGTATTCAGTCATCCCATGAGCACTTACAACCCCCTATCCGTATTGCGTATAATCGTAGTGCGACATAGATTATCGCAAGTGCTCGAGGAGCTATGTCAAGGGCGATTACGGTAGGACCTCGATTCCTCATAAGCTCCTCAATGGTCAGCTCAGGTAGTCCCGCCATACTGAACTGCAGAATGACGAAGGTTGAAGGACAGCAAGTGTGGCTAAGGGACTTCTTTGTAGGAGAAACAATATGGGTGAGGACATCTTAAGGCTGCAGTCAGATGAATGGTGGCAGTAAGCCACGCATGTGGATCTTGTATGCTGATAGTAAACCGATCCAACCAACACAGTGGGTGTATTTTCTCTGCGCTTCATCTCGAAATTTTGTCGCAACTCAAGTTCTAAGACGTTGCTGAACTTCATTTCATTTATTTTTCGATTTGTGGCGTTTCCCGCTGCGAAGGTATTGCTTCACTCAATTGGAGTGACCAATTGAGGCGATTTTATGAGCGGAATAAGCGCAAGGCGCTTCTAGGGAGACAATCCACTTATCTTTAGACGTACTGAAACTTGAGACTACATTGACTTCCTGCTCTCGGATGCTATTTGACTCCCTTGAGCGGCCACAGTCCGCACTGATGGTGTATGTAGCTTGTACCATGAACCAATTGCAAAATTAATCACTCAAACACTTCGCACCATGCACTTCACATGTTTAAAAAGCAAACACAAAATACTCCGAGGCCCGCTTGTGAATTGCATTCGACGCATTGTCACCTAGCTCCCGTTTCCATCAATTGTCCCTGGAGATCAAGCTTCCCCGCATTTCAAGGCTCGGAGCATCGCAGGGATAATTGCAAGGTTTATTGCAAGGATATTGCTCAACCCCCAAGCGATTTTCTTCAAAACCCTCTGACTATGGACAAGTGAAGTTCGTGATTCTTTCCCCTCCTTCTGCTAAGGGTAACTGGCGCCGAAATCTATATTGATTGCCATGTCCCCGAACCTTGTAGTATCTGAGGGGTTACCACATGTTGATGCAAAACTTGATGCATCACGAACAGAATCATACTTGGATTCATGTAACGGTCGTCGGCGCAATTCAATTCCATAACGATCGTCCGGGGGCGGAGAAATGACAGTTGGAATCAGATGTCAGAAGTATTAGACCAAGTTCTGCTCGTGATGGAGCCTTGAGAAGTGTATAAATTGATTGAACTGCTGCTCTCCAAACTGCCATCATCAACAAAGAAACATTCACTACTGCACTCTGCACTGAAAGCCAATCCAAATCCCCGAATCTATTCAACATGAAGACCTTCTCCATCCTCGCTACTTTGGCATTCGCCCTCACATCTTCAGTCTCTGCCCAAACAGCTTGCGACTCCGCTGCCTCCGCCATCCCAACCTGCGGTGTATGTCCTCCTCGAAGCCCTCATCGCAAGAACTCTCCTCAATGTATCCCACATCGCTAACCCACCATCAGGTTCCATGCATCCAATCCGCCGCATCTGGCGCCGGCTGCGATTCAACCAACTACCGCTGCCGCTGCTCCAGCTCCTCCGTCATCCAGGCCTCTGCACAGGCTTGTGTCATCAGTAACTGCGGTATCGCAACTGCCCTGCAGGTTCAGGCTTCGGCGGCTGCAGTCTGTTCTTGTGTTGCGACAGCGACGGGAAACTTGGCGATTAGGCACGCGCGACCGACTGCTGCTCCGGGAGCCAAGTACTAGGCAAAGTTTACTTTTGATAAAACATTTTGAGCATGGGGGAGTCTGGGGAGATTTAGTAAGGGTTGGATTACTGGATTTGGTTTCAAAGTCTGAGGTGAACTGTCGGTGTCTTTGTTGTTAGCAATATCTACAAGTGTTGGCTGCAGTTGATTGTTTCGTACAATTCGCACCCACTTGTTCATCGAGATACGTTCCTTACAACCTAACTCAATGTTCGCCTTTGTATGTAGTCGCTCCTTCAACCACACTTATGATCTGGGCGGAAGTCGCTGTAACATGAATTAGTGAATGAACATTTTCCTCTGACAGTACACTGTGAGAATTCGCCTCCTTCATACGAGTCATTGGAGACGGACATCTTCCCACAAAGTGCTGTCACCCTATGCATGTGTACTACTAGCTCTTATAGCGTCCGAGAAGGTCATATTAGTTCATGATATTGTGTAGTACCTAATATGGCTGGTGTCCGTGTGAACATGGATTGTACCTTCTTTCTGGTCAGCCGTATTAGCAATGACGAAATAGCTTCGAATCTAATGACTGATGCTAGAATTTCGGCCATAGAGCCTGTATTCATTCTAGAGCGGTCTATATACCATCTGTCTCGGAAATGAAAAGGTGAAAAGATTGCTACAGAGAAGGAGGTTCGTGGGTGTAGGAGGCTGGCGGAGTTACCTGTTGCGGCACAGCCACACCTGAGGGGTCCTCTGCCATGCAGAAAAGGTCAATAGCAGGCCATTATCTCCAGGACAATCCCTAGACTCTTGGTCATCAGCTCTTCTATTAGTAAGGCGCATTTTTCTTTTGTTCAGCAACATACTTTCCACATTCTACTCGTGAGGGTTGAGGTGCGCAACCACCATGCTTATGCCTAAGTGACCGTGCCAATTCAGCTATTGACTACCTCCGCACTTATGTCTTTCGCTACTCCTCACGCTATTGCTAATTTTTGCATACATTTAAATATCAGATATTTCTGACAGTAATAGTCTGTCCTAGCTGTATGGTACTTAAGATTCAAAGTGGATTTCCCTGTGCAATGAATTGCTATTACAGCCTGGGAAAGGATGCCTCGCTACCTCTGTGTTAATTAGCCAATGAAATTCAGTACCAAACTCTCGGGTAAGTGTCCGTAAGTGGGTGCATCAAGCTTCGCTTTGCTGCCTGGAGGCTCTAGGCTGTCGGATGGATATATTTATGCGTTTCCACGAAGTAAGAAGACTTCTCCATTCCACAGCAAGCTTCCTATCTCCTCTCGCACATCCACTTCTTTGTTTTGATTTTGGGTTAAAGACGATGTCTACGCAAGTCGAGTATCATGAAGACCCTAAGTTCAACGAGAGTATGGCTTCCACACACTCAGAAAAGAGTTTTGTCAGCGAAATGTACAAGCACCAACCGCTCGATACAAGCAAGCACCAGATTCGACTGCTCAGGATCGACACTTCATCAGGAAAGCCAATGCACTATCGTCTTGAAATATTTGATTACGAAAGTGTTCCACGGTATGCAGCCCTTTCATACACGTGGGGAAACGATGCTTCTAAGAACGCTATCTTCATTGATGGAAAACCCTTTCAAATTCTACCTAATCTTTTTGCATTCCTCGAACATTATCAGTCGAGTGCATACATATGGATCGATCAGATCTGCATCAATCAGTCTAATCATCAAGAGCGGAACCATCAAGTTTCATTGATGTGTAAGATCTATGAAGGATGCAAGCTCATGCTGGTCTGGCTACGAGATGACGCAACCTTTACTCCCTCGACGAATCAGGCAGCAACAGACTTCATGAAAGGAGTGGATGCGTATTGGAATCAAGATACTTGCGAGATAAAAGCCAAAGACGGCAGAGTGTCTCTCCGTTGGCCGGCACTTTCTCTGCTGCGCAATCCATATTTTGATCGATTGTGGATTGTTCAAGAGTTATTGCTCGCAAAGAGTATACTCATTCTAGTTGAAGGCAACGTGTGGATCCCATGGTGTCCATTAAGAGAAAAACATACAAGTCTTTGGGGCGAAGTTCGATCTTTGATACCGAGCACCATTTGGTTGTTAGAGGCATACCCGACCAGATTCTTGTTTGCCGGTCATACCTCAAAGAGTCTATCGTGGAACATTACTCTCACTGCTGGAAGGTATTTTAATAAGATATGTAAAGATCCTCGAGACAAGGTCTACGGCTTCATGGCTCTCGTTGCCCCTTCACACAAGATTGCAGTTGACTACCAGAAGTCGGTCCAATGCGTATTTCTTGACGCGATCATGGCGATGATAAGGGATTTCTGGTTTATGAAACGCGACATTCCAGAATATGGACGCGATCTCTTTCGAATAAAGGGGGATCTTGACTCCAGCATAGATTCATCGCACGGCCTCGCACAAGCTATGATTTCCACAGATCTTGAAAAGTATGGTCTCAAGTCTTTCGTCGAAGGTGTATGGGAGAGGGTTCGTCAGTATGAATCAACAGCCAGATACTTGGAGCCAGGAGCTGTTGACGAGATCGATTGCATTACATCAGTCGGGTTCGAGCCAGGAAATCATCAATCATCTGGAGATGTGCCCCGGACAACGTCTTGTGCCCGATGGTGGTACGAGTTCGAGGGCACAAGGTACTATCATGACTGCAAAGAATGGTCAGGGGATTGGACACTCCAAGAATATACCGAGTCAGCCGAGGACGGTTCTTAGCCTATTCTCGTAATTATGGCTGTCCATCGATCAAAAAGCGCAGTTAATATTATCGATGTGGCCGGGCCTTTGCAGATTGGCGTTGTTAAATTGGACAAATGCTTCCACGGTTCTACTATGTGCGCGTATATATGTGTGTATGTATATATTTACAATAATATCCCGCCAGCCCTTAGTTTCTCAAGATTCTCAACACTAAATCTCTCGTATGTTTCCCCGCCAGGCCTAACCCAAAGCACGACATCGGTCTTTCCATCAGCTACCTTCTCGCCGTACCTCTCCAGCTCGATCCCCTCGTCCTTCAACGGACTCTTGTTCTGCTTCTGGTTGTCTGTCCGACTGGACTCAGACACAAGGCGCACAAAAAGAGGCACCGCATATCTCGGCAACTTGCTCCTTGCGTACGCCAGAAACGCAGTCCAGTCGAACGTATCAGCCGACGCAACGGCGGAGTCGAACCTCAATGCCACGCAGCCTGCCCTCCCGTCGTGTCGGGGCACAAGCACACCGTACACCATCGCCTCCGAGATTCCGGGGTAACGTCCCAATACTTCGGCAACCTCAGCGGTGGACACGTTCTCAGATTTCCAGCGGTACGTGTCACCGAGCCTATCGAGGAAGAACCAGCGGCCGTCGTCGTCGCGGCGAAGGGCATCTCCGGAGCGGTAGTACAAGTCGCCCTTTTTGAAGACATTGCGCTCGAATTTCTTCGCCGTCGCGGTCGGGTTGTTGTGATAGCCAGCGAAGGCCGCCTCGCTGGGCACATTGACGAGGATCTCGCCGCCGTCAGTGTACGAGTTCCGCTTCACGAAGCCGGTCTCTGGGTCCCGGAGAAGGTCGCCTGTTTCCGCGTCGATGGCCACGGGCACGAGGGTGTCATGCAGAAGACGCCGGAGGACGAGGCCGTGTTGTCCAACGCAGCTTTCGGTGAAGGGTCCTTTCGAATGGATCACAAGGGCGAGAACGCCCTCCGTCGAATTGAAGAATTCAATGACTTCCGGGACGTCGAAGCGGTCTTTGAACTTCGCCCAGACGTCTGGCCGCATGCCGTTGCCAAACATGCCTCGTAGGCGTGGGTGGTCACGCTCGAGCGGGTGGGGAGGTGCCATGAGGAGGTAACGCGCGGCCTCGCCGACATAGACAAAGATGGTGGACCGGGAGTCGTGGATGTCGTTCCAGAAGGTGGACACGGAGAACTTGCGACCTACCGCAGCGGATAGTCCGCTTGTGAGCGCGCCCATGGTGGAAAGCCCGCCTGTGCCGTGAAACAAAGGCATACAGCAGTACCACCTGTCGCCGTCCGGTCCGGCCTTCTGATCGAAGGAAAGGTTTTCTGGGTTCCCGCGCTCGTGGAACCGTGCAATGGTGTACATGCCTGCCTTTGGGAGCCCCGTGGTGCCGGATGTGTAGAGCAGACAAGATGGGGAAGGTCCAGTCACTCGCGCTCGGAACTCATCACCTGGCAATTCTACTTTGCCGGCGTATATAGACGATAGCAGCTCGTCGTCGACCAAGTACGGCGTAACGTTCAACTCATTCTCGACTCTGTCACGGCTTGCTTCGAACCTCTCGCGGCATTCCGGGTCGACGTCGACAAGCACCAACTTCACCCCAGCAATCTTGAGACAGTGGATGAGGGCGTCGCCTTTGAGATTGTAATTCAACATTGCAGGAGCGCATCCGATGCAGAATAGTCCCAGCCATATCACTAGGAAGTCCGCGGAGTTCATCAAATACGTGCCGACCATGTCACCTGGGGTTACGCCCTTGGACAGGAAGAACTGCGCCCATTGGATAGCGCGATCGTGCGTTTCTTGCCATGTATAACTCTTTTCCCGCGACCAGATGCATTCTTCATTGGGATGCTTGGGCACGTGTCCTACAAATGAATACCACGGAGAGATGAGGTTGCGTTTTTCTGTCATTGGGATTAGCTATTTCCTCAATGTCCACCAGTCGTAGTAGATATTCGTAATGATATCTCTTCGAGAGAACGCACCTAGCTCACTGTACCATTGCAGGGCCTGTTTCCGTTTCTTTAAGACTCGCAGGTCCTGTTTGATATGATACTTTGCGTTGATGTATGCCGCTAAGCTGGTAATTCCAGCGAGAGCAGCAGCACCCGTTGCAGCCATCTTCACTGCTCGTATATTGTTACAACAATTGCTTCAATAAGGAAGAGAAAGAAGAGAGAGTCGGCTATGAACAACGACGACAATGATGAATGTAGATGTTCAAGGAAATCGACAATTGCAAATAGGACCGATCAAAATACCAGTACCAGTGTCTCGTTTGCAGATCGCCGAGGTCAGAATGGCCGATTACTATGGGGTATTAGTATGGGGAAAGCTGCCGTTGTTATGTGGTTGGTTGGTCAATCTTCCAAAGATCCCGAGGTTGGAGTCGAGTCGGACTTAACGAGCGGGGTTGGCCTGTTTCACTCTGCATTACTCGTAGGCAATAATACATAATTATACTTATGCCTATTACAGTATATGTTCGTAAAACAAACCTCCTGCCGCCAATATATTTCATCGGCATGATCAAATGCCGAATTTTGCCCCAAACTGCAACTGTGGTCGATTCATTGATCGTGCAATGATGTTTGAACAATCCGCGTCATGACGTAGCTATTCACCGAGACATAGCATATCCAACTCGTCTGGGAACAACAATTCCATCCCCAACGACCAGCAATGTCATATTCGTAGGAACAATCAATCATTACCGTGGAAACATAACATCTAATGCGCGGATATCGAAACTTCATATATTGAATTTCTTTTTCCAGCGACCCTATGGACCTGGGATCTTTATGACAATGTACACATAACCTCGTACAGTCCCCTATTCCTCCCAACAGTCCTCATTCAAGTTGACCGTTCCAAATACCAAAGAAGGCCTCAAGCTGAGAATGATCCACCATATCCACAGAGGGAGAACACCACTCCCTATACAAACGACGCCATTCCATGCAACGCTCTAAAGCAATCAAAATCGTACAGACAAACGAAGCAAGGCAAAAGCAGCACACAAATCACTGGCAGGCGTCCCTAGCACCATTGCAGCCGCCGCAATCGCACTGGGGTGTGTTCTGCGGGTTGCACATCCTGCAGCCGCGCCTGCACGTCGCCCACGGGTCTACGTCTCCGCTGCCGTTGAATCCCGCGGTCACGCTGAGGTTCGTTAGTTGGGGCAAAAGGTCTTGCGGGATGTAGAGAAATTGCAAGAAGGAAAGGCAATGAGGAGTGGGGAGGGGGCTGATGAAAGTTGGGAGTCGAGTAGTCCAGAAAGAATGCACGGCATCATCAACAAGAAGGAGGACAAAACCATGCCATTCGAGGCGACAAAAGACAGAAAACAGAAAACTCGAGCATGAAGGGAAGAACAGAAAGAGACTCACCACTTCTTGCCCCCACCCGGACAGTACGTAGCCGTGGCATTGAAGCTCCCAGAATCGTACGTCCACTCCAAGCTCGACCCCTCAGCCGCGCAATCCGCCTTGCCCGCACTATCCGGGCTCCTCTCGACGGTGCACAGCTCCTGCTGGTTAGAGTCCCGGACCCGCCACTCCAGGCTATTGGCGCGATTCGCCCCGCCTTGGGTGATGTCGGTGAAGGTTACGCCCTCGATGTTGAAGCAGTCGGCGGCGATAAGGGATGGGGCGGCGAGGAGGAGGGGAAGGAAGATGGTGCGAAGGGAGTACATTTTTGATGGGGAAGCGAGAGCTTTTATGTGGGAAATGAGGGATGGATGGTAAATGGATTAATTGGAAGGAAAGGCGCTATGGAAAGACTGACTGAAGAGTGCTTGAAGCAAATACATGAGTACATACACGCTAATCACGACATTATATACTCCCCTCAACTTCCACGCTAGGAAAAAACTCGGTTTCAGAGACTCCGATAGCCTTTCACTTTGCTATGATATTAACAGCTTCCTATGTGTACGGCATTGTGAAGCGCGTGGAGGGTTCTTAATCATCAGTATCAGATCGAGGTCGGAAGTCCGGACAATTCGGCCACATCCGACTAACCGAAGCATACTAGGCGGATATGATTGGAGAGGAAGTTAAGGATATAAATAAATTAACATACCTTGGCGGGGGCTATGGAATTCGTTAATTGAAGCTTGAAATAGACCTCTGGTGGTTGTAGAAGTTCCATGTGCGTTGTGATGTAGGGAAACATAGGAGTAATTGCTTCGGAAGCATCATACTCGCGCTTGAGGTTGTTAATAACACGATGAGAATGAAGAGAGCGACATGTCGAAGTAATCTTTATTTTAATGGATTATATGGCCTGGGTATAACAAATGATATGGCGTTCAGATTTTGGCGTAGTTAAGTTTCTGGTGAGATCGAATTTCACATACCTCAAATCCTTGGGAATATATGCATATAAGCATATCGCAATTCGAAATGACCGTAGTGCGCAGATACTTTCATCAAGATGCAAGCTCTTTTCGCTTCTTTTTATCCTTTTTCTCCCTTTTCCGCCTCTTTTTCTCGTCTTCTTCGGACGAGTCAAGCGCTTTCTCCTCCGTTCTGTCCTTCTCCGCCTTCTCTTCTGGTTTTCCCTGCTTCTTTGGCTCCGCAGTCTCGGGGTTTTCCTTCGGCTTAGGCGGGTACACCTCCAACTTCTTCGCATTCGCCTTCATGACAATGTCCATCCGATTCTGTAGCGCATCCATGGCCGCGAAGACACACGCTTGCGACTTGTTTTGCGCCTCTCCGCTCCCTAAAAGCTGGTTCTCAAAACCCCATCCGGTCAGATACAAATCAATGAAGAACCTCTGCAGTCCATCCACCATCTGCATGTCCCTCGCCATGCGGTAGTCAAGCTTGATTCCCTTCGCCATCAGCAATTTGTTGATCTCGTCACGTGCCTTGGGGTTCTCGACAGGCGCCTCCTTGTACTCGAGCAGTTTCGGGGCCCAGAGCTCGGTGAGCCACTGCTCGGCCGTCCTGTACCCATCTTCTGGATCCGAGAGCACGACCGCCGCGACGTACGCTTCGAAGACGTCTGCCTGCACCTTCGTCCAGTGCTTCTGGCCCGACATGTCCGTATGGCCACCATGCTTTAGGCGATCTGGAAACCCATATGCTTCGGAGAAGACCTGCAGTGTCTCGTTCTTGACGAGATTCTCGCGGAAGTAGGATTGCTTGGCGGGGTCGAGGTGCGGGAAGCGGGAGTAGATGAGGCGGGAGGCGACAAGCTCGATGTATGCGTCGCCGAGGAACTCGAGGCGCTCGTAGTTGATCGCGTCGTTGAGGGTGCGGCGGGCGAGAGCTGTGTAGTTGGCGGATGTGTGGGTGAAGACGGCTTCTTCGAGGTAGGGCTCTGTGATTGGGGGAAGTGGTGGAACGGCTTTTGCGCGATTGAGGCGCGTTTCGATGTATGAGGGGACCACGACGTATTTTTCTGTTTCTGGGCGTTTTTGATCGAGATGTTGCTTGAGCTGGGAGGGGAGAGAGTTGGCGGTTGCACGTTTGGAGAGAGAGGCACGGAGTTGCTGGGCGTGCTGGAGGATTGAGGTGTCCGCTTCAGGTCCGGATTCGTCGTGAACGAGCTGATCCAACAATGCAATCAAGCCATTTTCCCTTTCTGAGGCGGATAGCTTGCACCTGACGCAGTCTTTGGGGTTTGGCAGACGCTCGAGGAGATCTAGTGGATTCGACTTGTCCTTGTTTTGGTGCTGCGGACGCGGGTTGGAGTGATTGCTGGAGCCGCCTTGGATGCCGTTCTTGCCTTGTGGGGCACCGAAGTTATTGGGTTTATGCCTTTTATTCGCAGGAGGGCCTCCTCCTCTTCTATCCATATCGAAGAATATCTGGTATAGCACAAGACGAATCCGTTGTTGTCTGTGGTGGTGGGGTTGAGCCAGACGTCGAACAAAAAGTTCATGAGCTCTATTGCGCTAACCCCAACAAAGATTAGCTTATCTCGAGGCCCAGGTTTTCTCAATCAGACATTCACCTCCGCAGGACCTCCGCATTCTCCTCTAGCCATACCACACACCCATACACAATGTCCGTGGCACGCGAGCGGATATTGGCCCTCATGAAGGTACATTCAATCACACTCCTCTGCAATAGCAATCGCATTGACTGACTTCATTCGCCAGACCCAATGCCGGGTCTTCAACACCACATACAACCCACAAGGCCTCCGCCTCGGAACCCACATCCTGCACGAGCGCCTCAAGGGACCAGCCGTTGCATCGTATTACCCGCCTAGGATAGGAACGATTAGGCATTTGCGGGCTCTGTATCCACAGTATGAAGTGATGGATGACAAGGAAGAGGACTGGGCGGAGCATCATACGATTGCGCGTAGTAGGGGCAAGGCGACGCCGAAGAAGAAGAGGACTGCTGCTGGTAAGTGTTTCGGAACAGAAATGGGGAATTGGAGTGTCGGGAGACTAATGGCGTACAGAATCGAAGAAATTCACGAAGAGGAAGTAGATTGGGTCCACTGGGAAGAGAACGAAGGTATGATATCGGGATGGAAGAAAGCACGGGAGAATATATCACAGGCAATCGGGAAAAAGAGAAGAAAGATGTATCATCTATTGTACAAATTCTGCATTACGACGGAAAGGCGTTGGTATATTATCATCAACAACATCAACATCATCATGAACAACACCAGAACCGAGCTTGTATGCACGTATGCACGCCAACGAGCCATTGAAATCACTCCAAACCCCCCTCTCGAAACACCCTTTGCATCTCTTCCTCCTACATCTTCGACTTGAACGTCCCTCCCCCCTCCCTAACTCCCCACTCCCTCTCAAACACCTCATCCCAATCCACCCTCACGGCCCTCATATGCTCCAACACCGGCGCATTAACCTTGTGATGCTCAACCGTACAATACGTGACCCTCCCATCCAGACTCTCCATCGTGCCCCTCACCATCGCCATTTGCCGCCCCACGGACATGACTTTCGACTTGAGGCGCACGGTGGTCCCGATGGGCACGGCTTTCAGGTACGAGATGTTGAGCGTGCGGGTCACACCGCCCATGAATTCCCAGGATCCGGGCTGTGCGAGAGGGCACAGGGCGGTGGTGGTCGACATGTCGAAGATTACGCCTGCGGCGCCGCCGTGCATTACGTCTTTGAAAATTGTTATTGTTGCTCTTGATTTCATGCCTATTATGTTGCTTTGGAAAGAGAGAGTTCAGGTCTAATTGATGATATACGAACTTCCCAATTCGTCATCGGAGAGTACGAACAAACGCATGCGGTAAAAATGAAATGATGTACTTAGGAAGAAGAAACGTACTATTCAAATTCGAGTAACTGGGCGTAATGAGCAGTTCAAATTCCACCGAGCCGTCCATGCCTGCATCGACCAGCTTCATGTTGCGCATAACTTCGCGATCAAAGTCCTATTATTGCTACATCAACCATCTGCTTTATTCAAGATTGGTCCTATGTTTGCACGTGTGGAAGGTGGAGACTTACAATGTGGTCGTTCGGCCGCTGGGCGGATAAAAGATGGTATCTTTGGAACATGGCCTGTACGGCCGCCATGGCTTTCTGGCGATCAGCCTCAGCATCTGGTTTTGATTCGGGCATTTTGTGGTATGTTGTGTGATGTTGATGTACTATTGGGGTGTCAAGTTGGGTGGTAGATTGATGGTCGTGGTTTGGCGGTCGTGGATCTGATTGCCTCGGTTCATGTTTGCCATGAGTGGTAGTACATGGTAGAGTACGGAGTACATTATGGCCAACATCACCTCTCAAGCATACCTGATAGAATTCGTAGCAAGACTTTCAATCGCTCTTCAATTCCTTCACCAGCAATACATTATTGAGGTTCATATTACTCCGTACGTATACGCACAATCCAACCTTACCATACTTCGGAGTTCATCAAATAGGTCCATCCATACAAGTAGTAGCTGACTAGCGGGCGGGAACCATTCCGCAATATGATCGCTTGTTTCGAAACAACCATCTCGTTTCATGTCAAGTCAGGGTTTGATGTCTTACCTTATCCTTTGTCTCCTGACTATTTGTGCATGTTAATTGGTGCGCATGTTGTGACTGCAATTGTAAATGCAGGTGATGAGAATGAGAAATGGGATTGGAAGTATGCTTACAGATGACGTGAGTTTGCTATTGGATACATCGATGTAACGGCAATTGTAATTGTAATTGTAGCTCAGCTACCATAGGATAATCCGAGCGACGAGCTGGCGACTGTGGCAAATGTTGGAGTGATGTGTGGTTGTATCTGTATATCCTTCATAGGGCCGAGAGTTCGGCTCTCCACCTGTTTCATCCGTGGTAGACCAAAAAGGTCTTACCAGTATATGTAATAATGTATTGCATATATTCAAAGCTCTTCATGAAATAAGCAGTCTAGATGTCACAGAGTATCAATCGTGAAGATATTTCCATACAGCTTGACCTAGGTAAAATACTGGAAAGGTTTGGCGTCTATAACATAACAAGCCCGACCAACCCCCGAAGAAGTTAACAGAATGACAAGAATAGTAGTTATAGAGTATCATCTGAGCAAATTATTACGACTTCCATCGTGGCTGTTCGTTCATTACTCGTGGCTAGGAGTATGTATCGTGATATGGTGGAATAATCAATTCGGTGGTTGGAGGTTTTGTTTCCTCTTCTTCAACTTGTAATCTCCATCTCCACATCCGACGGATCGTCCCACCACCTCCGTCCTTGTCTTGTCTCGTCTTGTTTCACATTGTCCCTGTCCTCTAACTATTACACTACACTACTAATAACTAAGGTACTTGACGTCAAAAACTTTCCACAATTTCATCTTTCAATCCTTTCTCTCCCTCCACTCGCTGACGCCGACAACGACCTGAGCTGAGCTCAACATCTTACTCATTTCTCCTCTCCAGTTCTTCTTCTCACGCCTTCCACTCTTTCGTTCAGGCATTCATCCTTACCTCGTAGCATTATTGCGTGCATAATCATTGCCCGTGGCCACTTCTTCCACTTCCGTCATCTCGTCCTGCAGTCCAATCTATCCTCCTCGTCGTCTTCCTCTTCCAATTTACCCATCGACATCTCGCCATCCGCATCACCCGACGATACACAAACGAACCTGGGAACGCGTGCGCGCCGACGGTCCACTCTAATTGCAATCTATTTTTAACGAGAAAGACACCTGTACAGTACAATTACACAGCTTCTTACTGGCACGCTGCTACAGCACTTGTATAACACTGCGCATTACATTATTACTCCCAACTCCCAACGACCAGGACCAGGAGGGACAGACAGTTCCACAAACCAACTGTTTCATCCCCAATTACGAATCCCACGTTCCCAGTTCGACAGACACATTTTTGTCTTCCCTTGGACATCATCTACGACCTTCATACACGACCATAGACTGGCTCTCGCGACAATATTAATCAATCGCATCTCTGGCGCATTCCCGGCATAATATAATATTATATCTTCTAGCATCACATCCATAGAACGATGGCTGCAGCTCTACCGGTCACGCCGGCGCTGCGAAAGAGGGTGCTCAAGGTGCTCTTCGTATCGCTGCTCCTCGATCTCGTACGTCATCCACCCCCCAAAAAGCTTCAACCCAACTACTTTCGAAGTAAACAACTCCGCAAACACCAACATCCACCACTAACACATACGCCCACCAGATATCCTTCACGTTCATCCTCCCCCTCTTCCCGAAACTCCTCGAATTCTACCGCGACCACGAGACCGCGCAGGGCAACTCGTCCACCACCGTCCTCGCTAAGATCTTCTCCGGCCTCAACGCATATAAGAACTCTTTCGCGAAGCCCATCAACGACCGCTATGACATCGTGCTCCTCGGTGGGGCCCTCGGGTCGCTCTTCTCCTTCCTCCAGGCACTCGCCTCGCCCGTCATCGGCATCCTGAGCGACAAGTACGGCCGCAGGACCGCGCTGCTATGGTCCATGGTCGGCAACATCCTCAGCGTCGCGCTGTGGGTCGCCGCGACGGACTTCCGGACGTTCCTCCTGAGCCGCGTGGTCGGAGGACTGAGTGAAGGAAACGTACAACTCGCAATGGCCATTGCGACGGATATATCGGACGAGAGCCAGCGTGGCGCGACGATGGCGCTCGTCGGCGTCTGCTTCAGCATCGCGTTCACGTTTGGTCCTGCGCTCGGCGCATGGCTCAGCACGATCACAAGCGTGGCTGCGAACCCGTTCGCCAGCGCAGCCGCATTCTCCCTCTTCCTCATCGTCACAGAGACTATCTACCTCTACGTCAGTCTCCCAGAGACCCTCCCTACATCATCTCCTCCCACAACCAACGGCACCGCAACAACCCCCACCGCCAACGGCAAACCCACCCCCTCCTCGAAACCGAAAACCACCCGCACAAACTCCCACACCCTCCTCAACACCACGCACTTCCTCTTCATCCTCTTCTTCTCCGGCATGGAGTTCTCCCTCCCCTTCATGACCTACGACCTCTTCGGCCACACGTCCCGCGACACGGGCCGCCTCCTCGGCTTCATCGGGCTCGTCGCCTCGCTCCTGCAGGGCACCCTCGTGCGCCGCCTGCACCCGCTCTCCGTCGTGAAAACCGGCGTGATTGCCTGCGTCCTCGCGTTCACGCTTCTCTCGTTCGTGACCACGCAGCGGGGACTGTACGCCGCGGCGACGCTGTTGGCGGTCACTTCCGCGACGGTGGTCACGGGGCTGAATTCGCTGTCGTCGTTTGAGGCGGCGGAGGGGGAGAGAGGGGTGAAGCTCGGGAATCACAGGAGCTTCGGGCAGGCGGGGAGGAGTCTGGGGCCGTTGGTTTTCTGCAGTGTGTATTGGTGGGCGGGCAGGGATGTCGCGTATAAGGTTGGAGCAGCCGGCATGGTGGCCGTCTGCGCGGCGGTTTTTGGGGGGTTGAGGAGGCCGGCCGTGAAGGCGACGGTGGAGGCAAAAAAGGAGATATAAGGAGGGGAGCGTCATGGAAATTTAAAAGAGCTATGGTTTGGGGGGATTGACAAATGGGTTGGGATATGGGATGGGTATATACATTGTTTTTCTATGGGCGGGTTTATATGATGTGAATGACGTTTCAACTGTCTCCCCTTTTCATTTTTCTTTCGCTGCGGCAAGACGAGGTGCTGGTGATGCTCTATTTCTTCAACGCCCGTCCCGCGATGTCATTCCTGTACTGCATGCCCTCAAAGTGAATGCACTTGACGCCCTCGTACGCGCGCTTCACGGCGTCCTCGAGCGTGTCCGCGACCGCTGAGCTGGCAATCACGCGCCCGCCCGCCGTCTTCAGTGTCTGGCCGTCCAGCACGGTGCCAGCGTGGAACAACACAACGTCCTCGGGCGTCTGATCCAGCTTCATCTCGATTCCCTTCTTGTATGATCCAGGATACCCGCCAGCCGCAACGACGACGGTCGCCGCGGACTTGGCCGACACCTTCAAGTCGACCTCCGCGAGCTTGCCGTCCGCGCACGCCACCATCACCTCCGCGAGATCGCTCTCCATCAATCGCAGCAGACTCTGCGTCTCCGGGTCACCGAACCTGACGTTGTACTCCAGCACCTTGGGGCCGTCCTTGGTCATCATCAACCCCGTGAACAGCACACCCTTGAACTCGTATCCCTCCTCTCGCATTCCGTCAACCGTCGGCTGCAGAATCTCCCTCTCCATCCGCTCAATCACCTCCTTCGGCGCGATCCGCGTCGGCGCGTACGTTCCCATACCCCCCGTGTTAGGCCCGGTGTCCCCATCGCCAATCCTCTTGTGGTCCTGCGCGGGCGGGAGACTCCTAATCGTCTTTCCATCACTGAACGTCAAGATGCTGAGCTCATCGCCCTCGAGGAACTCCTCAATCACCACCTCATCGCCCGCGGACCCAAACTCCCGATCCAACATGATATCCTTCAACGCCGCGTGCGCCTCCTCGCTCGTCGCAGGGATAATAACGCCCTTGCCCGCCGCGAGCCCCGACGCCTTAATCACCACGCGATGCGACACAGAATCCAAGTACGCCTTCGCGGCCGCGTGGTCGGTGAAATTCTCATACGCCGCCGTGGGAATCGAATGCCGCTTCATGAAGTCCTTGGAAAACGTCTTGCTGCCCTCCATCCGCGCGGCGGCCTTGCCAGGTCCAAAACACCGGATCCCTTCGCCGCCGGCCTTCGCGCCGCCTTCGTACGACCCGACTTCCTGCTCGAAGAAGTCGACGATGCCGTCGACGAGGGGTTGCTCGGGCCCCGGGATGAGCAGGTTGACGAAGTATTCTTTCGCGAACTCGGCGAGCGCGGGGAAGTCGGAGGCGGAGATTGAGGGGTGGTTGGAGGTTTTGGGGAGGCTGGCGGTGCCGCCGTTACCCGGGATGCAGTGGATGTGCGAGACGTAGGGGGATTTGGAGAGGGAGTATGCGAGGGCGTGCTCGCGGCCGCCGTTGCCGACCAGGAGGATCGTGAGGGGCTTAGTTGATGTCATCGTGGGCTATTTGTGCGTGTTAGGTTCCACGGCGGAATTGAGTGGTGAGTGGTTGCGTCAATTGCGATTGCAATTGATGATGTGAGGTTGAGGTCGTGGAGGAGGAGAGGGAGGGAGGGGTTGGTTTAGATTGTTGTTGTAGGGCTGAGGTTTTTTTTTCTTTCCTTTGGCGGGGGTGGGGTCCTTATCGATAAATAGATGAAAGGTCCGAGTTCGGAGAATCTTGCAATTGATATTGGGAATGAGAAACTATTGCATGAGACAATATGTAGCAAGGAACAAATCCTCACAGTTTCTATTGTTTTTCCCTAGAAGAAGAAAAATAAACAATTGTTGCCCTAGCTTTTAGAGCTGAATGTCTAGGATATTGGATGCTTAATTGATTTTCGTAATCTTTACCATTATTACCAGTTCAAGATTGTCTCGAGCCAAGTGATCGCAACGGATACGAGACCAAAACATGGCCTAAACATTGATATTTACAGAGCATTGCATATGGTATCATATCGTATGAATACGTGACATTGGAATAATTTTTCACTGCATTTAGGGTATTGTGCGTTCTTTTGTGTACAGAGGTTTCGGACGTTCTATTATAAAACACGCCTTAAAGGCATATTGCCCAATTGTAGACAACCAACAGTCGCATCACTCTGAGCAATTTTACCAATTGCAACAAGTTGGCTATTCCGTTATCTGGTGCATTACCCATTGATAATGATCACATACACTGTTCAGTTGACGCTACGAATCAGAAGGGACGATCAGAATAGTCTCAATTGAACAGTATCAACTATGCTAAATGCTAAATGCAAAAGAGCCGCTTAAAAATGACTTTGACATTGTTTTGGGAAGATTTCGATGATGCTACCAGTACAAATCAATTAAGTCTTTTTAAGGGATGCAAGAGCTAGTCGGTCATGGTGCCACTGAGCATAAAAATATTAGTTCCCATCAGTAAAAGAGTCCTAGAATGCACTCACCTTCCCACAAGATATAGGTTCATAAAGCGGCGGATGCTCCTCGTCCACGCAAGTTGGCACAACACTACACACACTATCGGCATTGAATCCCAAGAAAAACGGCATCGAATACCTCGACGCCGTCTGTCTGTTATACACGCGATGCACCGTAGACTTGAACCTATTGTTCGAAAGGCGTTGCAGGAAGTCAGCGATGTTCACCACGAACGTGCCCTCGATGGGTTTCGCGTCGATCCACTCCCCCTCGTTGGAGAGGACTTGCAGGCCGCCGGAGTTGTCCTGCCATAGGAGCGTGAAGCACTGGATGTCGGTGTGGGATCCGATTCCGACGTCGACGTTGGCGCTGTCTGAGGGGTCCACGACGCCGGGGTAGTGGATATAAAGGGCGTCCGCGCCTGGATGTGTGATGACGTCGTCGAAGTAGGATTCCTCGAGGTCGAGAGCGAGGGCTAGGATGCGGACGAGTTTGCGGGCGAGATTGAGGCGTTGTTGCCAGAATTCCACGGTGGCGGTGCGGAAGCCGGGGAGGTGGGATACACCGGTCCAGAGTTCGTCCAGCGATCTAGATGATGAGGTTGGTTGGGTGGGTGAATTTGCGTGGAGAGGGTCATTGGATTCATCATAGCGGATGGAGAATGTTTCCTTATTATCTATGTACGTTGTGTCAATTCATGCACACGTGAATCAATGGCAGTACTTCTAGACATACCTTTCGTTTCTGTATCGTTGATTTGAGTAGTCCCAACCCCATGATATCCCTGAAAGTTTTCATATTTGCGACGTGAGACTTTTTCCTTTGCGTTTATTGGCTGGTCGAAGAATGCTTGAGCTTGATGTAGTGCATTGCGAATTAAGTCAGGCGAGATGCCATGATTGTATACATAGAAGAACCCGGTATTCTCAGCCGCAAGCCTGATGTTTTGTGCAATTTCTTTCCGTGCAGCAAGGTCTCCATCTATTTGGCCCAAATCTATAAGGGGGATTTCATTAGCAAGGGGTGCCCGCGGGGGTGCGGTCGAGACTCGTCGATATTCTGGGCCATTCAGTGTGAGCAATTGGATTTTTGAGTATGTCTTTGTGGCTGTTTCTGTAGCCATGGCTTATGCAGATCAGGCTGACTGAGCGCGGAACGTGAATAGGCTATCAAAGAATATGCAAGTCGAGGGTTCGAAGGATCGATCGAAGCTGTGTAGATCGCTGAGATATAAACGACGTCGATGCAGCAAAACAGCGCCTATATAACAGAACGTCCTGCGTGGGCAACGTGCATGTGGAATTCAGAACTTTTGTCTAGTTGAATGGGATATCGCAGTAATCCGGGATTATGGCGTGCTTGTGATGGTTAATAGTGGGCCCTTCGGTGTAATTTGGCTCGCTATTGTCGTCGTTTTGGCCAAGCGTACGCGTGTATTGTCCCGGTTGCGAGGAGGGAGGTTCTATGATGGGAGGGAATATGAGTAGATCCTGATGGTATTCGCCATTACACTGTAGTAAATGTGTGTAGTTGCCATCACATAATTCCACAGAGCGACGGTCTCCGTCGGAGTTTCCGTCGGATGTCAAGATTGGGCATATCTGGGATGTGGTCGCTTTGATTGGCTGGAATCTGACATCCACGTTTTCCCCGCAAGGTCCCTTGAACTAGCCAAATTGGACTAGAACTAACCTAGTTGGTGCCTTAATCTAATCCATGCCCTCACAAAGGAGAGATAAGACTTCAACGATCTTCATGTATATCTCTCAGACATAATGCCAATGCGGGCCACGCCGGAATCCGTTTGGTATCTCCACGTTCCTGCATCGGATCCCATTCTCAATTGCAACCTACAATTCTGTTTTCATTCATTAACAGAAGGACTGAACTGTGAGCGACCGGTTTGAATGCTACCAAGCATCCGTTACACAGCCACAAACGCCCTCCATGACAAAGGTTTCTCTTCTTCATTCTTTTCATGACCGACTCTTGGTCAAAAACGTTGATCAAGATGGCAATGTCCGTCCAGTGTCACTCCTCGATAACGATTCGATCCGACCTGTGCGGACGGAGGATCGAAGATGGACTCAATTGACTTATCTTTTCTTCTGGTTTTCTGCGACTGCCAATGTCAGTAACCTCTATGCCGCATCGACTGGAATGGCGATGGGACTTTCTATGTGGGAAGCCGTGGCCTGTTCGTTTGGTGGGCAGATCTTAGCTGGCCTTCTCATGGCCTTGAATGGACGCGGCGGAGCTGTCTATCGTATCCCATTTCCAGTCCTCTGTCGAGCCAGTTTCGGTGTTTGGGGAAGTCTTTGGCCGACTTTCAATCGAGCCTGCATGTCTATCGTCTGGAATGGAGTAAACAGCGTCCAAGGAGCGCAATGCTTATAGTGAGTCAACTTACACGTGATATCACGTTGCAGAGGTGGCTGACAGTTTACGAAAGCGTACTACTTCATGCGATATTCCCATCAATCGCGCGTATACACGACACAATGGGCACTGCTTCAGCCCTTACTTCTGGCGGTATGATCTGTTTCGCAGTGTACTGGTAAGCCCAACCGCCCTCGTACAATAGTGACTAGAAATGACAATGCGTGAAAGGATTCTCAATTGTGCTTTTCTGTTCATTCCAGTCCCAAAGATGAGGATGCTGGTATACATTAAAGTTGGCGTTTATTACTGTGGCGCTTTTGCGATGTTGGCATGGACAGTGTCCCTTGCAAGGAATACTTCTGCTTCTCTTGCCCGCCCATCTACTATCAAGGGGCCCGAGAAATCGTGGATGATTGCGAAGTTCATTTTTCTTGGTCTTGCACAATGTGGAACATTCATCTCCAACGCTGCCGATCTCCAGCGATATGCGAGGAGACCTAACGATGTTCTTTTGGGCCAAATCATCAGCTTTCCGGTCTCAAACTTGCTGGTTGCTGTTCTGGGTAACGTAATAGCAGCCACGAGTGAAAGTATTCTAGGAGAGGTAAGTTTTGATGCGTCGATCATTTTTGGAAGGATACTTACTCATTTGCCGCAGTTTGTCTGGAATCCGCTCATCCTGCTTGACAGGCTGATGGAAGGTGACCGATATACACCTGCCAATCGTGCCGGCTGTGCAATGATTGCAATTGCATTCGTATACTCGACTATCTTCTCCGCTATCTTTGAGAACTCTATCCCGTAAGAAGCCTATGTATTGCTCATTTGCATCCATTCTAATATCGAGTCAGTGCCGGAAACGATATCGCTGCTCTATGCCCAAGATACATCACTGTGAAAAGAGGATTTTTCATTTGCGCCAGTCAGTCAAACCCTGATCTAAAGAAATCTACTTGTATGAAGAAATACTGATGACATTACTAGTCTTATCTTACGCTATCTGTCCTTGGTACCTCCTCTCCTCAGCCATTGTGTTCATCAACTTTCTCGCCTCTTATCAAGTCTTCCTTGCTGCCATAACTGGAATTCTAATCTGCGACTACTACTACCTCCGTCGAGGTCTCCTTTACATCCCCGCCCTCTACACCACAAGTCGTGAGGGACCGTATCGCTTCACCAAAGGCTGGAACATCCGCGCATTCGCAGTCTACATCATAGCCGTAGCGCCTAACTTCTACGGATTTTTGAATCAACTGGGGGTGACTGCAGCATTGAGTATCCAGAGATTCTATTACGTCGCCTATCCGGTCGCGCTTTTAATCGCGTATGGCGGCTATTGGGTATCGAACCTGGTGTGGCCGGCAAAGGCGCTGCATACACATGAAGGATGGCTGGAGCCGAAGGAGTATGTGGATGAGTTTGATGGTAGCAATGCGCGCATTCCGTTGACGCTCGATGGCGTTGACGCTAATGGGAGAAACTGGTCGACAATGGCTCCGGGGGAGGTTAATGTTCTAAGCAAGGGATCTTCTTAGTTACGTCTAGCAAACATTCCCGATTATACCCATATACTGTCATGTACAACTTTGAAAGAATAATATCCTACCATTTCCGTGCCTTTGATAACTCCACCATTGTACGATTACATTGTCCCGCCACCCATATTCGTCCCCAAACCCTCCTCTTCAAAAGAAAACATACTCTCAACCAGCACCCCCGGAACCCAGCTCATCTGCTGCGCGCCGCCACCCTGCTGCCCATACACCACCTCCATCCCCGTCATATCCTGCTCTTGCCCTTGCGCACTCTGCACTTCGTCCATCGCTTTCTTCCTCATGACGTCCGTCGCCCACTGCAACACCGGCTCTATAGTCCTGAACTGCAGTCGCTCCCGCTCGATGATTCGATCCATTAGGGAAAACGTGGCTTGCGTGGAGGTGAGATGATGAGAGTATTCGACGATTGTCACGGCGGCGTATGCGCCGAGGAGGAAGTCGAAGACGAGTTTTGCCTGGCATGTTGATACATAGAGATTCGATAGAATGTTGAGCAGGTCCTGGGAGCGGGTGAGGGAGAGGTCGATCAGCGCTGTCGTGCGCTGCTGCGTAGCGGAATGCGACTCCGGATCGACGGACTCATGGGGCTCGGATAGTTGCGAGAGTTCCCACCGCGCGAGGATGAGGGTGATAGAGAGGTAGGCTACTTGGAGGGTTTGGTTGTTTGTGTTGGGGTCTGGTGGGGAGTTAGTTTGGTGGAAGAGCGAGAAGAAGTGGGATACTTGCTTTTCACGAAGGGCTCGCACCAGCTTTGTATGGCGTCCCAAGTTTCCTGGGTTGGGATCGTCTGGAGAATTACGCATTCGTGGAGCTTGAGGTAGAGCTTCAGCTCAAGAAGTAAGCTGTTCATAGGGTCTGTTGATGGAAGTCGCTCGGAAATGATAAGAAGTTGTTCCATGCTGGTCCGTTCCGCTGCCAGTGGTCGGCCTGTTCCAATGGCAAATCTAGCATGTCAAGAATTAGCAATGGTCGGCTCATGAAAAGGTTCTCAACATACTTGAGATGTAACAAGCAAGCCGCGATCCAGGCCCGCAGCTCCTCGCTTTGGCTGGTACCATGAGGATCCGAGGCGGCGCTCAGTTTGTCGATGTTACAAGTAATGATTAGATGCAAAATGACTGATCCTGTCATAAGCCAACTATCAATGTACTGTCCTCGGAATTCCAAGCCGAGATTCCAAGCGCTCAATATCAACATGATATTCAACGTCGGAATGTCAATCGGAGTATTTAGGACTACTTTCGAGAGCTGATCCCTGACTAATGTATTCAAGGAAATATGTAGCTGGGAGTGGAGCAAAGACGGTATGGTCTGGAAGCCTGCCAATAGGCACGTGGCGAAGAGAAGTTGGTGATTTTCCTTAATATCTGCAAGGTCCAAGCTGATAAACGGCAAAGTTGCTGTCATCCGTTCGAAGCTAGATTGGTTTAATTGAGTCCATACATTCGAATGAATCATATACGCACCCTTTGAATAGCAAAGTTCCTAACCCGTCAGGATCTATACCTATGGCCCAAAGTTCTTCGATAATATTTTGCTGAGGAAACGTCGGGTGGTCTCCCGTGATCATCTTATTCAGCCTTCTAATAACCTTTATTGGCGCAAGCTGATTGCTATGAGATATGCCGATGGAAACTCTTTCTTGCTCAGCATCTTTGGGCATGGACAATGGCGCCCATATGTTGTTATCTGTGACTGCGGGACTAGTTGATTCCTTACAAGTGGAATCATTGTTCGAAGCTTGCGGTGACCACTGACTAGATGGGGGCTGCCGGACTGTCAGACCGGGCTGTTGCATCCGTAAATGTTGCTTGATTTCATCCAAAGACGATTCAATAGATGCTAGTCTATAAATGCGTATATCAGCATAACGATTCTTTGGCATTACCATTGATTATTGAGTGCCATTCTTACCGCTGATCACAATTGCAATGTTCAGAATTTCTCTCTTGAGTTCTCTCACTATTTTCGCCTACCGGATCCACAGGTAATACGGGCAGCGCGCAAGGCAATCTATCACGCCGTCAGTGGATCTGATCGAATCATGGACGGAAAACATGCCGCAGAGTTTCGCAGCGAGTGCATATTCTCGCTCCCGGCTTGACTTCACATCTTGTCTTCAAGCGCCGACAAGTCGAGCATGACATAACCCTCTTCTTTACGCTAGGCATTTTGATGATCTTTCACGGTTACATAGTGTCTCGATTGCTTTTCGATTTTTTCCTTAAAAAGTTCCCTTAAAAGAGATATGCCCTCAAGGGAAGTGTGGATGTGGTAGTCGGATTGGGAAGCCTTCCACGAGTGCAGCTTCTGGCTGGAACTCGCTAGTGCGTCTTTCGGTTGCGATAGTGTCGCACGTGACGTCAGCCGCTCCAGCTACTTCCAAGCCGCGGGCAATGATCGATCATCAAGATAAGGTTAATAATAACACAAACGATACCTAGTCCTGCTCATCTTTATCTTTTCTTGAAAAACATCTCAATGCTGTTGGTCCAAGCTTGCTCGGCGACCTCGTCCACGCTGAGTTCCTTCAGACCTGCGACAATAAGTGCCACCCGTTCCATAGCACAACTTTCATTCCTCTCCTTTATCATCTTTCCCAATTCGAATTTATCCTTCTTCTTAGAACCCCAAGTCCATGCACTTGCATTCTTTAGGTACGTTCTCGATATCTCGCTTGAAGCTTGAATCTCACCCCAAGGTGCGTCCGTCTCGATCTGTAGCTTGTCCAGCGGAGCCTGTCTCACCATTTGAAGACTATCGGGATCGCGAAAGCTGAATGAGTTTACGCTGATTTCAAGACCGAGTTCCGTAAGTTTTCGCATTTGTTCGGCAGTGCCCACAAAAGAATGCACGAGACCCAATGGCAAAGCCAATCTCGACAGATACGGTGCCAAAATGGAGACGAAGTCGTCGAAGGCTGCTCTGCAGTGCAGGAACAGAGGTACGTTCCACTGTGCTTCCACGATCATGTCGAGTTGCCGCTTGAACGTGCGAATCTGTGCCTCTTTTGGTGCATGAGCGAGGTAATCATAATCGAGCCCCAACTCTCCGAATGCTGCTATCCTATCCGGCTCGTCATCCAACAGTTTCGTGACGCTCAAACCCAACTTTTGGAAATATTCCTCCCCACCTTCATCGGCCTCGGCTGCATGGTATGGATGCACGCCAATAGTTATCTTACACTGCTCGGGACGTCTTCTTGCGATCTCGAGATTGAATTGTACATCGGGGAGAGACATTCCTGTCAGCATGACCTTTTCCACTCCAACTTCCAGCGCTCGATCTAGTACAGCATCGAAATCTGGTGCATGATATTGCTTTCCACGGTATATGCCTGAGAATTCCTTCGCCGTCGCTGTTACTGCGACCTAATCAAAACATATTGATCAGCAGGTTCGTGATAATGGCACATCTACGATGACTTACATCTGCGAAACGGCATCTGGATCGTGGAGCAGCGGGAGCAGCCGTCGGCAAACCGTCCAGGAGCGACTGCGATGCCATGGTGGGACGGGCTCGCCCAAAGACTACGTTTCGGGTGGGCTGGATTTGGTCTATGTTGGATAGAACAACAATACGAGATTACTTGTCGATTAAAATGGTGCCGATTTCGGAACGGGCCGATATGTACCACCGGGGGTTGTGGGCCAGCTAAGACTTATCTCGTAAAGCTTGTCGTTACAACAAATGCAACAAAATCGTCAGTAGACGTGTATGAATGTCAATGGCTTCATCAAATGACAGATAAGCCATTTTCCCAACGGGGTTTATAAGAAGAGTTTTCGCATCAAATCTTGCCTCAAATGTATGTTTGTGATAAACCCCCGATCCGGAGCCGCTTGAGTTACATATATCCTGCCCTTCCGTTTTATATAATTTGGGATCTGAATTGAGCTCTCAAGGTTGCCCAGACGAACAGGACGTCTGATTGGATGCGTGGTTGCAGCGGCAATCATGCATACCATTTATCCATGAGTCATTGCCTAGTACAAGATACATGATGAGCGCATGAAAAAAACATTGCTTTTCAACAACTATGGCATCCGTGAATTCTCAGGAGCAATTGATCTCCGGGATCATTGCTCGGCTGTCGCAAACTCCCTACGCCTGTAGTACACTCACCCGGATACCAAGCGGAACGACGAATTTAGTGTGTCGAGGCAAACTTATCGTACCACTTGAATTTCCTGACAATACTACATCCGCCAATGATGACACAATCATCGTGAAGCATAGCGTTGGTCATGCTTCCGGTAACCAGGAGATTCGGCTGGATCTCACACGTGTAGTCCGTGACCCCAAGACCGAGAGTAAATGTTCATTTCCATAGCACCCATACTCATTGCTTTTGTAGTTGGTCGAGCGTAGCGTGCTCCAGTTCTTACGATCAAATCCCGTCTCACTGATTTGCCCAACGACAATTAAAGTACAAACGCCCCTATTACTCGCAGAATATCCTACAACCTCGCCAGACATCCATCATAACATCACGCCATCGCTGCACGTCTTTGCGGATTTCGGGAGAAGCAACATACTTGCCGAAGTCCCGAACGACTCAATAAAAGACACTGGTCGCGCACTGGGAGGATGGTTGCGCGGATTCCATGATCAGACCTATTCGTCGTCAACAGAACTTCTGTCATTGAGCCGGGTCGTCATGACTAACGAAGGCATGAGAGAGCTGAAAAGGAAGATCTCTTATGAAGCCGTTCTTTCAATTCTCGAGGAGAATTTCAGCAACATATTGGAAGAGGGCGATAACGTCAGAGATACTATACAAGAGGCTGTCGATGCGGGTTGTCGTGATTTATCGGTTTCCTGCTCGGACATGCAAACTACGGAACGAACAAACTCTTATGGGATCATCCATGGTGACCTTTGGACCGGAAACCTCCTAGTATCGCTAGGCTCACAAGAGTCAGCACCTCCTTCAAAAGATATCAATCTGACGGTGTTGGACTTTGAATTCACACAGTTCTCCCATTTCGCAGTCGACTTGGGACAGATGCTTGCAGACCTCTACGAGAAGGGTCACTTCTATCTCCTTCCGCGTGCGCTCATCCGCGCAATGATCAAATCTTTCTTCGAAGGCTACGGTGAAATTGATGAAGAGTTGAAGAGAAAGACGTTGATACATGCGGGCGTGCATATGATCTGTTGGTTTATTCGGCGAAATCCCACGGCTCCAATTCGGGAGCCAATGGAGAGAGTTGAATCTTTAATGAGGACCGCGGTGAAGTGGATTCAGATCGGGAAAAGCCAGAATGAAGATTACGAACTGGGAGCTATGGGCGACACGTTATATGGTTAGATAGAAGGGCTGTGCGAAGGGATTGGGCGCATGGACGATCTCTTTTGACTGATTCTAGCGGCGTAAAAGCTGTCATGTTTGGGGCAATGGAAGCACTACTCCCCGAAGCCTTTCTCCAACCGCTCCGTACTCGTTCCAAACAAGGCTGGAATGCCGAACTCCTTCCTCACCTGCGCAAAGTCACAGTCTTCACGAACCATCTTCGCCACTGCCTTTGCTGCTGTGAATATCAAGGCCATTCCACCCCCATTGAACCCCGCCAGAATCCACTGGCTCTTAGTGCCCGGCACACGGCCAACATGCGACCACCCATCCGGTGTGTTGCCCATGATGCCCACCCACGTAGCATCTGAAACCGCGTTACTATCGTCCCATCCATGAAAGGTGCGCTGCATGTATCCTTTCCAATGCTGTTCGACATCATCTGAGAATCTAGCTGAATCATCGAAATTGTTGAACCAAGACTTGCAATCGGATTTGAAGTGCCATCCTCCACCACCAACAACAATGCTGCCGTCCGGACGGGGATTTAGATAATCGACACCTTTGTCTGCACCGAAGTCGATATTGTAGGTTTGCGTGAGATGCGGACGCACGGGCTTGGAAGGAACAATATGGGTAGCCATCCCACGCACCGGAACGATCACATTCTCGAATTGCGGCAGAAGCCCCGCCGTGTATGCGTTCGTCGCAAAGACGACCTTCGCAGCAGCGATGTCCCCACGTGCGGTAGTGACCAGATTAGTGCCATTTTCTTGTTGCTTGACCGACTTGACCAGCGTATTCGTTTGGACATTGAGCTTTCCCGGGTATCGCTCAAGCAGCCTTTCGACGAGTAGGGTGGCAAACTTGTACGGCCAGAATGAGCACGCTGGCACGCTGAAAGCTGATGTAGCACCTTTGATCGAAGTTATCTGCTCAGCGTAACGTTCGTCGATAAAACTCGTATCCTTCGTCCACCTAGCACCCTTAGCGCGAGAATCATCAAAGAGTTTCTTTAATCGCTTAGAATCTTCGGCATCAGTCTGCACATCGAAGCTCCGCCGGAGCTCCAACTGGCAATCCAACTCTTCTTTCTCAACGATATGTTTGATGTCATCCATGACGCCCATTACGTACGCCTGAAGTTCGTCGATGTCTTCAAGATTGCGCGACCCAATGAGGCCGGCGAGGGTGTTCGTTTTGATCTTGCAATGGCCCCCATTTCTTGCTGTCGCACCGGAGCACAGCTCGCGCGCTTCTAGCAACACGACGCTTGGCGACTCTGAGTTTGGCGACGAGGAGCCTTCTAGAAAGTGGTACGCAGTCATAATGCCAGCCATACCGGACCCAATTATGAGAACGTCAGTGCGCGGGGGCAGATCTGGGGTACTCCGCACATCGTGTAGCTTATGGGGTTCGCTGAGCCAATACGACGGAACGGGATGGGGAACGGGATACATTACGGCTCGACTAGGACGGTGCTGATGTTACTATCTGCGTAGCTTAATTCAAGGTGAATCAAACAAATGTGAAAAAATAAGGCTCGAGGATTTGAGCAAATGTCTTATAGCATGGGATATATTTGCAATGCATGTCCATCTTGATATACAAACATGTTCGGTGTTCGGACTAGCGACTAGGACATCGAATCGATGAAGTACACTAAAATCGGTATAACCGGCGTCCAACTCAATGATAAGTAAGGTAATGCGGCACGCCTGGATAGAAGATAAGGTGAGCGCAGACGTACATTATAAGCAGCTGCCTTTTCGGGCCAAACACTGAGAATGACATAATGTTATTGCAACTCGTTAATTGAGTATCTTGAATACTAGAGATGTCGACGAATGAAAGTACCATTTCCAACTCCGCAATTAGGAATTCCACAATGCGTCATGGTGTGAACATATCGCAATTTTCCCTTCTCAATTCGAAACTCATGCGTATCGGGCCATTGACTGTTACCAAAATCTAACATGACATCGACCGCACCGTATGTCTCGTCAATGACGTAGCGACGATTTTTCAATGGTACTCCACTCGGCACACCAACCGCACAGGTTCCATTCGGTCCTGGATCTCCGTACAGGCCGCCTTCAAGACGAACGCACGGCGTTCCCCATGGCACAGTCACATTCGGATTGTTGAAAAGATCGCAATATGCATCCGCAGCCTTCTTTAGCGTGTCACGGGTGTCGCGCTGCGCTTCTGGAATCTCAGACCAGTTTTCGAAAGCGGCCCAATAGGCATATCCTGTGATATTGAAAAGCCAATCCCCGGGTTTAGTGATGATGGTATCGACTTTGTTGATGTGATGATTGGCGAAGCGAAGTTGGGTGCCGATAACGTGAGGATCAGCCGTGCTGTTGACAATTACTTCGCTGTATGTCGCGCATGCCGTGGTATCGTATATTGATCGGTTATGAGTAATGGCAAGGGGTTTGTTCAAGATCCCGATGCTAGGATCAACCTTTTTGCCATTTTCGTAGTAGCCAAGCCAGGTGGAATTGTCAAATCGAGACGTGAGATCAGAGATTTTTCCAGAGGTTTGCGTCTTCAAATATGCATCAACAGCTTCTACGAGCTGCGGACGCGTACAGTGCGCGGCAGCTGTAGAGATGACGGCGATGATGGGAATAATAGAGCGCATCTTGAAGGCAGACAAAACGATCGAACAGCGATGAACAGCGAGAAACACGATTCGGAATTTATATATGTTCCTTCCTATAGTTAGAAAGGTTCAGCATCATTGAGAATTGCGACCTTGATATTAGCCAATGTTGAGTGCTATAACGAATTGCCGTGTTCGAGGTTTATTAACTCCACGGTTGAATTCGCACGATAGCGGTAGCATTGATGAAGCCCCACATCTCGAAATGAAACTTCGCGTGGGAATGTTAGGGCATTTGAATACATATACGGGCATGCGAATCGAGGACGCAATATATAATCTTCAGTTTGTAGACTAAATCTAGATCCCACAAGTTTGTACTCCTTTCCCGCTCGTTTAGATAAAGTCTGCAATCAGCCACCTCCACTCACTGGGCTTAGCACACAAAGATATTACGCCGATGAATATCATGATTGATGCGAATGATGACTCAGTTGTCTTAGACTTTAATTCTTGCCAGCCGTTTAGTACCACGCTTGTCACGGGCGGCGCACCGGGATGGATTGACGAAGACTACGCGATATCGGCACAAGAGCATGACAGTATTGCGTTCGACAAAATCGAAAAATGGATCAAAAAGCTAAGACCAGCAAGACAGGAGCCAAGTCGAAAAGAAGATGAAGAATGATGGTCAGTCGTCTACTCCACCCGCTAACTCAACAGCTTATACAAAGTAGAAGTTAACCACGTGACAGTTTAAGAAGCGAGCACATTTTATCGCAGTTCGTCATGTGAATATATAGTTACATTGATTAATCCGTTGAAATAACTATATAAGATCAAAGTCTAAGTAGCCCTCAGATTTTGCGGCACGACAGGACTTGCGTGACGAAGGGATTGACGTTCATACACAATATGTACGGCAACATCAGCAAAGTGACAACATCAGCAAGGTAATATTACTGGTAATGAAGACAAGACAGAAAAGTTAATTCATGACTAGATAACAATAGGAAAAAAGAAAAACTATCGTGATGTTTTATAATCATGTCCACACTCAATGTCCACGCTCAAGGGTAGTCACACCATCTTTCTTGATTTGGAAATCCTTGACAGTCCTGGCAATAAAACTTTGTCCCTCCGTTCCAGAGCTCCAGAAAATTTGATAGGTGCATAAAATCATTGTTCAGCTCTTCCGAACCTTTACTTTGGGTATCAGGATATTCCCAATTCATCTGAACTGGCTTTTGTAGTCCCCACCCATGGACCATATCCTGGAGGCGGCCTAGCCATTGCTTCTGTCTTTCATACCGCAGTCCAATGTCAAAACATTCGCGAAAGGTTTTGTGTATGTAGGTGCATAAAATCATTGTTCAGCTCTTCCGAACCTTTGCTTTGGGTATCAGAATATTCCCAGTTTATCTGAATCGGCCTTTGTAGTCCCCACCCATGGACCATATCCTGGAGGCGGCCAAGCCATTGCTTCTGTCTTTCATTCCGCAGTCCAATGTCAAAACATTCGCGAAAGGAGAAGGCTATGAGCTTTATCTTCTTGAAATGACGCAGCTGGCCAAAAACCATGCTAAGAGCGGCCTTTGCCTCCTCTTCCGTTAATTCGTAGTGTGTTTCTATAAGAAACTCGACTCTAAGTATCTTGCTCAAGTCTATCAAAGGAGCATCATCTAGCCCAAATGGATTTTTCATATTCTTCCTCTCGCATTCTACTGGCTCGGTGAACCTCGAAAATAATGACAGCGATTGATAGCGGGAAGCTAATAATTCTTTAAACTCTGCTGAGATGGCGCGGTTTACCAATAACAACGCATCCTTGCAGGGCACAAGTTGACCTTTGTAGCGTGAAGGAGCTCGAAATACCCATTGAGGTAGTAACGTCCGTCCCTGCGTAACGAAAAACCCTCCGTGCCGAAAAGGATTCTACAAATAGTCAGGCTGCATCCTCCAACTTAGTGGAATTAGGGTATTTTGAGTTTCAAGGTGTCAATCAAGTACGTCTGCTTCTACAGCCATTAGAAACATAGAAAATTACATTAATTATCACTATGCTGTCAATCTTTTCGTCATCTACCTGTACGACTTCACCTATTCTAAAGCCATATAACAATATACGCCTCTATTAATCATGTTCATCGGTGCAGCTAAAATAGTCTCCAACTATCTATAAAAGCCTTCCGGGCAATCAAAAGATAACCTATAATTCAGGACAGTAGTCCAGAATTATCCGGCAGGAGAGGCCCTGAACAGCTCTTGGCAGGCGACTTAACACTCGACCTACAAGGCTTAGCGTATGCTGTCTAAGTAATGTAAATTAACTACACATGCACCCCCAATCCCGGATTAAACGATACGAAAACTGACGCAATCCGCACAGCCACAAATCCTACAGTAAAGATACGCAGATGTGACTTAACTTAGGACATACATATCATCGCACATTAGCTCGGACCGGCGGTTCGCTTCCGCCGGAACCCATCGACGGGGCGCTTGATTTATGCAGGACTGATCTGCTGATCGGCACTTCCTGCAGAAGTAGCAGCCGAACCTGGCTGGTGCGTGATGACTTGCAGATCCAGCCTTACGCTTGCCGTGTATCTTGATGACTGCTCGGTCTGTGGCTATGTGGCTGTTGCGGCTATGCGACGCCGCTGCCAAGTACTCTGGAAAATCAGAGCTCCTGGATTGGGAGCAGGGCTGAGGTTAACGGCTGCTACCTGCTTAGCTTTTGACATAGCCCTTTATCAACTATATTAATCATCTACAGGTAACGGGGAGCAACAGTGCAGGTACGCAGAATACGTGAAGGTCTTGATGTGTTAATAACGTTAAACTGTTCAAGTTCGTGGCTCTGGCTATGTAAGGAAACTGGTCGTTGGGTCGTAGAGTGAGAAAAGAAAGTAAGCATAAGACATCAAAAAGCGAACTCTATCAGCATTACTCTCCCAGACATGTACCCAAAACCAACAATGCCCTCATGAACAGCAATGCAGGATGACCGATGATCGGGAGGAAGCCAAAGGATACGCTTAGTATGTTGGTGCACCCACTGGTCCTTGACAAAAACAGAGGGGGAAAGAGGGAGACGATTCGTGGCTGTATCAGGTGGAAGAAGCTCTGTTGGTATAGGCAGAGACCCACGGTTTGTCTGGAGAAGCGTACCGTCCTCAGAGAAAGACAGGGTATAGACAACAGCGTGGATATCAAACGTCTGCCGCAGCGCTCCCGTCTTGGCCTCCCACAGCTTGACCGTCTCGTCGTGCGATGCCGAGGCTAGTGTCGTGCCGTCCGGCGAGAAGGCTATTGCAGCGACATAGTCCCCATGGCCCTCGAGCGTCTGCCGCAGCGCCCCCGTCCTGGCCTCCCACAGCTTGACCGTCTTGTCGTCTGATGCCGAGGCCAGTGTCATGCCGTCCGGCGAGAAGGCTACTGCCCTGACCCAGTCCCCATGGCCCACGAGCGTCTGCCGCAGCGCCCCCGTCCTGGCCTCCCACAACTTGACCGTCTTGTCGT